ATTTAACTAATTAGTAATGCTAATTTCCAAATAAATTGATTTATATTTACTCACGCCCTACCTCTGGCAATTATAGCAGGTTTTTGTGATTATTATATTGAGAATCACTCAAAATCATACTTTTCTTTCACCCTTACAAAATTAAGCCAAATCTATATTTTTTTAGCAAGTAATAACTTCTTTTTCCTAAAAACTCAAAATTGTGATAAAAAATTACAATTTAAAAACAAAATTCAAATTTTACAAAATTAATACCAGCCATTTAACATCTAAATAAAATTGTGTTTGTTTATCGAAAAATAGTGAAATTTACTTTAATATATATTTTACTCTTACCATTAACTTTAAAATATAGTCTTCTAAATTTACTGGATTAAATTACTCGTATGTCTTTATTTATAAATGGAAAATAGAAATAAATAAGCTTGCTGATCTATACTAGCTTACTTTTATTTTAATTTTAGTAAATCTCTATGAAGCACTATGTAACACTTAATAATTTAAAAAATACACTTTTCCTCATTCAAAGTATGATCAAATAAAGTGCATCAAGTATCGTATTTTAATTACTCTTTAGTAAGCTTATTTTTACAAATATTATCAAAAAAGCGGAAATGAAAAATTCTGTAACTCGCTATTCTAATTGTGATTTTTTTCACTTTTTAAGCAAGCAAACTTCTTTAATAGAGTCCAAAAAGACAATGAATTAAATTTATTAATTTAACTCGCATTATTATATAATTATGTTTTATAAAATTTTTTTTTACTTATTCATCTTACTGACTTAATTATTAAATTTTATTATGTATTGATGCTTTTTTATAATTTTTGAGAATGCTGCCAGCTTCTATTTAATAAATTTTTACTTAATCATTAATATTTATATTAGTTAGTATTTATTCCTTATCAACTTAATTGTAGTACTATTGTGGTTATCAATTATTTTTTTATTAACCTTGTTAGTAATTTACACATCTTAATTTTTTCAAGATTGAATACTAATAAAAGAATTCTATATTTAATAATCAATACTCAGGTAAAAGAATTTAGGTTCTATTTAAATTTTACTTCGTGCAAATAGTAATTTAGGTTAAAATGTCCATTTTTTATATTTTAGATGGTATTCTTTTTTTATTTTTAAGAGTTAAACCATATTTATGTAATAAGTCAATGTTCAAATTACTCTTATAAATTCGAACAGAGGTTATTGATAAATAATTAAATTAAACAATCTTTTAACAGTGTATTTACTAATGAATTTTATTATCAAATGCTAATTTTCCAAATTTTAACAATATAATTACTGAGTTCTTCTGTAACTTTCAAGTAGAACAATAAAACCCTATTAAACACAGCAAAAATATTAATTACTCTCAAAATTAAATATATTTACTTTTATAATTCAATCTACTAAATTTTTGTGTAATCTGTTATCATATTTTTAATCAAAAAAAATATTTAAAATTTAAAGAAGTTAATAAGTGTTAAATTACACTTTTTCAAATTTAGCTTATTGATAATTCCAAAATTAATTATAAAAATACATAATTAAGTAACTATTAAAAATATTTTTTATTTAATTTACTTTTTAAATTATGAAAAATATCAGATATTTTCTCAATAAAATTATGAATATATTATTTTTTAAATAAACAAAATTTCTATTATTTTTTTCATATCAAAGATTGATATAATTATTTACTTCATAGAAAATAATTGTTCTATAAACAAATAATATGAAATTAAAACTCAAATAAAAAGATTTACCTTAATAAATAACTTCTATATACTTTTTGCATAAACAATTTTTAAATATCATTTGTAATTTCTTTCTATTTTAATTAAAACAATCACAAACAGTAAAAACTTGAAATTAATATAAGAAATCTAATCAAAATCCTATCTTATTTTCCTGAAAATAAAATGAATCTATAATTTTATATTCAGAAAAGATATGAATAATTGAACTTAATAATAGTTTTTGATTACAACTAAAAACCTTGTATTTTTAATTTAAAAAAATTCATTTACATCATTTTTTTTAAATATTTTTTATTAAATTAACTAGAAAAAATTATGGAAATTTAATAAATCCTAAATTCCACAAAATTAATTATCTAACAGAATAACTTTTGATTAATTGAGTTATAACAAATTTCTGCAATCTGATCATTTCAAAAATATATTTTGAGAATTATCATATATTTATTCTGATTTTTATTAGTATTGCAAAAAGAATATTTTGAAGTAAATTAAAAAGATTTAATAAAATAAATTTTTTTTGATTTTAGTTAGCTATTATTTATTTATTTAATGCTTTGATTAGAATTCTTCTCAAAATAAAAATACTAATAAAAAAAAAGGATTTTTAAATATATATGAATAATAAAGAAACTATCTAAATAATTAATAATGGGTTTATCTTATACTTTTCTTTTATATTTTATATGATATTTTTATAAAATTTAATAAAAAAAACAATATTTCAAAATAAAAAACTTCAAATATAAAAAAGTAAAGATTCTTTTTTATTTTGCTTTTCAAATTAAAATTTGTTTTTAAATCTAATATAAAAGACATATTGAACGCACATAAACAGAATATTATCTTACCTAATAAATGCTGCTATCTAATATCTTTCTATCTCATTTTTATTGAAATTATTTATTATAAAAGTAAATTAAATTTATAAAAATAGAATTTATAAATAGAAATTTGGTAAATTAAATTAAGATCTGGTAAATTTTATTATTGAAATTTAAATTTTATTTCAATTCTAATTTAAAAAAATTACCTAATACAAACAAACAGAATATAGCTAATGCAATATTATCTAAATAATGTTGTTACCTTCTTTCTTTTTATCATATTTTATTTAAGCTTAATTATTAAAGTAAATTTAATTTATAAAATAATATTTAATATAGAAAACTTAATAATTAAGATAACTATTATGGTATATTTTGATTATGAAATTTAATTTATATTTTAATTCTAATTTAATTTAAAACATTGGTTGAATACATATAAATGTAATATAATCAAAAGAATCCTATCTAAATAATTCAAGTGTCTTAAATTTTTCTTTCTTTTTTTTTTATTGAAGGTTTTAATTATAACATTAAAATAATTTATAAAATTATATTTAAAATTAGAAAAATTAAACAATAAAGTAAAAATTATTTTTTATTATGATTTTTGTAATTTTAAAGAATGTTTACAAGAAGAATATTATCATTCATATTAATTTAATATTAATTAAAAGGAAACTCAATTCCTTAATTCTTAATTTGAAGTAACATTATATTTAATATATATAACATGAAAAAGTATTAAAAGTATTTAATTTTATAAAAGATAATTGATTTAATTGAAGTATTTCTCTTGAAATATAGAATGCTAATTAAATCATACACAATTTTATTAATAAATATTGATTATTAGAAATTCTTACATATTTTTTAGCTACAATTCTTGAATTAGTTAGACTTAGATTATATTATATTTTGCAATTTCAAAATTTAATGAATAGCCATACAAATTCATTATTTAGCATAATTTTTTAGTGAAATTAAAAAGAAACAAATAAAGTTAGTTTCTAGTAATCTAAAATACCTAAAAGACTTAATATTTATTCACTTAACCTGTTAAAATTCTATTTCCAAATCAAAGATTCTAAATAATTAGCTAGAAGATTACATTTATCTCTCAAAATATAATAAATTACAAATACAATTATTCTATAATATAAATTAATTAGCTAACTTTGAAATCCAAAATGGCTTTGAAGTTAAGATAAAAAAGAGAAGAGAAAGAATAATTAAGAATCGTGTCTATTGTAAAAGAATTATATGTACCTTATAAATTCTTTCTTTATGGGGATATGCCATTGGATTTTGATTTTGAATCTAAAAAAGGCATGATATTTTGCGAAAACAATCCCTTGGTTGGTTTTAAAAGCTGCAAAAGAGTGGTTAAAACAAACACGTTCATAAATTTTGATTTGTGTAATGATTAGTAGCAATTAAATGATTTTTAGTTTTTAATAGATAAACTCAGGAGTATGGAAAATAGAGCTGTGAGCGAATTATCAAATTAGCTTTAAAGTTACTAAGATAAAATAAAATAAGAATAAATTCTTGATGAGAGACTCCATATTACTGAAAGATTAGATCAATTACTCTTAGATAATGAAGATATAGAAAAAAATATTTATGAAAAAGCCAATCAAATCCTTAATAAAGATGTCACTAAAAATCCTTTTATTCACTACTAAATATTTCGAAAGACTCCATACGAATTTACAACTTTAAGGAGTGGTATCAGTATATCTGGCATGCAGTACTTTGGTATTAGTGCAGATATTTTTGAACAATCCATGCTTAGAAATAATCACATGCCTATAAATAGAGATGAGAAAGCTATCTTTTTAGCTCTAAGGTCTTTGTAAAAACTTAATATTGACCATGCTGAATATGCAAAATCTGGAAAGACTATTAGCTCAGAAGTACTTATAAAATATAAAAGTACTCTTTACTAAATTGTGGAATCATCTAAAGTTTATGCCCTTTGTGATTTCTTAGACCCTTCTAGTGATAGTAATTATTATCTTGTAATCCATTATTTAGGAATAAGAAATAAAGAAGATTAAGAAAAGGGAATGAAATTAATTGAACCTCCAAAAATAGATTAATAATAGTATTTGCACAAAAAGAGAGTAATTAACAATAATGAATAGATATTAGACATACAAACCTTCAAGAATTGCTCATCCAAATTGAATTATGAATAATATCATAAATAAAATTACATATATCATGATTAGTAATTAATATCTAGCGACTCTTCTGATAAAAGCTATGATAACTCAAGTCCTTGTAATTCAACTTCTAAATAATCCTTAAGTGACAACAATAAAATACATACAAATAACATAAATGATATTTATACTAAATAAATGGAGATTAGTAAGTAAAATAATGATAAATAGATTTTTAATGCATAAATTTCACCTTTAATTGATTAGAAAAGATAGAAATTAGAGGAGATAAGTGAAGTAGATGAAAACCAAAGCAGTGTTTAGCTGTTGCCTGTAGCCTAGTAACATATATAAGTTAATTATCAAAATAAAGCTCAAGAATTTATCTCAAGTTATTACAACAACAAAGAAGAAGAAATAAAAAAGTAGTAAAAATTCAACAAAGTATTAGAAAACATGCTAAAAAAAAAATAATAAAAATTAAATGTTAAATTAATATGAATTTCACTTCAAAAACAATAAATATTTTAATAAAATTATATAAATATAATAAAAATACTTAAAATTTTAAGTCTTCTGATCAAAAAATCTTTAATGTGATTATTAATCAATATAAACAAATTAATGTGATTTATTTAGCTCATTCAAGCTTACTTTTAAAAAAATTGAGTGTTCGAGTTTTTCAAGAAATATGATAAAATTTCTTTTAAAATAAATTCTATCAACTTTTTCAAATAGATAAAAATTTATATCTTAATTTTGATTGAAACTTTAAATTTTATTCATTTTTATCTTAAAAAATTCTATTTTTAAAGTCAAATTTATTTTTTTAAAATAAAAACTAAATTTTTTCATTTAAATTTTCTTATAAATAAAAAATTGCAATTTCAATCGTCATATTTTTATTTTAGTATTATTGATTTATATTACTGTAAATCCTCATTAATTATCATCCCTTTCAATTTTCACCATTTTATGCTTAAAAAGATGTGGGGGCTTGGTGTGAATTAATGAGGAACTACGGTAATATAATATTTGTATTATAGTATTAAAACTGATTGCTTTGACAGAAGAGATGAAAGAAATTTAAATAAATCTAAAATATTTATTTAAAAAATATAATCCTTTAGAATACTAATTCATTTATAAAATATTTTTAAATTTTATAAGTTTGATTGTCGTCTAGTAGGAGGAAGAAATGGCTATTTTTTTATCAATTTCAATAAAATTAAATATTATTTTAAATTTCTGGTGAATTTATATACTATTAAACTATGAAAACAGATAATAATTTGAGAAAAAGTATTTAAATTTGCATACATTAAATAATTCTACTTCGAATAATTTAAATCAAATATATTTTTATGATTAAATATATTTTTTAAATAAAAAATGTCTTGATATAGAATATTATTATTTATAATCATAAATGATTCATTCAGTTTGATTCTTAAAGAGGTGTTTAGTCATCTTCTGATGAAATCCTAAGATAAGTTTTTTTAAACTAAAGAAATTGAGAGAAAAAAAACATTCCATCTCATCTACATCTTACTATTGATTATTTATTTATTTCAGTTATTTCACTGATAAGAGAGCGTTTAAATTAAAAAATAGAAAAAAAATTTAGGTATTTTTCTCAAGCTAATAATAAATTAAATGTATAAGCAGGAAACAAATAAAGTTAAAATTTGTATATTATCTTGTCATAGAATTCATTAGAATAGAAGCTTTGTTTCTTTTTATTCCGCTTTGAGCTAGTTTTTGTTAGTAAATATAATTTTTAAATATAATTTTTTAGTTAAAAACTGAAAAAACTCATAGGATTTTTTTATTAATCATCTTTTTTCATAATAATTAAAAGGCTTTTTAACTTAATTTAAAATATAATTTTTTTTAAGTAATAAAAATAAAAAATATACTTAAACTGGTAATCAAAATAAAATATCCAATTCTAGCTTTTACATCTAATTTAAATAAATTAATTTTTTGTCATTAAAAATGAAGCTCAATCCTAAAAATTTTATCCTCTCAAATCAACATAATTTTCTTGAACAAAGAATTAATAAATGGCTAGATGATCAGAACATATAAATTGTAGATCCATCTCAAAAAACGTTTGATTATTTTTAAAGTAAAAAGCTTTAAGTTTAATAAAATTCAACCTTAAATAATAACAACTAAAACTAGTCTAGATTAGCAAGATCTCTTTAAAATAGTCCTTAATTCTTAATTAATTATGAATTTATAAAAATAAAGAAATCTCTTTGCTCGTTTGATATAACTTATTAAAATTAAATGAATTCATAAAAAAACAAACAAAAGACCAAGAGTCTGAAGCTTCGTTTGGTAGAATCTAATATAAATAAAAGGAGGAATTAGCTAACAAAGAAAGAATTCATATATATTTGATTTTTTAAAAACTAATTTTGACTTTCTTAATAATCAATCAGACTATCTTATGATGAAAATTTTTTAATGCTAAATTTTTAAATAATATCTAAAAAAAAATATATTTAACAAATTATAAATATTTCAATTTACAAAAGGTAAATTTATTTTTAAATATAATAATTAACTGTACCAATTAATACCTTTTCTGTAGTGTAATATTATCTACTTTTAAGTATACTTATATATATACATATTTGCTTTATATAGATACTGTAGATGCTTTTGAAAGAGTAAATATCTTTTTTAAGATAACTAACTATAGGATATATTTTATGAAATTTTTTTTTAAAAAATTTATTTTCTAAAGTTGCCTTAATAAATGAGAATATAAGAATATTAAAAAAAATAGTTTTTTTATTGAATTATTTTTGAATTTATTTTATCATTTTTCTAATTAATAGGTTCCTTATATCTTTTAATAATTTCAAAGTTTTTTATATTTCAACTAAGAGTTTTCTTTTTTATCCTTTATTTTTTTATTATTTATGTTTTAATTTATAATTAAAAACATTTTAAGTAGTTTATTATTAAATTTTAATTAATTTTTTTAGCATCTATTTTTATTGATTACAACAAAAATACTAAATTAGGTTTTTGTTACACATTTTTCAATGATTAAATGTAACATTAGTAAAATAAACAAAAAATTTTAATGTAAATATTTTGATTTGAATTAATTTATTGAAAATGCAATAAACAATATTAATGAGTGTGTAAGCACATACTAAATCATTCTAAATAGTATTATTTCTAAATTGCTTGTTTTTTAAGGTTTACAAATGAGATTGACAAACATGTGACTTAAATTTCAATATAAAAATTAAATTCTTTTTAATTAGATTTCCATAATAATTTGATCTCTTATTATATTATTTCTTAAGCCAATTAAATTTTGATCAAAAAATACATCAAACTAACATAATTTTTTCAACTTTTAATTTAGATAGATAGAGGACTAACAAATTATTGAAACAAAAAACCATTTTAAAAGTAAAATTATATAAAAGGCTATTCATCACATATAACAAGTAAAAAGCACTTTTTAAAAAGTAGTTTTTTATAGAATATGAGCGTTTAAAAAGTTAAAAAATTAAATAAAGTTATAAGCAATGATCTAAATAATGTTAAAAATAAGAGGAAGGACATTTTGATTACGAAAAAAATAGAAAAACTCATTTAAAAAAGACAACTTGAAGTTGTTCCAATAAATTTTACATTAGAACTTACACCTAAGTATTAATTCTATATTTTAGGAGAAATTGTAGTCGATTTTGACATATTTAAAGAAGATAAAGGAGGATTTAAATAAAATCCTACAAATCTGTTCAAGATACTTGAAAAAATGACAAGATGTAAAAATCATTTAGAGTTCTAAACAGCTTCAAATGTTCCCATGATGAATAACTTTGAGATAATTATATCCACCATAGATAGAGCTAATCATCCAAAAGCTAAAGAGATGTCTTCTCTTCTTAGAGATTATCAAGAAAAAGTTTCTCGCAGGTGTAAATACGCTTCTATCTTATAAAAGTAATAAGAACAAAAATAAGTACATATAGATTATGCATAAAGAAAAGAGGAAAGTTTTGAAAATGCTTAAAAAATAATAGATTCTGTTTGCCGTGATAATCCTAATTCTATTTTCTTTTTTGTAATAAGGAGGAAAGGGATGTTTTCTATTGACGTGTTGAAATCTGGCTATTCTAACGCCGCTATCAAATTATCTGGATTTACTTTAGAAGAATTCGAATAATGTATCCTAAGAGATAGGTCTGTTCCTATAAAGCACTAAAATAATGCATGGGATTACATTAAAGAAAAAATGTATTCTAACTTTCACAATAAAAACTATAGTAATATTTAAAGAAAATTTAAGTTGAAAAATGGCTAAGAGATGAACATTTTTTTAACAGCAAAAACTTTTCCACTGAATATTAACCTATCACCAGATCCAAATCTTTTAGACCTTAATGATTATTTAGAGTTAATTTTAATAGAACCTTTTATTTCTAAGATTGATCGGTTTCAGGAAGCAAATGATATTGTTATTAAAAATTAGTAATAATATATAGAACAAACTAATAAGTTCATACAAGCATTTTACTCAAAGGAAGAAATGAAGTAAATTGGGTTCATTAACACTTAAACAAAACCCCAAAGCCAAATTAAAAAAAATCCAAACGAAGCTTAACTTTAATTTAGATAAAATACTAGTAATTAAATATTGGAAGGAGGTCAACAAAATTATTAAAAAGTAAAATAGTTAAGTAAGTAAGAAGATATTTCATCTGATTGCTTAAATATTTAACAGTTTAAATCTAAGAATCAAAATACCGATTTTATTGTAAAAGAAATCTTGGTTACAAATTAATTTTCCTAGAAAGAAGATCAAATAAATTTAATTTTTAATCCTATGAGTAATATTAATTCCATGCAATAAGAAGATTAGTCCGAATTTAAGCAAGACCAAACGTATTTTAGTAACTAAGCAAACAAAAATTAAATACCAAATAGCTATTAATTTAATGAATGTAAGCATAATATTTAGAGCATAAATAAAGAAAATAATAATTAAAATACACATAAATAAGGAATCGGTAGTAATTACAATAGTGATAGTCTTGTAGATGATAAATCTTCTAATTTATTTTAATCGAGTGAGTATTTCTATTAAGATGATGAAAAAAAAGATTAGTTTTAATATGAAGATTCCACAAAATATCTAAATTAATAATATTTAAATAATTTTTATAGCAATGATTAAAATTGTTTTGACTCTAAATACTGATAATTTATTTACATTAAATAAACAGATATATATTTCTTGAGAAATAAATACTATTCAAAAAATTTATATAGAATTATTTTAACAAATATTTAAGTCTTAATTAATGTTATATGTATCTATTTTGTTAATAACTCAACCATCTAAATATAATTTACATAAAATGTCAATATATTTTAATACCATCAAACTATTTATTTTAATAAAATAAGATGAATTTCTGTCAATTTTTTTATTAGTAGAATTTTTTCTTCATTTATAATTAATTTAAAGCATTTATTTTGTTTTTTTTATTTGTTTATTAAATTATAAAAACAAAAAATAAATAAACAAATTAAATGCAAAATTTATTTTAATAAGCGATAAATACTATTTCCAAATTCAAAATAATCTTTAAAATTTGGTAGTTTTATTTTAATTTTAATTTATTTAAATATTTTTGGGTTTTTCCATAATAGATAAAATAATAAAATTAGCTTTAAAATTTAGCAATATGTAGAAGATAATATTTGCTAACATAATTTGCTGAACCAATTTTCAAAAAGAATAATGGATCAAAACTTCATTGACTAATAAAAAAAAGTACTAGCTTTGCAAAAGCAATAAAATTTTAGACTTATTACTTAGAATCTTGTATAGATTTGAAAATTTTTGAATAGAATGATAATTAGAGAAAGCCATTCAAAACAAATATTAAATTGAGTTATATATCAAATAAAATAACTCTTTTTCATACATATATGAATTAAAATCATTAGAATATAATCAAGACAAACAAATTAATATTAAAAATAAACTAATAAAGGTCATAAACATATTTATATATATAAACACATATAAATATTTAAAAGCAAATAATATATATTTTGATAAGAGATATTTATTGAAACATTTTACAAATTAGCAATAACAAAAATGAAAGCCCCAACTTATATTTTAAAAAGAGTTTATCTTGAACGTAACTAAGAAAGAGAGTTAAGGAATCATGAGAAGAGATTAGAAGAAATCAAATCTTCTAAAGATTAAACTAAAATTGAACTCAAGAAAAGAACTTTAGCAGTATAATCTTAATAGGAGCAAGCAAAAAAAAATCATGAAAGAGCCACTCAATTTAAAATCCATGAAAAGTAAAGAGAGCAGATAGCAAGAGATAAAGTATTAATGAAAAAGCTTGTAGAAATAAATAATTAGTCTTCTATTCCTGCTCCAGCTAATAGAAAATCATAACCAAATTTGTCTACATTAAGTAAATCAAAAACTCCCAGCAGTGCTAGTATGATAGGTAATAAATGATTATAAAATTTATAAATTAATTGTTTTAAAGAATTTTTTAATAGAAAGCCACATTTAAAATTGGTTTAATCAACTAAATATTGTTAAAAATGAATGTTTTTTTTTATTGTTTTTTAAGCGCTTAGAAAGTAATTTAGATGAAACGTTTTTTGATTAATATCAACATAAATTAGTAAGTCAAATGTATTTTTCTAATAATAGGTTTGCATAGTGTTGGTCGTAAGAAAGAAGAAGAAAGAATTAACCTTGAAAATCTTAATTTAGCTAATAGAATGGTAAAGCTACCTCCAGTAATTAGCGCCAAGAAGCTTGAAACAGAATATAAAAAAAATAAAGAATTGGGAAATAAAATATTACGTTTCCATCATCTCAAGAAAAAAGTAGAAAAGGAATATGATCGTATGGAGAAAAAAGATCTTGATGGAGATGAAATTGATGATGGCCTTGATCCAAATGACGAAGAATTAATGAACCAAAGAGTTTAACTTTATGTCTGCTTTTAAAAAATAGAATTTATAAACTTTTTACCTCAAAATATTGAATCAGAGAAATACTTCATGGAAATAAAAGCTAGTGTTCGTGCTCCTAGAACAACAACTCCAGAATTATATGACGATTTTGCAAAATCAGTAGTAAACGAATTCTTTTATCTTAGAGAGCTAAAAAAATCGAAACTTATGTATATTGGTCTTTATTAGATTAAGGATGGGTAAATAATTATTTCATTCATTCAATCTATTAATTTATTAACTAATTAACTTAAAAAGTTATACTTTTATGCTTAGTTTAAAACTTTTTAAAATAATTCTAATTAATTATGTTTTCTATTAACTTATTTTTTATAATAATATTATCAATATTTAAATAAATCTTTTTATTTTAAATTAGCAATTAAACTTTCTTAGGTGATTTCGAAATTGATTTGACCCCTTATTACTTAGAAGGTGTTTAAAAGGCAGTGAAGTTAGATTTAAGAAACTTCAAAGAATTATATAAGCGTCCTGCATACATGCCAACAGATATGAGAAGAAAAGGTGGAATCGACTTTGATATGAAAATTCAATCAAAAGTTAAATAATATTTATTAGACCAGAAAAATGCTCAAACAGAATTAGCTCCTGAAATTGATAAAGAAAAGCAGATAGATTGGAATGGAGTTGAGAATAAAATATGATTCTAAATATAAACTAAATTATGATTTTATGCTTAGTGTTTAAGAATTAAAATAATTTAATTCAGTCTATTTTTAGATTCACTTCATTATTATTGTCTTTTAATCTTTTATATTGATTTTACTAATTTAGCAAAATATTTTATAATAAATTGTTTAATAATTTGTTTAATTTTCAATTCATTTTAAATAAAATAATAAATTTTACTTAAATGTTTTTTATGATTTAATCATAATTATTTTTAGCAGTTTGAAAAATTATAATAATAATAATTAATAGTTTTTTTTTATAAAGCTGAGAACTGACATTTAAATTAGCTTTAATTTCAGATACTTTGTTTATTTTATATGAAGAAAAGACATGAATAAGTAGCATTTTTTAGATCTTTTAAAATAAAATATTTACTCATTTAATAGATTAATTTTTTTTTTTGTTGATTAAATACTTTAAATAAATCTAATTAATTATTTAACAAGGTAAACAAACCTATTTCATGATTAGTTTTAACCAAAAAATTTATGTAATATAAATCAATTATAAATTGTTTCAAGTAAAGATAGTATTCTTATTTAATTAAATTTTGAGTAATTATAAAAACTATAATAAGTGAAAAGGTTATATCATTTTAGTATATATTTTGTAAAGAATTAAATATTTACAGATCAATTTAAAACACTATTTAGATAGTAAAACAATTTATTTTTATTCATATAAGAATTAAGGGAACATCTAATTTCATTTAAGAACTACCTGTATACCTCTAAGATAAGCAGGTTATGCCAAATCAAAATTTTAATATTAAGCATTAGCAGAGTTTTTTCAATTTTTATTAAGAGAAAATTATTTTTTTTGGTTTGAATTTAAGGGAATTCAGTATTTTAATTTGTTTTTTTAGAAATAAATTATTGTAAAGTTTAATTTTTTCTATAAAAAGTTTTTATGATATTTTATAAACAAATATCTTGATGAAGTTTTAATTAAATTAAGTTCATGTATTCTATTGTTTTAAATATTCTTTTATTAGGATTTAAATTCAAATAAATAATGGATTATAATAATTCATATTTTAAAGTGTGTGGGCATTATATTAAATTTATATTTGAAATTCTTTCATATTTATATTTTGTTAAAATGAATAAGTGAAGTAAAATTTCTTTTATATATATTTTATTTTTTATTCATAGTTTATGAAGTTAAGTAATTTTTTTGATTTAAACAATTTATTGTCTTAACAATATGGAGACGGACAGTACTTTGGACTTATGTAGCTGCCGCACTATATGTTAATGTTATTTTATGCAAGATATTTCTCTTTAGAAGAGTTGCAAGCAAAACGCTGCAACTCTTCCGCGAAAAACCCCATATGTGAGAGGTAATATCAGAGAAGATTTTGCAATTTATATCTCTTTCCGCCAAAAGAATATTTGCTTATTTACATCTATATAAATATAGCAAGTATATTTAGTTGAAAGAGTGGTTTGAATTTAATTTGTTTTGGATTTACAAAATGCATTTACTTAGTTGCTTATCTAGTTAGTTAGTTTGCTAGCTAGCTAGTAAGTTAAATTTATTAGCTTTTGACTATTTTTTAGGAATAACTTTTTTGATAAATTTTGTAATTATTTTTTCCTTTATTTTAGAAAGCAAGTTTTAATTTGCATATAAAGAGTGTAAAGTATAATTTAGACTCTTAATATTCAAATAAATAAATAATAAGTTCTCATAAACACTTTAAAAGACAAAAATATACGTATCTATATTTATAAGTAGATAATATCTTTTTTCTTAATTGCTTATATATAAAAAATTCTCTTTTTATTTTCATGATTATTGACTTTTTTTACATAAATATATATCTTCTAGCTCTTGAATTCTAATTTTTAGATAAAGGATATTTAAAATATCTAAAATTAAAGAATGAATGCTTAACTCTGTTGGCTTACTTCTTTTAATAGATTATATAAGGTAAGCAACAATCAAAGGTATCATTTCTTAAAAATATGTTAAGCAATAAATAAAATTTCAAATTGAAGATATGTAATAACCGATATCCTCGAACTAAACATTTATGGTATCAATTTTAATTTATTATTTTATATTTTCTTTGATATTAGCATATAAACAGCAGATACATTCTCATGAAATTAGAAAAAACAAAAGAATGAAGATTGCTTACATTTGATCTATTAGAGTGTTTTTAATGAATGAAATATTATTTGACGAGCAAATAAATTAATTTGTAAAATATAAATGAATCAATTGCATACCATAATTAATTTTTCCAAATTAAATATCTCAAAAAAGTTAATTAATTAGCTATCAAAATATCAATCAATTAATCAATTAATCAAACACTGAAAAAAATCAATAGTTTGATAAAATTAAAAAGAAATAATTACTTTTCTCTATTAATTCCTTAAAAAATATTTTTTTTCTTTTATTTGAAGCTTTATAAGGGCATAGAAATTAATTCATTATAAAGCATACATAGGAATAATTGCATCGTTTGTAATCATAAAAGTAGTTACAATTAACAAATAAATAAATTTATAAACCTGGCTAAATTAATTATCGAATCAAATATTGCTGAAAGTTTAACAGGGGGAATATTCTCCAGAGTTATCATAGAATTATGATATAAAATAAGTTGAATGGAGTAAAATACCTTCAAAAAGTTACTAAAACAACTGAATAAGCTTAAAATTCTGATTTTTAGTAAAAATAGACTTAAAATATTCGAGTTTCTTCAGTATCTTTATCTCCAAAAAGAATGCAGATATATAATCAAAATTAAAATATGAAAAGATAAGGTAGCCTAACAAGCTTGAAATTTAACAAATTTTAAATTTTTTAAGATTATAATTAGAAATTAAAAGAAGAAAATTTTAATACTCCTACAAATTTTAACAGATCACTTGACCCAACTGAAATAGATGAGTAAGATTTATATGATAATAATAGAAGTATTAATAGAATTAGTAACTCCACAGGAGAAAAAAGATTTTCTTAGAGTGATGATGGGTAAAGCAATAGAAGCAGCTAAGATTTATAATCAAAGTTAAATTATTATAGTAATATGAAAGAAGCATATCTCACGAATTCTTTAAGCACCCAATTTGATGCTGATAAAATTAGTGGAAGAAACAATACAGATAAAACAATATCTACTTGCATATCATACAAATCCCATTCAAATCGTTAGTCGAAAAATATATATTCTAATAATCATTCTAGCTGTGCTTTGAATTAGAGATGTTCAAGTTAGTAAAGCTCTTATTGCTCTCACTTCAACATAAATTCTTCTTAATCTCCATGCGATGCATCCCCAAGAGACACATGCAGTTAGCAAGTAAATAATGATAAGTAAAATTCAACTGGATTTTATTAAAATATTTAGGAGTAATCATAATAAAATTCACCTTACATCTAATATTAACAAGACTAAGCAATCCCATAGAATTCCTTTTGTAAATAAAATTCAAAAGAAACTTTTTAGCAAAAAGCAAGTAACTCAGAAAATTTAATTTATTAAAAACCTTATTAAGAAAATATAAATAACTTGTATTTGAGCGGTTCAAAATCAGATAAGTATATGGCAAGTAGTAACATCTATAACAATTCTAAAATAGGATGTAATAACAGTGATCTCCACAGAATTAAAGAAGAGGCAGAGAGTGATACTTAGTCCATTTACTCTTGCTCAGTTAGACTGCGTCATACTCCACCTTCTTAAAATAGCTACGATAGAAAAGTTTCAAATAATAAAGATATATAATAAAAAGTTGTATTAGCAAGATAGTTGTTACGTTCTTAATAAAGTATAGATAGCATAAATTTGTAAAAGCTCTCAAATTAAACTTCACCAAAAAGTCAAAACTAAAAAGAAGATTACAAAAATTAACAGCAACTTTGCAATGAGGAAGCTATCTACTTATATACATAGGATTTACTTGCCAATTCTATTTAAATTGATTACAAACAAAATTAAAATTCTTCAGGAAAAGGACTGGTAAGAGAATCACCTAAAGAAAGTCTTAAAGAGTAGAAAATAGATAAATATGGAATGAAAGAAGATAATTTTTTAGACAAGAAAGACCAAGACTTTAATAAAAGCTAGCTTCTCGGAATGAATGGTGAGTAAAATGTTTAATTAATTATGTAAATTTAAGAAAAAACTTAAAACGAACATTCTATGGATATTAACTAGAACCCAAAATATAATTAATAAAATTGTGATTAATAATTAAATTAAATTAATGAAAATCAAAAACAACCACAAACGGAGATGAAAAATAATCTTTCGCAATCATAATAATAATTACAAATAAAAGATACTGAGAACTAAGAAAAATCTTAAATTTGGAAAGATAATTAATAATTAATAACTAATAGTACTAAAAAAAACGAACTTACTTTAGAGAGTATATCTATTAAATGGTAGAAATAGTAATCAAGTATCTTATCGGAAGCTAATTAATCTGTTATCTTAGATTTTGATAGAAAAAATATTAGCAATCCTGAAGTCTAAGTAATTACTCCAAATTAAAATTTAAAAACTGAGCTCAAAAACGTTAACATAGATCTAGAAGCTAATGCTAAATAAAGAGAATAAAATTTAAGTGACTAAGAAGAACGCTCCTAACAACCTCCTCCTTTAATAACACTTTCATCTTCTCTGATAAAAAATAACTAATTAAATAACTTTTAAAGTTAAGTGGATGACTTTACAGAATTTGAGGTGGAGTATGAGCGTATCAAGTAATTTATTATTAATAACAGTTAAAAATTACTTGAAAAAAAAACATTGACAGCTAAATTTCCAATTTATAAGCTTGATGAAATTTACTAAGAAAAGAATTCTTTTATTCAGAACTCTTAAACTAATTTTGCTTAAAATACAAATCCTAATTTAAAAGTTTTTGAAGAAACATAACTATATTCTAATACTGTGAAGTCCTCATAAAACTCACCTATTAATTTAGAAAATGATTAGCAATCATCCTATAACAACTTCAAGACATAACAATAATAACAGTAAAATAAATAACAAACCTCTTACTTAACAAATAGATGCTATTCTTAGAGATTTTCTCTTGGTTCTCCCACTTCTTATATAACAAACATAGATAACATGATTTTTCATCTCTTCACAACTCCTTAAAAAACTGTCACTCAAGTCCTCAAAGAAGTAGATTTGTAAAGTGTAATTTGCTAAGACTAGTTAAGTAAAAAAATACCAGGTATAATAGACAGATGGAAAAAGAAGTATCTATTTTTATATTTAGATAAACTTTGCTATTAAGAGAACTAGAATTCAAGAGTATCTACAATCTCATTTAAACATTTTGATTATCAGATAAGTGTAATTTTTAATAATTCTTATCAATTTTTATAAATATAAATACATTTTTTATTTATTTAAAAATAATCTAGAAAGACGTTTTTAGAAATACTTTTACTCTGCTAGAATAAAATACAAAGAAAAAATTTACTTTCAAATGTCAAGATTCAAATTAAAATGAATTTTGGGTTTAAACTATAGCAGACATTATTATTTTCAATCAAATGTTCGCTAAATACAAGCTTAATAATGAAAATGCACTTCTTTACTAAAAATAGCAAGTGTGCTTCCCTAACGAAGTACAGTCTATCTTATAAACAGGCGATTTAATAATATACAGGTATAGCTAATTAATTAATAATTATTTATATTAATTTGTTTGTTTGCTTTACTTGATTGCTTGATAGCTTTATTAATAAAATGTTTAATAAATTAGAGTTTTTAATCAAAAATCACACAAACCAGAAAAAAAGCTTGAAGTGGCCTTGATAATAAAAACCTAGTTTATTACTTAGGTGTGCTTTTACTCTTAAGATGAAGGAATCCTAACCTTACCTTTAGATACTTTTCTGACTCTTTTTAACCTAGCAAGGTAAATAAAAATTTCTTAGAAAGATAAATAAATGATTTTTAAATTAATTAATAAACTAAAGTCTAAGCTTTAGAAGGTTAGAAAGAGTTAAACAAAACGATGAAAAGAAAAATGAAGATGACATTACTAGCACAAGTGTTGAATTTGTATAAGTAATTTATTGATGTCTTATTATAAAAATTAATTTGTTTAATAAAATAAAAATAGTAGCATCAATAAAATAATTTTAAAGATTCAAATCATTTAGTGTTTGAAATTCTAAAGGCTTCAAATGTTTTAAAAGAGAAAACAACTTCTAAAATATTATGTAACATATTAAATATTATATTTAATTCATGTTTTTTACTTTTAATATATTTTGAATTAATAGATGATAGAGATATTTTTGAGACTAATAGATTAAATCTCTACACTCAAAATTGCTCATATTCCGATTTAATATACTTAGTTCTAAAAAATCATATTAATGCTGTCTTAAGCAATCCTCCACAATTAAATAGCATTTTTAAAGATACATCTTATGTGAGCAGCGATTCTAGCTAAATAGTAAATTTAAGATTCGCTCAAGAAGTAATTAGTCCTGTCTCTAACATGAATTCTTTTAGAACCCAATCAATAAGATAAATTCCTCATAGCTCTTCCATGTTTTAAACTCAAGAATATCACAACGAAGAAGGAAGTAGCAGTTTTGGAAGCAGGAATAACATGTTTAGAAATTTAAGCTACATTGAATTTGGTAAAGAATTTAAAAGAAATAGTTTTAACTGTTCATCATTAAAATACCTTTGAATAAAATAATAAATAAATAAATAAGGATTACTAATATGTGAATAAAAACTATAAAAATTGATAAATAAATAGCTAAATATTTTCCAAGAAAGAAAAAAATTATTTTAACATAAAAATATTTTACTTATATTTACATAAATTAATTAATAGATAAATCAAAGAAATTTAATAACAAAATTAATATTCCTATTACATTATTTGAGTTTATTTAACCAAAATAAATTAATTCCTCTCAATTATGACAGCTTTAATACTTACATATACAAAGATATATATATAAATGTTAAGTAAGCAGCTTACAAATCTATCTATAAAAATAATAATTATATTGACAAAATAACAATAGAATAAATAAATAAATAACTAGGTCTCTAATTTTCAAAAGAAATTTATTATTTATTGATCGAGTTTTTTCTAACATTTATCAAATTATAATTAAAATTATATTATTACTTATATAACTAATCTCCTCACCTGTCTTAAGTTCTCTACTATTCTAGTGCATATTTTATAATGTATATACTACCTACATTTTCATAACGGTCATTAATATTAATGTAGTTTAATTTAATTCAAATCAATCTTAAGATAAATATTTATTTTGTTTTTATATAATCTTATTTTCTCAAGAATTGTTATTTTTTTATTATTTATTATTCATTCATTCATTTATTTATTCTTTAATAATTTTAAAACAAAAATTAAAAATTGATATTGAAATTTATCATTTATTTACAGTTCTAAATAAGTTAAATTATCTAGAATATTTAAAAAGAGTTAGCATTTTTTATAGCAAATAAATATTTATTTTTTTTTATTTTCTTTTGATTATTAATTAATATTTTTTCTTCTAATTGAATATTTCAAAACTAAAAAAGTTATTTTATTTTTTATGATAATTACCAAATTCTAGATGATTTTAACTCTTAGCAAATTGAATCATATAAATAGGATAATCTAATCATTAAAAACGAACTAGTATGAGAGATAAAAAGATTTCATAATGATTCCTATTAAAATAGAATAAATAAATGTTCTAGAAATTGTGCAAACATCTATTTTAAAAAAGAGAAGCAAGAATAAGAATAATCCGATGATATACCCTAGCAGTGCACCGCATATAAATTAAATAAAGTGAGTACTTAGCTTTTACTTTTCTTAGTTATTTTCTTAATTACCATTTTGAGATTCTTAGTTTGAATTTGTCATGTTTCTTAAGAAAGATTAGCTGTATGGAAAATTTTATTCTTTTTTGAAGTCATAACTCCTAAATTTAGAATAGGAATCTACCTTTCTAAAATTATTGTATAGCCATTTTTCTTCTCTTGTCATCAAATCAGACATATTTTAGTAATTATCTCTTGCAAGCTATGCTTTGCAGTGAAAATATACTCTTTAAACAATAATATCTTTATCAGAAATGTTATGCTAATCTTTTAATTTGTCAAATCCCTATTGATTCATAATGCTAAATATATTTCTCTGCTATTACTCTCTTATCAATTACTGCTAAATTTAAGAGGATTATCTAACGTTTTAATAATTTTATCCTGAATTTTGTTGAGGTAATAGCATTCTGGGATCATCTCCTAAATCTTAAACTAGGCTTTATGGAAATACCTAATTTAGGCCTAGTCTTCTCCTTTCTGAATTAGTGTAAAATTAACTCAAGATTTCTTCCTTTTAGAGTACAGCTTAAATAGTGTGGCCTGGGAGGATTTTATAATCATAAATCATATCTAGGTCTTTAAGTTCTTTCCCTTGGTAGATTAGCTTTGCAAATTTACAACTTGAAAGTTCTGTGCTAAATAGAAATCGCTTCAGTCTAGAAACTTTCCATTTAGATGTGGTCTTTAATTCTATAGGAATCAAATCTGAATAAGAAAAAAACTCCTTCAAAGTTCTTCTCATTTCTTTCTACTATGTCTTATTTTTTTCAAGGGTATTAACCCCTTTACTTTTAGGGGAATCTGCTTCACTATATTAGAATGCACTGTTTTTGAGTATTTTAGACAACTTATCTTACTGCTATGGAATTTTCTTTTTTTTTTCACTTGTCTATTTTGGGATAGTTAATTCATTTTAATTTATTAATATGTCATTTCCTGAGCTTTCAAATTTACTTTTTTCATAGCTTTATTAAATAATTATTTCATTTTCTTGATTTTTTTATCCAATTTATATATTTTAGGCTTCAGTGTGTTTGCAAATATTTTCTTTTTCTTCCTCATAGCTTTCATCGTTTTCTGTTTAGTTATCTTATTTTTCTATCTTATTTTATATCTCCATATTTTAATTTGCATTTATTTTTTTTTTGTTTTCATTTTTTTTGAATTTAGATTTTTTCATTTAAACATTTTTTTTATTTTCAATTTGCTTATTATCCAAAATTTGTACGTCAACATTATTTTAGATATTTTCAGTTTAATTATTTTAAGAGTTTAGATTTTTATCATCTGTTTTTTCATTAACATTTTACTATTCACAACCTTAGTCAGGAAGATTTTAACTTTTTTCTTCTTGATCAAGGTCTAAAACTTCTTAAGAAAAGGGATTTAGTATTTTGATAAAGTAGAATCTATCATTTTCTTCTTTATTTAGAATTAATTTTTGGTATTCTTCATTCCAACTCAAGAGTCTATTCGAGTTAGGATTCTTACTTTTCTAAATATTTCCTGAAAGGATGAATCTTCGATGAGTAGGATTCATAGAAGGTATAACACTTGGTAAATTTGATGGTTAAATGATTAAATCTAAATTGTGATTGATATTATCATCAATAAAAGCAGAATTATTTAGTGTGTTATTAATCCTATTTAAGCAATAACTTTATTCATTAGCGAATGAAGTCTCATTATTATTTATAGTAAAATTTAATGTTGTTAAATTATAGGGTTGAGTATTATTATAAAAAGTATTATTTTGTTAAACTCTTTCATTTGCATTACTAAAATTGAATATCATTATCAATCAATCAATTTTTTAGTGCTTTAAACTTATTGGCCTATAAAATAGTATATTTTAATTAAAAATTCCTTTTGATTTTAAATAGATTGTTAATAGTTCAAAAAAGTAGTTAACTCTTTTTATTCATTTAGAGAAATTAGGGTTTGAAAATAAATAAATAAATAAATAAAGTAAGTAAGTTCTACTTGTTTAATTGAAAAGTTTTAAATATTTTATTCTTATATTTTAGTTAGTTTAAAATTTTATTATTAATTTTTAATATGAATGAAAATGGTTTAATTTTCAATAAAATCAAAAATACTTAATTATTTTTATTTACAAATGAAAAAACAAATTTAATAAATAAAATTTAGATTATTTAATAAAGCAATAATAATTTTTAGTTTGGACTAGTTTTTTTTAATAAAATGCTGCTTATTTTAATTTTTTAATTCGGAAAAATTTTATTTTATCAATTAAAAAAAATATTTAATAATATGTCATAATTATTATCAAATATTCTTGTTTATTTAAGTTGCTAATTTTTAAAAATAAAAAATATTTTCTTAATGCTTTTCTTTTAAAAAAAAACAAATCTTAGATTATTTATTAAAACCCTTTAATTTAATTTTTCTAACTTTTATCAGAAAAAAAATAAAATTTAAAGATTCCCTCCCACTCATCCATCAATTACGTATCCTTTAATAATTTAGGATAAGCTTTCTAATATTAAAAATGAATAGAGTCTGATATTAGCTTCCATTTTATGATGGAAGATATTCTAATCGAAGATGATTTTTTTTGTTTTAAATATTAGAAATAATTAATCATTTTTAATAATATTTAATTATTTGACATTTTATTCAAATAGAGTTGTTGTTAAGAATGACATTACTACTACGTTTCATATTAAAAAATAAAAATATTTTTTTTACATATTAAAGTGATAAGATAAACATTATTGACACTATAAAAAGTATCTAGATGTTTAGTTTTTAAAGGAATATATATTATATTTAATATTGATTTAGGAGTTAAGGAAAATTAAAGTAAATTTAGATATTATCAAAAATTTATTTTCTTAAAATGGAAGTTACTATCAAAAATTATAAAGAAGCTCACGAAAAAATAGAAAATCTCTTAAGTAAATAAGAGGTAAAGAGGGTTGACTTAGCAACCAACTAGGCTTTTATTAAATTAGGATATTTTTATTCAAAAAATTTTTATAAATTAGATCATCAGTATTAGTTTTGGAGCATTAAGTAGTAAATAATCAGAAAATAATGGATATAAATCATTTGATTATCCTTTTGACCTCTACTTTAAAGTATTTATAAGAGAATTAAAAATCCTGAAATATAAAATTGTTATCAATTTATTTTATAGAACTTTAGATTTTCGAAATACGGATTGATATAAACAGGAATTACAATTTTGGAAAAGATAAACCAGTTTTAATATAAGGCTCATCCTTTTATATTTTACTTATTTCCCAACGATGAATAGTCTTAAATAACACTCTCTTCGGACCTTTTTGATTTAGATATTAATTGGAATAAATGGATGGCAGAAGGTGCTTGATAATATGATTTAATTTTATTTTTATTCAAAACAATAAAATGACCACAAAAAAATATAAAAAACTAAGATTTATATTATTTTTTATTAATATGCAAAATAAATAGGAATTCATTTCAAGAATAGAGAGTAGTTAGATAAATTCAGACAACATATTTACAACTTACCAAAGGCTGATTAAAAAAAAGAAAATTTTTAAGAGATGTTTTCTAAATTAGATGATATTCGTTAAGAATAGGTAAAGGTATAACTAAATAAGTTAAAGGAGTTTATTGATAATGATAAGAGTGAAGTAAATTTATAGATCAACAAATAATTCTTGAATAAATATATATTTTTTTTTTATAATTTGTTTAAATTAGTCTGAGTTTAACTTTGACTCAGCATATTCAAACATCAGAAGAATATATTACACGTATTTAGAAGAATTCCACCAAGATCTTATTATTCTTAAATCAGGATAAGGTAATATTTCTGTGAAGAAATGCTCTGTAGAAGAAAAATAATAATATGATATCCAATTAAATCAAGAGAGAGAAGAAAAAGTTGAAGAATAAAGAGGTATCTCGAAAACATTCGATTTAATATTTAAGCACTGCTAAACTAATAAGATCCCTCTTTTAGTTTTCAATTCGCTTTACGAATTGTCTCAATTAATAAGCAATACAGTTTGTTTTTTACCAAGAAGTTTCCTAGAATTCAAATAACTTTTGACCAATACAATACCATCTATTGTTGATATTAAATATACTATGTTTTCTTTGCATAATTAAAGAAATATGGAGCCTTCTGCTTTTATTAATAAGAATTAACTTCAGTTTGTAAAACATTAAGTAGATTTAGCTGAAGGAGTAGTCCTTAACTCACTTGCTTAAAAAACTATAGATATTGCTAAAATTTGGTTAAATGATTAGCAAAAAATAGCTAATCATTAAAACAAGCTTTTCTTTGATAAAAGTAATTGGATTATTTCTTTGAACCCTGACCATAAGGATATTGTTCTCATTCCTGTAATTTTTAAAATTCTTATTAAATTAGAAGATAAATAAACAATCATAATATAAAAAATAGGAAAATAAAGCATTATTAACAATAGTTTCTACAGAAAACTAAAAGACCATGAATTAAAAGAGATATAGCATCTAAAAAATATTCCAAGAATTAACTAAATTTCATAAAAAGTAAGGAGCTTATTACCAAAAATCAGAAACTCAGGGAATGATTATAATTTCTGTTGATATAACAAAGATGTAATTATTTAATATTAATCACTTTTAAAATAAATTTAATTGATATGAATAAAAGAAACGATCTAGAAGGATATAAAAAGAATTTGACAAAGATTAAAGATGCTAAATTTGATGATTATGAAGCTTTCTATCCAATTTTATTAAATTAATTTGAAGATTAGAATAAACAAGGTGAAAAATAATGAAAACTATAATTTATAAAATAAATTAAACATGTTTATTTATATGTTTTTGTGTAGAACCTTATTTGAGCATAAAGTAATAATTAATTTATAAATAATTATAAAATATTGGATAACTTTACTATTTCTATAGTACCTTTTTAATGTAATAACTTACTAAACAGATTTTAAATAGCTCTATATTCTAAATATCCAATATTTTAATAATAATTTTATTAAAATGTTTAATTAATAATATATAATAGGAGTGTAGATTGATTATAGAAACCATAAATTTAAAGATATCTTCGTTTATATTTTGTATTATGGTTAAACAGATACTAAATATATATTTAGAACTCTTTTAATGGTTTTTTTTAAAGATTTTGATAGTTCTAGTAATTAAATCTGCATAGTTTTTATAGAAAAAAATGTATAAAAATGTTAAATGTAAATTATGATTTAAAGAATAGAAAGAGAATAAATGTAATTTGTAATTTTAGTTGGTACCTTTATTACTAAGAAATATTTTTTGGCAAAAATAGGTTGATAGTAGTGTTAGCTTGCAATAATATTAAGTAATTAAGACAAAATATGTACAATAATATATATCAATCAAAGAAAAAAGTGCACTAGAAAAATCTTAAATATTGAATGGATCCTGAAAGGAGTTGGCTTATCCTTATAGGTAAATAATAATTTATATTAAAATTTGATTCTGAATTTATTAATGCACTAAATTTTGCAAAAAAAAAAATTTTTCATATTGTTAAAATAAAAAAAATAAGTAAAAAAGTAGTAATAGTTAAGACAAGCAATTTTAAACAAAAATAGCTAATTTATTTTTCGAATAAAATAAGTAGCACTTTTGAAGAGTTTTTTAACAGAGGTAACTACAATACGTACACTTAAAATAAAGTATTATTAATTCATCCATCAATAATAGCCTACATATTCTCTAGATAAATTTCATTTATTTATATTTTGTTGCTTATGTAAAAGTAGTAATTAATTAATACCTTTTATAATCATGGCATTAATTTAATCACATCTGCTTTCTTTAATGAAAAGTTTTTTTTAATTGTAACGTATGTTATTACAATCAAAGGATAGCTCTTTTGGAAATATTTTTAGGCTATGATTTAAATCTAAAATAATAAATATTTTTTATTTTTGAAACATTCATTTTTTAATAAAATTAAAGAAGTGAATGGATATCAATGTTCAAAATAAATTCATCACTGCTTTTCAAGAAAGGATGAGCTTTTTCATACCTAGATTCGAGGACGTATATGAAAGAAAAAATCTATTAAAGACGGGATAGAGATCGAAAATATATCTTTATTTAAATAAAATGAATGATACCTAATATGTTGTGAAAGAAATCTGTTTATAAAGTGATTAAGAACTCGAGTGGATTTAGAGAACGATTGATTCCTTTTATATAATTGATTCATAAATATGTAACAAAAAAAATATAGTTAAAAGCGAAGGATTTTATTATAAATTTAATAAGTCAAAAATGAATTCAAATGCTCATCAAGCAGGTTTATGCTAAACTACTATAGATTTTTATTTAGTATTAGAGAAATGTGATGGTTCTCTTGATGAGCTATTAAAAAATTCTTTCTAAAAAAATTCTTCTACTTTAGAAAAGATAGAGAGAGCTAGAAATGATAGCGGAAATGTGGTTGGATTATAATAAAAATAGTAGAATTCTTAAATGATAAGCCTTAATATCCCATTTTCTCAACCAATACATAGGAATAGCAACTTAAATTCATTAAAGAATTAAATACTACTTAATTAGGCCACGCAAGCATCAGCTCGTTAGGAACTTTGTAGTGCTGATGATGGAGCTTCAATTTCTGCATTAAAAAAAGCTCCAATCAGACTGTAAGAATTTGATTTCTTCAATTTATACAGCAATTTGAAAGATCTTATTTTATAAATTCACGAACTAGACGGAAGTGCTATTTTCATAGACAGCTTCAGTGCTAGTGATATTTTTTATATTGTAACCAAAAATAATGAAATAGATTTTAAATTTTCTAAAATGACAACTCACATTATTGATTCTAAAAAACAAATGAGATTATTAGCTGAAATCTTTTTATAAATTGGATTAGTGAAACAATTTGAAAATATTCCAATATAAAGCTCGTTAAACTTTGCTAATTTAAGCAATAATTGCCAATAAAATCAATAATAATTATAATAACAAATATAATAAACTTAGTAAAACTCATTAAATCAATAACAGTAAAGTGGAGGATAAATAATCACAAGCTCTGCAAACAGTATATAAGTAAATAAAATTAATTATACAAATACTAACCAGCTTAACCTGTAATAAACTTAATTAACGAATGCGAGCCACAATTAAATTAAAAGCCCTAACAATAATAATAATAACACTACTAAATATAACAACCCTTAATAAAATTAAATACCTTCTTAATAGGTATCGTTTGTTAATTAAAACTAACAATTATTATCTTCGTCGTTTTCTTTTAATTAGTAGTACCAAACTAATTCTTAAAATACAACTAATGTGTGTAATTTACCTAATAATTCTTAAAATATTTCTTAAAACTCTTCTCCAAGCTCTTAAGTAGTCAAATAGCAATAACCTGTTTTCTCTAACTCAGTTAGCTTTAAGGATGTAGAATATAAAAGCCAAAACTAGAATAGCAACCTCAACCAAAGTTAATAAATGCAACAATCAGGTTCTTTCGCAGTTATTGCAAGCGGAACTCCCAGCCAAAACAATTTAAACAGCAACAATATTAATAATGCTAATATGTTATCCACTAGTTAAAACTAAGATAATTTAATAGAAGAAAATAATTAATTGAATTACCAAAGACATACTGAATTTCTTCTCGAAAACTTAAAAACCCTTTAAAAAAAATTTGAGAAAGCAGATATCATTACAACAGTTACTAAATTTTGTAAGCTAATTTAAAGCATGATAACAGGACAAACAACAAATTAGTGTTATTATTAAATATTAAAAATATACAATGCTAGAGAATTTTTCTTTGAATTCAACTAATCTAAATTGTAGCTAATCAATCCTTCCACTTAGTCGCTTTCATAAAGACATTTTTCAAATGCATAATTTCTATTTTGCCCTCCTCCTTATATTTTGAGGAGCTCAGAATAGACTAGAGCTCGCAGCCTAAACAACAATAGCAATGCAAGTAGCAATGGCAACAACATCTATAGTATATACAATTTCGAAGATGGGAGCTTCTCATCTTCTCCAAGTACAATAAAAAAGAGGAGCACAATTCAAAGAGCACAGTTATCAGATAATGTTGATGCCCTAACTACTTATATAAATTCGTTGAAAGACAATACTTTAGTGACTCTAGTTTAAACATTCTCTAATCTAGTTAATGCTATAAAATAAAAGAAAAAGAAATTAAGATTCGAAAAATACTTAACGTAAATTCATTCATTTATTATTAAATAATAATATTAAATAAATATGTCCTTAATTTGAAATTTCTTTATTTTAAGTCTAAAAGAAATGAGGTTTTTGAAAACAATAGAGCCAATGTATTGCGGAGTAAATTGCATATCAGTTGATTTTGGAAAGTAAATTTCTTTTTATCTAACTCTTCTTTAACAAAAATATTTCATGATATTAGCTTTTATTAAGCAGAAGCTATGCAGCTCACTGGTAGTAGCTTTGAGAGCCTTACAAATTTATAGGGACTGGAACTTAATTTTGACTTGTAAATTTTCTTTTATAACTTTGAGTGAATAATTTGAGTAACTTAAAATTTTATTTATAATTTTTATAGCTGGAACGAGGCTGAAGAAGATTAATTTATTTTTATGATCCAAAAGCTTTCTAGCCTAACTAATCTTAGGCTATTCAGTGCAAGTTTATCATAGTAAATTAAAATTTCTTAATAAAAAATTTAAGGTAAATCTTTCTCATCATATTCAAATTAGCATAGGGCAAAAAAATAATCATCATAGTGTTGATTTTAGCAAAAATAGTTTTCAAGCCATTTCATCAATGATATCTCAATTACCTGAGCTACTATGTCTTGAATTAGATTTCACTGGGTAAATATAGAACCATTTAAATTATTAATTATTTTCCTTTGTTTAATAAAAGTTGGAACACAATCTAAGAACAATAAATATAAAACCTTATTTCAGCCATAATTAAATGCAAAAAACTAATATAACTTTCTTTGATTTTTAATGAGTAATTTTATTTTAATTATCATCATTATAAAATTTTATCATTATATAAAATATTAAAGCATTGTCAACTCATAAAATGCAAATATTAGCTCTGGGGCTCTTATGGAATTTAACGAGCTTTCCTAACTTCCTGATTTATAACAACTTTAGCTATCTTTCAGAGGGTAAAAATCATAAAATTAAACATTTAAACGCAAATAAATTCTATTAAATAAATAATAGTTGGGGATTAAATAAAAAAATAAGTGAATAAAATTTACTTGATTTCATATGCGGAATGGCTCAATTTCCGGGTCTCCATACAGGTGTTTAAATCTCATTTGAAAAGTAACTAAATAAATAAATTAATTAATTTTGAAAATAAAAGCATTTTGATTTTAACACATCAATTTATTTTTTACTTAGTCATAAATATTATTAATCTAATTTAGTCTTTTTTAAAACATGATGGAATTAGTTTTAGTGGATAAGGGATCAAACTCAGCTAATCCTTTAAAAAGCAGCTAGAAACTGAATTCATAAAACATACTCTAAGAGATATAAAAATAATTACCTGACTTGACAGAAATAATAAAGCAAACTAAACTGATAAACATTTTTTATGACTAACTTCAAATTATGATACTTTTATGAAGCTCAATTTATTTAAATAAAATCTAAATATTGGAAACAAATAACTTAACTTGAGAAATCTCTAAAATAAATTAATTTTATCATTTTTAATGATGATGAATTAATCTAATTCTATCACTTAATTAAGCAATAATAAAAAATATTATTTAAAAGGATTAATTAAATTTAAAAATTCTAAAATATTACAATAATATTATTTATAATTTAAAATAAACTCACTCTCATTTCAATTAATATATAATAATTTATATCTAATGAATTTATATTTATTTATGTTTAATTTTTATTATAAATTCTAACAATTCTTAAAAATACCTCTAATAATTATTAAAGCTATCTTCTCTTTTATTTACTTAAATGCTATTAATTAATCTTAATTCTTCATCGAAAAACAAACATATACTGTAAAAAATCAAATCTAGCTATTTAGTGTAAAAATTTTGTTAAATTTAAATTTATTTAATATATATGAACATTTTTTTTTACCTCCTCTGATATAAAAATGCTCTGATTGTAAATTCTCTGGTAATTTATTTTGTGATAAAAATATTAGTAGAATTATCAATAATTAATTACATTTCTTATAAATAAATAAAATCAAAAATATAGTAATATAATTTCCTATCTAACTAAATAAGAAATGCTACAAAGTAAAAATATCAAATACTAAATTTTAGAGACTAAATATTTATAAGGAGCTGTTGACTGTCTTAACCAAGTAACAAACTAGCCAGGTGCTTTTAATTTTGATTTGGGAGTTAATTATCCATCTTAAAATGATCAGACTCATTTTTTTTATTAGTATCCTGATACTTTCTCTACTACAATAATTGCTTTGGATACATCAAAAGAGGATTTAGTTTGTGGCATTTTTCCTGGTATAGACTTTTGTAACTATATTTAATTGTTGAGAAAGCAATCCAATAATCCTTTGATAAATTAATTTAATTAGATAGATTTGAAACTTTTAGAACCCTTAGCAACGCTTAATTTCTAAAAGGGTGAAATATTGATGGGTATTAATTATGGTGTGAGATCATAATACGAAGATTAAAAAATTGGATAAAATCTGACTAAACTTTTTTTAATAAATGCATTAGGATTAGGATTTAGCATCGCTGCTGGAATATCTTATAATCCAATATCATTTCATATAGTTTCCAAAAATAATGCTTAATTATATAGCTATCTGGACTTAAATAAATAGGATTTATCTGAAGAATTAAAAAAAAAGTTTAAAAAGAAAGATTTGTTTCTTTTGGGAATCTTTCTTTAAAAAAATATCCCTCATATTAAAATGCCTGAAATAATTAAACCTAATTTATGAAAATATTCTTAATTATATTCAATATTTGTTTTTGCTTCATCAAATTGGTTTATATAATACTAGCTCTTACTTTTTCTAGGTTTAGTTTTATATTTTAAATGAATGTCTTAATTTTTTAAAATTATTAAAATATTTAATCAGAACCAATAATTTCTTTGCTTTTAATTTTTAATGAATTTTTTTACCTTAAATTTTAATAGAAATATATAAAGAAATAGTAGATCTTTTGTAACATTGCAATTTATCACTATGTTGATATTGTTTAATTTAAAAAATCAATATTTTATTTTATTATTTATATTACTTATTCATAAAATATCAGTAATGTCATTTAATTAATGACTTATTTGAGGTTAAATATGAAATTTATTTAACCCTAAAAAGATCCTGTACTAATTTATTTTAGATTTAAAGCAGTCAGTTACTAAAAATTTTTTACTTATAAAAATAAATATTTATTTATTTATATTACCCTAATATTGAATAAATAATAGTAATTGCAAAATGGATTAAGAAATCTAATTTAAATTAAATGATGCAATCTACGATAGTTTAATGTGACGTAATTTATTTTATTATAAAAAATATCAGAAGAATTATTAACAATTACATTTTTTATAAATGAATAAATAAATAAAATTTTTGACAATATAAATAAATAAGATATGATACAAAATAAAAATATCAGATACTAAATTTTAGAACCTAAATATTTACAAGGAGCTATTGACTGTCTTAATCAAGTAAGAAACTAGGCTGGTTCTATTAATAGTGATTTGGGAGTGAATGAGTTAGCTAATTATGATCAGAGTCATATATTTTTATAGTATCCTGATACTTGCTCAACTACAATAATTGCTTTGGATACATCAAAAGACGATTTAGTTTGTGGCATTTTTCCTGGTATAGACTATTGTAATTACACTTAATTACTTAGAAAATAATCAACTAATCCTTTAATAAATGAAAGGAATTAGATAATTTTGAAACTTTTAGAACCTTTAACAGCTCTAAACTTCTAAAAGGGTGAATTTTTGATGGGTATTAACTATGGTGTCAGATCAGAATACGAAAATTAAAAAATTGGATAGAATCTGGCTAAGATTTTTATAATAAATGCATTAGGATAAGGATTTAGCATAACTGCTGGAGTATTTTATAATCCAAAATCTGCTCATGTAATTTCCAAACAGAATGGATAAATATATAGCTATCTCGATTTAAATAAATTGGATTTATCTGAAGAAGCTAAAAAAAAGTTAAAAAATAAAGATTTGCTTGTTTTAGGAAATATGATTTAAAAAAATATCCCTCAGACTAAAGTGCCAGAAGTTGTTAAACCTAATTTATGAAAATATTCTTAATAATATTCTATTTTTGTTTTTACTTCATCATATTGGAATTAAACTAGTATTTTTTTTTGAAAGCTTTTTCATATTTCTAATAATCAATGTTCAAGTTTTGTTTTTATATTTAAATGTGTTAGTATTTTTAAACTATTAAAATATTTAATCAGAATCAATAATTTCGTTGGTTTTAATTTTTAATGAATGTTTGCACCTAGATTTTTAATAGAAATATATTAAGAAATAGAACTTTTGTAACACTTCCAGTTAATTATTAATATTAATACAGTTTTGGTTAGTTTGCAATTTTTGATTACTTCAAATATAATACCATTGTAGAAGAAGATTAAATTATAAATGAGTCATTCACCTAAAAGCTAAATAGAATAGAATTAAGGTTTCGTTTAGAGAAAGGATAATTCTTCATCTATTTCTGGCTAAGAGGGATAGTATAATTTATATAACAATAACGCATAAGGTACAGGAAATAATACAAATGCAGCAATTAGAGAAGAATAAAAGCAAGCAGCGCTCCTTAGTGGAGAATTTGAGAGTGTTTATTAAGAAGCTAAATTAATGATAAAATAAGTAAGTAATTTACAGCAAATAGATTTTTTTTAATACATTTTAAATTAGCATCTAACTACTTTTAAAAATTTATTATTAACTAATTTTATATTACATAACATTTTAGAAACAATATAAGAAAGTGTTAAGCTTGCTGGAATAATACAGGCCTGAAAAGGGATTTAGTGTTAGCTAAAATATTCTAGTTAACAGGAGAATGATAGTGAGTTCAAATAAAATTTTAAAACTTTATTCACATGATGTAGATGTTGAAAGCGAAGATAAAATAATTCAATTGATTGATAAAACTTATCGACTTATAAGTGAAAGCTACAGGTTTTTAAATTTATATATTTGCAAGATATTGCCAAATATGCTCAACGATGCATTTTTAAATGATGCTTCTCACTTAACATCTGATGATGAAAATGATAGATTTCCAATAAAAAGAATAAAATCTACCTTTGAATAGCTTCATTCATACCCATAATCTATAACACAAAAGGAAAAAGAAGAAAAAGCAGCTGCAGCAGCAAAGATTAAAGAAAATAGTGAAGATAAAAAATATTAACTAACGAACGATAAATAAAGCGCTCCATTAACTGATGTTAAATTATATAAAATGATTAACGTCCTTTATAATAAACCTCTAAAAAGTAATGAAAATATTCTATAAACATTTATTTAATTTTAAATAACACTAAAAATTAGTTGATTATGAGCTAGACTAATATATAATTCAGTTACTCTCATTTTGTTTACGTGTTTCAAATATATACAAGAGAAGCATGAAATTTAAGTTAGCTTTCTTTTATTTGAAAGAAGCAAATCGTATCGTAGATGAAGTTTCTACTTATTAAGTAACTAACTTATTTAAGTTTTCATTGATTTATTTTCTGTTTAAATGAAATTTAATACCCTCTTAATAAAAGAATCCTGAAATTATTCACATATGTGCTAAGCTTAGACTCACAATAGCTAATTTTTATTATGAAGCTTCAAGGTAATTATTAAATAATCCAAACATAAATTGATATTTTTAATGAATAGAACTAAGATAGCAATTGAATATACTGAAAATGCTCTATTTTTAATGCAGTTTGAATACAGATTAAGGATATGTGATAAGTAACCGAATTCTTAGATATCTAAGAAAGAAAATGGAAGATAAATGAACTGTATAAAGACTATAATTATTGCTCTTATAAATCTCTGCTTATTTTATGAATCAATCTGTGACTATAGAAGATTGTAAATTGCTTTTATTAAATTTAGAAAAAAACTTAAATATATATTAAAAGGTATGAAACTTCGTAGTTGGCTGAGTTTATTTCACAAAAATTCTTGAAAGGTATCGATGAAGTCAAGAAGTATATGGGGAAAATTTTTTAAGAAATTTGTAAACGCTATGAATAATTTTTAACAGAGTTGGGAGAACTTGATTTAATTTGTAGAAAAATACTTTGGAAAGAGGCAAATCAACTTTTAAATAAGTGGGATGAATAACAAGATGAGTAGGACATCTTTAACTAAAAGTTTAATTAAATTTTTTATGATAAATTTAAAGTGAGAGATCTGAATTAAAAGTTAAAGATAAACATCAAAAAGCATGAAAAGAAGCATATAACTATTGAATAATTGTAAGAATATCTATTTAATTTATTAATAATTTAAATTAATTTCCTAAAATAGGGGGAAAATTGAAGAGAAAAAGAATAAAGAAGATTAAAATTAACAAAAAAAGTAGAAAAATTTATAAAATTAAGCAAATGCTAATCCAAATGATTAAATTTAAGAGGATTTGAATTAAAATAATTAAGAATATAATTCGAAAAACTATAAACTATCTTCGAATTAAGGATAATCACCTCCTAACAGAGATAGTAATTAACTAGGATCATGGAATTAATTTTAATCTCAAAGCATTAGTTTGCAATCTAAGATATTAGTGAATACTGAGAATTCTGGTAAAATTAGATAGAATACAGGTAAATTAATTATTAGCTTAAAAGTAAAGTTATTAACATTTTTATTATTTTATGATAAAAGATGAAAAGAATATTTATGATACAAATGGTTTCAAGTCACCTAAATCTGCTTCTATTTAATTCTAAAATCTTGATAATATAAAAGTAGTGGCTACTGACTAAGATGAAATTAAATAAGAGACAGAAGATTCTAAAATGTAAGCTAAAGATAACAAACATTAAAGTTCTATGTCTCAAAGTCATTTTAACGAAAAGTAGACAAATATTTCATAGTCAGATGAAAATGAAGATGATGATAAATCTCAAATAAACAAATCTTTCTTTGATTTAGGAGCTGATTTTTTTTTAAATAATGACTTGGAAGAACAGTGGAAATTTTAAGTAAAGTAAAATGTCTCCTAATAATAGGAAGTTAATTCTGTTTAAAATAAGTAAATTAATTAAAACCAAGAAAAATAGCAGCAGCAATCATCTGCTAAAAAATATGTTGCAATAGATCCTCATAAATTAAAGAAAAAACCACCTGCTATTAAGTAGCATCCTCAGGAATATAAGTCTAAAGTCTTAACTTCAAATGATTGTATTTAATTATTTATACTTTTAATAATCTTACAATTTTATTAAATTTTGCAGATTTTGATCCGTATGTCAGGTAAGTTACTCCTAAGAAAGCTCTTAAAACAATAATAGAAGAGAGTATTGAAAAATACTAAAAACTTTTAAGGTATCCAAGAAACGCATAAGAGTTTAATGTATAACTTTTTAATAAATAAGGTTTAATAAAAATAGTATGATTTAAAATAAAGGTGAAATATCTCGAAGAGCACATAAAAAATATTGTTGTAGATAAAGTTGAGCAAGAAAATATCAAAGACATCAAATAAGTTTACTAGCATTTTGAATTTCTTTTAGATAGAGATGAAATGGATAAAAAGAAAATGGAATTTGCAAGAAAAATAGTCCATCTAAAGATATTTAGAGACTTGAATCCTAAGCTGAAGGATTAATATAACGATTTGTATCTTGACCATAAACTAGAGATAGAAAGAAATGGTGAATTTTAAGTTTTATTGGCTAATACTATTAGAGAATTGGATAAAATTAAATAATTTAAAAAGGAAAGAAATGTGGATCTTGTCATAGACAAGGTATTAATAATATATAAATCATGCATATTTAAGTAATGGCTGTTTTTAAAATTAAATAGGGTCTTAATGTAGATTTAAATGATGAAATGACTAAAGCCTTAGAATCAAAATTATAAGAAAAAAAGAAGAAAAAGAACTTGAGAGAAGTCATATTCAAATATAAAGATGATTTTATGTTTGCTAAAGCAAAAAATTTGAAAACAGTTTTTTAGACATATTTAGGCTATCTAAGAGAAATAGAAAGAAATGAGCGTATAAAGAAAGAATAGCAAGAAAGAGATAAACACAAAGAAGAGGAGATGAAATATAATGAATAGTAAAAATAAAATCTTAATAAATAGGATAGTTAAGAACAAATTCAGTACTAAACATAAAAATAAAATAATAATAATAAACAGTCTTAGCAAAATTCTGATTAGCAGAATGCATAGATGTATCACCATAACCATGGTATCTAAGGATCATAATCATAAATTTAGTTTTCTATGCAACATATCAACCAAACACCAAAATCGTCTTAATCGATTTTAAAAAAGCATAACTCCATTGTAAATAACCAAGCTAATAAAAAAAGTTTATATTAAAATTAAGTCAACAAGAATGAAAAGGTTTTATAATTTTAACAAGGTAAAATATTTTTATAAACTAATTCTTTTAATAATATATTTAAATATGAGCATTATAGTTTATTTATTTATTTGATATTTAAAATATTTTTCTTAAATCAGATGAAGCTAAAAAGAAAGCTCAAGAGACTGATAAAACTCTAAAAGTTAAAGCTTAGAGTTTAAAAGAAATGAGGAATAAAGACTTAAGGATTAGAAGTGCGATGGTAAGTCCTTCTTCACATAACTAACATAAATAAATAAGAGACATAATAGATAAATATGAAGATGATGAAGATTTATAAAAACATTTTTAGATGGCTCCTTAATTTAAAAAAATATATAGAAACTCATTGTATGATATGAATTTCTGCAAATTTGATAAGAAATAAATTTAAGATGAATTAGAAAGATAAAGGAAGGCTTAGGAAGAAAGATAAAAATATTAAAAAGAAATGGAGAATATGATGATGTATTATGGCTCTTCCAATATGTAAGAGCCAGAAGAGCCATCTTACTTCAAGGGTACAAATATTGAGGAATTTTCGAAAACTTTGAAAGATGGCAATTTCACTAGAAATGAATAACGTAAAAAACTACAATTAGAAGAATTAAAAAAAAGAGAATAGATTTTATACTAGAGATATTTATAACAGCTTTAATATTACAGCAAAGCTCAAAACAAAATCATCACTCCTAGCCCTGATCCCTTACCTGTATAAACAAAATAAAAAAGTCATGTAAAAAAAAACTAAGAAATTATGCACTAATTCTAAACAGCCACATAAACTCCAAAAGATTAACCTTCATTACCATATTATTACGATTTCTAAAGATAAAGACAGTAATAAAGCTAGGAACTATTTAAGAAATAATCAAACAAAGTAATTAATTAAACTCATAAAAATTAAGATTACCATAATGTTTGTATTAATAGGTTATTAAAATAGTTGCTGCTGAGGTAGAAAGCAATCTTCGTGAAACTAGTGAAGAATATTTTTAAATTAAGTATAAAATAGAGAAGAATAAAGAATATATAGAAGATTAAAACTTTGGCAGATAGTAAATTTTTTATTCATTTAATTTATTAATTACCTTGCTTAAAAATTAAAAATAATCTTATTGTTTATGATTAATTTTAATAATAGACTTGCTTCTTAATACTGTCAGTTAAAGCAGAGCACATTCTAACCAAGTGATTTATTTATACAACCTGAAAAGCCTAAAAATTTAATAGATATTACAAAATTAAAGATGAAATTAATGGAATAAAAAAAGAATGAAAAATAATGATGATACAAGCTTAATTAAAATAAATTATTCTATTTATTTTAATATTTTTAAGAGCTGATAATTCTAAAACTATCTAGTTAATATTGAAGCTAATATTTAATATTAAAAATAAATTATTATCAGTTAATAACTCTACACTACATGTAAATATTCAAAATTTCCAACTAAATATAATATATTGTTTAATTATTTTTTTCAAAAGTATTAAATATATTTTTGAAAACTTGTTTTGTAAATGAAATTTTTTTTAGTCACTATAAAATATAATAAATATAAATATTTATTTTTAAGCATTTTCTAAAATAAATTAGCTATTATCTTTCTTCAATAAGAGTCTTCAATTATTTATAAAATTTATTTAATAATTTATTAGTTATTTATTTAATTCTAGGTTGCTTAAATAAAACTTTATTGATGTTTATTTTTACAATATACATTATCATTTTTCATAAGGCTTAATAAAATATCTTACTTATTTTCTTTGTAGCTAAAGATAGTTTATATGCACTGTAGACCTTGGTAGTTCAAGATTTATGGTGAATATTTAAAATAAATTAATTTTAAAATGCCAAAGTTGAATAAATCTGAAATATTAAACAAATATAACTTTGATTATTTTTGATTATAAAGATATGTATCAAACAAAATAAAGGAAGATATTATAAGTGTTAAACAAAACAATATCTTTTTAATAACTTTAATAGTTATTTTACCAATAATTATAAACATATTTTGATTAAACCAAATTTATACTATTTCAAACATAATTAAACAAACATAAAATAAATTAAGAATTTTAATAAATTAAATTAATTCATAGCTACTTATGAAAAATTTGAGATTTTTTTTACATCAAGTACTTTGAATGAATGTGCTTATTTTTTCAATTGTTTGCATATTTTTTTTTATAGTGATCACTTTAAATTTAGTCTTTATAAACTATATTTTTTTAAAAATATTATTTTTTATTTTAATGAAACAAAAAATTACCATAATTTTAAAAAAATGATGCAGAAGATGAAGATTCATTCAGTAAATTTTTTTATTTGGAGGAACTTTATCTGTTTGTAATATTAAATTCTTTTTTGATAATCTCATCCCAATTTTTATGCTGATTCCTTCTTTGAGAAACATTAGAAATATTATTTTTGTTATCTTCAATAAAATTTTTTTATTGAGTTTGCAATGGTTTACCTTTGCTTGAAATAGCTTTCTCATAGAGTTTATTAATCATATCAATGTCATTTTTAGATTATTTGCTTTTGTTGGTTGTATCAATTAACCATTTAGATTAATAATACTAACTCTTTTTATCTTCTTCTTAAATAATATTATTTTTACTAACTCTTCTTTACTAATATTCATTTTATGAATTATTTCTGCTTTTGCTTTTACTTTAACTGCTGTTTCTACTTTTACTTCTTTCTTTTGAGCAGGATTATTTTTTATCACTCTTCCTAAGCTCGCTTGATATTGTTTGGCTCATAAATGATTTTTACAAAGGAGAAAGCTTTACTTAATTAATTGACAATTCTCTTTATTTTTCTTCACACGAAAGATTTAAATAGGAGTTTTAAATATTTTTATTTTAGTTTGGTGTTTAGATAATCCTTTATATTCTTTTACATTTAGTTTGATTTAAATCATCAATTTCAGATATTTTTTAATTCTTTTATGCAGAAGAATGCTTTCTTTGCAATATTGAAGAATTGCTAAGTTTTGAAGAATTATTATTTTCAGATATTCTTGATTGTTCCTAAGCGAAACTAGGTTAATCATACTAATTATCGTTACTACTATTTGAAGAGGTTTCTTATGAATTTTATTAATACTAGTCTTTTTAAAAAAACTTACAACTCTAAATACCATAGTCATAGCTTTTTGTTTAAGGGGAAATAGGATATTATTTTTAAAAAGTGACGAATTTTTTATCTTGCTTTAAAATTCCTTTAATAGGCATCAACGCGGAATCTACTAAAACTGATTAGCATAAATTTATATTTTCTTTATCTTCTTTTGAAATTATTTAATGATGATCTTACTTCTCTTGACATCTGTGCTAATTTTTACAAGTCTTTGATGAATCTTGAAACTCTTCAATTACTTTTTTATCTTTTTTTTTTTGAAAATTATTCTTTGAGCTTTTTCTTTTTTTTTCTTTAGATTTTATTATATTTTTATTTGAAGTATTGCTGTTATCCAAATTATTTTTATATAGCTGTTAATCATATACACTTAACCCTTCGTTTAAATAATCTGTATGAGTAGAATTTATTTTGTTTTAGGTATTTTACATAGAATTATTCTGATTCAAATTTAAAACTATATTATCAGAATTTTAATAATAAAAAATAGGAGCATTTAAATTGTAATTAACTAGACTTTAATGAATTTTATCTATAAAATTCATTTTCATTTCTATATTTTCTTTTTGAAATTCTGGGATTTAATTCTAACAATATTATTAATCAGCCCCATATTATGAGTATTAATCAGGAAATTCTGTGCTTATGCCTAATCTCTGAGCAAGAAAATTTATTTCTTCTATTTAATTGCTACTACAAAGACTATTGTCTTTAAACTACAAACAGTTTAACTGATTTTAGCAGCTTCTTTTAACTTAATCATCTTAAATAAGACTAATTTCACCTGAAACAATAAAAAATAATAAATTATTTCAAATACTTAACAATAACTATTATATTTTTAAAATAAACAAATATTACCAATTTGATTTTCAATATTTTAGCAGCTATAATTGTTAATTTTAGTTGGATAGTTAAATTAATTCCATCCTTGCAGCATTATTATATATTTATATTTATTACTATTCTAAAAATGTGTTTTTTGTTTTAATATTTCTTGCTTCTTTTTTTCTTTAATTTTTCAGTTAATCTTAAATATCTTTGATTTTTATTACAAAACTAGAATGTTTCTTCTATTAATGTTGAATTATAAGCTCTTTTTAATGAATATTTCAAATTTAATTTCCAACGCAAGCTGATTATTTTTATAAATTTTTATTAAATTGATATTTTGTTTACAAAAAATAATTCTAATTTGAAAGATAAATAAACAAATTAACTGGTTTGTTTTTAATATTTATTAATAGGATTTAAAAATATTTTTTTTATTTTAAAATAATTTATTTGCATATTCCATATAATCAATATCATGTTTAAAATTAAAAAGTCTTCATAAGTATTTATAAATTAAAAAAAATAATTTACTGAATAATTAGCTATATACATGTTTAGCACCAATAAATAAATAAATAGTGTAGCAAAACTTATTTGTCATTAATCCTTGAATTGAAAAGATTTTAACATTTTAATAAAGTAAATTCCTATTTTAAAAGTAGTTGTATTTAATTTAACAAAAAATACAAACAAGATTAATTATATCTATCAAATTATATATTTAAAGATACATAATGAAAAGAAAGTATAATTCTACATAAAAAATTGTTGTCAATAATAAAATTGAGGATCTTTATACTGAACTCATTAACAGTGCAGTATTTTTTCCTCAAATTTCCAAAAAGGAGCAAGATAAAATTCAGCCTGAAATGTTTCACTCTAATTTGCCAAATATAAGTGACATTATTAACTCTAAAAAAAAGTAATTATAAAAATTACTTAATGGATAATTATTATTCGTTCAATTATGAAAATAAAAGATTAATAACATTATCTTATATATAAAAAAGAGTAATACCAGATAATGTTAAATCCACACTTATAAACTTAACTGATTATGCTAGATAACTTGAAGTAATTAAACAAATTTTAACATGTAGAATTACACTTTAAATTTATTTATTTATTAAAAAATAGAATTTATTGCGCTTGAAGAATAAGGAGATTGAAAGACTTTCTTTTTTGAATAATTTTTTATCTATTTCAGCTCAAAAAAAAGATGAATTACTTGAGGCTGAAAGAAAAGAATTAAATAGGGTTAAAGATGAATTATCTTAACTTGAAGCATAATTTAAAGATAGAGTACCCAATAAAAAAGATGTGAAATCACAAAAAAACACTATAATCATTTAATAAAAAGATTATGGAGTAGGAACACCTAGACTACAAGCAAAAGAGTCAAACTCTTTAGAGAACTTTTAAAAAGCTGTTTAATCTAAGCTTTAAAGTAAATTATAATTATATATTTATATGAAAATAAAGTTTTTTAAAGGATTTTTATTTATGTCAAACAAAAGATGATATTGTTCAAACAAATGAAGAATAGCAATAAAATACCAATATACAATAATAAAATTTAAAATAGAAATCAAATAATAAAATACCTTAGTAAGCTCCTATAATACAAACAATTGCTGCACCTACATAGCCTCCTTAATAATAAAATATACCAACATAGGCTATTAATAATTAAAATTTATAGGTTTATAATCCAAACCATGCAAGAAAATAAAACAGAAGTTCAATTAACGAGCTAAGTGCTACTAGTTTTCTTCCTATGAACAGCTATCTCGCTGGTGATAATTAAACTGACACTTTAAAGACTCCTACTATAATAAATTTAAATTTGAGTAAATTACAAAATATTATCAATATTAATATTTAAATTAATATAAAAAAAATTAGATGATGACGATGCTATAGAGGCTTATAGTACAAACGAAAACATAAGTTATTTGCATAAATTAGTTAAAGATGAAGCAAAATTTATAGAATATATTGCTAAAGCTCCTAAGCTAACGCTTGGAGTTATTTATGAAAGAATTAGAAAAGCCCTTTAAGACTCGAAAGTATATTTCCTCCTTTTAATTAGATTAAAAAAGATCATAAGAGCTTCTTTTGAAATGACAAAATCTCTGGTTTTGAATGATGCTTTAGAAACAATTGTAGATGAAACATGCATTTGTAAAATACTTAAGTTTTTATTTTTTTTAAATGTAAAAATTATTTATAAAATAATATTTTACAGGTTTGGAATGTGATAGATGCACTGTTTATGTTGTAGATGAAAAAAAGAATGAACTTTGGTCTAAAATGGCCAAAGGAACAAAAAATGTAATCAGAATGCCTATAAACTAGGGAATTGCTGGTAACAATAAATTTTAATTTTAAATAAATATGATGAAAAATTAATTAACTTAAAAGGTTTTGTAGCAACTACTAAATAAACGCTTAATATTTTAAATGCATATGCTGATGAAAGATTTAACAAAGATTTTGATAAAAAAATGAATTATAAGAGTAGAACTATTCTTTGTGTTCCCATTATAGATGAACATGGTAGAGTACTAGGTAAATTTCTAAAATTACAAAAAAATCAAATTGACAAATCTTATTAATAAAGGAGCTATATAATGTATTAATAAATTAAATGGGCACTTTACTAAAGATGACGAAGCACTTTTAATGGTCATAGCAGATTTTAGTAGGATTGTTTTGAAAAATGCAATCAATTATGATGAGCAAAACCTTGCTCATAGTAAACTCAGAAGCATCGTGAATGTAAAAATAATTTGATTAAAAATAACTCGATCAATTAATTTTTTGCTCTTAAGAAAATGATTATTTTAAAATTTTATATTTAAAATCATAAAATGTATTTTTTTAAAAAAAGCTTGGAATTTATTAAAATTCATAAAAAGATTTGAAGAGCATAATATATTCTTCTGAATCGAAATTAAAAGATATTATGCATATTGATGATGCTAGAATTATATTAAATAATATGGATGGTACCATGTGGTATATTAATGAAGAAAACTAATAGATTACACTCAAAATTGACCAAGGAATAGCTGTAATTACTTAAAATTAATATTTATTATAAAAAAATATGCTTTAATTTACTAATAAATTAGGGATTGGTATTTAAATAAAAAGAGACAGTCAACTGCTTTAATTGCTATCATCATAAATAATTTAGTCCAGAAGTTGATATCATAACATAAATGCCTACCCTTTGCATTCCTGTGACTCATCCAAAATCTAAAGAGGCACTTGCTGTATTAGAAGTAGTTAATGTTAAAGGAATAAGTAGTATGTATGAATCTGCACATCCCAAAATATAGCATTTAGATTAAGAAGTTTTACACTACTTCGTAAAATAATTAGCTTCTGTTCTTATTTCAAGATTAGAATGGTTTGAAGGATATGAGTTTGAAAAAGGATAAAATGAGGATATCTTAGATGATCCAAAAAGCAGCTACAATTTAAAGTATGAATAAGATCATGTTGAAGACGAAAATAAAGAAGATGAAGACAAAAATCAAGTTAATGAAGAAGGAAATGGCGAATAAGATTTAAAAAATTGAATTTTAGGAGGAAAAATATTTTTTTACTTCTAGAGCTTTTATAAGATAATTAATAAATACAAAACAATTTTAAAAAGTTTATTAAATAATTAATATTAATTTTTTAAGATCATTTTTATAATTGAATATAAATATCATTTTATTTATCATTGATATTAGTTATGTGAATGTATTTCATTCATCATACTACAAATCACTGACTTTTTGTTGTGAGCTAATTGCATATCAGGGAATCTATCTTCACCAAATTTATTCCCAAGCCATATATATAATTCTAAAATGTAATACAGAGATTCATAAATTGTTAGCGAATCTTTATTGGCTTATTATTGCTATTTAATATTCTTGATTTTATCATCATCTTTTAAAAGATTTGGTAAAGCAATTTCCTATCCCATAGCATATTTTTAAGCAAATAGCTAGAATAGTTCCCTCTCTTTTTCAAAAACTTTTCCAAATCTCATAGGAGCTTAACTAAATGTAAATTAATCACTAAGAGACAATCCATAATCTTCAATTAGGTCTGCCTTATGACAAAATTCTCTTTCATTTTCTATAAAATAGGCTCCTTGTAATGTAGAATAATTTACAAACTTTTGAAAGACTTCACTTAGTTTTATCTATTTTTTTTTCTTTCCTTAGCTTAGCCAATCTCTAAAACCTTCAATCTGCTCATATGTTGGGAAGAAAGCAGCTTTTTAAATGGTTTACTATTCTAAATTTAATTTTATTAATCATCACAAAAAAAGAAATCAAATATTAAATTTCAAAACATCAAACAAATTTCAAGAATTGAAACAATTTTTACTAAAAATTTAGTTTTTTTAAATTTCTAGAATAATAAATGAAATAAATATTTATTGGTTTAAATATATTTATTACTCAACTTATTCATTTAATTTATTAGAATTAAACAAATTTTTTGAAATATTCTGGAAAAAAAGGAAATTAATGCTTAAATTACATATGAGTTAATCCCTTTTTTGTAGAGTTTCTTTTAGTATTTTTATCTATTTTACATTTCTTGCTGTTACTAATCCATCTTCCCTATATCTCCCAGCTCTTCCAGCAATCTAAAGTATTTCATTCGAATCTATACCTTTTCTTTAACTTTAATGATTCTTAGTAAATGTTGTGAAAACTACTCTTCTTATATTTAAATTAAGTCCAAGACCTATTGCATTTGTAGCAACAAGATACTTATGTGTCCTATTATTAAATAGTTCAGCTTATTCTTTTTTAATTTCAGCTGGCTATCTACCATAAATAATACTACATTAATTTTCTTAACTCTAAGGATTATCAGGATTTTTAGAGTTAATATAATTGTTAACAATTCTTTTGAAAGAAATAGCCTCATTAACGCTAAAGCAAATCAAGCAGTCCTTCATTTTATTAATTTAGATTGGCATAAATTATAAATTTTATAAATAAATATATACTCCTTCTTGCAAATCTTGAAGTTCAAATGGCTTATCTTCAACAGTTAATTAACTCATTCTTTCATATTTGACTGTTTCAAATTAATCACCAACTTGTTTACACATGTTCTCTACTAATTATAGTGCTCTTCCATCGCCACAGACATGTATTTCCTTAGCCTTAAGACCTAAAAAAGCTTTAGTCCATGCAGCACCTCTCTCTTAATCACCTTTATAATAAATAATTATTAAATTTAATTGTAAAATTTGTAAATAATTACCTAAATACTATATTTCATCAATAACAGCACAATCAAAATCCAAATCAATTTTTTAGCATCCTATTTCAGTGGTACAAGAGTAGAACTATGAATCAGGCTCTATTAATTTTTCTTAACCTGTAATTAAATTACAGTTTAACCCTCTTTACTTAAATTTTTAATAAATTTCTCTAGCCAAAAGTCTGAGTGGACCACAGTATATTCCAGATTTAGCACTCATCAAAGTTTCTAAAGCTGAGTGTGTTTTTCCAGAATTTGTTGGACCATAATGATAAATAATTTTTCTTTTCATTTTACGAGTATCCTGATATAAATGATGAGGCTCCTCAATTTGTAATAAATTATAAATTTCAATAGACTCTTCATATTTTTTTCCTAAATTTTAGGCTGCAAAAGCGAAAAACAAATCGTATAGAGGATAAAAATCCAAATAAAATTGTGTGTTGCTATGACCAAATTTTTAAGCAACTAACTCGTATCTTTCATTTATTGGTAACTCAAAGTAATTTGAGAATATTTTCTAGAATCTTTTGTTCTTATCAAAGTGGCTACGAAAACGCTATATAATTTTATCCTCCATCATAAATGAAAGAATTTTATGCTCCTTCTTATACATATCTTAGATTTCCCTCAAGCTAAAGTAACAAAAAATAGCAATATCATTTATCTTAAATTTAAATCTTGCTTCCTTAAAGAACTAAACATTATCTTCAATATAGATATTTTAAAATGTATCATACATACTATAATATCTTGATCTTATATTAGGCACAGAGTGTTAAATCTTTTAAATGAGATGGTATGCATCAGTTTAATCTTTTTTTTTGTCCTCTTTTTTTCTGATATTTACTTCCTCTTCCTCGCTCTCACTTTAACTACTTTTTACATTTTTTTTTTTATTTTAGTGAGGTTATGTTCCTGCAATATCTGTAAAACTGCAAACATTCTAGAAAAATAAGCTCCTTTGCCTCGTTTTAGACTTTTGATGCAATAAACTAGATGACTATTAGATAGCCATTAAATTCAACATACTAATATTCATACATGATTATCTTTAAATTAATTACTTAGCAATAATATCAGCTTAGTAAAAAATAAATCTTCTCTACTTAATCATATATTAAATTAGAAAGCTTTTTCTACTTATCTATGAATATTAGTATCTTAATATCTTTTAATTAATCTAAAAGCTTCATAATTAATTGATCTTAAGTAATTACAAATTAAAGGTAGTTAAAATAAATAATTCTAAGATATAAGTAAAAAAGAGGTAGTTAATGAATTAATGATAAATAGTTTTCTTAAAAATAAAGTATTCTTCTAAAAAAATAAAATAAAAACTCGCTTGATAAATAATCTTGAATAATTTTAAAAATAATAGCTATAATTTTGATATAAATAGAAAAATTTTTAATTATTAAAATAATTAGAATTATTTAGGATAATTAAAAAATTTATATTAAAAGTAATCTATTTAAATTAATAAATGGAAATTACTCTTAATAAATTAAATTTTAAATAAAATAAACTAAAAAAACCAATATGAAATTGAAATAAAATAAATTATATTAAAATTAAAAAAAGTGAATCTAAATATTTGAGTTTTAAATTAAATAAAATTTTCAAAATTATTATTTAAGTATTAAAAAAATAATATTTATTCACACGAAAACCATATTTTAGGATATAAAAATATTTGTTTGAAAATTTTAATTCAAAAGCAAATGCAATAAGTTAAAAAAAGAATGAATTTAGTGATAATACAAACATTTTAGCTTTCTTTTCTAATTAAATATTCAAATAAAGCTCCTTAATAAGCATTAATATGGTGAGAAGCGAACTTAATATTTTTTCTTTCAAATATTTAATTTAATAAGAGTGTTAAAATATTACTTGTTATATAAGATCAGAAATATACGATTTTAATGAAAAACTATTACGTTAAAGTAAGCTAATCTAAGATAAACTGAATGAGATAGAATAAGATAGCATAGATTATTTTAATTTCAGTTAATAAATTGTAACACTTAAATTAAATTTGAGAATAAAATGAATTCATATAATTACTAATGTAGTAGACATTTAATTGTTTTGAAGCCATAATTATTTGCTTTATTACGACTTTAAATCAAAATTATAATTTTCTCTTATTTAATTAATGAGGAAAAAAAAATTTGATCTCACAAAAGAATTTTTGTTTGAAAAAAAACAGGGAAAATTGATTTTTATTACAGTAAAAGGAATTAGTATATTTACATTTTAATTTTTTTTATATTTATTTAAAAAATTAAATGTATGCTTTTAAATCAATTTTCATTTATAAATTAATTATTTAAAATGAACTATTTATTATTGTCATTTTAATTTTTTTTGAAATATGTGGGCAGTAATTTATTTATTTTCTTCTTTTTTGAATATTAAGGTTTTGTAAGAAAGACACTTTAAAATTGATAAAACCAAGAAAATTAATAAATTAATTTGGAAAGGAAAAATTATAATCACAAACAAAAATCTAAAAAATTTGGTAAAAAGAAGAATAAGAAAATTAGTAATAATATCAATAGATCTATATTATTTATCTTCATACTCAGTGCCAAAAAAAAAAAAGTAAAAGTACAAATAAATTAAAATGTATAAAATGTAAAACTTTAATTAATATTAAAAAAACCAAAAATTTAACGAGTGTCATATATGCTGGATGGAATTTAATTCAGAGGATCTAGCATTTTGCTCAAAGAGAGCATGCTAGAAGGCTTTTTGCGAGAAATGTATTAAAGATAATTTTGATAGCGATTACAGCATAAAGTAGTGTTATAAAAAAGAATATTTTATTTGCTTCGTTTGCTAAAATGCTTGTAAATGTCCATTCTGTATTGGAACTATTCCTGAGAAATTTGGGAAGAGATATATTTAAAAATTTATAAAATAAGAAGATGTTCCTCATCATAAAACTAGTACGCAAAATAAAAAGTAAGTTAAGGCAGAAAAGATAAATACAAATTAATTTAATGTAGATGAAGAATAAGAGGAGGAGTTATTTGTATTTAAAGGTACAAAAAAATCTTCAGCTAAAATTGAAAATCAAAGTAATCATTATTCAAATTCTTTTAAATACTAGTGTGAAGAGAGTAGCACATTAGAAAGTTCTGTTTAATAGCAGAAGTGTATTTATTAAGACGAAGATACAAAGAGTCCTCCAACTTAATCTTTATCATAATTTTTATATGTTAAAAACTCATCAAATGAAAATTGCAAAGAAGATCAATAAATTTCTGATTTCGAATTAAATAATTTAAATATTGAAATGAAAACAACTACTTTAAATAGGATACTTGGATAATCTATTTTAAATGAATACGATGCTGATAATGATTTATTTGAATATATTAAAAATGAAGAAGAAACTTAGTAAGAAGATACAACTACAAATAATTTTAGTCCAATCTAAAACAATTAAATCATTTAAAATATTAAATTTGAAGAGGATGCCTTCTGCTATAAAACTTCATAGCCATTATAATTTTAAGTAATTTTGCCTAATGTAATTGAAGAGTCTGATGACAGCGAAGAAGAAATGTGTGTATAAAAGAGTAACTCAAGTGGGGTTAAAAAAATAATAAAAAAGTAAAAAAAAATACATCAAAATATATAAAACAAGCTCAAACAAATAAATGATTGAATTTAAAATTAAAATTAATTTAAAAGTTTTCTATTTCAATCACTAAGAATAAAGAGAAAAAAAAATTAATTAGCTTTTAGAGATTTACTTAAGAAAAAAATTATTTAAAATAATTGCTAAAAGTTAATTTAAAAAAATAATCTCATGTAAATAAATAGTATTCTTAGTTGTAAAAAGCTTGATTTAATAAAATGAATAGCCATATAAATTATATCCAAAACAAATTATAATTAGATGAATTAACAATATAAACTTTTTAGCAAGAACTTTAAAAATAAATATTATATTTCAATATTGATTTTAATAAAAAATTCTTAGGTTGCTACTATATACATATATATCTGCAAATAAATATTAATTTCCTTGATTTATTAACTAACCATAGAATAGATAAAATTTGATGTGATAATTAAGATATAAGATATCTTTACTATATCAACTAATAAATAAATAAAAAACTATTAAGTTAGCTTTAAAATTTTAATTTTGATCTAAAGGGAAAATTTTTAGATATTTAAGATAAAATAAATACAATTATAAATAAATATATTTAAGACATTTCTAGATATTTAGCTAAACAAAATCATAAGTAAAATACAAACAAACCTATTCATTATAATTTTTAATAAAATAAAATATATTTCAAAAAACTCATCCTAAAATTATAAATTTTAAAATGATTGAATAATTAATTTTAAATTAAAAAATGCAAAAAATTAATTCATATTTTTTATAGGACATTTCTTATTTTTAATTGTACATTTTTATTAAATCTAAATCAAAATTAACATTAAAATTTAAGTAAGCTACTAGGGGTTGTATTCATTTTTTCTAGACTAAAAATACAAAATTTATTTTAAATAAAAAATCACAAATAAAAAAAAATTATTTTATTTTTTTAAATTAACAAATTAGAAATATAATTTAAAAATATTTCATTAATCAGTTTAAATTCAATTTTATGATTTTTAATGAGATAATTTAATTTATTGAACTTTTTATTTTGGTTGGGTTTATTTAAAAAATTAGCGAAATATTATTTTTGAATCATGTGATCAATTTCATCTTGGGTTCATATTAAAAAAAAATTAAATTAAGTGTAGTAACAATTCATATTTGGAAAAGATATATATGGGAAAAGTCACTATAAATTAATTTATAATTAATTGATATTTGTTTATAGCTATATATTATTCTTATCTACCTATTAATGGGACTATTGCATTTGTATCTTTTTGAGATTTTGTTCTTGCATTTCACTTTCATATACTCTATGTACTGTATGAATAGAATGTATTTCTTAACTTTTTTACTTTTATTAATTTTGTTCTTCATCACTATAAATTTTCTTTTAGTCCTACTCAGTTTAGCTGTTGATTTTTTTCACTTCATTATTATTAATTCTTTCATATTTAAAATTTTAAATTTTATCTTCTATTTAGTTAAATTTTAAATTTTATATATTTTAATTTGATTTCATCCAACATACATATATCAAAAAAGCTAGGAAAATAAGTGATAATAAACTAATCTATATTATAAAATAGACTTAACTTGAACTTTAATTATTTTCTTAATTGTTGTTAGTTGTAAAATTACCTTAAGTAGAGTTATTGTTATTAATGCTTTGATTTTTTTAAAAACCGTCAGCTTAATTACTTTGAGATGTGGAGTTTTATGTTTGTGAAGAATTGTTACTAGAAGATGAATTATTTGAATTCTAATTACTAGATGATGATGATTATGATGACGATTATTATGATGATGATGTATTTGAAGAATTGTTACTAGAAGTCGAGCCACTTGAACTTGAATTATTAGTAGTTGAATTATTTGAGTTATTGCTAGAAGAAGTGGAATTGTTGTTAGCATAATATTGAGCCAAAGTTATTGTTGATTTAGAGCATGGCTAATCTACTGCAGCCATTTGATTTTAACAATATAAATACACACATTTTTTATAATAATTACTCCAAGTTAGTCCATCTTAACAAATCTTAGTAGTTTAGCAACTTTATTAGTCTTAAGCTATTTTTCCATCTCCACAATATACCATACAGTCATTTTTTAATTATGAGTATACTTATTAGCTTGAGCAAATAATTTATTTTTTGACACACTATTATATTTATTACACTATACTGCAATCAGAGCATTAATATACTTTTAAAGAAGGTATAAACAGTATATCGCATCGTTAACCATAATCACAAATCTAATAATCTTAGTTAACTAAAAGCTAGTCATTTAAGCACTAAGGCAAGCAAATTTTTAACAATTAGCTCCAGCCCAGTCCTTTTTAGCACTAATCTTGAATATCTAAGCAGTTAGACTAGAAGCATCTTTAACAATAAGTAGTTTAGTTAGATAATTAACATTTTTATTGTTAGTAGTTGTAATCTAAATAAAAACCATTTTAATTTCTAAAATGACATTAATTTAAAGATGATTTATAACTGCATGTATAATTTTCTATTTTATTAAGAAAGTAAACTCAGTTTAGTTGATAAAATGATTTCATTATCTATAAAAAAATGATTTTATAAATGTAATTATTTATTTTTTTGAAATAGTTGAAAAAATAAAAGGTAAAATACATTAGCCATAATTATTGATTTAAAGTGTAACATTATAATAGTAGTTAGAACAGCTAGATTTCTATGAAACAAATTAACATATTCCATTTATTAGTTAATAATTCCCAAAGCATTACAAGCAAACGTTGAAATTTTAGTCGAGTTACTAACAAAAATTTTTACCATAAGAGTAACTGCAACCACCACCCGACGAAATAGATCCTAAAAAAAATTTATAAATATTTAAAATAAAAAAATATAAAATTAATTACCTATTTAACATTGATTACAATACCCTGAGTTAATATAATCGATGCATGGTTAGTAGTTAGTATCAATATTGCAGCTATAAATATTTGAGTATTTATATCTATAATAATTTTTCATACAATATTTGCACTAATAATTCTCATCTTAAGAAAAATAATATTCTAGGCAATATTAGGGAACAGAAGAACATTATTTTTACTAATTAAATAAATAACCGCTGCTACAAAGTAGGCATTAACCTAAAGAATTTGAAAAATAACATGGACTCTACAATACTGGTTAGCATTAGCCTTATTAGTTAAGATAATAATTTTCATTACAAACTAGGCATTTGTTTCCTATTGAAATAACTTTGCATTAATTTATTGGACTATAGTTACAAAAACTTTGATAATCAGTTGAGAAATTCTGTAAAGTATTATTCACTTAAACAAAGTAGTTTAAATATGACGAGCATTATATACACAAACCAGCTAAGTAGGTTATACAATAAGGGAATATAGGTGTTGTTGAAGGAATTTTTTCACACTGTAAGCTTTGAGCAGGTCTATATTAATTATATATTGGGTTTGAATAGAATTAAACAGAACTGCTAAGTAGATGAAGATAAATAGGATCAGTCAAATTTGTAGAGATTAATCCACTTATATTTTAGAAAAATTACTAAAGGATTTATAGACTTTACTAATTATATTGCTCACCATTTTAACATTTTGGCATATCTAAGAAAGTTGTATTAAAAGCAGGAGGAGGTATAGGAGTAGTTAATTGGCAATAATTTTAAATAGATTACTCAAATGGACTACTAGTAAACCCTGGTTTGCATTAGATACAATATTATATTTAACCTGCTTATCCATAAATTAAACAATTTTGAATAGGTTAACATGAAGATCCTGTAGAATCTACAGCTTCTCCATCTGAACATATACACTTTCTACCATCATTTTACAAACAGTTAAACTTTAAAGGAATACAGCCAAATGCCAATTAATCATATTAAAAATTATTAATACATTTAATAGAATTAAATGAAATAACATTAATATCAATGAGGCCAACATTCTAAAAATTGCCCAAATTAAAATATTATTAATTTTAACCAAATTAATAAAATGTCTCATAATTTTATAAGCAAAATGTACCATCAAATATTTTACAAAAGTTATTAACATTATGGATTATTTTATTCTAAGAAATGTCTAAGGTATATGGAAATCTAGGTGTTAAGCAAATTTTATTCACAGTATCTATCTTCGCACATCTTGGATCATATTATTGAGGATTTTCTTGTATAAATAGTTTATTTTAATCAATTTAAATAGTGCATAGGGCTTCATCACATTCTCTATTTCTATCTAACCTTTTGCAATATGAATAGTATACCATAGGTAAGCTAGTAGCGTTAATGCATGATTTAAAATCAAAATCTACAACAAAACCAGTCTAACATTCTGAACAGACTGGCTACAAATAATTCGTCAAAGAATTTTAGTATTAAGTAACTATTATTTAATTTTCACAATTATCTATTAATTAAGCCGAAAAACATAATATCAATAGCTTAGATATAAATATCAAAAGAAGGTTTATTAAGTTTTTCATCTTTTTTAAAATTAAAAATCTTGATAAAATAATAATAATAATAACGAAAACTAATTTTCCTCATCTGTTTTTTCTTTGCAAAAAAGAAGAAATTTAATAAAAAAGAGAAATAAAAATAGATTGTTTTTTACCTTTAATTTTAATTACGAAAACAATAAAGGAAATGCATCGATCTAAAATAACCATTAAAATTATATCAATGCTGAAGATAAGAAATATTATTAAATATATTAATTTTTGAAAACTGTAAGGTCATACAAGCAATTTTTCCTTAAAATGTTAAGCATTTCAAGCATGAATACTATTAAAATTATAGATAAAGAGCTCATATAATTGCCTAATAAATTTGAATTTACTTACAATTTCAAATTATTTTTTTAGATTTAAGCTAAAGTTGTTTGAATTACTTTTTGATTAAAAGCTTCTTTAAAGTTGCTAAGTTATTGAAGACTTTTATATCAACTGTATAATTTAAAAATCAGAAACTATTAATGAGATGATTTACTATCAAAAATTGACAAATAAAAATAACTAAAAATTAACATTTTATATCTCTCTCACAAATATTATTTTTTTATTTACATAGTATCTTTTCAATTACTATTAGTATTTAATAGAGGGTTAAAATAATTGTGGTAGCGCTAATATTAATTGTTTGAATTTTTAATAAGCTAATTAATATAATATAAAATGGTAAATTAATTTATAATAATTTATTAAAAAGTAATTTTATTATTTTATAAATTAAGTATAATTTTTATTAATCAAATTAATAATTCATTTATTTTTTTACAAATTTGTTAAAAAATTTTAAAAAACTCAATCATCTTAATCATCACCATTTTTGTAGTTGTTAAAAATGTGACTTTCTTTTGAAACATTTTATTTCTCATCTATATCTAATATAGAGTCTTTGTAATACTTAATTTCACTAATTTCATCTTTCAATGGAAGATTTTAAGTTTCAGGTAGATAAAATCCAAATATTATCCCCAAGCTTCCAATTATGCCAAAAGAAACTAGAGGGGAGATCCCTAAGTCTTTACTCCAACTGATTGCAAATGAAGAGAGGATACTCCCTGAGATTCCTGTTGCCCTTATGAATCCTAAACCTAAACTTCTTACAGAGGTTGGGTATAGCTCAGGAAAATAAGCACTTATAATAACGAAGTAAGCTGTTATTGAGATTCTAGAAAGAAAATAAAGGATTATTTGCATAAATTTTTGATAGCAATTGCTATCTACACATGAGTCAGGAATTGGAAAAGCTATAAATAACAGGCAAAATAAACTACTCAAAATTTAAAAAAATAAAGCAGACGGTTTTCTTTTGAATTAATTTAAAACTTTAACTAGGAACGCATAAGATAATAGTTCTGCTGAAAATCCAATTGTTGCATTAATATAAATGCTAAATCCAAAGTCAGAAACAGAAAACTAAGCGCCGTAATTTACAAATATCATTAAAAATTTCTAGATCGAACAAGCGATAGTGACCCATTTTGTTGATTTATATTTAAATAGAGTAAAGTAGGAATAAGTTCCTTTCTTTTTAACTAAAGAATACTTATTGAAATCGATTTGTTCTTTAGTTAGCTTTTATTGAGAATAGTAAGAGTTTTTAGCATTCCTAACTGCAATTTTGTTTAAACAACTAACAACCTTGTGTTTGTCTTTATTAAGATAAAATCTAGGACTTTCTATAATATAAAACATAGTAGATTATAAAAGTATCATTGGTATGAAGAACCAATATCTAATTAAAATTTGCCAATTGTTATTAAAAAGATACCCAAGTAAATTAAGTATTCCTTCACTGATTGTAAAACCTAATAATAGAAATCCTGTTGTTACCTTTCTAAATTTACCTATGGATTATTCACTCAAAATGATAAAGGCTAGTGTACTAGCAGGATAAATTCCAAATCCTCCAAAAAATTGACCAATAAATATCATAGCTACATTTTGCGAAAAAGCTAAAATTCCTATTCCCATTAAACTAAAGGCCCAAGAAATTATCATAGGCAGCCTTCTTCCCTTAAGATCACTTAAAAAACTAAAAAAGAATGTCCCAAAAAGAGAGCCTATAAAAATAAAGCTAAGACTTAAGTTTTTTAGATACTACCTGTCACAATATAGTTCAAACTATTTAGTAAAAGTATTATTGCTGCTCTCTAAAATTTGAAAGTTTTTTTATTTGCAAGCGTCTACTTATTTGCACTTAGATCCATCTTAGCAAATAAAAATAGGATCTTCAAAAAAATAAGGACCTCCAACAAATATAAAGGATCCAATTATACCCTAACCAAGCAGGATCAAGAATAATATATATTAATACTTTCCCTTAGGATTCACATATTCTAAGCATTAATCCATATCCAAATTTTCATCTAAACTTCTTTTTTCTAAATCATTTTCATTTTTTTCATCAATATTATTACTTTGGCTCATCTGAATTCTGAATTGCTTTTTTTTTAATTATGTGTTTCCTAATTAATTAAATATCTTTATAAATTAAAAAAGTGTAATTGAGATATGTTAATCCAATACAAATTTGTAAAAAAGGGAAAATTTTTTATCATAAAAACATATTTGTGATTTAATAAATAGATATTCTCTGGTGGAGATCTTGTAAGCTAATTAGTTACTAACTTTGTTCATTACAAATTGAGTATTTTTTTTAAATAAGTATATTTCAGTGTAACTAACTAAATTCTCTCATATGGTTTATTTTTATACCAACTTCTTTGTCTATACGAGAATAAGAAAAGATTTTTCTAGTTAATAAAAGAAGTATGTATATTTAATACATTTATGCTGTAAAAGAATATTACTTGTAACATGCTATGTATGTTGCTATTGCTTAATTAAAAACATACTCTCAAAACATAGTTAAATGTAAATTATTTAAGTTTTTTATAATTTAAATTTCATACAAATGTTTTTAATTTTTTATATTTAAATTTATAAATACATAATTCTTATAATTTTTATTTTCTAAATATGGTAAAAGTTCATATATTAAGGCCACAATATATAAAGGCCGGTTTTTAAAAATTTGAAATTGTTTTAGAAATTTGAAAAAAGAAAAAAATTTTTTGAAAATATTTAATTTAAAATAATTTATTAAAATAATAAATCAAAATATTATATATTTGATTATTTGGGTAAAAATTAAAAAATATTTTTGCTAATAAAAATATTAAATTTATAATATTTTGTTTGTTATTTTTTTAGAAGTGTGATGAACAAAAAAATATTTTAATAATTATCATATATTTATTAAAGTTAAAATATTAAACTCAAATTATTTATTTCAAATAAATTATTTTTAAGATTTAAAATTATAAATATTATAAAAATGCATTTATTATTTTGTTTCAAATTTAAAAAAGAAAAACCAAATATTTAATAGATAATAATTGTAATTAACTTATTATTGATTATTTACAAATCTTGAAAGTATTAATCATTATTACTCATTTTTCTTATTTATCTAATTTTTTTATTTTTTGTTATTTTGGCATTTCTGATAATTTATTTTAATCTACAATATATTCAAATAGCTTTTTATTTGACCACCAACCAGTTCCTTTTGATGAGAAATAAGTATGGGGACAATTTTTATTTTATATTTAGAATTAGACTGTCTAATCAAGCAACTTTCTTTAAACTCTAAATACTTCATTAAGCTCAACCTTGTAGGGCTTGTCTTAGCATATTAACCCATAGAAATTAAATTCAAATTAATTGGTTTTTGGCAAGTAATTAATTGACTTTAAATATCTCTTTCCCATAATAAAAGATATAACATTTCCACCAATAGTAAATAATACTAAAGCGCCAGTAGCAAAATTGATTTTTGACCTTTTTTATCTATTTTCATAATTATTTTCTTTATATTTTTCCATCTTCTTGTCATAGTAATATCCAAGATGTGCCATAGTAGCTAAATTAATAAAAAATATATCAATAATTAATTTTTTTCCATTTATTTGTGCTCATAATTAGTATTTTTAAACTTTGAATCATAAATATTATGACTATAACAAACAAAAAATTGAAAAATTAAAAATTCTGAGTAATTTTACCCAACGCTAATGCAAAAACAGAAAATCTGCAATAAGTAAAGAAGAAATGAGAAAGTCCGTGGATCTTGAAAATAAATATTTTATCTTAATTTGCAGTCATGGCTTTGAATGTTTCAAAAACTTTAGAATCAACTACTTTGGTTTCTGTTAAAAATTAAGTTAATTCTTAGCTGTTATCTACTTTTTTAGTTAAAAAATTTCTTCTAACAGTCTAAAATAAAGACTATCTTTTCTAATTTAGAGCAGACACTAAAAGGTTTCTAAACATTATCTAAAGTTTTATAATATTTTATTAGCTAATTATTTTATTTCTGAAAGAAAGTTCTATAAAAAATAAAAATTTTTCTTTAAATTAAATATCTTTATGTAGAAATATCAAAATATTGTTTTTTACCCATATATTAATTTAATAATCCTAAGATATTTTTAGTTAATTTTTAACAAAATCAAATCATTATTTTATCTGCAAAAATTAATTAGCAATAGTTTAATAGATATACATCTTATGTCATTTTATTAAAGATAGAACCATAAAAACAAGTATCTAATAAATTGAAAATTAGATCAACTTATGACTTAATTAATCATAACGTAATTTAAAAGCATGTAGTTTTAAGTTTTAACACATTCTTTTTGCTTATTTCTCGTAACACATTTAACATTCAACAAAAACTCGAATACAAAATTTTAGCACACAAGGTAAATATCAAAGTTGAATAAGTAAAACTGACACTTACTTGTAAAAAAGTGAGTATGAATTATATAGAATGGAAAGTTTCTGAGAGATAGTCTTGCAAATTGAATTTAATATGCAATTTGGTGATGATGATTAAGAGTATAATTACTTTTATCAATAATTAAAAGAGGTAATTTTTCTTTAAAAACTAGATTTAACAATTGCTATATTAGTAATAATAAGTCACTATTAATTTATTTAATTTAATGGGCCTATTGTATTAATTAAAATTCCTCACTTTTAGAGAGCCTTTCTCTAAAAGAATCGTATTATTAACCCTTTTATATCTAATTATTGATGGCTCATAAAATAATAAATAAAATTCTAAATAATAAATAAATTTTCAATATCTTTAAATAGTAATTATATTACTAGCAAGATCAGGATTAAAACGTCCCCCTAAAAAAAAAAAAAATAATTTAGATTAAAATAATCTTTATAATAAAAAAAGGATATAGCTATAAAAAAGATAAATAGCAAAACTTAACATGAGTTCAGGATCAGCTACAAAGATCTTTAGCTTCAATTTAGAGTTGGCTCTTATCAACCATTTGAGATCATTCAAACCCTATAACAATGATCACAAATTTGAGCCTGGTTATATTGAAAGTATTTACGCCTACTTATTTTAGTATTAGGGTGATATGGAAGCTGAAATGTTTGATGACTATTGCTAGTAAAATGGAGGCCTTAGTATGAAATAAGTCGTCCTTTTCATACACTTCGCATTTGGCTCTATTGCTAACTTGAAGGAATTAATAACAAAACTCAATCATAAGGGTGAAATAGTTGATATCTCAAAATCTCAAATTAACAAAACCAATATTCTATGTGTCCACTCCATTATGGATTTATAGAATACTATCGACCATCAAAAGATTAATGAGCTTTAAGTATCACATATTTTGCATATTCAAGATACCCCATTTTTATATATCAAAGTTTTATTTGAAAATACTCTTAATTAACTTTGTATTTTCAGTTTTTCATTAGAGTTTCGGATTTAATTTTATAAAAAATTATTAATTTTAAAAATAGGAATCATCAAAACCATCTTCTCTTTAGTCTCTCAAGATAAGCATAATTATGGAAGATCTTTAATATGATTAAGGGTCAAATACACTATACATTCCTTACCATATCGTAAAATTTTTTTAAATTTAGTTTTCATAAATTTTAGTTTTTCTAAAAAAATTCTTTATCATTTATGTTTTACTATAGCTCAAATTAGGTATCCAAGCCAAGGGAAAGCTCGATATCTACTTAACTTCATATATTGCTCACATTCTCAATAAGAATTTGAAAATCAATTTATTCCATGCTCATTTTGCTTTTTCTGCAAAGTAAGGAAAAGCTTAAGTTTACACAGAAAACTATCACAAAATGCTAGTATAAATTTATAAAGGTGTTAGCTAACTAAAATTTGACAAGGCTACTTATCACTATTATCGTTAGAAGATGGTTAATTTTGCTAAGGATAGCAAATTCTTCAAAGAAACAGAAGTTCAAGCTACTTTATTAGAACTTGAAAGAACTTTATCTGATATGATTATTGCCAGAGATCCTAAATTAAATCATTACTTTGAAAAACTTATGATAGGTATGATTAAAAATTTAATGATTTTGATAAATTGCAATATATAGTTTATTTACTAACTCTTTTATTTATTAAACTGTAGGTATGCTTGGTTCTCCTATATAAGTTATTCGCGATCATGCAGTTATTATGCTTAATATCTTATACGATGGTGTTGATTGGTCAAGAAGAGCTCCCTTCTCTACTAAGATTTCAAAGGTTAAATCTAAATTCTTAATAGACTATTTAATTGAATCAGACTAATATGATGAAAACATTGTCTTCTTAGTTAAATCTCTTATTTTCCTTCCTAGTACTAGATAAAATGTTATCTCAATCCACAAACCTAGAATAAAAGAATTTGCAGTAACGAAAATTAAGTAAAATGAATATGTTAATTAAAATATTAAAACAATAGGTTGTAGGAAACAAAAGATACATTAGTGTTTAGTTAGATTTAGGTAGATTCAAAAGATGCGGTTTTTACGATTGGAAGCTTGTAAAATTAATGGAAACTGGTGAAATTATGTCTGTTTACAAGGTATAAAACATTATTAGATTTAAAAGAAAATTAAATGCCAAATAAAATATAGATTGCAGATTTGAGAGATAGATCTGATAAGGAAGATTCTGAATTCACTACTAGACCAGTTTAAGGTCGTTTTATAGTCCATCCTGAAGATTCAAAAGACCTTTAAATGCACGAAATTTTTGTTGATCTTCAAGATGGTGTTCCTGATGAAAAGGGTAAAATAGTTAAAAGAGGTAACTTCCGTAAAGTAAAAGATAAATTACCTGCTTATAAGCAAATGGGTTTAAATGCTGTTTATCTTATGGGTGCATTAGAAAGAGACAATGGTATATATTTAGATGAATAAACTAAGTAATTTAATGTAAAGAGACCAGAAGTTTCACCTCTGTCTATTACATGCCGTTCAACGTAAAAAAAAATTTTAATTAATAAAAAATTATGCTTAAAATATGTTAAATATAACTAAAGACCTAACTCTATGCTTGGTGGCAAGTAATCTTTTAAGGAATTAACCAAAAAAGCTTCAGAATTAGGAATGAGAATCATTGTTGATTGTTTAACTAGAATTAGTTCTTCTCGTGCTCACAAAAAGTACAGAAATTTGATTATCCACTCTTTAGATTAATAAGGAAAGCAAACTCCAGTATTTGGTTCTGATGGTAGAGCTATCTTCTTTGAAGATACTACTCTTTTAAATTACAGAAAAAAGAAAGTTTGGGATTTGATGATAGAAGAAATTACAAGTTTTACTGACACTTATAATGTTAGCGGTTTACATTTAGGTAGATAATTTACAAATAAGAAATAGGGAATAATTTAAAAATTATAAAAACAGATAATGGACAAGCTTGGCCTCAAATCTTCAGATTAGATAGAGATGAAATGTATAGAAAAGACACCGATGCAACAGATGCCTATACTGAGAAGCAAATCTTTGAAGGAGAATTAGTCGAGCAAAACGAAGATTGCGGTTATTGGGCTTCTTCTTACAAGGATATCCTTCCCAATCCGTTTATCGTTAAGTTGTGCAGAAATTTATGGTCAAGATACCCTAATTTCTTAATTCTTTGTGAAGTCTGGGGATCCTTCGGTGAATAAGATGTCCGTGAAGTTTCTGTTATTTAATCTGGTCCCATTCCTAGAACTTTCAAAATTCCAATCGCTTTGTCATAAATATTTGGTGAAAACTTACGTAAGGATGGAACAATTACGTAATTAATTTGATATTATATATATATTTTCATAAATCTTATAATAAATTAGTTCAATTGAAAGAAAAACCGTCTCTGTCTTCAAAAAATGGTACTTAGCCTAGAGAGAAATTCTTCCAGAAGGTTCTCTAGTTATTTAATCTACTACCTATCACACTTGGCCTTACCCTGCCTTATTATACAAGAAGGGTACTTGGGCAGCTGTAGATTTATTCTTTACTTTATGTGATATTCCAATGACTTTCATTGGTGAATTAGGTAATTTTTTTTCAATAGCAAAACGGATAATAGAATTTTTAAAAACATATTTAGATGGTCATGCCTTCAAGATTAAGACAACAAATATCTTTTCACAAGTAAGAATAGAATAGAATGATGAATCAGAGACAGATTTAACTACCATCAAAGAAACAGAAGAAGATACTAATTACATTTAAGAAGTTTAAAAAAAGTAGAAAAAGAGATAAAGTATTAGATAAATTGAATCCTAATTATTCTTGTCAGACGAAGGATAAGGATTCGGATGGTCTGGATATGAACCCAGAACTGTTAGTAAGAGAAAATCAATAGTCAGAGTTAGCAGTGGCTAATCATTTGATGATGTCAATTCATTAAATGAACATACTAAATCTTTTGTTTAGAGTTAAGGTGAATGGTTTGGCCCTTCTCTTTAAAATATTAGCAAACACTATGAAAGCAGAAGATTACTCCGTTAAACTAAAAAACCTCTTAAATAAGGTGTTTTCATTCCACTTCTCGCTGAACACAAAGTAAAATAAATAAAAATTATAACATTTTATTGATTTTGATATTTTAAAATTATAGTTTGGATGGCACACTCATGTCATAGCTTACTGCAGAATGACTAAAAAGCAATTTTGTATTGTTGTTATCAACTTTAATGATGCCCCTGTTTAGGCCTATATCAATTTAAAACCTCTCAGATAATACTTCCCTAATTACGAAGATTCTGACTTAGTTGTTCAAATGGAAAGTTGGGTCAAGGACGAGAAATACGAAGACAATTAACTTGATCACTACTTCATTGGTGAATTAATTAATGAAAGGTATCTTAACTGATTTTATAACAATTTCATATCATAAACGCTTATAATTTTTAAAATAATATAGATTGTTTATTTCTCTCCATAACTTCCACAGTCATATTTGGGGTTTCAATTTATTTTCTGATGATGGAACAAAAGTAATTTTATTTTTCATTTTAAATAATTCTAAAAATATTTATGATATTACAGTAAAGAGTAGCAGAAAGTCACTCATTTGCTCGTTTCAAGCAATCCTTAAGCTTAACAATTCCTATGACTATCTATTCAAACGATATTGCTTCTCAACTTATCAAATTACTTTCTAGAAAGCCTAATCTTTAAGATTTTGTTAATGGCTATGCCTACCTATACAATACTAAACTAAAAGACGTTAACTTAAATAATGCCATTGCTATTTTGAGAGATTTCTAGAAGGACAATGCTTTGAAATGCAGATTATTTGCATACTTCTAAGCTCTCATCAATAAAAATGCCGAAAATCCTAAGATAGAGGAGAAGATAGAATTCTTTAAAAAGACTTAAGAAGTAGTTGAAAGCAATAAGCTTGGTCCAATCTGCTTTGTTACCCCAGAATATGCTAAGTGGACAAAAACCGGAGGTTTGGGTGTAATGACTGATGAGCTTTCAAGAGGTCTCGTAGATTTAGGTGAAGATGTATATGTAGTCACTCCAATTTATGATAATAAAGTATGACCATTTTAAATCGATTTAATTAATTAAAATTAAAAATTTTTAATAGCTTAAAGAAAAGCCTGATCTTCTTGAAAAAGATGGTTTCAAGCACACTGATACCATTTCTTATTATATTGGTGGCACTGAATACTAGGTAGGTGTACACTTTGGTGAGTATAAAGGAGTTAAAATTTACTTTTTACACAATGCTGATATGTTCCCAGCACCTTTTGCTGGTGATGATGCCGTTTATACAGTTAAGAGTATTGCTTTATATGCTAGAGTTACTCTTGAATTACTTTGTAGAAAGGGAATAATTCCTGCTCTTATAGTAAGCAACGACTGGTATTCTGGATTAATTCCTGGTTATATAAAAAATAAAACTTTCGGAGAAACTTTCTCAGGAACTAAGATATTCCATATTGCTCATAACTTGGATACTACCTATGAAGTATTTACTTTATTCCTTATTTTTATTTAAAGATTAAAATAATATTTTTCAAAATAATTTAGGGTAGATAATATCCTAATCCTCAATAAGGAGACTTAGGTTGGATTCATGAACTACCTACACATTGGCTTATTGATCCCTACTGGAAGAATCTTGTTGTCAATCCTTCTAGATGTGCCTTTATGACTTGTGATAATTGGGGTACAGTTTCCCATTCTTACAAGTATTAACTTCTCAGAGAAAGTGCTTTGACTCCTATATTATCTAACTTCCCTAACGCCTTTTCTTTCCCCAATGGTTTAAATATTTAAGAAAGATTGTAAATGATCAAAAATCTCCCTACATCTGATGATCATCTTAAGGCTAAGGAAAAAATTCAACAAAAGTATTTTGGTTTCTAATTACTTGACAACAGTTTCTGTCTGTTCGGTTTCGTAGGTAGAATTACCGAGTAAAAAGGTATTCATCTTATTTTAGAGTGTGCTGAAGATTTGATTAGACAATCTAATGGAAAAATTTAGGTAATTCATATTTATTAAGTAAATGAAATAAATGATATTTAAATAAATTTTAATATTTTAGATTATTCTTGGTGGTAATGCAAATTATAAGGAAGAATATGCCTAGATTTGTGCTGAGAAAATTAACTACTTGAGAAATAAGCACCCCAACAATTTCTGGGGAGATCCAGATCTCTTCTTTAGAGATGGTCCCCTTATTAACGTAGGTTGCGATTTCGGATTAATGCCTAGCAAATTTGAACCTGGTGGTATTGTCTAGCATGAATTCTTCGTCGGTTCTACTCCAGTTATTGCAATGAAAACTGGTGGTTTATAAGGTAAAAATTTAAGCTCAACTCAAATATAAACATTTTTTTTATAATTTATAAAAGATACTGTAACTGATTTTAACGAATAAACTGAGAAAGGTAGTGGATTCACTTTTGAGCATCATAACTCACATGGATTTGCTTATGCAGTTACTAAAGCACTTAAATTATTTAAAAACGAAAGTTTATACAACAAATTACGTAAATCATCTTTCTAAGCAGCTATTGATGTTAGTGAAGTTTCAAAGGCCTATGAAGGAGAATTCTATAGGTATAATCAAAATATCTTTAATTAAAAATTAAAAAATAATATTAAACAATAATAGAATGTTCAATAAAAACTTTATCGATAAACAAACTCTCACAGCTGAACTTTAAAAGATTGACTGTACCTTCGATATTGAAAAATACTAGCCTTAGTAAATGGTAGGAAGAGTTTCTGGCAGAATTCAAACAAGAGAAACTAAGACATAATAGTTGTTCTAGAATGCATTAAACAAGGTAAATTTTTATTTAATACTTAAAAGGACTAACATAAAAAATTAAAATAAATGAAAATAGGTTGCTAAAGATGATAAGAAAAGCATATAATTCAAGATTAATGTAGACAGCTCTAAGTTACCTAAATAAGTATAGATTATTGGTTCATTCGATAATTGGTAGAATAAGCGTCCCTTGAAGTACGATTAATTCTCTCGTGAATGGAAAATTACTCTTAATCTTCCTAGAGGTGATTATTTGTAAGCAATTTTTTTTTTTTAAATATGATTAAGTAATTATTAAACTAAATAAAAGCTACAAATATATTATTGATGATGAATGGATTTGCAGTGATGATGATGCAAAGGATACTGATATCTATGGCTATCTCAATAATTTCATATCAGTAGACTGAAGAGTTTGAAAAAAAATAAAAATTTATTAAAAATTTAAAGAAGAATTAAGATTTGCTTAGGTTTAAATCAAATAGTTACTATTACGATATGCATCCTAATAAAATAAAAATATAAAGAAAGAAATAAATAAATATCTTTATATTATAATAGAAAAGCAATTCAGTTAATAAGTTAGTTAATTATTTATATTTTTTATTTCAAAGTAATTAGTTTTGTAAATATTTTAAAAAATCATAATCCGTCATCTTCATGTGTAAGCTCGTATTTTTTCACTCCACCCTCTTTATTATTAACTCTTTTCAATTAATTTTGATTCTATTATTATTATGAGTTGGGTAGTTATTAAAGTTAATGATCATCGTCATGAAGTTCTTAAAAGTTCACATTGTTTGCTCCAAAACCATCAAACTTCTTATATATGCAGTATGATATCAAAGCTCCAACAGTAACAATTGAGAATATAGCTATCAAATAATCATAGTCACTCTTCTATTTTGAGGGCTGATTTTTTACTTTTTTGTTAAAAATATTTATTGTATTTTTATAGATTTATTTAAATAGTATGTTTACGATCAGAAGAGTCAGTGTAAATGTTATTATTAACTTCAAAGGGTCCTAAACTTTTAATAATATATTTATTACTATTAATAAAAAAGCCATTATTTTCTGCAAGATAGCTAGCATTTGATCTACTTCTAACAAAGTGAGACTAAGGTTCAATTATTGGTTCGGCAGAACTAACCTTTTCAGCTATTTTTTAAACAATTGATATATAAAAAAATAAAATAAAAATTTTACTTAAGAATGAATCACACTCAGAGAATATTGCTATGTCAATTAATCTGTCTTTTGGATCATCAAATTAAACTACTTAACTTTTAAAGGAAGTGATATCTTTTAATTTTCCTTGATAATCAGTATATTCACTATATATTTTAAAGCCATCATCCAATAACTATTGAAGAGAATAATAACTATTTTTGACTATATTAGATTATTAATCATTTTCCCTAATCAAGAATTTAGTGTTAGAAACTTAATGGCACCCTTCAACAGCCCATTTAACGTAAAATGTATAATTTCCAGAATTATGAGTGGCTACTTCATAAGAAGGTGATAAATTATTTATAAAATCAAGAGTAAGTCTAATATTTCTGGTTACATGTCCTTATCCTTTGTCATTACTCTAAATTTATTGCCAAGTTCCATATGTACTTTCAGGAGGCTATTTTTTATCTGTGGTTTCTATTAAGTAAGTTAAAGACCTTGCAGTATTATTATTAATTTATAATTCCTCATCAGAAATTCTTTCACATTTAGGAAAAAAAGAAGAAAATGATGGATCAATATATCTCTCCCAACTTGCAGCATAACTCCAATCTTCAAAACTTCCATTCACTGGATAAACAACATCATTTAGTATATCATAACGGTATCTTATAAAAAAAATAATTTTTATTTAAATTTAAATGTATTTTTTTTATTTATTTGTTTTTAATAAATTAAATTTTCTGTTTTTTTATTTAATTAAGATAATAATATAATTCAATTACTTTGGTATGCCAGGATACTATCCTCCAACTTCTGACATTCTTTTTCCTAAGATGTAAAAAGCATTTTAGTCAGGACAAATTTATCCTTTATTTTCGCTTGTCAAATGATTATTAGAGCCCCATGGCCATCCAATAGCTGTCATTCCTCCGTGAAATGTGATAGAAGCAGTAAATAAATATTTCTTCCATATGTAGTTAATAATACGTGCACCTGCAGTTTAAAAGCACTTTTCATTTGTGTCGTAAGGGAAGTCTCTATTCATATCAAAACAAATTCTATTTCCATTTTAACATTCTTCTCTTTTATATTAAGAGTAACCTTATGGATTACCCATTGGCAAAATTACTAAATAGCTTTTAGATAATATGTTTAGATCAGGTTTTTCAAGTATATATTTCGCCATGTATGTCAATATGTTTGGTCCTACTACCTCATCACCATGAAAATTTCCTGAAAAAAAAGATTATGTAAAATTAACATGCTTAGGATCAGAGTAATTTGTGATGACAGCATATATAAATTTGCATAAGTCTTCAGGATTTTAGGTATTAGAGCAATACACTTTAGGAAGAGTTTCATTTTTGAATTCTGAACGAGCATCATAAACTTTGATATAATGTGGGTATTCTTTTTCTAATTAATAAAATGTTTCAACTATTTATTTATAATCTAAATGCTTTATAGGGAAATTATGTATTTTTTCCTACTCATCTAAATAATCTTAAACATTTTTATCTGATGCTTTTATTAGATTAACAAGGAATAGTATCAAAACTAAGGTTAAACCTATTTAAAATTTCATTTTTTAAATAAAATATGAGTAATATTTGTTATTTCTATTTAAAAATAATACAAATCTAATAACTATTTAAGGAATTTAATTAATTTGAAATATTATTGGAAAGAAAATACTCATTTTCATAATTATTCTATATAATTAAATAATCAATAAATACTTATATTGTTTATGAAAATTAAGTTTAAATAATTTAAATCTATTATTAACAAAAATCATTAAAAAATTTAAATAAATGTAAAAAAAAATTACTCAATTTTATTTTATTTATTGAGAAAAAAATATTATTTAACTAACTAATATTTATTTTTAATAAAATCAATAAATCAATATGAGAATAAAATGTCTAATTTTAATTAAATATTAATATTTTTATTACATTTTATTGAAAAAAAGTTTTATTTTTCGAATAGTATTTATATGAAAATTTGGAAAATTAATATTTTGATTGCTTATTAAAATTATTTAATTTAGTTATATATATTGCAAACAAGCAGTTAAATACAATCAAATGGGATTAGAAGATAGATAATAAATAATGTAAAAAACGATTAACTATATTAAGAATGTATATATTTATTTGTTTGTAGTTTATAAGGGTATAACGTTCATAAAAGTGAAGAGAAATAAGACATTGATTTATGAGAAAAAATGACATTAATGAAAACTGATTGATAAAAAAGAAAGAAAAAAATTCAAAAATAAATATATTGAAAATAAAAGTTAGTAAATACCTTTAATCAACATTGAATTTATATTTAAGATTAATTTTGAAAAAATTTGGGAGGAAAGGATCTCTAAATTAAATAAACTATATTTGAAGTTAAAATATCAATATAAATTATAGATAAAGCTAAACAAACAATAATAAAAATGGATTAATAAATTTAGAGTTTATTTTAAAACATTCATAAGTTTGAGCCCCAATTATCTCTAAACAGTCAAGTTTAACAAGATGAGCTTTTTAACATTTTAAATAGTATGTCTAGGAAATTACATAATGTCCAATATGACTTTGATACTTTCCTTGAGTTGTACTAAAGAGCTTAATAGATTAGTAATTATGTGACTATCTATTCTTTTTTGGATGTTCACCTCCAAGCAGTCGATATCTTAAACTAAAGAGTTGTAAACTAATAGCAAGATATTGTACTTTTAAAAAATTTTACTTAAGATCTGAACAGATACCTATAAAAACCAAACGATGCCTTCAATAATAGAATGGTAACTGAACAATACTTGAATATCAATAGAATTATTGTCTCAGGAAGTGATGTATTCTAAATTTAACCTTTTTAGATAAGGTTAGTTGATGAACAATAGAGAGAATCCTAATTTCCTTTGATAGCAGACAACCAGGGTTATATTTGCCAACCCAAACAGAGAGTAAATTAAAATTATTTTTGCCTTTGCTAAATTAATATTTTAGTTGAGACCCTAAAAATCAATTTTTTCGTTAAAAACTTAATTTTTAATTGAAAGGGTAAAGATATTTTAGATTATATTGCTTAATAAAAAAGCCTTTTATTGTCTTTGATTTACTTATTTCAATTTATTTATCATTTCAACAACTGCAAATATGAAAGATCTTCATCTCATACAAAATATTTTAAAAAGCAATAAAAAATTATTTTCCAAATTACAAAAATATTTGATGTATTTATAATAAATTTAAATTGATATCAAGCAATTATTCTTAAAAAAATTATAAAAGACAATAACTAAGTAAGTTTGTAAAAGTCAAATTATCAAACAAAAGTTTATTCAATGATATTTTTATTACAAATAATTATTTTAATTATAACTTAAATTGTGTGTATTAACGATTTCTTATTTTAAAATACTAGATTTCTGTAAATAATCTTTATCAGCAATTCACAATTGAAGTAATCGATTAATATAGTGTAGTAGCCTATGCTTAGATGTCTGTCTATCATTTGGGTATTTTTAATAGTAACCCTGTAAGACTCTTTGTTTATTTCACTGATCAATTCAAAAGAGATCTCACAATAACAGTTGAAGGATAAGTTGAAATTTCTAATTTAGAATATGCTAATTCAGATCTAAAGGTTTTAAAGTAAGAAGAAATTCGTTTAAGCGATGAACTTATGAACACTTAAGAATAATTAAGAAGTTTGAACTTCCCTTTTGAAACAGTTTAAGGGTCTTATCGTTAAACTTCTAATTAAGGTTCATTCCTTTAAGGAGGATATCCAAATACTTTAGCTTAAAATGCAAATCCTGGTTTTTATAGTGATACAGGTTTTGGTGGTGTATAGGCGCTTTAAACAAATTAACACGTTGCTGTTTAAGGAGGTATTATGCATACATCTGCCAATGAAGAATGTGATTTTGATTCAAAATCACTGGTTAGAAACATCCATTACCTCTTAATTATTTATTTGATTGTTGCAGTAATTTTCTGTATAAAGCGTTCTATGTTCCTTGATGCAACTATAGCTATTTCGTTCTTAGCTGTTTTGCATAGAGCACACTAGTTATAAACTAAAATAGCTGATGTACTTAAACTTTTCATAGGTCTTTTTGCAACTACTACCGCTCTTGATTTAGCTTGGTTAATTGTCTACTTCCCATCTTGGAATAGAGATAGCACCAGTGAAGATTAAGGTGCTTAAGGAGTTCTAAGAATTATTATTCTAGGTGGAAGTCTTCTATTTATGATTTACAAAGTTCTTTTGATAGTTGCTGTTTTCTTCTTACACAAAGATTTTGGTAAATAATAAGAAGTTGTTCAAAAATCTATTGAAAATTTCTTAATTGGCAACGAAGCCACTCGTGTTTCTCATAACCCAACTGTACCTAATACCGCTTCTAGAGTTTAATATTGATTAGGTAATTTTGGCTGATTATATTAATAAGCTTTAAAAGAATAATTTTAAAGATCATTTAAAAAATTGAGAAGAAGTAGAAAATTAATTAAATTAACCGAATATTAATTAACTAGATTTGTTTATTATACTGCTTTTTCATTAAAAATACATTTCTTTTTATTTTTTGTTCTAACTTTTATCAATTTTTGCAATAATAAATTATTTTTCTCTTAACTATTTGAAAACAAAGAATATTAAATATTTGTTTAAAAATATTCTGGAAATTAATTTTATACTTTTTAACATTTAAGAAATTAAATAAAAAATAATAATTTTAAAGATTTAAAGCTTACAAATCTTCCAGTTTTTTTTCAACCAATGTTTGCACTAAAATATTTACTGTAGGTGCTCTGAAAAAGATAAGGGAGAAAAAAAATTTAAATAAAATAAAAAAATTATTAAAAAAAAAGGTATTTTAAAATTTCAAATTAATTTATAGCTTAGCTTTAAGAGCTAATGTGATAATTAATTGCCAATAAAAATTTGATGATAGAAAATATAATTTGAATTTAGTAATAAATTTTGTTTGGAGCTATTTAATAATCATAAGTTTTATATTTTTTTAATGGATATAAAAATAATTAAATTAGTTATTGAAGTTTATTTATTTGTTTAAAATTTTTAAGTATTCATAAATCATTTTTATTTTAATTTAAAATAATTAGATTAAAAAAAATACTTTGATTTTATATTAAATGAACTTCTATCATTTTCTTTTTATGAATAATGGAAGATTTCTCTACATTATTTACAAAATAAATAAATTTATGAAATTGAGATGCACGCAAATTTTATGTAAGATATTGTATTGAAATTAAACCATATTTATGTATTTTAAATATTTGCAAAAAAAAGATATGAGGAGATTATATTTTTATTTAAAGGTGAATAAATTATCTAATAAATTTGTATAATTTTCGCAGAACAATAAAAAATTTAATAAATAGAGAAATATAATTTTGCATTAAATAGTAGAAGGAAGGAAGGAAGTTAGTTAGTATCACAAATGTTAAACAATTTCGAAGCTACTGAAAATGTTAGTTTGTCTGTCTTTCAAATGAAGTAGGCAATTAATAATTATTATCCAAATTTTGACTTTGAAAGGATATTAAGTCGTTAAGATGTGTTAGATGTCTTCAATAGAATGATCGTAAATGGATAATATAATTTAGATGTTATGGATGAATTAGACGATCAAGTTAGAAAAAGAAGTTTACCATACAATATGAACAGCATCTTAACCATGATTTATGAAGGAGTTAATCTTCTTTTGACTTCAGATGCCAATACTTAAGCATATTATAAGTAGCTACAAGCCAACAGAAATTGTTTAGATCTTCTGCAATATCGCGGAGATTCAAATTATTTAATAATTAATACCATCAAGATTCCATCTTCTTTCTTCCCCTAACTTACTTAGTACTTCTCTGTCATTATTTCTGTTTGCTAAGAAGATTAAATTAAAAGAACTTATGACACTAAGACTATCAGATTTAATGAAAATACTGATACCTATTTTATGAATGAATAAGTAAATTAGTTTTTTAAAAATTATTTTCTAGCTTTGATTTGAATTTTAAGGAACTATAGAATTTCGCATATTAAACAACTATAAATATACTTCATTCATTTATTCTTGATAGAGTTTTAGTGAATGTTTCTAATAAAATTACACGAAAACAAACTACTTTATTCAAATAAATTATTTAAATGGATGAATAAAATTTTTTTTTTATTAATATAGATTGAAATCACTAACTTTTCCGATGATTGTAGAATAGTAATTTATGGAGAAAGGTAGGAGTAGTTAGGCTATATTTAATTTAAATTCTGTAATTTAAATTTCTAATAGACAATTTACGATTCGCAATCAACATAATATTTTAATCTCTACAAAATAATAAATGAATATTAACAAGACAGTGCATAAACTAGTTTATCTCTTTCACTTAGTGTTAATAATATAGAAAGTGCTAAAATTTAATTGATTTAAGAATTACAATTGTATGAAAATGATATGGTGTCTTTTTAGTAAAACTATCAAAAGTTAGTTTAGCCATTTTAATAGCAGAGACCTGGCAATTTTATTAATGATATTCCCTAAAATTTGATTCCTGAGGAATAAGTTTAAAGAGCAAGATAAAACTAAAATCCTATTTCCTAAAATTAATCAATGATTAATGATATTTCAATTGCTCCAGATAGAGGAACAATGAATCCATTTTAGCCAGATCATTTACCTTAAATCTAGCCTTTTCACAAGCCAGCTGAGTAAATAATTAATTTTAAAATTGATAAATTATTGCATAAATAAAATAATATTTTTAATTTATGAAATTAGATTTGAATTACACATTGTATTCATCATATATCTCGGTATAGCTTGTTTATTTGGAGGTAAAAAAAGTAATATGATCGACATCTGTATTTGTTTGTACTTCTTGTCCTAACTCTTTATTAAAGACTAATTAACTAAAGACTATGAATTATTGAAAAAGAGAACCTTTTAGGCTTTAATATGTGTTTTAGTATATGATTTGTTCTGGATGATAATTATTGGCTCTCACTGGCTAGCTAGAGAGTAAAGTGATGACTAAGGCATTTAGAATACTTAGAGAGTTTTAACCTTTATTGCAACTCTTTTACTTCTTATATTCAGAGGATTTTTAGCATTTTTACTTCATTAAACAAATTTAGAAGAGTTTCCCTTGATTAAATCTAAATTTTAAGAGTTCCTTTTGCTCAAATCTGAATAAAATAAGGAAACTTAAAATTAAGAATAGCTTCACTTATGAAAATTCTTTAAACTTATTAATTATTTATATGATAAAAAAGCACAGAAACTAAATGTATGAATCTGTTAACTAATGTAAAAAAATTTTCTATTTTTGTTAATTTTATGATAATTTATAAAAAAATATTTGAAATATAAAAAACTTCTACACATTTAGAAGCAAATTTTCATTTATTATAAATTTATAATTTAGAAGCACTCTTTTTTGATACATACATTTATGATTTCAAAAGAAAAACTTTGTTTCACTATAAAAACATTTAATTATTCCTAAATATAGCATTAAGAACATATAAATTTCTTTTCAATTTAAAAAATAAGATTATTGTTGTTTCTTGAATTTAATAAATTTTTTTATTGATCTAAAAAAAATTTATTAACTTAAATTAAGTCTCTTTTTCGATTATCGATCATTTAAACTTTTTATATGAAACCTAACTTGTAACTTGTGTGTTTTTTTATAGAATTTTTTTTTTTAAATAGCGCATAAAGCAAATTTCATTTGTTATGTTAATAAGTAAATAGCTGTAAACAAATAAATAGAAGAATCAATAGATAAATGTATAAATAGATTAAAATAGCTTTAAAAATAATTATTAATTAGCAAGTATAAAAAAAATAGTAAGTATTTTTAAAATAAGTAAAAATGGTTTAATTTAATATGAATAACTAAATACATTACATAAAGAAATTAAATAATAATTTCTAATTATAAATATTTACATTTTTTTTGTTAATTTTAGTTTAATTAAGGTAGAGATAAATAATTTGTAGATAGATAGATTGATTTATTGATTATTTATATTATTAGTTTAAAATTATTTCCTAAAATTAATTGATTTAATAACATAATAGTAAATTTGTTTAAAAAGGAGTTTGTAATTTAGAAATTGACTATTATCAGGTGAGTGATTAGTAATTTATTGGCCTCAGATAAGATTATAATTATATGATTGATTAATTAATTAATTCATAGATTTATGCTTTTTTTTCTTTCATGCATGTTAGAACTCTGAAATAACTACTTCTTCTCCAATACCATTTCTTAGATTTTTTCTTAAGCTAAATTGTTTATGATCTTTGGGGTTATCAGAACTCAAAATTTTGTTGCGTCTCTATATAATTGGTGAAGAACTCATGACTAAAGTTGATTATTGTCTAGATAAATTGTTATGGGCTTAAAACGTTTCTAATTTAAAAGGATCATTTTCACAGTTTTCATTAATAGAAAAGCAATCTATAAAGCGATTAAAAGCTTAAATTCTAAGTTAATGGTAGTAATCAGCTATTTTATCATATGGATTGGTAATAATCACATTTTATTTATCTAACCAATCATGAATTCTTGATTCCAAGTCATCATTTGTATCAATCACAATCTATGAAAATCTAAATTATCTCTCTGGGCAATTAAATTCCTCGCTATTATTATCGCTACTGCTAGCAGTCGAACTTGTAGAGTTTGATATATTTTAGAAAAGATTGAGGTTTTATTTCCCAAAATTAGTTCTTTTTACAGCAGGTGTTTTTAATTCATGCTATTCAGAATTCATGAAGAGGTTTGTTTCTTTTGCAACTTAATCTTTTTTTTAATGTAAATTTTCCATACTCAGATTTTAAACTGTAATGTTCATATTTTAATAATGGTAATGAATTGTTTTTAAGACAGTACAAAACTATAGAAATATTTTTAAAATTTAGTCAATTTATTATTGTTTAAAGCTAAATATTTTTTTTTTAAAGGTAATTTTATCCTTTAATTCTAGTAGGATTTTATGTCAAGAAAGATTATTTATTTATATTTTGTTTGATTTATTGTTTTTGTATCTAATTTCTTTTTTAATTATTTGATTTTATTATTTATTTTTTTTGTTTCTTTGTTTGTTTTTGTTTTTGCTAGATTAATTTTTCTTAATAAAATTCTTTTTCCTATTTTTTTTTTAAATTAGTGTAGGATTAGTTTGTTTATTAAGATTTTTCCTACTTAATTAGTTAGTTTATTCAATTAAAGATAAGTAACAAACATTTAGTAAATTATTAAATTTGCCAATTTCTATGGCTTATGATAATTACTTCATTGGGACTATCAATATTAAGGTGAATTAAACAAGTAATTAAAGTAATGAACAAAAAAAAATATCACTGCCTCAAATTTAAAAATCTTTAAATGTTCTAAAGTAAGTTAAGGAAGCGTAGTGAAAAAGAACTGATAAATTAAGAAGTAAAATAGTAATAGCTATACGGTCAATACAAATATATGAGATTAGAAAATAATTTAGTGCATTGATCATTTACAAGTTCCTTCTTAAATTTAATGTATTAACAAATGTTGTATTATTAGCTATAATGAAAAAACAGCCATTTTTGTTTTGATGTATTAACTAAATGTTTTAATATATATTAATTAATGATTAGATCGATCAATTAACTGAAAAACCAAACAAAATCTAGATAATAAATTTTGATGATATTAGTTTTCTTTTTTTCATTTTATGATTATTATATTTATATATTAATTTAAAATCATCTTATCAATTACTCTTTAAGTTAAATCCGAATAAATATTATTTCTATTTTAAAAGTAATGAGAATTTTAGATTAGATTTATATAAATTTTCCCCTACTCATAATGTGATTATTCTTCTTACTGAACTCGCAAAAAAATTATAATTTTCTGTCTTGTTCAAATTCAGAATATAATATTTACAATATTTCACCTAAAATTTAAAAAAATTTGTAATATATTATCTAAATGAAACACTTTGATATTATCCATTCAGTATTAAGGAAAAATCATCAAAATTTAACTATTGTATCTGTTATTTAGTAAAAAGACTCAAAAATTAAATTGAATATCAGATTCTAAAATGTTGTAAGATTTGCTAGCTGAACTTAAAAAAGAAGTTGCGGAAAGCAAATAAGAAATGAAATAGCTTAAATCTACTGTAAGCTCAATGAAAAAAGTGTATTAATCTGAAGATAAATCTATTAAATTTAAAGATTAATCCATTAATGATAAAATGGTGGCAAAGTCATAGCCTAAATTTGGGTTCTCTAAAGCCGAACGCTTTAAAAAAAATACAAATAATAATTTAGGAAGCTCAGCTGCACCTCCTGATATTTTAACAGCTGCAGCTGATATAACCTCTACTCTACCTCATCAGAAAAAAGCATAAAATATTGTTTTTCCTTTGAGTAAAAGATTCTCAGATCAAAAGAAAGACGACTTTAGAGATATTTTCTATGATGTTAAATTTGATTAAGTGAAACCCAAGTCTTAAGGTAGGTTTTTACTTTTAATTGAGCAAATAATTAAATACATATATTAACAAATAAGCTTTTGATATAATACTTGAATATTTGATTTTAGGTCAGTTAATAAATATCTGAAAAGAAATTGCATTTTTAATAAAGTAACTTCTCTGATTTAAAATATTTAATATTAGGTATTGTGATAAATCCACCAGCTTCGAAAAATAAACACAGCTCGTCTTAGTACATGAATGCGAGTACAGTTTCTCAAGATAGCAGATTTAGTGATTTAGAGACATAAGCAAGTTTAAGTCAATTTATAGGTCCTGGAGCTTATAATCCAAATTACAGTTGTGTAGAGCCAAAAAAGAGTGTGCCTATACCTAGAAGTAAAAGGTTTGAGTAACCTAAAAAAACTTCCATTGATTTCTTAAATCCAAATTATGATGCTATCAAAAGAAAAGCCCCTGGAGTATCTATAAAAAATAAAATACCTCGTAATGCTAAGCAAGAGGCTAAAGATAACGAAAGACGTGCTTTTGAATTAGAGGCAGCTATGATACAAAGAATGGGAAAGGTAGACAACGATAGATATTTGAGGTAATTTTCAGCTTTTAAAATATAATTTATCTTCATTCTTTAATCAATTTTAATATTAAAATTTGAAAGAAAAAAAAAACCATCGTGCTCGTAATTTAAGTTTAATTGATATATAAAAAACATAGGTTTTAGGAATTAAATTATGAAATCTTCAATCTTTTAAATCTTCTTTTTTCCAAATTTAATAAAAGGATTAAATTAGCATAAAAGGTCTCTTAAATTAACGTTTTTATATTTAATCAAATAATTCAAAGAACGCTAAAATCAATATCAGTTTATTGTCAGCTATTTTTTCTTTTAAATTTTTTTTTTCCATCTTTTAAATTAAGCTAAAAAAATATTGGGTAAAAATGATGACATTTTAAATATATCACTTACCTACCTCAAAAACAAAAATTTTGATTATAAATTTAGCAAACTCTAATACAAAATGATAGCTTTAAAATAGTAGGATGATTATTTTTTTTGAAAGTGAAATTTATATATAAAAATGAGTGAATATTATTTAAAATCAAATAAATAATTTTTATAAAGGGCGAACCCAGGTGGTGTAATAATCAAAAAGAGTATAAGAGATGTGACAGCTGCTCCAAAAGGATCAAGATAAAAAATAGCAGCAGTGTTTAAATTTTTAGATTAGCTTCGAGAAATAAGAGAAAGAGGGCCTGCTGCATATGAAGTACAATAGCCAGAGCCTGCTCCCACAATGGTAGTATACAGAAAAAGCTCATATAGTCCACTGCGAAAAGATCCAAAAGAAGATATTCCAGGACCTGATTATTATTATTGCAAAGATGATATGATTAAGGACGCTAAGCCTGCATGGACGTTTGCAAAAGAACTTAAAGAAAAACCTTTAAGCTTGGAAGATTAAGATAACAGAAACTACGAGATTAATGAAAATTAAATAAAAAAAAATCCTATATCAGCAATAATATTAAAAGAACACAAGCCGAAATTTATTGGAGAGGAAGGCTAATTAGAGTAATTATTGATTTTGATTAATTATTTGTTATTTACGTTAATGAATTTATTGATGGGAGGGAATAAATAGATTATTATTTTTTCAATTAATTGTTAAAATTTTTTCAATATGTTTATGTCTGTCTTTTTAGAAAAATAATTAAAAATGAAAACTTATTCATTATTATTTACAAAAAATATAATTTTATTTTATTACTAACTGTCATATCTTTAACTTTTAGGCTAGAAAGAGGACCTGGCGCTTATTATCCATAATACAATCAAACAGAAAAAAGAAATGACATTGGTGTAGTTAAAATACCTGAAATAAATGACAACAATGCAAGAGAAAATAATATGGATTATCTTTATTAAAATGAAAACTTTGATAATGACTTGATATTCCCATCAGTTGATCCAATTAAACCCAATAATAAAAAAGGATTTAAATATTACGAACCAACTGATCATAAGCCAGATAATCCACCTGATAAAGAACTATTTAAAGAAGAATGGTAATTCTATGACTATGATTTGAACAAGGTAAATTAACTATATATTTAAAGTTAAAAATTTCTCAAAAAAAATTAAATACTGATTTTAACTATTTGCTTTAACCATTATTTATATAAAATTTTTTTTATACAATTTAGATAAGAGAAAATATGACTAAGGGAGGAGATTTTAGTAATAAAATGCAAAAAGATATTTTTGCTGAACATGAAGAATTTATGAGAATTATGAGAGAGTATTATGATAAGCAAAATAAGATTCCTCACCTTGGTGAATATGAAGTAGACTATAGATAAGTTGATAGACATATCCCCGGAATAGATATTGAAAAATTGCCTGAAAAAGACACTGGTCCGATAGTCAAGCCTGAAGGAGATGTTGATGGTGATAATCTTATACTTAATAATGTTGAAAGACCTACTAAAAAGCTTCCTGATATTAAATTTGATAAAATGATTGGAAGACCAGAAAAGGTAATAGTTGAAAACCTAACTTTATTAAGTTATTTTAGAGATTATTTTAATTATTTATTTTTTTTATGAGTTTAAAAATCTAAAAATTATAATTTTTCTATATCCTGAAATTTTAAAATAGGATGAAGATAATATTAATTATGAGGAAGAAATTAAATTAGATGTAAATATAGCACCTATAAAGCCAAAAGTACCTGTACTTGTCAACATGAAAAAACAAAAAGAAAGGGATGAAGTTTTTGGGGCTGAAAAACCAGAAGAAGAAAAAATTGATTTAGATATAAAATATACACAGTAAGACAAAAAAGTAAAATCTAATAACTTTTCTATAATGCTCCCTTTATAATTTTAAAATCTAATTAAAATAGATAAAAGGATATGTAGATATAGGAAAAATATAAACAAGAGAAGAAGATCCTAACTATAATCCAAAAGTTAAAGATGCAGAAGTTTACATTGAGCCTTAAGTTACATAAGTTAAACCACAAAAAAAAGCAGGTGTAAATATGGGTAAAGGAGCAAAAAGGTTTCCAACTTCTAAAAACTCATGAAAAAAAACAGATTATTAAAAAATAAATTATAAAGTTTAAACATAATATCAAAAAACCTTTTAGAAATTTAAAAAAATTAAAACAAATCCTTAATAAAAGTTAAAAATAGAAGTAATTGATTACAAATATATAAAAATAAATAAAAATGCTTATAGAAATAACCCGAATTTGTTAAAAATTAAATAAAATTTATATTTGTTTTTTTTAACATTTTATTTTTTCAATTTACAACTTTAGCTAATTAATTGTTCTAAATTATAAATATGAGTTTAAATATTATTTAAAATTTTTATATATTTTATTCATTTTAAAAATCTATTTTTGTACTAATATTAAGTTAAGAAAACAATTTCATTTTTTAGAAAAGGAGTTTTTCTAAAAAAAGAATAAATTTATTTAATTTAAAATAGATAAAAATATAATTTTTATTTCAAAATGAAAAGATTTGAAAGTATTTTCATCTCTTTTCATTTATTGAAAATTTATAAATTAAATAATCTTGAATCTATTTTTAAGTATGTAAGAAAGTTAATTTACAAAATTGATTTTAGAAAATAAAAATTAATAAAACAGCTTCTTAATTTTTATAAGGGAAACTATCCATAGAAAAACAAATAAGTTAATAAAAATAATAATATTTTGAATTGGTTAAAAATAAAAATATAAATTTAAAAATGAATAGAGTTTAAATTATTTTAATCTTTTTGTATGTATTTTTAATATCTTCTAGATATAATTTGATATTGAATATTTTAATAAATTTAGTTTATTCATTTTTAAAATTTATATTTTCTAAAAATTTCGTTTTTAGAAGAAAAAAATTAATAAAATTGATAATATTTAATATGGATAAGCATAGCATTTTCATTTTAAAATGAAAAGGGTTCAAATTATTTTAAATATTTTACAAATATTTAATCTTAACAAATTTATATTATTTTATAAATTTCTAAGATATAAACTTAGATTTAATTTTAATTTAACTATTAGGATGAAAGAGATATTTTTAAATAATAAATTAGCAATCTTATTAAATTTTTGTTTGGAATATATCAATATTTTAAGAAGTAAATTTATGAATTAATTATATTGCTAAATTTATATTTTAAATAATTAATTTTGATTAAATATTTTTTTAATTTTGTTATTTAGAGTTAAATAACAAGATTGATAGATGTAAACTATTATCTATATCTTTCTTTTATATAATTTGTAATGTTCTAGATTAACATATTTTTTAATATGTGTAACTCGACACAAATTTATTTTTAAATTACAACAATTTATTTAAGTTAAATACTTAATAAAAATTTTATAATAAAAAAAAATAAATTGAAGAAATAAACAAAAAAATTTGGCTAAAAAATATTTAAACAATCATGCTTAGTAAAATCCTTTCATCTGAATCTGAAAAATTTATCAAACTAGCTTTTGGAAATGCTAAAAATCTTGAAAGCAGCAAATTTATTTATTCTATTAATTTATTAAGTTAAGGTCCTAGTAATGATGAACTTAAAGTTATAATAAAAAATGAATATACTCCTTCTCTTCCTATTGATTATAAAGCCTTCAGCTTTTTGAGATGCTTTTGCGATATTTATGTTACTAGTGGAGAAAGTGTGAGAAAATAAAATAATGATGGAACTCAATCAAAGCCTGAATTCTTAGGATTCAAAGATTGGGAGTAGCTATTTAAATAGACACCTAACAACAAAATAAACTACATTTTATCATAAAAGTTTGACAAACAAACTTTGTATTAAATGAATGCTATAAAAGCTCCACACTAGAAAACGCTACTCACTAATAATCCAAAGCTAGAAGAGGAAATTAAAAAAGACTAAAGCCTTTAAAACTATATCGAATAATATTAAATTTAGTTTACTCCTCCCATGGATAACTTACAAGAAGCAATAAATTATTTACAAAAAACCTACCCAGAACAAAGGGTTCTTATTGAATTAGGTATTACCACTGTTAAATAAGCTCTTAATATTATTGATCCAGCTATTTAACCTCTTGATTTGCTAGTTTTATCAATCTACTAGGGATTCTTAGAAGAAGAGTTTATTGGTTAAAATCATCCTAATTTGTAGTTTTTTTAATAAAGCTTTGATTTGGTTCACACTTCTGAAAAATTTGAAGCATATAAAGGGTTCATTTAATTCTTTATATTCAAGAAAAAACACTCTAATAACCTTTGATGAATCTACTTAATTTACTTAAAAAACAGCTAAGTAATATAAATTGTAATTTATTGTTAGATAAAAGCCAATTGTATCTATATATATTGTTTTTATTAGTTAGCTTTTAAGTTTTTAAAAATTTTTAGAGTAAAATTCAATAATTTTACTTTCAAGTTTCTGCTAAATAGTTTATTTTTAAGTAATAACTTAGTAAAATAATATGAATTTCTGTATTAACTTTTGAATATTTTCTTTTCTATCATCAAATTATTTAAATAAAATAAAATAGCCTATTGTTATATTTTCCTTTTCAAAGTTGAATTTAATTATCAAAATTCATTAAAAAGATTACTCAAGAATTAATTAATTTATCAGAGCAAGGAGCATAAAGTAGATCAATTTCAATAAAAAAATAATATTGATATAGTGTTTTTTTAATACGAAAGAAACCTCATTTAAAATGGATTTCAATGAGCAGTCGTATTATAAAACAAAACATTTGGATATCAGTAAAGATGATTTTAAAACTATATTAGAAGTTCCTTCTTAAGGAGAAGTAGTTAGATTTATCGAAAAATATTAGGATCCTGATAAATTTATAAAAATTAGTTAAAACGGCAGTAATCTATTAGTAGAAATAGTTTCAGTGATAAAGGGTGACAATTAGGCAAATTTTAATACTATAATCCAGGAATAGATAACCTTAGATAATATTTTAAGCGTAAGCATATATAAGCTTAGTAAACATTCTTACTTGGTCAAGGAACTCAGAAAACTTTATTGTTTAAAAGTTACTGAGTGTCGAATAAAAGTAGAAAAGGTCTATAGAAATATTGAAATAGGGCATTTATTTCGAATTGACGATTTGAAGTTTGTTGTTTAATACTCCTAAGGATTGAAAATATTCCACTCTCGTACTTTTAAAATCATAAAATGTATATAATCTTAAGATATCCTATTACTAGGAAGCTTAAAACAAAGAAGCTAGGTATTAATATAGAAAGACAATTGTCTTTACTCATAAAGTATTTGCTGCTTAAATATGAAGCAAGTTAATACTTGTGATGCTTTTGCAAGAACTTTATTTTTAAAAAAGAAATATTTACTTTAAATAGAGCAGTCAAACGAAGATGCTTATATCTCAATTTGCAGTTTATAAAACATATAAGAATACTCTAAAGAAAGTGAGTAAGTCTAGCAGTAAGAAAATACAAATGCTATTCAAAAGAGATTGCAAAATATAACAAATATTCAAAGTTGCTCAATATACACTCATTAAATTAAAGATAATAATCAAGTAGTTAATTAGTAGGATTACTTAATTTTAATAGCTCGCTGTAATACAAATAATCGAATTCAGACATAGTGCTTATTTTTCAAAATAGATTGTAACTAGCTTATTGACTGTCCCAATTATCATTTTAATGAAGGCTACCCTTCGTTAGTTAAATGTTTATCTTTCCATAACGAAGAAGTCTACTTCTTTATTTAATTTGATATTTTCAGTAAGACTTTCTATATAAATAAACTTTTCCCTAGATGAAAAGTAGTTCTTTCTTGATAAATATAATGTATACAGCCAACATAAAAATATAATTTTTAAATTTTAAAGTTAAAAAAACTTTTGTATGAGTTTTTAAAAATGAAAGTAGCAGTTTAAATAATTTATTAAAAATGTACTCACAGTCAAAATATAAATTAATTTATCAAATTTAATAACAAATTATCTAATAAATACTTGCAAATGAGTCAATATTTGTTAGTTAAGAAGAAAAAAAAGTAGAAGTTTGCATGTAGTTTTTATGTTTTACTATAAAAAGAATACAAAAAATTATTATAAATAAATACATTTATTATAGATGGAAATAAGTATTATGATAATAGTGCTTTAAAATAAATTATTTGTTTGTTTGTTTGTTTTATTACTTTTAAAGGGTTTTTTAAATTTTATTGTTTTTCAAACTTTTTTATGTAAGTTTTAATGGAGTCATTAATAAATTTCTTTCATTTCGAAAATAAATAATTTTTTATACTATTTTTATGATTTTTTGAAAGGAATGAGTTGAAATCCTCCAAGCTCATTTCTTTACTCTTTTCTTTCTTAGTTTTTACAAATGCTTTCTTCTTTTATTGGTAAATCTTTTCAACTATGAAGACTACCAAGGGAATATCATGGTAATCAGCAAAATTTTATTGCTCTTCCTATGCAAATTACTCGTTTTTATAGCAGTAGAGCATTGCAGGTATTTTATTTATTTAGCAGCACTATAGGAATCTCAATTTTTCGATAGAAGGTATATTCCCAAAACTGCATATTATACACTCATATTTGAAGAAGTGCAATTATTAAAACCTTTAAGGTATTTAGCTTATTTTTCTGTCTAATTTTGATTATATTACTATTTTTATGATAAAATAAAATAAAATTTATTATTCTTTTTTCATATGAAATAATATTTCAATTTACTTTCATTTACAACATCGTTTAGGAATGTAAATCCAGAAACTTATCTTGTAATGCAATCTCCTTTTTTCGAAACAACTTTCTTTTTAGATAAACTTGATGAAGATGAATAGCTTGATTAGGAGGCAATATCAGAAATATCTAAGACTTATAAATTTTGTGAAATCTAGCTTGTATTTAAGTTAGTAGAATTTTATTGCGAATTCTATTAAGAAAAGTAATTTGTATTAATATTTATTTAATTAAAGCTATTATCCATGGAAATTTCACACATGTTTTAAAATTTTCTCATTTTAATAGGATAGGTTCCACCTACAATGCAAGATACGAAGCTGCTTTTAACACTGCAACTTTCAATTGAAAAATAAAATCCTTCTTTAAATCCTAATTCTTTTCCACTCAAGCTTATATCAATAATAATCTCAGGAACTTTATAATAACCCTCACCTTTAAACATTTTACCTTTAGGATAAATTAGAATGTAAATATTTGTAATAATAAATGTTATTTACTATTGACATACTGGTTGGAAAACTCTTATTCTATGTCTTCAATTTTTAAGACCAAGTCTTTGCAATTAGGAAGGTTATGCAAAATCTGCTATTTTATCCCTTGCTAAGATCCTCTTAACATTAACAATTAAAGTAATTTATCAGCATCTTTATCACCAATTTAAAAATCATTTATTAGTCTCTTTTTAATATCTTTCTGATTTGTATAAGCTGATATCAAAAATTCTTCTAATGATCTGATTTATTCTTTATTGAATTTTAGATGATTTATCATGTAGTACCTTAAAAAGTTCACATGGTTAATTCTTATTTTAACGACCTAGAGACCTATTTCTTCCATCAACTCAACTCCATACATTATAGTTTCAGCTAGGAAATATGTATCTAAATCTTCTATCAAATTAACACAGTCATAATCAACTAGAGACTCTTTCTTTATTTCTCTATTTTGCTAATATCTATAATTAAAATTAAAATTATACTATTTTTAATCATTGATTTACCTAAAAGCCTATCCTAATTCATATCTCTTGAAAACTTAATTGCTAAGGAATATTTTATTAACTTTCCTTAAGTGCTTTTTGAAACTTTCTCTTAATGTTTATCTTAAATAGATTATATTTCCATCTTTTGTCATTAGTGTTGGGTTATTAGAAAACTTATTAAAAAAATAAACTTTAAAATATTTTCAACATATGAGCAATCAATTACTTTATTTTTTTCAATCTCAATGTTGACATCGTCTTTAAGTTAAACAGTAGGAGGAGGAACATTGAGAGGAGATTCGTAGTTAAGTACTCCTTTATGCTCAAAGAAACTATAAATTTTAGAAATGAAGTAGTTATTAAATTAACTCTCTAATTGCCCTGTGTGTGAGGTGAAATGTTGAATATTAGATATTTCATTTACTTTGTGTCCACCTTTAAAAAGAGCTTCTAGAATTTATTTAAAAACTGGACCTGACGGATTATTCAATGCTTTTATTGCATCAACAATATAGTCATCCTCTATTTTTGGAGGTATTAAGTCTGACTACATAATTTCCATAACTTTTTAGCATTTTTGAGATGAGAAATTAAGCATCCATGCTATAAGTTTTGCTTATTTAGGGTGGAATTGTTCAAACTAATCAGGAAAAAGGTTATTGTTTCTTAGAATAGTTAATACTTTAAATCTTTGGTACTTGCTCTAAAAGTAGAACCACATTTCAAAAAAAATTATCCCTAGGGCATAAATATCTGCCCTTTCTTCATGCATACTTTAGCTTGCAGGTGGTCTGTAGAAGTAAGTACCTACATTTAATGTTTAATCAATTGCTTCCAACTCTTTTTCTGTGAGATACTATTTATTCACAAGCTAGTTAAAAAGTTCATTTTCTTCTTTTTCTATAACATATTGATATTTTGAAAACACATTTTACTTTTAGCTTTTTGCAAGTCCAAAATCACCTTTTCAATATTTTAAAATAAATAAAAAAATTGTAATTTTAATTTCCAAATTACCTATTTTGATATCTCCTAGGCAATCAATAAATATATTTTCAGGTTTTAAATCTCTGTGTATTGTATTTTGTGAATGAATATAGTTTAATCCTTCAAGAATTTGCCTAAAATATTACCATATTTACACAGTATCCTGCTAGAATTTTAATTCTTTTATTTAATGGCTCAAGGTAGATGGACAATATTCTAGCTAAATAAATAAAATCATCAACTTAAAGTTTGTAACAGGATATTTCTAATTTTCTTAATTTTTCCCTGATTATTCTCTAACAGAGCTATCTTAAGAATTTCTTAATGAAGATAAATCGTAATAAGATGAATTATTGTCTTAATATCGAGATGAAAAATTGTTGCTTCGATATCTATATCTATCATCACTAAGCTCGCCATTGTCATCATCTTAATCACTCATCTAAGATCCCATACTTTCTTCTTCCTCACTCTAGTTTGATTCTTCTAACCAAGCCTAATAATACCTTAAAACATGCCTATTCATTTTAGATAGTTAAAAAAAGCTTTAGCCTTTGATAAATATACCTGTGGTGAAGCCTGGACAGAAGAGTAACTTCTCTCATAAGCTTTTCAATATTTTATCCTTTTCTTATTTTAATTTTTTTTATTGCATAATACCTACCATCAAGCTATTTCAAATAAAAAATTTTTTTCTCTAAAATTAGATTTATTTTTTATTTATTTACCTTGTTGCGAACTTTAACTACTTAACCAAAAGCACCTTATCCTAGAACTTGAATTTCTTCGAAATCAGTCAGATACCTACTTTTCTCTGTGTTAGCTGGTTCGAAACTTAACAAATTATTCTTTTTATCTTATGTTTAAATTTGATGATCACTTTACAAACTATCTGCAGAATCACTAAGCCTTTTTTCACCATTATCTGAATTGTTTAATCTCAACTTTTTTTTTTACATTTCTTACTAATTGCTATCTTTAGGTGAGGAAGTCTAATTGCCTCCTGCTGATCCTGAACTTGCACTTAGATTGTTTTTAATATTGTTTATTTCACTAAAGCCATTCATCACTATCTCATAATTACTACTTATATTATTTTTAGATTACGATTTCTAAAAAATTAAAATAAATTTAATACCTAAATTTCAATTTAATTTTTATTTACTTTTATTTAAGAATTATTTATCTTTTGACCTTGGCAAGAACACTAACTATAAGAACTTTGCTGTTTAGTTAATACAAGATTTTACTAAACCCTATTGAGCAAACTTTCTTGCCTATCTTAATTTCCTGATATACAATGAATCAGGTCTTAGACAGTTTAAGAGTAGTTTGAAATATTTTTAACAGCTTACTTATGAAAAGCTTTCAATGTATTTTTAGTAATAGTACTGAATACATAATTGTATTACTATCTAATAACTTTCGTCATATCATCTTAAAATAAATTTGGATAATTATTCAATGCACTAGTAAGGTTTTTAATAGAATTTTAGTCTAAATTTAGTAATTTGACAACTAAATCAATCAAATTCATAATTAAAACATCTTAAACATCGCACTGATTTTCATAATAATCTAAAATATATTTTTCTTTGCTATTAAACTAACGTTCGCTGTTATTACTTTAATTACTACTTTGATTCTATGATTAAATACTATTCGAATGATCTCTCCCTTCCTGTTATACATTTTGTATAATCTTATCCCTTTCATTTAACCACTACATTCTCAGCTTTTACTCATCATTTTCATTCATTCTTAATATATTCTCTCTTTGTTTTTCTTATTAGAGCATTTTTAACGCTTGCTTCTCTTCCAACTCTTTCTTCTTCTTTTACCGCTCTTCAAGTTCTTCTTTTTCTTTTCTTTCTATCAATTGAAGTTACTTTATGTCCTCATTTTTCATCTAATAAGTTTTTAAATCAATATTTTTAATACATTTATGGTGAAATCTTAAATTCATAATCATAATTTCAAATGTATGAGCAAAATAATCATCCTTTTTCTTTCCAAAATGTATTTTAAATTTAAAGCAAATTAATTAATAATTTAAGTCTATTTTTTTATATATTTTTAAATTTTCTATTTTAATATTTTACATTACTAAAATACTTATACGCTGACTCTACATAGTCTCTAGATTATAAAATCAAATCAAAAAGCATTTCTTTTCCTGAATTTTTTAATGCATAATCAAAGAGCTTTTCTTAAAGTAATTGTTCATCTTATTTTGCAAATCCCTTGAAAGATTTAACTGAAACTTTTGGCATTTAATCAGGATATTCTCTGGGTATATTAAAAATTAAAAATAAATAAAACTCTGCTTAATCAGAGGCGTTTTCATCTTAATACTTCAGCTTTAATTGTTAAGGAAAAAGATTGATCTAGAAAGATCTATAATATCCATGTTCAGGTGGTAAGCCAATCATATTTTCCATATATATTGAACGCAGTTTCTCAATTTCTACATTTAGAGCTTCATTTAATTGATGAAGTGTATCAATAGGCTATGGCCGATTTTTCTCTAGCCTAGCCCTGAACTCCTCTTATTTTTGCTTTATCCTTTTTTATGCCTTGCTTAACTTCGGAGCTGAAGACTATGATTGCTGCTAACTAGATTAATCTTAAATCCCTTTTGTTTGCTTACTATTCATAATGCTAAGCTAATTATACTTAAAAATCTCTTTTATAAGGTTTTGCTAATATCTAATACTCTTTATTTTCAGATATTAATTTTAATTTTTACTAGATTTTAAATAATCCCAGTTTTGAGTTGATTACAAACAAACAGATATAAACTTTTTTTGCAAATTTTTATTTTATAAATTAAACATCTATCTATAAATTGTGTAAAATATAACAAAAGAATAATATTAATCAGCACACTTAAGAGATTTAATATTTAATTTTCTGGTTCACATTTCTTAGTATTTTAATTAATTTTTTCAAATCTAGTCTTATTAAAAATTCAAAAAAAAAATAGCTTTAAAGAATAAAACTTATAAATCTCATCTAACTTTTTGAGTGATTTTAAAGTGTTAAAATTGGCATAATTACACTAATAAAAGAAAATTAATGTTAACACTTCAATATACTTTAAGACATTTCTTCGTCATCAATAATTAAATCTTTAAAAAATAATTGTTTTCTTGATAATATTTCATAATTGATAATGGCTAAGATTAATGACGTTTTAATTATTAAATTAATTAAAAATTGTTATTTTATTAAAGCATCTACTTAACAAAATTCGTCACATTTCTTTATAATGTTAAATATTTTTCTTTTTGATATGAAATACTTTTTTATTTATCTATTATGAATTTATTAACCCTTATTACATTTTTTATCTACTAGCAGAGATATGTAAATAAGATAGAAATAGAAAATTCAAATTTTAATTTAGAGTATCTTTTTAACTAGTTATTTTATTTTCTGGAAAAAAATAAAATCATGAGCTTAAAGATTTAAATTTAGTTTTTTTCAAATTAAAAAAATTTATTTTACAAATAATTTTAAACAATTTAAACAAAAAATTAATATATTTTTTTAATTTAAAAACCTTTAATTTATAAAGAGATTAATCTTTCATTATTTAAAAGAAAATAAATAAATAATAAAATGTTTTAAATTCAATAACTTTTAATATACTTTAAAATTTATTATTTGAGAATATTAAATTTTAAAAAATTTTAAAATTTACAAACGATATCATAAACTAATATTAAAATTAAGTAATAATTAAAATATCGAGAATATCTGTATATACCAATATATATAAACTTCTTTAAGTCAATTAAAAACTATTTTGTAAAAATAAATATTAAAAAGAAGAATATCAATTGTTGATAATCAATAAACTCTAATAATTTAATTTGAAAAATAAAATATTAAACACTAAAATATAATTTTAAAACCAATCTACTTTTTTAAATAAATTTTTTAAGAAATACTCAATCATACAAAAATATTTATTTTTTATTTAATTAGTTTATATAGAAAAGAGTTTACAAACATTTTAAGAGTTTCTTTATTTTAATTATCAATTGGATCTAAAATTTTGTAAGGGCTTTGTTGAGCATAAATAAGATCGTCTATTAAAAAATAAATCTTCTACATAATAAGATATTGTGTTTTCATCAGAATAATATAAATTATGATAAATTATTGATTTTGGTTTCTCATAAATAGAAATTATTAGTTTTTGATTCATCTATTATTATTGTTTTATATAAATGATAGATAGATCCATAGATAGAAAACCAGGCTGCCTCTATAAAATAAATAAATTAATTAATTAAATTGTATCGTTTTGTAAAATATAAAGTAAAACATCAAATAATAATTAATATTTCTACATATAGATAGAATATACCTCCCTCAACATAGTAAATGAAGACTGGACTTTTAGCAAACATTATTTCAAGCAGAAATATTATTATATAGAAAAAAAACAAGCCTCCTATTGAATTAAAATTAGCAAATTGGTAAAATATACCTTTGTTTGAATCATTTTCAAAAGATGATGAACCTGGTGGCTTAGAAGCAAAGCAGTTTTTGTGTTAATTTGTAAGATAAAAAATAAAATTTTAAGTTGATAAATCAACCCAGGAAGTAGTTATATGGGATGACGAATAAGACTAATCAAAGAGTATTAATGATTAGTTACTATCTTTCTTAGCTTCTAATAACTTTAATAAGTAGTACTCTAAGACAATCAACGATTATACTGTTCCAATTTCAAGAGATTTATACAATTAAATAACTATTAAAGCTAATTAAACTTATGAATTTTTTTTTGATGAAATAAATTCTGAAGGATAGTTCATAGCTTTTGAAAAAAATACAAATACATTGATAGTTTTTTAACCATAATTTGTTAAAATACCTGTTATTGGTCCTTAGTATAAGTAATTCCTAGATGCCAATTTACTTGATAATCAAATACTCTCAAAAACTCATACAATTTGCATTTCCTCATTAGAATATGATTCAAAAAAAACTCTCATTTTTAATGGTAAATAAAAACAAATGAAGTATAATTAATTTATCAATTATTATTAAAAAATCAGGTCTATTTGATAAGATAAGTGTTCTATTAAAAGATGGTGTAGCAAGCTTAACAGATATGGCATTCCTCTCTATCAAAGATTAGGATTTACTTGAGTAATATGATGAATATATATGCTAAGCATAAGCAGAAAACAAAGGTATTTGGGGTAAATAAACTGATTTTGATTCACTGATCACTAGAATAGATTCATTCCTTGGAATTGTAAACTACTTTATAAATTAAAAATATATTTAAACAAGACTAAAATGTATAAAGGTACGCGAAGTTGAATCTGGTATAGTTTTAGTTATAGAAAGAATAGGTGAAGAGCAAAGCTAGTCTAAGATGATAAAAATTTAGCTTAGTAAAATTTAATGTCCATAAGGATTAGAAAGAGGTGCTTTTGAAGCGAGAGAGTATCTAAGAAAGCTTGTCATAGGTGCTGAAGTCGATGTTTTCTTAGAAAAAGAATAGGGATTTTTGCAATGCGCCACTGTTATAATTTCTAGCTCTTAACTCAACTTAAATTAATATTTAGTAAGTAACGGATATGCAAAAGTAAACAAATTTTATTATTTTATAAAAAATATTAATCAGTAATTATTTAGATAAAAGAAGAATTCAAAGGAAATTTTACAGACCACAAATGGATTTAGACTGAACTTGATTAGAAGCTAGCAATTTAAAATTAAAAAGGTATACATAATAAAGATTTGGGTATTATGAGATTAAAAGAGATTGGAGTAAAGGAGACATTAGAATTATACTAAACTTAGATTAAATAAAACATGAATAAGGAATAGTATTAGTGTATAGTTGAAAAAGTTCTCACTGGTGACAGATTACTTATGAGATTTATCAGCTTTAGTGTAATTAATTAATAAATCAAAATTTTTCTTTTAGAATGTTTTAAAAAAATATAATTTAAATAATAATTTAGGTAATTGTCAAAGTCAAATTATTTGGTATTAAATGTTTCCAAAATGATCCTAATTAGCCTACTCTGTAGGAAAACTACAGGAAATCAATTGATTATAACTACAAGACTCTTATGAATAGAAATGTCTAAGTTGACGTTATAGGCTTACATGATGGTTGCTTGTTGTGTAAAGTATATAATTAGAAAAAGTAAGATTAATCCTAACTTCTCTTAGAAGAGGGTTTAGCCTATTTCAAATAAGAAGTAAATTTTTTTAATTTTAATGTAAATCATAATAATTCTTTGTAATTTTTGAATAAAGACTGATAATTATGATTCAATTTATGAAGCCTGCTAGGAAAAAGCTAAATAGGAAAAAAGAGGTATTTGGGAACATGAAAAAGTAGATGTGTTACTAGAATTACATGATAACACAAGCTCGATGTTGAAATTTATTAAACAAAGCAGTTCATAAGGTGACTGCAAAGTACCTGTACATATATCTTAAATTAAAAGTGCCAATGAATTTTATGTAATCTATGAAAATAACCCAATTTAGAAATAGATAGATGACTTAGTTGATAGTTATGACTTGCCTAAGCTGTAAAAACTTAAAGTTATCAAATAAAAAACTTTATGTGTTGCTAAAAGTGAATAAGATGGTAAACTATATAGAGGTAAAATTGTTCAGAAGCCAGCTAATTCTTAAGTTGACGTTGAATTTATTGATTATGGTTTGATTGAAAAATTGCCCACTGCTAATCTTTACTAGCTACCAACAGTAAATTTAATTTATAAAATGATTCTTTAAAGCATATTTTCATTAAATAATAGGATTTAGCTAAATACGAGGCATAATGCTAGCTCTGCACATTAGCATATGTAAAAGTACCATTTGGAAACCATAAACTTGCAAAAGCTGCTAAAAAAGAATTTGAAAAGTTACTTGATAATGGATATGTTGAAGCAGAATTTGTTTAAGCAGGAGGAAATCTAACTAGCATAATACTTACATTTGAGAATGAACCTGAGCTCGATAGATCTATTAATGCACTAATGATATAATCTGGATTTGCTAGAATAAACTTTAATATACCAAATAATCCTTTCTCAGATGAATTATTCTAAGATCTAGAGTACGATGCGACTGATTAATAAATTGGAATTTGGGCTCTGAATAATCAAGATAGATTATCTGATGACGAAGGAGATAGTAGTGATAGTTATGACTATTGACTTCAAAAATGATATATTCTAAATTAACAAAATAAATACTTTTTGATCTAACAAATCCTTTAGCTTAAAATTTAATAAATTTGGAACTCTTTGAAATCAAAAAAAGTTTTTATAAATTTTTTAGTAAAAAAATGTTTATTTTTAATTTATAAAAATTAAAGGTTTTTAGTTATTAATAAAATTTAATTATAAAATTTGTTTTTTTTTTTAAATTTAGACTTTTAATTGTTTTTTTTACTAAAAAATTATTTTGATAGAAAAAATAAAATAAACTAAAATATTTGTTTATAACTTTCATTAATAATCTTTTATTAAAATAATATGAAATCATAGTTTTATATATGATTACAAAAAGATATATTTCAAAATATTTTGATTTTTTTAAAAGAAAATAAAGTTTATTTAATTATTAATTTTTCAAGCTGTTAGCTTTGAAATATTATAAACTTTATTTAGTAAACAATAAATATTTATTTACATCAAGAATTTAAATTTTCTTATTGGAAATTTAACAAATAAATTTAATCAATTTTTATAATTTTAGGAAAATCAATTTTAAATAACAGGTTTTTTATCAACAGCTTTAAATTTTTTTAATTTATCAGATTTATTAATTTAAGGGTGAATTAATTAACTTTAAGTCTTAGAATAAATCATTTTATTAATTTTTGAAATCATTTGTTTTATTTTAATTTTTCTGATTTTAGAGTTTTTATTGTTTATGTAGAATTTTTTTTACTATTCAAAGCAGCATTTTTCTTTTTTTAAGAAATATCACTTTGATTGTTTGTATTAACTGATTTATTTTACTGCTGAATGTTTTAAATACTTTAGTTGTAATAATTTTCTTCATTTATAATATTGTTTTTAACATCTTTCTTTTTTACTTATTAATCTTACTTAATTTTGTGAGTGGCATGCAATTGATTTATTTTATTATCCCCATAATCCCCTAATGCAGAACTCCTTTAAGTATAAAAAGTTCCTCTAGACATATCTTCCCTTTCTCTGTTAACAAATTAATCTTTGAAGTCAGAATGTTAGGAAATTTAAGCTAGTGCTTAAACTAATTATGTGTAATCTATATTTTATGGAGTAATTTCACTTTTTATTTATTTTATTAACTCATTTTCTTTTTTCAGGTCATTATTCTTTTTAATTTTGCACCTAAATTCTTTCTTTAACTCGCTATATTTCTATTTAAGGCTTTACAAAAATAAAAATAAAAATTTTAAGGTTCATTAATTATTTAAAATATTACATCTTAAATTGCTCATTTTTATGCTCTATTGTGGCCGTCTATTGCTATCTTTTCAAATCTAATTCTTTGATTCTATCTATAAGAATCTTATTTGTTTCTTGAAGCCTCTTAGCAATACTAAGCTATTCAATCATACCGTTCTATTAATGCTGCTATGAATAATTCGAAGCACTTGAATGTGTTTAATCTCTTTTTTGCTTTTATGTATTGAGTAATTTCTATTTGAGACTGCTGTTTTATTTCTATAATATTATGAGATAAAGTAAAGTTTCATAAAAAATTTACTTTAAGTAAGTCAATCAATTAATCTTTTTCTTGTAACTATTTCTCTAATTAATGTATGATATTTTGTTCATTTGAAGTATTTGAATACAAATTAGCTTCTGTTTCACAGTTTTTATCTGATTAAATATTATTTAAACTAGTTTTAGAATTTATGGTTTCTTTCCCTTTCCTTTAAGTAGTTATGTTACTCTTTACTTCTTTAATGCTATGATAACTACCTGATACTTTCTTTTTAGCTTCTATCTTTTTTTTTGGTGATTTATTTACTTTTGTTTTAGTATTTTAAGTTTTATTTGATTTATTTTTTTTTGATACTTTCTTTTCAGCTACTTTTTAAGATAGTTTTAGTTCATCTATTTTCATTTAATTGTCTTTTATGACTGATTCATTGTCTTTAATAATTTTATTAAAATACATAAATTATTTTAAAATTTTATTAAATTTTACCTTAACTTAAGTCCCACAAGGAATTAGAATCAGCATTTCTCAACCTTGCAGAGCTTGAAGAACCTAACATTTTATTTAACTGAAATGTTTCTCTGTTACTTGGAGTATTATTAGATGTGTTATAAATAGTTTGAGTATTAGCATCATTTTTACTACAATCTCCATTAGTTGAATTAAATGTAAATTAAGTTTAATTAGTTTATTTTTAAATTTTATAGTCATAACCTCTTTATGCTTCTTCTTCAGTAAAATAGTTATTTAATCTTGTGTTATCTTGATAACTAACTTAATATAAATTATTATTCTATAAATTATTTTATTTTTGAACAATTTATTATTTTTAGAAATCTCCTGTTGAGTTAAAATCGCTTTATTAGTTTAATTTATTTTGCTATTACTAATAAATATCATAATTAGAATTTTAATGAGTAGAATATTTATTTTCTTCTTCTGAATCATAAACATGAGAAAATTAAGAGTAGCTTGAGCAATTATGATCTTCAGAATCATTTTCATAGCGATTTTCTTCTTCTTGATCAAATAGCTCTGATTCATTTTCCAAATTTGGGACTTGGTCTTATAAATATTCATTATGAAAAAACTAATGATTGGTTGAAATGTTTGAAACATTTTAATAATCTTAATTATTATTCTAATTTTATATTTCTTGAATGTAATTATTATTATTTAAGATATTTGGAACATAAGAAGAGGAATTTATATCATTTTTTATCATGAATTACTAAAGCATATTAATACCCATTTACTCTGAATAGCTATTTTTTAAATTATCATCGAAATCTGAAATCATAAGCAGAGGATTCATTGATAATTACTATTTTTAATCGCTTTATTCACCATAACTTTGCTTATTACTTTTAATTTATATGATTTCTTCATTTTATTTCTTATTACTTGCTGATGATTCTTTGCTTTTTGGGACTAATTTTTTATTTTTTTTGCTTTTCTCGCTTGTTGTCTATGTGTCTTCTTTCAAATTACATTTATTCTTTGACCTCACTTCCTTTCCTTTACTTTAAGAACGTGGTTAGCTTGTAGAGGTATTTCTTGATTTTATCTGCTTATTATCTTATTAACTGTGTTATGATTTTTTCCTTTTTTATGAGTATCTTTCACTTACTTAGAAAGGCTCTGTTTAAATAATTCTATGATCTAATTGATTATTATTTTTTTATTTATTTTCTGAGAAAGAAGTTGCTTTTTACTCCTTTTTTGTTGTTGTCTATGCTTTTATTGTTTACTTTTTATTAGTGTCTTTAAATACCTGTTTAGTTTCTTTATTTACTGAAATTAATTGGTTTTTTGAATCATTCTTTTTTAAACCTTTTTTCTATTTATCATTAACATTATTTTAAGGCTGTATTTCATTTCCATATTATTACTCATTTGAATCACCATTTTAAGAACTAATAAAATTATTTATTCCTTGAGTTTACTGTTAATTATAATTCAGCTAATTCAAATTTTCTTACTAATTTTTTAGCTGATTTTAATTCCAATAATACATATCTAACTATCTTAACTCCTTTTGTAATTCTTCACTCTCTCTAATAACATTTTTTAAAAAGCTATCTTCTTCTTTCATTATATTGCTAAAATTTTAACAAAAAACTCTTTTATTTTAATGTATAAAAATATCAATTTGACTACCTCTGATTTATGTTGAATTCAGAAGATTATTTAACTTTAGAAATATGTAAAACTGAATTTAAGTAGCTATTATTATCTAAATCTCTATCATTATAATCTTCTTTGCTGTCATTTAAATCACTATCTTTATAAATAGAAGCAAAATGTTCTTTAGCATCTAAATCAAAATCACTTACTATGTTTTTTAAATCATTTAGATAAAAATTTTAATATAATTTTTTTCTACAAATAATTACATCTATCATTAAAAGAATTTTGAGATCTTTAAATAATTTATAAATCATCATCGTCATAGTTATTTTCTTCTTCCTCCTCCTAATCTTCATCTTCCTAAAACATATTTAATGGTTTCAAATTGCTTTCAGACTCTTCGTTAGCTTAACTATCATGGACATTTTCTTTTGACAAATAATATTTACTTTCTTAAGTATTATCTGGTTGCTGTTATAATAACTAATTTTCCATATCTATAAAAATTAAATTTATTCAAAATTGATGCTTTGCTATTTGATTTTTTAAAAAAATAATCAGGAAATTAATAATAAATAATATTTACTTATTATTATAATTAATATCTCCTAATTATGAATTAATGACTGGCCATTTAATTAACCATGTAGAAACTTTTCAAATGCGCTAAATTAATATTTGTTTTCCACTACAGATATAAATTTTAATATTATTTAATTTGATGAAACAAATATCTTTTTGAAAAGTATAAATATGAAAATGAGATATTATATTATAAAAAGTTTTATATATTTTTTAGCACTAAGTTAAGTAATTTTTAGCTATTCAGTATAAATAGACTTTAATGTAATTGAGGAAAATGTTAAGCAAACTAAAATTAATGCTGTTGTGCTTATATCTTAGTAAAATAATTGTCCCAAATGCTTGCAAGCAGAAAGAGTTATTAAATAGCTAGATTATAGCGGAAGATACTTTTTACAGTTTTATATCATTTATTGTGACATGATTCCTAAGAATTTACTAAATGATAAAACTCAAACTAATGCTTTGAAAGGGATAATTAATAAAACATGTTTTAAGCAGTTAACAATGATAAGGCCTGAGCTTTACCTATTTTCTCCAGTTGATATATAGGTAGGACCTAACTAGTATGTAGATTTTCCAAATAGATATTCAAGATTTTTAGGAGAATTTAATGTTGAACAAGTTAGAGATTTTATTTTTGATTTGACTTCAAATTATAGCGAGGAAGTGAAAAATTAAAATTAAATGAATTATATACTTGCTCAAAACTAAATGCCAACATTACTATATTTTTCTGATTTTAATAGTTCAACTATTTTTTACAGAAGTTTTACTTCTTACTTCTGGAGAAAGCTGAAATTTGTGTGGATTCCTCATAAAATGAACCAAGTCAGATAAAATTTTCTTAAAGACCCAGATTCTCTCCCATCATTTCATTTAGTAATATAGGGAAAAGTTATTAATTGTACAGATCACTCCAGCTTTGAATCAGTTTTAAATTTTATCATGAAAAATACGAACCAAAGTCTGCCAAATATTTCTGATAAATCGTTTATAAATAAATATCAATTTTTTTCAAATTATTGTACAGATTGCACAAATCTTTATGAAAGTTTAGAGAAAGAATAAAAAGGGTAAATGCTTTCATTAAAACAAAATCATAGCATTAATATGACAGAGGATTATTTTTGGGACATCACTGCCCATCAGTCTCAACTTATAACTCAATCTAGTTTAAATAATATTTTAAATATTGACAAAGCCGTTAATTTGTCTAATTCATAACTTTAAAATGAAAATATATATATTTCCTAAAATCATTGGGTTAAAGATAGTTATTTTAACATAAAGATAGAAGATTCCAACGAAGAGCATAGTAACAAATCTGATCAAGATTTTAGTTAAGATTTAACTAATAATTTAGAATCTATTAAAAATTAGGAAAGTTTTACTTTTCATGAATTCGTTAGTAATTTCAATATAGAAGACTGGAAAACCTAAAATAAAATTTTCAATAGGTTTACTTTATTTAAAGGCTATGAAAAATTTGATCTCTGGGAATAATTGATAGATTCATTAAAAGTGTAAAATAATATTTTTACATTTAGAGAGGTTGACTGTAAATCAAAAGAATGTACTATATGGGCAAGATAGAAATTTTAAACTTATTATATATCTTTTGTCATCTTTGATAGCTCGCTTACAGGTGATAGCCCTATATTAATTCAGAATAATCTTGAAATCATACAAATATATGAGTTAATATAAAATTTTGTACATCTTGAAGATAGAAATGCTATATAAGAGATGAGCAATGATGAATCTCGCAATTTTTGCAATAAAGCTTTTTTGAACGACTTCATATGTATTTTTTATTTTGGAAACTAAATACCTTTAGTTTTTAAAGTATTAAGCTAACAAAAATTTGAGAAGGTCCACTTCATTTAAGTAAGTAAACCTTCAAAGCAACTTCTAAATAAACTCGGTGCAAGTTTAGAATAAATAGTTGAAGTTGATAATAAAACCTATTTATCATCATCAATTTACAACATCCCATATTTACCTAAGATGGAAATATATATAGAGTAGGTAAATGGTAAATAAAAGTATGTTTAATACAAATATCATTAATTATAGTCATTAGATTAAATTGAGAAATCGTAGAGTAGAATTCAAATAGTAATTGAATGTAAAGACTTACTTTCTTGTAAAAGTTAATTAAATGTAGTAAAAGAAGCATTATAATATATAAATTACATTAATATTTCTACTATTTACTATGATACACAAGAGGTTTTCTTTAATTAAAGCTCAGGAAACGACGGTAAAGTTTAAGCCTCAATAATATTTGATTAGAAGAGATATACTCTTTTCACTATAAATTAATATGTTTCATAAGATTTTCTAAAGGCTTAAACTCTAAAAATTGTGGATTAATTTATATAAATATTTAATTTTAGTTAAAATTTAGTTTTAATAGAATGAGTTTCTATAATATTTCTATTAGCTTGTAAACATTTTATTAATATATGCATTTTCAAAAAATGAAATTATTTAAAAATCTTTTAAACATATTTTTTATTGATATTAATTGAATATAATTGTAAGTATCTTTCAATTTAAAGTTTGTTAAATTTGTTTTAACAAAATACAAAAACTTCTTATTATTCCTTAAATTATGAAATTTTAGCAGGAGTTTTACAGAATTTATTAACTTAGAAAATAAATAATTGAGAAAAAATAATTTTATCCTTTTATTCTTTATTATTAATTGTAATAAATCATTATCTTAAAATATAAAATTTTAATCATTTTTTGACTAATAAAATTATTAGATTTAAATAGATAAATCTTTGTAAAATATTCAAAATAGTAAAGCATTTATATTTCAAATAAGCTTGAAATGACTAGTATAAGGAATGATAAAAGCAGTTCATATCTAAACTCAAACTTAAGTTTCTAAATAATATAAAAAACTAAAATAACTAAATATTTTGGCAGAATAATTTCATGGTTAATAATCAATATTTTTTATTATTGAAAAGACTTTAATGCAAAATATTTATTGAAAAAAGAAAAATTAATTAATTATTTAATTAACAAGAAACAAGAATACTTTATTATAGTAAATAATTGAAATTTTATAATAACTTAAGCAGTTAAACAAGTAATTTATTTCTTAAAGAATGTCTCGAAGTACTAGAAGTGTTTCATCAAAAATTAGTCCACAAAAACATTTGCTAGATCTAAGCGTAACTAATTACTATGATTATGAATACTTTTAAACTCCTAAAAGCTTTGTTTAGAGTAAATATATTATTTATATTCAAATCAATATATTTGAAAATATCATTTGTTAAAGGCTTGCAAGAAACTCCTAATAGACTTCCTAACCATTATAGGAAAAACTTAATGTTAAAAATATAAGGTGGTTATTTTTTGAAGTTATTCTTAAGTTAAAATAAATTATTGTTAAAATTATTTTAGATTAATATGATAAGTTTGAAAATAATATGAAAAAGAAATAGATTATGCAAGTTTAATAAAGAATGAAAGTAAATGAGTTTGAGTAATATAGAGAAAATAAACTTAATTGTTTAGATTAAAATTTAAGCAAGACAACAGAGTTAAAGGCGAAAAAAATTGAAACAAAAGTAAAAAAAATCTCCGAGCATAATACCCATGTTTAGTAAACTCAACAAAAACATAAAACTGTAAATACAAAACAATAAATAAATTATAATTTTGTTAGTATGTAAATTTTATTTTGTTTAGGATATTAAATAGGATAGTAGAGAAAAAGCTAAAAATATTAAGTCATACCAAGATGATATGAGTTAGTTTATGGAAACTAGAGAAAAATCTTTTTTTTTAACCTCTCAAACTAGAAATTTATCATAGATGTAAGAAAGAGAAAATTATAAAAAATAAAAATATGACATTGAGCTTGAGCAGTCAAATAAAAAATACCATTAATTGACTGATAAATTGGAATCAGGAAAATAAAAAAGAGAAATGATTTTAGCTTAAAAAACTTAAACAGCAGCTAAAGTAGATTAAATTGTACGTATTATTTATAAGTTGTGTTAGCAGTAATTAATATTTTAATTTCTTTTTTATCTATTAAAAAGTTAGAATAAAATTTGAGTATCCATGAGAAAAATTTGTAGAGACACTAGAATGAAATGTTAGCAAAAATGACTGAGAAATTAGAAAAAATAAATATGACTAATGTATGTATTGTTTAAATAATCAAAATTAAATTCATTTAATTTTTTTAATAGATCATCAAAGAGAAGGCTAATTAGATTATTATGGAGAAATAGAAACAAGAATAAAAAGAAAAGAATGAAGCTTTACAGAGCAACTAGCAAAAATTAAGAGAAAATTAACTTTAACGTGTTAAAATTTTGAATTAAAAATTTGTAATTAACTTTAAATTTCTAATCTAAATCCAACTTAATACTTTTTATTCTAATGTTAGAATTCTCCGGTTAAGCTTTAAAAATCACCATCGAAATTAAATGTTGATGAATAAATAATTAAAGTTTTAACCAATTATGATAAAATAAAGTAGATGCAAGTAATAAAATATTTATTTATTTCTTTTGAAAATGGTAGATAAAAATTTTATATTAATTTAAATAAAGGAAATAAAGAATTAGTAGCTATTACAAAATCATTTAGAATATACAACAAATAATAAAATTCTTAAAGTATCTTATGATAAATTAAATGATTATAAAAGAAGAGCTTATTTCTTATAAAAGAAAGATGACATATGATATTTATTTATTTTTAAGTTAGTAATTTTGTAAATATACTTAGAGTATTTAAGATTTAATTTTTATATTTGTTTTATTTTAAAAATAAATACTAGAACATCTATAAAAATAATTAGAATAATTTAAAGCTTTTTTTTTCCAACTTTTAATTGAAAAATAAGAATTTAGTTTTTATTAATACAATAAAAGATATTTATTTATACCTTAAATACAGTAGATATAGTAAAATATATTAAATTAATAAATATTTATATAATAAAAGGCCAATTATTAATTAAATTTATTATGTTTTTAAAAGGTCAGAAATTTCATATTTTATTCTATTTTTTTCACTTTTTTGAGATAATATTTAGAATCAGCAACATGAAGACTTATTTTAATCTTTTTGTTGTTTACTTAAATTAACATTTCCTCCTTCTTCAGTTTAATCTCTACTTTTACTTTAATAAAAGGAGTACTCAGCTCCTATTTTTATAGTTTGGTTCTATTATTTAATAAAATTTTTTAACTATTTGTAGAATTTAGATTATTTATTATTTTTTACATCTCCTATTGGTATTTCTCCTGAATCAACTTTTCTAGTGATTTATTCAGCAAGTTTAGTAAATGCCTTTTAAAAATTGATAATAATTAGGTAAAATTAAATATTTAAAGTTATCCTACTTCATCTACATTAATTGAATCTCTTGCTGATGTTTCAAAAAATAAAAACCCATTTTCATTTGCAACAGCTTGACCTTCTTCAGTTTAAACTTATCTCCTGTTTTTTAAAAATCAGCGTTTTAATTATTTTATTTTGTTTTGATTAGTTTTACTGAGATTCTTTATCTTTTTTATTGCCTATTAATAGAACAACCATGTTTTGATTACCATTCGATTTCATCTCTTTTATCCAATCATTTATATGTAAGAAACTATCTCTCCTTTAATAAAAATATATTTTATATTTAACAAGAGTAATAGATTTGATTAATAAATACAATTCTACCTTGATATATCATACACAACTATTGCTCCTATTGCTGTTCTATAGTAAGCTCTTGTAAGAGACCTAAAATTTTCTTATCCGGCCTATTAATTAATTTTATAATTCACAATTGCTAAACTAATTATGAATTTTTAAATATTTTTTTTCCAAAAAGAAATATTTTACAGTATCCCATATTTAAAGCTTAATATTTTTTCCATCAATCTACACAATTTTAACTCCAAATTCAACTCCAATAGTTACATCGTGGTTTTTTCTAATATAATTTTCTGTAAATTGAAGTACTAAGCAAGATTTTCCTACACCTTTTAATAAATCAACATGATCTTAAATTCATACTCCTTATTTTAGTTATATCAATAAATTTGGAAGAAAAATAATTTTACCTGAATCGCCTATGACAATAAACTTAAATAAATAATAATAAGAACTCATTTAGCTAATATTAGTATAAATAATGTAAATCTTTGTTATGTGTTCTTTAAACTTTTATATTTTATTAACTATATTTGTTAATTTAAGGTTTTTACTAAAAAAAGTAATTTAATTAATACTTTAATTAGCTTTTATCACCTAATTTGCGTTGCTTAGTTAAATTACTTTATTTCAGAATATATTCGCACACCATTTAATTAAATGCAATTTCTTATCAGATAGATAAAAGATTTGAATCTCAAAGTAATTTAAAGTGAGAAAATTCCTTGTTAAAGTTTTTTAATTTGATTAATATCTAATTTATCCAAAATATTATTTTATAGAATAATATTTAATTTATTAAATTAATTAATTAACGATACAAGAAATTTATTTTATTTAATTTTGTTGAAAGTTCAAATTTTTAAAATTTATAAAATACAAGATGTTTTAATTTTAATAAAAACAGAAGTATGTATATACTAAAGAAAAGAAAAAAGTTTTTTTATTAAAAGAAAGTAAAGAATATATTTATCAAGTAAAATAGTTAAATGAATAAATAAACATTCCTGTCTTTTTAATTTCTATGATTTTACTTAAAATATTTAAATTCATTAAAATCATCTAAAACACTTCTATGAAAATAAATTATATTTAAAATCTATTATATTTATTAAATATTAATTAATAATTTTATATAGACACATGCTAGCCATTAAAGAGTCTATTTGTTTTTGTGCTTTAAAACAAAAGCATTCTTTAATAAAACAAAATTTATTAATCAAATTTATCAATTTTTATTATTAATATTTTAGGAAAGTAGAAAAAGTAAGTTTAACATAAAAGTTTATAAATGAGCTCTTTTGAATTAGTAGATGACAATAAAAAAAACTAAAATTATCAAAGGATTAAGTGCTTAACTAAATTAGGTTAATGGAAAATATTTTATGACTAAAAAGAAAAAACATACTTAATAAAATCAAGGGATTTAAATCAAATAGAAGATTTAATTTCTTTATAATTAGGTGAGTAAGAAAAGTAATATCTCAGACATAAATAGACAGAAAGAAAAATGAATTAGCCAACTTAGTAATAATAAGAAAGAAGAAATAGATTTTTTTAATAAAAATAGATTATTTCTGAACTTGGATAGCAGCTAGATGTTATTGCGATTGAAGACGAAAAGCCTTGAAACTTTTTTTTAATGGTAAGCTTAAAACCAAATTTTGTAAGTAAGTGGTTATTAATTTATTTACTTTAGCTTTTTAAATTATTATAAATATTATTTTTTTAGGTTGTAATAAATAGAGAGGCCTTTCCTTGATGCGCATATTCAATTTTGAATGAAAATTTAAAGGAAAATAGATTTGCAATATTTTTAATCTTAAAAGCAATGATTATCATTCATATTCTATTTCTAAATATCATAAAAAAAAGATAAGAAAATTTAAGAAATTTAATCCTAATTATTTAAATACAGTATAATATTCAACGAAAAGAAGATAGTGTATTATTTATTCATATATAATTTGTAAAAAATTGAGTTATTCTTCACAAAAAATTGTTAAAAAAATTGAAAGTTTATTCCAAAAAATGATTTAAAAATATAAAAGTAATAAAATAAATATATTATTTATACTGAATAGTTAACAAGCAGATTAAACTTTTATTGAAGTAAAAATAAATTTTAAAAATTAAAACATTTTAAGTAAATTTGAAACATAATAAAAATTATATAAACATAAGAAAACTTTATTTATTTATCTATAAATAATTATAAAAAAATAATAATAATTTAAAAAAAAGATTGAATTATTTTAAAAATATATTTAACTCTGAATAAAAATATCTTTGAAAATCTATTTTTTAATTTTTATTAAAATAAATTTGAAAATTTATATAATTTTAAGTTAAAAAATAATGTTTAAATAAAAAGTTTAGAAACACATTTGCTTGTCAAAAACTGTAACTGCAAAATAAGGGATATGAGTACTTATTAATTAGGCTATCAAATACTTTTAAATTTTAACTTTTTAATAGGATGTATCTATTCTTTTGTAAAAATAATTAGCTGATAAGAAAATAATTCATTTTCAGTAAAAAATTGTTAAAATAGATGCATTCATTTAATTAAAGTGTCTATCCTTGAATTTAAAATAAATAATTTCACCAATTAAAGCATCTATTGATACTCAAAAATTTTAATTTAAGTTTGAATTACCTCTAAAAGTTGTTTGTTATAATTAATTTCAAAAAATAACTTAATAATAACTAAATAAATAAAGAAAATAATAAAATAAATGGAAGATTTTACCTATTTTGAAAAACCTACTGGTAAATAATAATACTGTAAAAATCTTCAATTAAAAAATAAAACTTGTAAAATTGTTAATTAACTTGGCGGAAAGTTTAGTTAAGAAAAATGGGCTTCTTGGAATTTTAAGAAAAACACTGGATATAAACCTATTTTTAGTTGTAAAGGATATGGAGGTGATTGTGGATGTGGTAAAAATAGGGGAAAAGAAATTAAAAATTCAACTTAATTTATCTAAACCTAAGCCTAATCTGGTTTAAGAGAATGGAAATTCACATCTGAACAAAATTGATAATTAACTAAAAAACTTATTATATATTTACTTATTTAATTCTTATAATTCTATTATGCATTTATTTATTTATTTATTTATTATTTATATTTTGTTAAATTAATTCTAAAATAAAATAATTATCAAAAAAAATTTACTTCTTTATGCTTAATTGCTTAAAAATTCATAAATATCTATATTTAGTGTTGAGATGACGTTTTATTTTTTTTGGTAAGGACAATTAACTTGGTAAGAATAATTAACTTGGTAAGAATAAAATAGATTTAAATACCTGGTCATGTATAGAAAAACAAAATTTTAAATTGTTAAAATTTGTAAGAAAACATCAATTTAAGAAAGTTGTTTTGATTTATTGTTTAATTAATAAGGTAAAATTCGATATCTATTCTATTGGTTTTGATTATGATTTTAATATTTAGTTGTATAAATTGGCTGATATTTAGGATATTAAATATCCTATATTTTTTAATTACAAATTTTAGTAAAAGTATAAGAAAGAAAGATAACCATAATATAAATTTATAAAAAGCCATTAAATCCGTTATAAAAAGCTTTTTTGCATGGGAAACTGCTGTGGAGATAAAAACTCAGGAACATCTAACTCTACATTAATCATAAATGCACAATGTTAGAAAATATATCAATTAGAATCTATAGATCTCTAAAACAATGATCAAGTTTTTAAATATTGTGAAGAGTTAAAAAATTTATCGCATGTTAACGTTAAGTAAATAAGCTCATTTAATGTGATAAATGGGTAATTATATATATCTACTCATCTCAACCAAGGTAAAAAATGTATAAAATTTAGCTTTGTTATTAAAAATTCAACTAAGCATTTTTTATTTTACTCAACAAATAGAAACTGATTTAGCTAAATACATGGATTCTAGAAAAAATAGCATATTACCAAGCTAGATAGCCAAATTTATTATTAGATAAGTATGTTAGGGTCTGTAGTATCTCCATAGAAAGGAAATAGTGCATGGAGATTTGAATTTGAAGAATATCGAAATCAATCCAGCAAATAATGAGATTTAATTAAGTATATTCTTTTTATTTAAAAGCATTTTAGTAATTAAAATAATTTTTGAATAAACTAATTTTTTTGTATCTATTTAGTGAATATGAGTCTCCCATCAAAGTTCTAGCTAAAATTAATAAAGAATCCAGTATTTATTTTTTTATTCGATCTATTCACAGCGTTAATTCAAAATCTTTTTAAAACTTTTTATCAAATTATATTATAGTATCAAATGTAAGAATTCGAATCTCCAGAATAGAAATAAGAAGAAAACATTTCATATTCTTCTGATTTATATTCTTTAGGCGTTTTAGCATTGAGTTTATATGGGGTTAGTTTCTAAAGCACTTTAAAAATATCAAAACCTGTTCATTGCCCTTTCGGATTATATGAAAAATTAAAAGCATTGATAAATCAAAACCCTGATTCAAGACCTCCTATAGATGATATAATTGAAGCTTTAGATTTCGAAAGTATTTTAACCGTTTTTAATAAGACTTAAATATAATAAATATAATTAATTATGTTATTTATAGCCAACCCAGAAAGTATACAGAACATAGATTAGGTGGATAAAGAAAAACAAAACACAAGTAAAAATAGTAAACCGATTGAGTAAAACGAAGATTAACTCAGTCTTTAATCGCAAAAATAAAAAGATTAATAAACTATACATGAAACAAATATAAATGCAGTAATTGCAAGCTAAAAAGATAACTAGTCCTCTGTTAATAATATCTAATTATAGTAAAAATCATAGAAGTAATATATATTTTAAATCAAATTTTACTTGCTTAAAATATTTTTATTTAACTAGTATTATAGAATTGCAAAATAATACTTCCTAATAAATAGAAAAAGCAGTTAATATTGAGCATAAACCAATATCAGAAAAGATAATTCTCTAAAAAGTTAGTGAAAAAATAGAGTATGATTTTAACCCTTACAAATTAAAGCAAACCAAAGAGTAAATAAATATTTTAGCAAATAATTAGTTGTAATGTTATTTATATAATTTATCAGCTAAAGTTATAAAAATCCAATGAAAACTTTACATTATTATCAAGATCATGAATCTTTAATTACATCGATTGCAAGTGACAGTACTCATAATTATATTTTTACTTCTAGTCTTGATGGTTCTGTAATCGTTTACTAGTTTGATTAAAATTAAAAATAGCTCAAACAACATAAAAAATTATCAGATTTTGTTTATGGAGTTTCTTAAGTGAAAGTAACAGCTGACAATAACTATTTAATTGCCTCTGATCTATCTTCCAATATATATATTTATAGTTTAAAAGATTTTAAACTATTCAAAAAGCTAACTAATTTGTTTGAAAAAAGTTGCATACTATCAATTGATATCTCTGAAGATAATCAATAATTGCTGATTTCAGCAACATATAAAAAGACACTTTTATGTAATCTTAAAAACTTTGAAAGTAAATTGAATTGTAATAAATATTTTTAAATTTAATTAATATTCTTCACATTAAAGTTAGTAAATAGTAAAACATTGAAGGATTAAGCAGTAATGGCCAAATTTGTAGATTCTTCTAAAAGTATATTATAATAGGAGAGGAAAGTGGTAAAATACTTGCATACAATTAAGATAACTTGATAACTCCTATTAAGGAATTTAACTACCATAATAATGCTATTACATAGATATCTATTGGAGCTAACTATTTTGCAGTCTCTAGCTAAGATAAAAATATATCAATATTTGATGAATAACTTAATAAAATTTAGAGTATAAGTACTCATCTTGATTGTGTTGCTAATGTATTTATAGATAAGGACTGTAATTCCCTCACTTCTAATGGTTGGGATGGAAGTACATGTTTATTTTTAAAAAATTCCAATGGTTAATTTGAACTTCAAAGCTGTTTTTCAAACGAAACTAGTTGGTCAGTAAGCAGCATTTACATTAAAAAAAATAACCTAATAATATCAAGCGGAGGACGCTTCTTATTTATATTTTCTTGATAATTAGAATAGACCATATAATGATTAATTAAAGTAATTAAAAAGTTAGAATTTATAATAAATATTCAAAATTTTTATTTTTGTTAATTTATTCTAATTTTCATTTTCTAATTTTATTATTTCTTAGTTTAATTTTTAAAGGCAAGTAAACAAATAAAATCAATCATTTATCAAATTTTTGTTATGCATATGTGTGTATGAATAAACCCAAAATATATAAATACTAGTTTCAATTTTATAATTCAAATAATAATTTCCTGAAAATCTTATTAATTTTAATATTTTTCAGAAATCTTTTGGACTTAATTTGTTAGTGTCTGTCTGTCTTAATATATGAGGTTTCAGTATTTAAATTTTATGGATAAATATGATGAAAAATATTATAAATTTGAAGATAATATTCTATTTTCATTTAAAAATTGGATTTTATTTTGGATTTAACAATATAATTTACTTAAAACATAAATAAACATAGTAGCTAGCATCTCACTTAAAGTGAATTTCATTTTGATTAAATACGAATAATAATTTCAAATAATCATCAATATCTAATTTTGCTGGTCTTTTTTCAAGATATCCACTGTCCTCAAGTATTTTATGTATTTTTTCTTTAAATAATTTTTTTTTATCATCTACTTAAGCTGCATCTTCTTCTTCATCTAATCCTTCATCATCGTTATGCTTTTTTTTATTTTATTTTTTGTTGCTTTTTTCATCATCTATTTCTTCATCTAACTCTTCATCCATTCCCATTTACATTAAATCTGCAACATTATTATTATTATTATTTCCTTTTTTCCCTTTTGTATCTTAATTTTGCTTTTATTCTTCTTCAACTGCACCCTATTCTATAGCTTTTATCTTTTAATATGTTTCAAAGTTCTTCTCTAAAACTTAGAGTACTGACTTATTCTTAAAGATAGCAGAAAGCTATTTATTCTTTCTCATAAAGCAAACTCTAAGAAGACCATCCCATTCTATTAATATTTTAAAAAAAATTATTTATTTGATCATATAAAATAATTTTGCTATTTACCAATGTAGTTAAGTACAGGAGCAGGGTTCTTTGGTTCAATACGAATAACAGAAGATTCAACTTTTGGTGGTGGCTTGAAGTTATTTTTACCTACCTTGATTAAGTGATCACACTTTGATAACAACTAAACGTTTACAGATAATCTACAATATAAATCACTTGATGGCTTTGCTACACATCTCATTGCGAATTCTTTTCTAATAGTAGTAAATTTAGATTAATTTTAAATTTAACATTAGCATATGTATATAATAATTGTATCTAAGAATAAGATTATGATTCAAAATTTTACTAAAACATAAGAACTGCATGTCTAAAAAGAGGTCTATGAGAGAGGAGCTTGAATACGAGAGGTGATGAAATTTAATAAGGAGTATTTGCAACACAAACATCAAAAAATGGGAACTCTGTTGAAATAGCATCTCCTTAAATAAGTTCGAATTTATGTGCATGTTGAGAATATTTGAATCTTTTGTTTAGTTCAGCAACCATTCGAGGATCAATTTCAACAGCAATAACTTTTTTAGCCTTTTCTAAGAGGAGTGCAGTAAGATTACCAGTACCAGGACCAATTTCTAATACAATATCAGTAGGTCTAATAGCAGATTTTTCTACTATACTATGTAACATTTATGGATTAACTAAAATATGCTAACCAAAAGACTGTTTTATTCAATAAAAATAAAATATTTTAACCTAAATTATATTCTTTTTAATGATTTTATCTATATTAGTAAAATAATTAACATACTTTATTAAAAACCATTTGGTTTTTGGCAACAGGGTTTTTGCTCATGATTTTTTGTTTTGCTAATATCTTAAGAAATTTGTAAAATTAATTTTTTGATATAAATTTTTATATTTAATTAGATTTGTAAAGTTTTTATACACTATATGAATGAAAAACTATCTGCTCCAAATAGCTGATAAATATCAATCAATTTCAATTATTAATAATGCCAAAACAAAAATTCATTTCAAATTAATTAATCATCACTCAAGTCATGCAAAATACTAACTTTAATTTGTAATTTAATTAATTCTTATTTTTATTTTTGTTAGCTAAATTTATACTAATTCAACTAAAACAAATTCTTCTTTATAATTAGAAGAATTTATTCTACTAATTAGCCTTATTAATTCTACTTATTATTTAAATTTAATTAATTATTTGAATAAATTGCTTAAAAAATCATTTTTTTAAAAGACCTTCTTTAATTAAAAAAAATAACTTAAATAAATTACTAAAAAAATCATTTTTTTAAAAATTCCTTCTTTAATTAATTAAAAAAAATTTGAATTATATTTTTAAGAGAGAAACAATAAGATAATTTGCAAAAAGATTGATTTAAACAATATGTAGTTTTTTAAAAATGAATAATTAATTACACTCTTTTTAATTTATTATAAAGTATTGAATTTAAATTAATTTAAAAATATTTTATTTTTTGTTCTTCAAATTCTTGATTTTAAAATATTCAAATCTCTTTTAATGAAATTTTTTCCATAATATTTGGATTTTATGATGCGTAATAGATAACTCCTCTTCTAAAAATTGATTTGATAGACTTAAATGTTGGAACGACAAAAAGCCTGGGCTTTTTAATAGAGTTTGTAGCTATTTTATTTTGATCTAATTCAGACCCTATATTGTCAAAAGATACATCTAGTTGATCAGTTTTATTACCGTCTTCAAATATCAATGAATTTCTATATAATTCTTCTGAATTTAAAAAGGCTTGCAAAATTCTAATTTTTTTCTTTTACTCTTTGGGTGCATGTCTAATCATATGAAGATAGTTTCCTATATTTTACCTGAATTCTATCATTTAGTCATTAAAATATTCATTGATCGCATATTATTTAACTTCTATTGAGTTTATAGTGTTTAATACACTTTATTTTTTTCTCCAAAACAGCTGTTCATTATCTTCTGTCTTTTTTACTTCAATAGTCTACTCCATACCCATGAAATAATACCTATTTTTTATTAATTATATTTTTTTAATTTATAGTTTAATAATATTTTGAATACTTATCCCATAGTTTGTCAAGTAGTTTTTTGAAATTGGCTTTTTTAATTCTAAAAATCTTGTAGTTTTATTAAACTGTAATAACTATTTAATAGTATCTATTCATTTTGACCCATAACTCTGAATACTGAGAATTATACTTCAAAGCTCTTACTATCAGATGGCCAGCTTGCTTCTTTTTTTTCTTTTTAATTATATTTGCTAATGTTTCCATAGTGATTTTAGCATATCTTAAATTATTTTTATCCTCGTCTTTAGGGTATTACCTATAAAATCTCTTTATTTTATAAATAATTTAGTATTTTTGCAAAAGTTATTAACACAATCATTAATTACTCTAAACTTCATGGTCAAAGGATGTGCTTTCCATGCTATCTTTGCAAAATTCTTGATTACTTCTTTTTTTTCTATGAATTTGTCGTTAATCATAGAACTTATCTTTGCTAAGTAAATCTTTAAAAATAATTTTTAAAATATATTTAAAATAACTCAAAAGATTATTTACAATTTGAAACCAAAAATAAGTAAAAAAGTCAAGTCTAAATTTCTTTATCTTATGGATCTGCTTTTAAATCTTAGAAAGCTGTTCTTATTCTATAGCTTCTTACTTAGCTTCTTTAGTTTCTTGAGCTTTCTTAATAACATTTATTATATGATTATAAGTTTCTTTCTTTTTTGAATAAACGTTTAAGGTTTTTGTAAATTAGTCAATCTCTTTAGAAACTTTTATATTTTTAAGGATAAAATTTCCTTCTTCTTTCATTTTTCTTTGCCTTTCTTATTGAATTTCAATTACATTTTGCTTGAGCTTTGAATAATTTATCTAATTAAAGCTCTCAAGGCTTGCAATATTTGGAATAGATGTAATGGATTAGCGATTTTGAAGATCTTAATTTGAAAGACGTTTGGTATCTTATCCAAAAGTATACTTTAGTTATATATCTTGCTCTTAATCTGACAGTAAAGAAAAGTACAAGAAATGATGCTTTTTGAAAATGCTTTAATTCTTTTCATCATCAATGCTTATAGCTTTAGTGTTATTAAATACATAATCGCAGTTAAAGTTGTTAGGCTGTATGCAAGTTTTACTAACATAAAGTTTGATATTAGAAGAGTTTTTTTCAACCACAAATTTAACTCTAAGTGGAGTATTTCTTTCCAAAACTTTAATCTTGAAATAAATAAACTCATTTATATCACATCTTATTACATTAAGTATTCCATCTTAAACTAATTGAGAGTTTATAGTAGTGTTACTAATAACCTAATATATAAATTAAAAATAAAATTAAATATAGGTATTTTAATTTCAATAGAACGAACAATCCAAAATAATGTTTATTTTATCTCACTAAATATTTGGATGTTTATAAAATTAAGTTAGAACAAATTGCATTTTGATGCTTTAAACTATTAAAATTGATAAATTATCTAATTATTTATGCTTATTGATTTTAACTAACTCTTTTAGTTATTAGATAATAAAAATGTATAATATTGATAAAATGAATAATAAAATAATTTACTAAATATTTAAAACTTAAAATAATTTACATTCACTAACTTCTTTTTTGCTTTATTAGACTTATTGAGTAATAAAAATTCTGAAGGATCAATAGTTGTAGCACTTTAGAACTACTTTCCTTCGATTTTATCAATCCATTCAAAATTATGAGAAAAGTTATCGTAGAGAGACTATGCAGATCCTACTTTGACACTTAATTATTACAAAGATTTAGATTAATTTTTTGATGTTAAAGTGTTATCTAAATTTTAAAGACTGCCATTCTTATTTTTTTAGCTAGCGATTTACAAATTAAAATTTGATCCTTTGATAGAAGACACTTATGTTTGCGAAGATATTAAATTTCTTGAAGAACCTTAATCTTAACTTAAGTAAAGAAGACTTTTCATTGAATGCAATTATGGTTTTGAGTTAGAAAAAGGAGTTTGAGATGATTCTTTAGTTGTAATTTGAAGTTTTTCATTCTACTCTTTAACAAACTATTATGTATATTTCTAAAAGCTATTAGAAGATTTAGCAAATAGACTAGAATTATTTTTAAATCCATCATCTATTTATTTTAATCTCCTATGCTCAATTTATTTATCGGCTTTGCTATTATAATTGGATTGTAAGGAATTGTTTCTCAAACTTTATGGATTTATTTTTATTTATTCTACTATACTATTCAAGTTAGTATAACTCCCTTTCAATCTAATTTAATTTTATGGAGTTTATGGATTAATGAGAAGCTGTTAATTCAAAACAGATGAAACACTTGTGCTATTAAGAGGTGTACATATCGTCCTACTCAAAGTACTAGTTTAATTTCTAACATCCTTTTTTAATTCTTCTCTTTGTAATCTTTTACTTTATCCAATATACCTGTTTGCTATTTAATATTGCTCTTACTGTTGATTTTTGAGAATGTTGCTCATGAGCTTATATGTTATTTAATCAATTATTTATTAATATTAACATCAAATACGATGACTAAATTTTAAGTTTGTCAAATTGCTTTTAAAGTTTGTCAGTAAATGATTATTTTAATAAAATTTTTACAAAACCATATCTTTATTTATAATTCAAGTCTAAAAAGCATTAAAAAGATAAGATACATAAACAATTAAATACCTGCATTCATATTTATTTATATAAGTAATTAATAAATTTAGTAGTTTTATTAATTTTATAATAAATACCTTGATATTTTTTACTTAACTTTTTAAAATCTATTTTAAAGATATATCTTGCTAATCCAGGTATTAAAATATGATGAACTGGATAGCATCATAATTTAATACATGGATTTTGTTTAATTTAAAATAAAAAAAATAAATTAAAATATTTATGAAAACATATGTAAAGGCACTATTTAATAAAATTCATAAATTTGTAAATAATAAATAAATATATAGTATAAAAAGTGTTCAAATACAATATTCAATATTTTTTTTCAAATTTTTGGGGATTTTCATGATTTAAAAAAATAATTTTTTTTATAAATTTAGAAGCTCATGCTTGATATTTAAAAACTAACTGAATTAAGAATAATTTTATGAAATTTGAAAATTAAAAATATTTATAAATTTCATTAAAAATAATAAATTAGAGCAAATACTTATATTTAAAAACATTTAATAAAAAAACACACAGATTTGAAGAAATAAATTAATCATTTATTAAGTATACTTAATTCCTTTTATTTATTTGTGCTTGTTTATATAAATGAAGGCCTATGCTATAATTATTATTATTTGGATATTTAATCTTTCTTGTTAAATGAATAGGCTCTAGCTTTTAAAAGTGGTTTCTTTTGGTTTTTCATATTTTTCATATTATATTTTTTGATAACAGTGTCATAGTTACATTGAGGAAAATAAATCAAAAAATTTTTTTATACATCTATTTCAAAACATTTTTCATCCAAAATTTGATATAAATTTTAATATGTGTGATAAATTTAGTTAGCTAAGGATGTTTATTTTTTCATGCTATTCTCTTATCTATTTTCTAATTGTTTCAAAATTCCACCAGTCATAAATGTTTTAAAAGAATTTTACTTTTATCCTACATTTACTGAATTTTAAGGATTTTTTTTACTTATTGATTACCTTAAGGATTCTGGCTTTATACTAACACTCAAATCACTATATATTTTTCCCATAGTATTTTGTTCATTACCTTTAAATTCTTCTGTATTTTTTTAAGATATGTATTAATTTGAAAAAGAAGAAAAATTTTAGGAGTAGGTTTCTCCGAAAAAGAGTTTAGCTTCATCATAAGCATTTTATTTGTAAGGTGATTAAGGCACTTTTTATATATAAGTAATATTTCTAGCTGGCAATTTTTAGTTTTAAGAGACATTTTGTGTTATACTACTCTTTTAAGTAACCAGCTAGTGATCTATACTTGATGGTAAGCTTTAATAGGTATATAGATCTTCTTCATGAAAATACTAATGAAAAGGAGCTAAACTATTAATATGCATAGGTTATTATAGATGCATTTCACTTGTATCTAAGGAAGAATCATAATAAACTTCAGGTTCTTGATTCTGTAACTTTTGCTTATAGTTTTATGAATTAAAAACCAAGTCTGATTAAGGTTATATAAGTCCTTGAGAACCTAAGGCTCTTTGATTTAAATTATTTAATCTTTACTTACTTTTTTATAATAATTCAATCTTTTTTAAGCTCTGTAATGATGGCTTGATATGAGAAATTTAGATGTTAACATCAGAAACTGAATATGGTTGCAGTAGACTTGTTATATCTTGATGACCAATATTGTTTTAATTAAAACCATTTTTTTAAGAACAAATTAGTTAATTTGATAGTAAATCATTCACTTGTGGCTGAGTCACTATTATAGTTCCTGTTTGAATTCCAATTTAATTTGCTATACTTTATTCTAATAATGTTGCACCTCCTATTTATGTAATTAGTTTATTTGTCGACTATTCTTTGACTTAAGCATTACAATCTGGAGATAACTCAACCATTAAATATTTAAAAGCAGAAAAATCCTTTGATCGTTTACGTTAATGGCTAGCATCTCTTTCTTAATAAGTTGAAATATTTGTCTTATATATTATTTAATCTCTATTCATTATTTTGTGGATATAGGGACATTCATAAGAGTAATGATATAATTTCCCACAGCTTTTACAGTTCAAGTTTAAAATATTTTTTAGCTTAAAAAAGCTAACTTTATCTTAGCTTAAAAAAAACTTCTCCTTTTTTTAAATTAGTAAATTAAACTCTATTTAAAGTAAAATAATTGAATTAAAAATATGACAAATATTTTAATAATAAGTACTTAAATAAAACTAATAATAACATTTATTTCTTTTAACTTCGATAAAAATCTTGGGTAAAAAATTTTATCAATTTAAACTAAATTTACTTCTAAATAAAAATTTTTAATTGGAAAAAGTGGATTACTTTTTCTTCAGGAAAATCATTTAGAAGCTATAGAAATGATGATCTTTCTAAGTATGCTAGATTTGTTGCTGAGAATGTTTTAAATTTGGGAACTATACTAGGTTATTATCCAGTTACAAACAGTTCTAGATTTATTACTTCACCTCTCTGAAATATAATTGATTAAAATTAGTAATTTAATTATTTTGATTAAAATCTATTTTTTACTTTGTATCTCTAGCCTGAATAATGGCCTGAGCTGACTTTCTAAGAAAAGCTGAATCCAACATCTCCTTATATCACAAATAGAAGACTTTCGTTAAAGGATTCTTTAGACGGAAATACAGTCTCATCTACTTCCATTCCAGCCCCTAATTAAATTTCTTTAACTAGTGAGCACAGATTATATAAAAATTTAGAGTCAAATGTCTATGAAAAATATTACTGACTCTTTATTAATGTATAATACAGTTCTATTTAAACAGTTTGCTTAATAGATTCAGGCATTTAGCCTATTATCTATAACCCAGTTTAATCGTTTGAAGATTTTTATTTCAAGAGAAACGAATAATGCCTGAAAATTTAATCTCTCAGCTCTCTAGTTATACTTCTTTGCTTCATAAAAAGCTGTAATTAAACTATTTTTTTATTATATTCTTCTTCGTTTCTCTTCTTTTCTCTTACTGTTTCACCTACATTAAATATAAATCTTATCAAAATAATTAAAGAGTTTTATTTTTACCTATTGTATTTATAGAATAAGCAAAGACACCGCAAGAAACAAAAGCTACAAATATGACATAAACTCTTTCGTCTTATTTTAATTAATTTTTAACATTTAGAAAGAATAAATATATAATATTTACTTGTTGATTATGGAACAATATCACCATATCCAATTGTTATCATAGTTATAATAGACCAAAATATAGAAGCAACATAAATATCAATATCTCCTTAATTTTGAAATTTAGTAAGCCATGATTGATTATATTTGGATTATTAACCAATTAGAATGAATATGCATCCTGAAATATGAGCTAATAATAAAATCATAATAACTATCCTTAAAAAAACTGTGTATTGCTGATATTTCTAATTGATTTCAAATAATTCTACAACCTTATCGTAATAATATATTACATCGTTAAATTTTAGAATTATAAATATTGAAAGATATCTCAATTCATAGTAAAAACATGCAATTACAGTTATCAGCAATAAAATTACATCAACCCTAATAATTTAAATTAGAGAATTTCTTTTAAATGCAATTATAATATTTACCATGAACTAAATTAAGAAAAGTATCTTTTAGCAATAAGATTTCTCTCACTGACTAATTCACCTCCTTTAAAATAAGCCTATTTAAAAATGTTTTGTTTAAAAGAAATTCTATAAATATCTTACTAAATTTGTTTGAATCAGTAAATTTAATAATAAATATAATGAACAAAGTGAGCATATATTTATTTGTAAGTCAAAGCATAGAGCAAGCGGAGTCAGAATAAGTAGAAACAGCAAAGATATAATATTAAATAATAAAATACAAATCTTTTTAGGTTAACTCTATTTTTTTAGATAAGAGTGTTGATTTATTTCGATTTAATATTAATTAAATAAATGATATTTTACTGGAATCATGACAAATATATCACTATTTATAAATCTAAAGATGAGATCTATATTTTAAATTTTATAGATTAAGATCTATCATGTTTATTTGTTTTATAAAATTACTTGTAAATTGTCTGAGTATATAAATTAATTCATATTTCTATTTCTTTATTTAAAAAAATAAAATCTCTATCATATTCAATTGTTAAAAATTGTATTTATAATTTATTTTACTTAGTTTTACTAGTAGAATTAATAGTCACTTGAAAGATCACCAATCTGATAGAATTAATACTCATAAATCTTTTTAAATAGGACGCTTGAGGCAAAAAGCTTTATTTTCTATATAAATTAGTGTATCTAGACACTTACTTTGATAGATGACACCTTTTATCTTTTATCATTTGATTATTATTAAATGTAATTAGTTTATTTTAAAGTTTTTTTATTTATAGTTTTATCATCTGAATTTTTTTTATCGCTTAGGCTATCTTAATTTTATTGTTTATTCATGTTATTAAATTTACTTAAAGTTTTTTGTTTTTTCTATTAATCTATTATAAAACTACTTTCTCTCATTCTTTGTTCTCCAATACTTTCTACCATAGATTATTTAGCAGATTCTTATAATGGACTAAGAGTTTAGTCGTTTTAATTCAGTTGCTTCTCTACTATTGACTACTAAATATCTGATGAATCCATATATATGCTTAAGAATGTAAAGACAAAAATTTATAATGACCCTCGGAGTTTTTTTAATTTAGCTTCTTTATTTTAAAATTGTGAAAAGTCTACTTTCTATTTATTTGCTTTATTTAATTTTGTTTAGTAAATTATACTTTTTTTAAATTATGGTAATTTTCTATTTTATAGAGATAATTAGTGCCATAGAAACTAAATCAAATTGAAATTATTGTTATTAGTTCATTTTTTAATATAAATGTTTTATTATTATTTAAAATAATATAAATTATTTATGTAAAAAATTAAAATTACTTACAAACTTAATAAAAAAAATATTTATAGCTTTCTAATTAAAATATTCAATAAGTGTTCAAAAGGTAAACATATTTTAAAATAAATGAACAAGCAAAAACTTAAGCTTTTTTAAATTTAACATATAAATAATTGGTTAAATGTTAACTATTTTATTATTATTTAAATATAACAGATAAAAGCAATCTGCTTTCATTCAAAATTTTTTGTGTTCTATTATCAACTTTGACCATATTAATTTCTTAATCTATTGATAAGTCTTTAATAATTTAATTTTTGTGTAAGTAGATTGCTTTTATACTCTATATAATAAAATAAAATTAGGCTGATAAATAATTACATTAGATGTTATAAATTAACTTATTTTAACAGTCATTAAATATTAATTAAAATTAAAAATACTTTGTTTATATCTTCTAAATATCAATAAATTATTTCCCAAATATTGCTGTTTACTTGAATCAGCAGTATAACTTTAATGGTGCTTATTGCATTTTAGTAAAAAAGGAAGAGGTATCCCCACTTTTTTTACCAAGAACTAAAGGAGTCATGAAAGTACTTCTAAATTTGCTTGCCTTTCTGCCATTTTTCATAGGGCTTCTTAAAATAGGCATAATATGTGATTTTAATAGTTTTGTTATTACTATTTCAGAATTGTATTCTGGGAAATATATTTCATATGTTCTTTTTTCATCAATATCAAAAATTTTAGATTCTAATAATTAAATCTTTTGCAAGCGGCAATGCTATATGATGTCAGCTTATGGGCCCTCTTCTTCCTCTACGTAATCTTCATAGTCTAAGTACTTTTAGCTTTAATAAGTCTCTTAAAAATATTAAAATTCTGGCGCATTTTACTATGAAGCTGTAGATAAATCTTGAATTTTTGAAGCAAACTAATTTTATATATTTGTTTAGCTTTAAATATTTGTATGGCTATTGATTTAGTTATAAGTATTTATTGAACTTGTAAGTTAATCTTCTTAAATTGTCTGTGGTACGTCAGGTAAATATGTTTGAGATACTTACTTGTTAGATAAAGTTATAATAGCATTGTTTGTTTTTTTTATTTTTATATCATCCATATTGAAAACTGCAGCACTCCCTTTCAGTTTTTTTGATTGCTTTTTCTAATTATTTCTTTTTTTATATAACGAATTAAAACTTTAATTAATTTAAATGTCTTCGTCTTTATATATTGAGCCATCTTGCTAGTCTTCTTTATTAAAGTAAATATCGTTTCCACGTATGTTCATTTCTTTAATTGACTGCTGAGGATGCTACGAAGATTCAATACCAGATTAGCCAACTGAAATTCCAGAAGGATTAATGAAATTACTCGAGGTATGAGGATTCGATTAAATATTATTACTAACTGCTAAATTAGTCAAGCTTATCTAATTATTGTTAGAACTCTAAGGTTAGTTGGTTCCATTACGAGGAGAGAGGTATGCAATCATTTAATGAGAACCTAATTATAATTAATCTGGTTGAAATTATAATTCAGAGTGAGATCTCTTTGATCTATTTTAGAGTGAAACTAAATCAAAATCATTAGCCGAATTTCCCAAGGAATTTTATGCCTTAAATTCTTTTATTTTTACTATCGGTTTCCGATTGTCTTGAGAGCCTTCCCTTATTGCTAGACTCTAGTTAGTTTTTTTTCGTTTGTTAATCCTAGTTCCTTGTTTACTATGATCTTTCAACTAAAAGGACACATTTGAACTATACGAATGGTGACGATTGCCTTAATATTAAGAAACCTATTTGTTATCAGTAGGTATTTTATGGGATGTATATTAAGTAATATATTCTTTTCTAACTTAATCAAATTCCTCTTAATTATCAGAATCCACTTCATAATTTATACAAGCATACTAATTATATCGTTTAAAATTTTTCCTATTGTGAGGTTATCTTTCTTATTTTTTTGAAGAGTTTAATTCATAAAGAAGCTTATCAAAATTTGGTTTTAAGTGAAGCCTATCACAAAATTAAACGCTGTGATTTTCATTACCACAGGCAAGACATCTCAGCTTATTTAAGTCAAATTAATTGTTGAATGAGATTTTATCTTTAATCATAAAAAAGTTCTCCTATTATGTTTAATAGATTTTTATTTACAAACCATTAAAAATATTATGTTACTTACCTTATCTGGAGGGAATTCTTCTAGAAGCCTAAGGAAATCTGCCTTATCAATAAATGCAAGTATAACAACGCTTTTAGTTCTATAAATGGAGTTTATGCCTAATGTTTATCCACTGATAAATTCAGGTAATCCAAAGCATTCACCTTTCTTTAATATAAATAAATCATTAAAAACACAATTCGAGAATAGATTAATAAGTATTTTTAGAATCTTTTCATGAATACTCGTCTAATGCTTGAAAGAAAACGATTCCATTAATTAATAATTTACCTCATATGTTTTTATAATCCTGTCCTTTTAAACTCCTGCTTGGCATGAAATTTATCCCTTCATTACAAAGTAAACTTTTTGATGTAGTGGAATAGTGTTAGCTTAGTGTAGTTTTTCTATTTCATTTAAGTTCATATCAGGACCTATTCTCATTTCTTTTACCTACTGACATATTTTCTAAATAAAATTTTCACTAAATGTACTTTTAAAGAAAGGTTGCTCTCTTAACATTTTTTGGTACAATTCTACTTAAAAGTTGTTATAAATTTTGTCTGGTAACTCGTTAATCATGCTATAAACCTTGCTGCTTTCGTAAATTTATTCTTTGTGCACATAATGGAAATATTTAAAAATTTTATCTCTCAAATCTCTGTTGACTTGTCTTTTTTTCATAAAGTGACTTAAATCATTTATTTTGTTCTAGAACTGAGCTTTATTATCCTACTTTGTCTTTAATATATATCCTAAAAATAGTTAAGTAATTCATTCATTATAGGTAAAATTTATCATTTACCAATCGTATTCAGTGAATAGCCGAAAATTCCGCAGGAAACAAGACTCACAAAAATAACATAAACCTTTTCATCTTTTTTTTGATAGAATAAAAAGTTAAATTTTATATTAAACATCAAAATATACCTATACTTACAGGCGTAATGTCTCCATATCCAACTGTAAGCATAGTTATAACTGACCAATAAATGGCAGAAGTATAAACACTAGTGTAATCATTATATGGTATTTTTAAACGAGAAATCCAATTGTTTTAGTCTTAATTTCCCATAGCAATTTTAATAAAAAAGCATCCTGTAAGATGAGCTATCAATAAAATTTAAAAAAATATTTTAAGGAATATTCCATAATGTTTGTATTTTTATTTAATTTCCAGCATATTCATTATTTTATCATACATATCCAAAACATATCCAAGTTTTAAAATAATTGGCAACTATAAAAACTAATTATCACTAGAACTCAAAGATGCAAGATAAGAACTTAAAATGAAAAAATCAATCCTATTTATAATTTAAACTTTAGTAAATATCGAGCGCTTTCATATGAAAATGCTAATTACCAGAATTTATCTTTTAGAATATAGTTTTTTATAATTTGTATTCGTTTTTTGATAAGTATACCTCTCTTATATATAGCCTTTTAAATTGTATGTTTAAGTTAAAAAAAATATATATTTTATAGAAAATTTACCTGATTCATTTAAATAAGGATATTAAAAACCATAAAAGAAATAGAAACATCAATGATGAGATCGTAAAAATATAGAATATTAACGCCCATACAGAACTTAACAGGAACTATTATGAGAAGCATTATAGTATAAATAAATGTCCAAATACTCCAAATAATTTAAAAACTAGAATTCTTTTGATAAAATTATGTTCTTAAAAATGAAAAATAAATAGAAAAGAAATTATTTATACTGGATCAATTATAAAAGACTCTGATCGAATAAATGTTGTAAGCATATCTTTTTTTTGATAAAATATTTTATTATTAGATAAAGCTATTAAATATGTAGCAATAAACTATTTAAGCTATTAAAAACATGCTGAAATTTTTACTTTTCAATTAAATAACTAGGTAACTGCATTTATTAATCTCCGTTTGCTGTTTTATTAGAAGTAAATATTAATTTTATTCTCATTTTTACTATATATTTGATTTATTAATTGTATATTTTAGTTTTTTATACTATTACCATAACTTATTTATGATGGCGTATAGAAAAAGATAGATCTCCAATCATTTTTAATTACTTCTAAGTCAGCTTTTAGAACAATACACTACTTGACTTTAACTTGAATTTCTATGCAAATCTTTTTGCCATTAAACTAACTTGCAATGACAATTTAGGCTTAACACTACTTTAAAAAGAGATATTTAATTTTTTGTTTAATCCTACTTCATTATTTAATTAGCTTTATAAATAAGAAATTTTTTCTGGCTCTGGAGAGTTCTTTAAATTAGAATTTTAAAGGGATGGGCTAAGTTAGAAGTTTGCTGAATTGATAGCTTGTAGTTATATTTTTTTGGGGCTGTCTTCTTTTTTTTTAAATGGTTTTTACGTCTAAAAAAAACTATTATTTGACGGGTTATTGATAATTTCATGTTAAACATCGACTTTTGGTTGCATTGGCGATGAATTTTCATCGAGTAATAACCTCCTCTTATTATCACCAAACCTAAGGCTACTCCCTATCTTTGGGTCAGATGAACTCTACTCATTTAAAACTAGTTCAACATTTGAATTATTTATAGAAGGCATTTTATAAATAGCTTTCTATGAATTATCTAATTATGGAGCCTTTACTTATTCGCTCATATATTTGAATATTAATATTTAACTTTTTTTTTACTTACTATTGAATTAAAAACAAATTGATAATAAATATAAAAAAAATTTAAGGTTAATACTATCTATCTTGTTTTATTTAGCGAAGGAGAGAATTCCTTATTAATATTATTATTACTTGTATTTTCTTAGCATCTTCACCTTTGCCACTCAAAATGACAATCATACTATTTATCATAAAACAATGTAATATTCGCCAATCAATACAAATTTTTTTTACTCATAATTTTTAATCATATTAAAAAATTTATGAATCTTAAATACTATATAAAAAGTTTAATCAATAATCAAATTATTTCTTCAATAAATAAAAATTATAAATAATAACCCTTCTAACTCTTTATTAACAATGTAATTAAATTAAATTTTCCAGTGTTACATAATTTTTGGAATTAAATTTTTTAATTTTGTCTTTTTTTCCAATATTGTACTTTGAATTACTCTAAAAAACTAAATGTAGCGTGATTTAAGTAAAACAAAAAACGTATTTGCATATACAATTGTTTTTACAATATAATTGCATTTTAGTTTAATATACTAAGTATTATAAAAAAATTTCATAAAAATAATCAAAGATCAGTAATAAGATTATTAGCAAGCAAAGCTCTTTCATAAAAAAGGCTATTACTTACTAAAAAAAATTTTCTATAATTTTTAATTTAACTTCATCTTCTTTTATTAAGAGACTTACTAAACTAGTAAAAAAAATTAATAGGTGTAACAATATAAAATTTAAATTTACTCTAATTAGGAAGAGAAATATTAATAATTTATTTAAAATAAAATTTTTAATTTCAAATTTAATGATATTATTTTGGAAATTTTTGTGAGTAATAGAATAAACAATTTATAACTTATTAATTTCTATTAAAAGTAATCACTACTATTTAAATTAAAATAGCATTTGCTTACATATCATATAACTTGATTCTCAGAATTTTACATGAATTTAATAAATTTAATGTCTCTACACTCTTTTTAAGAACATAATTCTAAATTATTGTCAAATAAATTTTAAAATAAATAAAAATCAGCTATTTTAATATGATTTTAAAGCAGGTAATTAGTTTATTTATTCATTTATCTGAAAATTAAAATTAAAATCATAAATTTAATAATGAAGTAAACCTGTCTATAAAAAATAACTCTTTGTATGGGACTAACCCAAATCTTTTTATGAATTATTTTAAATAAAAAATTTTATAAATTTTATTCTTTTAAAAAAAACAAACTAATTTATTTATTTAAAATTATATTTTGGAAAATTAAAAAAAAGCAAAATAATTATTTTGTAATTTCATTTAATTGATTAATAAAATATTTTTAAAATTATAGAATAATACATTTTTAAGTAGTTTAAATATTAATATTTATTTATTGATATTAATTTATTTATCTTTTATTAAGAATATCTTAAGTCGTATCTATAAATAAAATATCTTTAATTTTTGAATATAGATTCTATTTTTATTTATTTATTTATTTACTTTCACGCTAAAGTATAGACAAGTTAGAATTTAGGTATTCCACCGTAAACCCAAAAATCATTTAATATAGACATTCCGATTATTCTACATTTTTACTCTATAGAACTTTTTTTTGGAAATCTTATTAAGAATAGATCACCTACTGTAATGTTTCTTCTTTCGTGATAATAAAATTAACTAGATATAGAACCAACTTACTTGTGAGAATTCTCTTTATCATAAATTATGAAATTAGACATCATATATTATCTTAACTTTAATCTAGAGAAAATTTTTTATATCCTTATATCTCCTACTATACTGTATTCTAATTAATATTAATCATCGTATATTTAGTAATTAAATGTTTTCCATGAATGAGGAGATCTTATTTCTCCTAAGAATTGAATATTTTAGTTCTCATCATAATATTCGAGTTGTAAGAAAGGCCTATTTTTTGTTAACAAAGAAAACTAGATAGGCTTCGTAAATCTAAGTAATTTTTTAACAGAATAAGGCTCAGAAACTTCTATATTTATCTATCTGCGATTACCTGCATAATAATTTGTATATGGTTAGTCAATTTCTTTAAAGTAAAGCAGTTTTTGCTTTGTCTGCTAATTTTATTCATCAAACTTGTATGCAGAGTATTTGTACATAAATGGTTCACTCAATCCTAATCCTATATCTCCAATATTATTTTCTTATCTAATTATGATAGAGTTGACATTTTCTAGACAACTTAGGCTACCTTATTATGAAAATATTCTATAATATTATTTTTAGAATAGTTTTTAAAAATTTAGTAATCTTAATATCTTTTTTTTAATTGATAAATTAATCAACATTATGTCTTGCAAATTTGAATGATATTAATAGATTCTATTAAATTATAAAATTGGTAAAGCAACTATTTATTGGATATAATCATATTTACATCATTTCAATAAAAATTAATTTTCTTCCCTAAAAATAGTTACTTACTTTTCATTTTTCATGTAATTTACAAAATATTTAAGTGATTAAAAAATATTTAGATTAAATCTAATATAAAATTTTTTTTATCATGGACATTTTAAAACTCTTACTAGCTTATTTTTGGTCAGTGAAATAAATTAAATTTAAAGGAAGACAAAATCACATGAGTTACTGAATCAATCTATGCTTAAATAGTAATTAGTTCTAATAATATATTATAAAGAGTGATTTAAATTTAAGAAGATTTATTTATGAGTGCAAAAATATTACTGGAATGGAGTTATTTTACTTTTAATTTCAAATTCAATTTAATATCTTTGTTAAAAATATTATGATAAAAAGCTGATATTAAAAAAGAAAATATTGTCTAATTCATCATTGGATTATTAATTGAATAAGGAATATATATTATGTGAATAGAGTTGGATCAATTAAAAAAGCTTTAATCGAATGAAACTTATTTCAGGCATGATCCTTTTCTAGTAAAATATATGGAAAAAAATAAAAGAATTATTCATGAAAGCAGAAAATAATTAAAAAAAAATAGAAGGATTCTATTACAAAATTAAAAATAGGGCAATCTAATTAATAGCAACATGAAAAAAACAAGCAATAAATTTCATAAAAATAAAGGATAGAAAAAACAAAACAAAACCAGCTATTTCATTCAGGATGGATTAGTAAATTTCACCTTTTTTAATTAAATACGTATTATTTTTAAAAAAAGTATGCTAAAGACTTTCTTCTTTAGGGTTTAAATAAATTAGGTGAAAGGATTTCTCATAAATAATTTTTATCATCAAATTTCTCTTTAGATAAAAAATAAAAAAAGTAGCAAAAGAAACTACATAAAAAATCAAACAAAAACTAATCACTCGTATCATTCATTTCTTGTTTTTCTAAAAAGAAAAAAAAAAAGATTAAAAAAACAAATTAAAAACAAAGTTCATACTTTTCTTTTAATTACTCATAAAATATTAAACCCCTTAACCCCGCTGAGGACTTTATCATTATCAAAAGTATTTAAACCCATAAAAATATTCAAAAAAAATGAAGATGATTAGATCTGTATTGAGACTGGTTGAACGTTACAACAAGTACACTGAATAAAACCCTGCAAAATCCATTATTTTAAGCACTGGCTTTTTGTTCGGAGCTGGTGACTTACTTACTTAACAAATTGACCGCTATTACGAAAGAAAAGAACACGAAGGTGATTCTAACTACTAAGTAACTCCTATCAACAAAATGCGTATTGCTCACATGTGCTTATATGGACTTACTTTTATGGGACCATTTTCTTATGTATGGTACACCCATGCTTTACCTAAAATTGCTCCTATTACTATCGAAGCCTGTAAGTCTCAACTTTTCAAGAAAATTGCTATCGATTAAGTTGTTGGAAGTGGTATTCAATACTCAAGCTTCTTAGTTGCCATGACTTTATTAGGAGGCAAATCTATCTCTGAAAATTCCAAAAAAATCAAAGAAGATTTTGTATAATGTTGTATTAGTGATGTTTTTGTATGGCCCTGGGTTCAATTCCTTAATTTTAGATATGTTCCAATCCATATGCAAGCCCTTTATGTCAACTTTGTAAGTGTGTTTTGGAATGCTTATATTTCAGCAATCCACCACACTCCCGTTGTTGTTGAAAAACCTTCTTTACAAAAAGAAAGCAACAACTTGTTCAAGGGTGCCATGCTTGCATTCTGAATAATTTGAATGTATCAAAAGCAGCTTCTAACTCTGTAGTGCTTTTTATATTTTAATATATGAATTATATGAAATAAAAGCGAAAATTCAATCATTTAATTTCTTGTTGCTAGTTGAAAACTTAAAAAATAACATTTTTTAGAAAGCAAATATTGCTTCATCCTCATTTTAATATCTAAACAAATACTAACTTTGTCATTATTGAACCATTTTCAAAATATTAAAAATCAATCAATTGATTTCATTTCTCACTTGCTTTCCAGTTCCTTAATTCCACTAAAAAACTGTAAAAATTATAAAAGCACTAAATGACTATTATTGATTAGTAACAAACAAACAAACAAAAAATATCAGCCCATTTTACTTTATAATACATAAAAATTTTTATTTGATATACGTCTATATTTTATATTATTGTCTTTGTATTTACTTTAATCTATTCTCCATAACTTTATTCAAAATAATCTATAAATTACTTATTTATTATTGAACCTTCTCTCAAATGTTTTTTTGTGTCTATATTATTTAATTATTCTTTCTTTTTCAAGTGCTATTTCACTCATTAATTATTAATTAAAAATAGTTGAATGAATCTATTAAATAAGAAGAATAATTTTTTTTAAAATAGACAAATCGATGTTGATGTTGAGCTAAAATTTTTTAAGTTAGGTTAACTTATTAGATTTTTCTGATGTTTAATTTGTAAAAAATCTTTTTCAACTTAACAAAAACGAAAACAATGGATCGATTTATATTACACCATCATAAGAATTAAATATATATAAAATGTTTTCATTCTATTAATAATAAAATCATAATTAATTTTTTAAGCTTGATAAGATCTATTTAATTGTATCATTTTAAAATTTAGTTAAATTTTAAAATATTAATAATAGGTGATATTTATTTACCTATTATTTAAAATGCCGCAGAAAAGCAATAAGCTATTATTAATCAATATTATTTAATAAATAATTATTTTTAAATTCCCCTTCATTTGATACAATATTTAACCAAAATATTATTAAAAAAAATTGGAGAACCTGGGCATTGATCCCAGTGCCTCTCGTATGCTAAACGAGCGCTCTACCATTTGAGCTAGATCCCCTTCACAATATATTTTCCTTAATATCATTTATTACATATTAACTTTGCATTTTATAAAATTAGCTTGAAATGCATTAAAAATTTACTATAATAATCATTTTAAATAATTAAGCCTAAAAGGGAAATGTTTAAAAATTATCAAAGCAAAATCCTATAATTTTTTTTTATTATTTTTATAGTAATTTATTTGTGACACTTAAAAAACAGATTTATTATCATATTATCCTTGCTAATTATTTAATTATGTATTTATTAATTATAAATTTTTATTAAATGCTTTAATTAATTAATAAAATATAATTTTTTTCAGTTAATTCATAACTGATGGTTTAAAAAATTATTTTATTTTAATTTTAGAAATAAACAATTCAATTTTATTAACATAGTAGTAATATTTTATGAAATTAATATGATCATTATTAACAGAAGTATATTTGATTGGTGAATTTACTAAAGTTACCAAAGAGTATCTAAATTACAAATTAATTTAGTAAGTAAGTAATCATATCAAAATTAATAAATGAGAAGAAGAGATGGAGTTGGTCATTCATCACTCCCTTCAAGCCCAACAAGCTTTCAAAGAAGGAATTCAATTAGCAATTAGAATTTATAGGATGAAAGTAATTAACATTAGGACCAGCAATCAGAGAAAGAAAACAGAAACGATTCTCAAGAATTAGAAAAATACTGCAACGATTACACTATTTCACAAAATCATAATATTAAACCTTAGAAAAAAGTAAAAAATTTATCATAATTAAAGACCCATAGATATCCTAGTCCTTCAGCAATAGGAGGAAATGGTCATAATAGTAGTGTTAGTTACAACTAATAAGTTTCAACTCCTATTAATATGAATAGAATAGCAGGAACTAGCTTTTTTGATAGCAGGAATCATAGAATGGAATTAAATAATGCATATAAATTAATTGATATTCTAAAAAGGGAAAATAATTAAATTAAGTCAAAGCAGAATTAAGATACTTTTTTGATTGACCAAGTAGGAAACTTAAAAACAGATATTTTAATGAAACAAAAGGAGATAGAATAACTAAAAATCGAAAATAAAACACTTAAGAAGATAAAACGCAAATAAGAAAGTGCTCTTGGTAATCACAGCGAAGAAAATAAGATAAATCTAAAGATACAATAATATCAAAATTAAATCTTAGAGCTAACTTCAGCTCTAAAAAATGAAAAAAGTAAAAACCTATAAATAGAGAGAAATGCTAAGAAGTAGCATGCTTTTATGACAGACATTTATAATGAATATAGATTCATATGCTAATAATAGAATCTTCAACCTAAAATTAAATTTGAAAAATACAAGTATGTAATTAATTAATTAATTAATTAATTTAGAAATGGTTTTTCAATTCAAAAATTTACTTTTACTCCAAATTAGTTAAATGATTGAAAATAACTCTATTTGCAATAATGATTAAAATGATGTAGATCAAGAAGATGAACTTTCATAGTAGCAAAATTCTTAAAGATTGTTTCCTGATTCAATAACTTCTCTATAGCACTAAAAACAAATATCTGATATAATTAGCATGCCATTCACACAATAGAATTTCATGAAACTAAAAGAGATGGCTTTGCAGTATATAAAATAATTAGAAGAAATTGATTAGTAACAAAAAAGGGAAAACTAAAGATAATAGAAAATGATTATGCAGTAATAGCAAGAGCAATAAAAAATGGATAATTTTATATTGTAGTAATCTTTAAATAAACAAAAAATTATTGAAAATAATAGATATGAAAATCATTCCTCAGATGATAGTTAGTAAAGCTAAAGAATTTCAAATAATATTTCATCATCAAAGCACTCATAATAGTAATAATAGAAAGAAACTCACAGTTATAATCATATTCCTTCTTCTTCAAGGTAAAGTAATAGAGTTAATAGAAAAAGCATTGAAATAATTAGTGAAGAGGATTTTGAAAGTTCTCAAAAGGGATTAGATAGCAATAAAAAGTATTTTTGTTTATTATTTTAGCTTTAAAAGTAATTTTAAATTTGGCTTTTAGAAAAACATATAGTCCAGATGATATTGCTAAAAAGATAGAGTCTGATCATTGCAATAGAATCACTAATTTTAGGAAACAAGAAATAATTGGGTTTTAAAGCGATGATTATTAAACAAATGAAGAAAAAGCAAAAGCTAATAAAAAACAAAATAATTAAAATAAATTAAATCCACTTTTTACAAATGAATACGTTGAAGATAGTGATTAAAATGATGAAGCTGTTTCACTTTAGGCTTCAATGGGAAGTTAACTAATAGTTTGTCTAAAGTAAAAAATTATGAATCACAAATTTTTCAAATTTAATTAAAATAAATAGAGAAGCCTTTGTAGGATAATCCTATTTAGATATTGATAGTAGGGATTTTAACGACAGAGCAATATTAAAAAGAAAATATAATCTAAAAATAGTATCAATAACAGTCTATTTAAATAAAGAATTAAGAATCATCAATGGTTTAAGAGTAAGTTTTTGATCATTAAAATAGAAAAATTGGGGCATAAATTAATTAATTTCTCTTTAATATAGTGTGAATATGCGGAAAGTGAAGATATCTTCACTAAGGAGTAGAAAATAGTGAAAGGAAAAGACAACGTTTTTGGCTCAGATTCTTCAAGCAAGGTTAAGGTAAAAATGGATAAAGATGATTACTTATAAAATATTAGTGTTATATATGACATAAAAGAAAAGTTAATACGTTAAATAACATTTATTTCTGCTAAAAACCAAATTTATGTCACAGGGGAAGTGGATTAAAGTTAGAAAGATAAATAATATGAAAAATAATAGCTTAATATATCATAATAGGAGTATCCTGTTTGTGTCTTTGGGACACTTAAACCTTATAGCAAGTAAGGTGAGAAAAAGCATAGTGACTGCGTTAGTTGTATTTGTTATTTAGGATTTCAGTTAGCTTTGGAAAATGAAGATTTAGAAGATGATGCTTAATAAGGAAATTAAATGAACAAAAAAGATTTAAAATAAAAAAAATGATAAAAAATTAGTCAGTCATCAATTAATTATTGTAAATAAATATGGATGGAAACTAACTCAATATAATTAAATTAAATTAAAAGTATGTAAATAAATAAATAAATAAATCAATAAATTACTAAATATTTTGTAATATAAAACATAAATAATAAACTAACTAACCAAATAACTAAATTACTTTCTAAAATACTTAAAGGTTTGTTAATTTTTATCTAAGCCTTTATGATTTAAGAAAAATTTAATTCATAAATTGCTGAATTGCAGATATATATATTTTTAATTATTTTAATCATTATTACTTTTAATTAAAATAATTTTAAGTCTAGCTAAATACCTAGCTAACTTATAATCAGAGTTAGACTATCATACTTTCATGTTTATAACTTGACGGACTTTTAATGTGCTTGAAACTTTTTTTTTGCTTTGAAGGACTACCAATTTTCTTTTTTGATTTTCTCATGTTTTATGTTTTTGCTTTATTTCTATTCTTTAATTAAGATTGGTTAAATTGCTTTATGACACCTAGAAGATTGTTGCTAACAAAATATTTTTTAAATTCTTTTCCAACATCAAATACTTCTTCATAATCGAATTAGCAAAATTCTAAATAAAAAATCAATCCATTTTAAATTTAACTAGCCTAAGATTTTTCATTGATTGCGTTTTTTATATCATTGAATTTACAACTCTAATTTCTAGACCCTTATCTATTCACTTATAGTTAGTTATTACTGCTACTTATAGCATTTAAACCACTTGGAACGCTATCTTATTAAATGAGAGTTGATCTTTTTTTTAAGCGGGTACTCTTTTTTTTGTCATCTTTCCTTTAAAAATTTTATTGTTATTAAAAACTTTGATCCAAATCTGTGAAAGAGCCGATATTTTGCTTTTAATTTTTAGAGGAGTTTTATTATGGTTCAATATTTATAGAAAATATTTGCTATTAATTCTAATTAGTTTGCTAATTTGAAATCATTTAAACACTTTATTGCTAATTACTTTAATTATTACTAAGAGCTTAGGCCTTTTAAATTGGTTGTACTGGTAACTTTATTTATATAACATCACTATTTCTTTTACTCTTATTTGAAATCTCTGACTTGTAATCAATTAAAACTTAAAGAGTTTAGACTTATGGTTATTATAAAATTAGTTAAGAGGGTTGTAAAGCTGACTACTGATTTTATAATTGTGCTCCCCTCAGTGATATCTAAGAAAGTATGTCTTCTTTTTCAGATTTATCCATTTAAGAAATATTATCTTTATAAGAAGAGAGCTCATTATGTTTAAAATTGCAAAAAGATCCCAAGGGTTCATGAAGAAATAAATTATTTACTTAACTGCTTACACCATTAAATTCTACTTAGCTATGTCCTACTTTACTTCTGCTTTTAACTTCATATGCTTCGTAAGTTTCAGAAGCTTCTGATTCTGTTCTTAAATTTAAACGGCTTTCATATTCAATTTCAAACAAATTCATAGCATTTTATACTACAGTTACATTATTTCTACTATTATACCTTTTTAATTAATTAGTAAAATATTTAATTCGCAATATAATAATTAATTAGAAGTAAATGTAAATAAATAAATAAATAAGTAAAATAAATTTATAAATAAATTAAAAATGTATAAAATGTATTAAATTTGAATTTACCTTTATTAAAATCTGCTAACTTTAACTCTTTTTTAATCTTGAGATTTATTTGAATTATGAATTATTAGATGTTTCCTTTACTCTATATTCAAGAAGGGGCAATTATCATATTTATGAGAAAATTTATCGCAAATAATACACTTAATTCCTAGAGTTTAGTGTTAATTATAGAGCATAATTTTATCTTTAAGCTATCTGTAAAATTCCTTTTTTTATAAATAATCTATTTTTATTTTTGAAAATATATAATTTATTACATATTATTCGGGATAGTCTTGTAAGACTTCATAGAAATCTCTTCTAGTCAAAAATGCAACTAGACTTGAATTACAAGATTTCAGAGAGTATTATCTTTTATGTGACTCATTGAAAAATTCTTCTTCTCCAATTACTTCTTCTTTCTGATTAAAATAAATAAATATTTAAGATAAAAATAAATGAAAAACTGACTGGATAACCTTATATTTTTTAAGTAGGGTGTAAGTTTTCCCATTTTCCATTGAAACTAGTTCTAGTTCTCCCTTTTTAAGTTATTTATTGTTTTTAAAGATCAGATTTAATTAATTAATATTACTTAAACTAAGATATAGATCTTATCATCATATTCTTTTTCTTGAAATATGTACTCTTCTGCTACAAACTTCTGTTCTTTTACTCTTAGAGCCAGTGCATCTATAACATCAGAATTAAAGTTTAAAGAAAATATCTTATGCTATCTCAGCTTTTTCCCGTACAAATCTTTAAATACTTCTTCTTTTAATAAGGAGCTGAGATTTTCAGTAACATAATTGATATCTAAATCAGATTAATATTTTTATTAATAATGATATTCGTAATATTTTCTAATTTTAGTTTGCAGTTATGTGTCGATTCCTCTTTTACTCATTAAATAATTTAATTATCTCATTTTTTACTAAAATTCTGATTTTGATCTTTACATTTCTTAAATAATTTCACCAATTTAATTGAAACTATAAGCAAAAATACCACATGAAGACAGACTCATAATTATTACAAAGACCCTTTCCACTTTATAATATTAAATAATTTATTAAGGCATAAATGTATCATTAAAAAATCATCTTTTTATTTATTAAAAAAATGTAAAACAATAATTACTAGAAGTAACAGGAACTATATCACCATATCCAAGCGTTACCATTGTTATAGTTGCCCAATAAATTGATGTAATATAAACATCATGCCAAGAATCTTAAGGACTTGTACTAACATCTAACCAGTTCATTTTACCAGCATTTTTTTCTATTTATCCTATTTCTACAAAGCAACAAGCACTTAAATGACCAACTATGAACATAATAAATACTAACTTTATTATTTTAGCATTTATTGAAACTTATTTGTCTTTGTTAAATCTTTCATCAAGCTCAGTAAACTTTTTAAGAATGTCAAAAATTCTTAATAATACTATATAATCCAAATATTTATAATATTGAGACCCATTATTCAGAAAAAATATTAAAGTAATCATAAAATCTCGCCTGTTATTATTTATTTTAAAATTATTATAATAATTTATAATTACATTTAGTTATTTTATAATACACAAATTTATTCCTAAGGTAGTCTCTAATAATAAGCTTTCGTCTTGTGATAATGTGCCCTCTCTTAAAAATAGCCTGTTTTATATTTAGATATATTTAAAATTTGCTAATTTAAACAAGTTAATGCTTTGCTTACAGTATTTAAATTTAACAATATTTCAAGAGGGAATATTATATTCACTAATTAATAGCAAACAAAATTTTAAAAACCTGTCCCAATATCAAAGCTATTGTGCAATGGGAGATAAATAATCATATTAATCATGAGTAAAATAAAAATTATGTCCCAAATTATCTTTATTTTAGAGTCCTTTTTTATGAATTATTAATGAAAGAATAATTTTAATTAATTGATTTTTATAACAAAATTTTTTTTACTGGGTGAATAACTAGATTAGGATTATACCATAACTATCCAACAAATGTTTCTATAATATTTTAAAATGAATATATTTATTTATTTGTTTATTTTAATTGATCTAGATTGATTACCTTTTAACCAGAATTTCAATTTTTCAAAGTGGGTTGGCCTCTAATTTAAATAATATATTAAAGATTTAATCATTTATTTATTTATTGCTTTTGAAGAAAATTTTACTTTTGAATAAAAAACATCATTGTAATAAAAGAAACTATAATCTGATGATACGTCTCCAATAATATCAAAATGAAGCTGTGACATCCATCTAAACAAATATTTTTTTGATTTACCCTTCATTATGTTCATAAATTTTTTTATGTTCAAAGTTCTAAGTATTACTTTAAATTAATTGTTTATGTTTTATTGTTTCTTCCTTAAAAACTAAATCAATCCAAAGTTATCTTCGCTTCTTTCCGCTTCTTCTTATTAAGTAACAACCCTTTTAATTGAACTTTCTTACTTTGGAGTAATGATACACTCTTATTTGCTTGAGCGATCCTTAATTTCTAATGACTTTTTTTTCATAAAAGATCTAAAATTGTTGAAATCTTACTGTATATTAGTTTAAGAAGCAGTTGGGTAGTATTTTTAAGAATTAGACTCTTTTGGTTAATCATAAATAAAAATTTGATTATTATTTTTATTTCGATACTATGCATTCTCTAAATCTTCAGTCATATCTTGATCATTAACTGATATTTAATCCCCTAGCTTAGGATCTTGTGATTATTCTAAAATATTGTGAATTTTTACAAATTTCCCAAAATTAAAGGTGCTTTTATAGATACATGTGTTTTCTTTTATGTTGGTTTCATCATCACAAAATTATAAATCATCTAATTCTATAATTGGTGATTACTAACACACTTCGTCTTCTTATTTCGATATTTGATGCTCCCTATTTATTATTAATTGTAATTAATGTAAAAATATTCTAAAAGTGCGATAGATAGTTCTTCAGCACTAAAAATGATTTACTTATTTTATAAGACTTACTTGGTTTAAATTATTAATTTACTCTCAGTTTAGTCCATATTAAAAATTGTTAAACTTTAATTTAGTAGAATTATAGATTCTCTCTTTAATTAATTATACAAAGTAGAAAAAAAATTTCACAAAACAAATAAAGCTTTTTATTTTAATAAAAAATATTCATGCCTGAATTTTAGATTGTTTTATTATGATTTTAATCAAAGACTTTAATGGTAAATTTCTTGTAAATTAGAGAAGCTCTAAATTATAAAAAGCTTTTCAAATTGTTAATAATCAAAATGAATAGGAGAATTTTTACTGTTTTGTTATGCTCTCTATAATTGAATTTTTCAGTTCGATCATTTTCATAGATTTAATTTATTTAATAATTATTTAGTTCATTATGGAAACTAATAAAAATTTTATTTAATTCAGTAATAATATCATAAATAATTACTTCTATAATGAATTGTATACTTTGTTAGTAATAGAATTTATGATTTTATTTTAAAATATTATGTCCAATAAAAAGTAATAAATATTTGATAGATTTATTAAAAAGTATATAATTTAATACATTTATTTTATATAAATTATCTTTGATTTATCTATTAATCTTTTTATTAATATAAAATATAACTAAAATTAATGTTCATACTAATTTGAATATTACTAAAATATAAAATATTTTAAAAGATAGTTTTAAATTTTAGCTATTGTACTTCATAATAAAAAAAAGTTAATAAATTTTTTCTATAAATTAAGAGGACTATTAATCTTATGTCGTTAAATTTTTTTAATTATTGATTGGGCATAAAAACAAATTCCAGAAGATTATAAAGTATATTTTTTTCATCTAATTTGATTCTTAATAATTTCTTTTATTAAAGTGGAGAAAATTTATGAAATAAATGAATTATTTTTAGATATTAAGAAATAATAAATTTCAATATAAAAAAATTTAGAAAACTCAAAAATAAATCATAAGTATGGGAAATTGTTGTCCTTAATAAGAAATACAAAATAATGATGTAATTTAAAAGAAAAATAAAAAGAAAAAAATGATTTCAAATAATATTTCTATAGAATAAATTAGATAGATAAGAATATAAAGTAATATTATTTTAAGTTTTTCTATTTTATTTTTAATCATACATTTTTTAAAATAAAAAGACTTTGAAAAAGAAATCAACTAAAATACAGAATCTCAATAAAATAATTTTTAGAGAAAAGATGTTATTTAGACAAATTTATCAATAGAGAATAGCGCTTTATTAGATTCATAATCAAATTTTTTTAAAAATGATGAAATTAATGCAGTATAAATTCAGTCAGATTTTAAAGATATTAGTTAAAGCAACGAAATTGTCATACAAGACTTATAATTTGAAATAAAAAACGAGCCAAATTAAATATAATATGAAGAAAAGTAAAGCTTAGAAAGAGAATAAGATAACTTATACGATATTGAAATCTATGAAAAAATTAAATTTTTGCTTTAACCCTGCATTTTTTTCTCTAATATGGTAATTTATAATTAGATTTTATTTTAAAAATAAAAATAAGCTAAAATTAACACTTTCTATTTTAACCAAAACTATTTAATTATTATTCCAAATTAAATAAAAAAGGTATCTATGCAGTTAAATACATCCTAACAAAAAGTAATAAAATATTATAGATATTTTCAACTGACTTAAATTTATTCGAAGCTTTTTTATTAATTTATTATATTATTTAAATATTTTAAATTGATAGATATATATTTTTAATTCTATTTATTTATAAATTTAATTGAAATTAGCTACTTAATATCAAAGAGATATCATTCCAAAATAACTAAATACTAAAGAATCTAAGCATAAATTATTAAAATATGATTAGATAAAACTAAGATTAAATGCTATTAGTAGATTAGGAAAATTGCATAAAACTATTAAAAGAATATTAATAAAATTTTTCGAGTTAATTTAACTAGAAAATTTAAATCATCAGTACTTCATATGATTAGGTTTTCTAAGTATAAAAATTTAGCTATTAGATTTAAGAAAATGGTAACTTTTATGAAATTGAGTAGGGTTATTATTTGGATAAATCAATTTTTGAAATATAATCTTATAATGCTTAAATTATTAATTCCATACCATACTTTGAAGCATTTGGTTGCAAGATCTTGTAAATTGATTAATAAGAGTCTATTATTTATTAGGAGTTATTAATATTGAATATAGATCAAATATCTTAAATTTTTAATAAATTGAAAATTTAGTGGAAATAATTTGATATTGAAAGTTTACTTTTATTTTGGCTCTAGCTAGTTATTTCTTTGCATGAATAATAATTGATATTTCCAAATATATCTCTCTAAAAAATTGGTGTTGTTTCTGATATATCTTGTTAATTTTATTACTTTAAAATAAGTGACATTATGGGTTTAATAGACTAAGATTAGGTTATTTAAAAATAAAATTTAGTTAGCATTAAATAAAAGACTGATGATAGTTTTTTATTTAAACAAATAAAAGACACTTGTAAAAATATAGTAAATATAATTCAAGAAAATCTTAAAATAATTTAAAAAAAATAGGATGTGGAAGTTGATTTCAAAAGCAACTTTTTAAAAATATATGAATTCTGTTAATTTTTTATTGGAAACAATTTCGAACAAATTAGCTTTAACCTTTAGTTTTTAATTCAAAAAATAGAAGCTTGCTTTCCAAATAGGTTTGAGCTAGTTTAATACTTAACAAAATCAGCAATTTTAGACTAGCTAGTTTAGGAAAAAAAGGTTAATTTATAAAAATCTTAGAATGAAATATTTAATTCTCATCAGAATATTAAAAATATGAAAAAAGAAAATAAAATCAACATATTATTACAAGCTGTAAATATAGTTTAGGAAACTATTTTCTTTACAATAATTAAAAGGCATATTTATGAGTTTGCTACAGAATTCGAAATTATTTAGTCAATAGAATTTCTATTATCGAGGCTTGGTACATAAAAAAATGAATAAGAACTATTTTTTTATGTACTTTTTAATTTCTTATAAATTTTGGTAGTAAACAAAATAGAAGTTGAAAGCTGTTAGAGATTCATTTTATAGTTATTAAATTGTTAATAAATTATTTCAAATAAAATTGGGTTGCACTATTTATTAGATATAATAATCTTTACTATGATATCAGAGTAAAAATATTAAGATGCTTTAAATTATTTAGAAATAATTATAGGAATAATAAAAGAAGGTGATAACTTGGATTCTCTTGATTTCAAAAAATAAATTATTTTGATAAAATTTATGATTTATATTTTACAATAATAGCCTATTAGCACAATATAGAGCTAATATTCTAAATTTCAAAAAGTTTAATAACTAATTGAATAGTAACCTTAAACTTCGTAATTAGACTCTTTAAATATTTTGATAAGACCAAAAACAGTAGAGTTATTAATATATTTAATCAACGATCAAACATATCAAATGCTAAATAAGTATTTTATTTTTTTATTTTATTTAAGCCTTTAAATTAATCATTCTAAGTTAAATAAATTCAGTCAAATATTCCAAATTTACTTTATTCTTTTTAAAAACATTATAATTATTTTTTTTAGAATTAAATAGATTGAATAAGGTATGAATGATATAATTATTTTATTTGAAAAAACAAATCCTTATTTGATCAGGTATAACATTAGTTATTGGCTTTTAAGCTTAATAGCATATTTAAAAGTTGAGAATTTTGAAGAATCTGTAAGTTTAATAAGCAAAATAAAAAAGTAAATATCTTAACTAAATTAAAAAGGAGATTATCTATTTACCAGTTATTTTCTATCTTAATTAGAAACAATATACTACCAAAAAAATAATTCAGTAAAATAACTAAAAAGGAACTTAAATAAAATAATTATTCTAAAAGAAAGAATACTTTTTGATTAAAAGGAAGATGAACTTTAATATTAATAAAATCTTTTTATGTAATTTTATAAATGGATTGAAGAAAATAGCTAGTAAACAGCAATCATACTGAAACAATAGAATATATTCTCATTAGGTAAAATAATTAATTAACTTTATTAGTAATTATAAATTACTTTTAAGATATAATAGGATTAGATCATCTTTCACAAGTCTAAAAATAAATGTAAGCTATGAATATTGAAACAAAGGATGATATGTAAATTGGTTAAGAAAGCTAAGTTTAAAAAGTTTTTCATAATCCTAAATTGAGTGAATAAATAGCATAATTATTATAAATTGATTTCTACATCTTACTTGAAGTAAAATTTTATTTAAAATATAAAAAAATATTAATTCTAATAAATTTAAATAGCCATTTGGTTTTATGAAAAATAGATCTAATATTATAATGAAATAAGATTTTTAGATTAATAAGTTATAATAAGAAGGGTAATAAAACAAAATTTCTAAAAATTCCTAAGAAATTTAGATTTTTTAGAAATTTTTCAGTAAATTAGAGAGAAAAAAAAATGATTATATGGTTGAGGATCGTATAGATAAATTGAAATATGATATTTACATATCAAATACTTATTAAATTTTTGATTTTGAATATTTTATAAAGATATAGAACTATTAGGATGTACTATTTGATTCCACTTTTGGGGAGTGTGTTTACACTAATCTTTACTTATTTAAAAAGCATCTTTCGGTTATTTAATGTCTTAATGGACACTCTTCTTTTTACCATTATCTCCCATATACTTATTTTATTGATATTAAAAATTGGTCTATATTTACTGAAGGTGGGACCTTTAATTTGAATGAAATGAGAATGTGCTTTTAATCATCCTAAAATAAAATATCCGAAGAATTATTGTCATACATTTTATCTAAACTTCTTTCTTTTGCTATGATCCTTAATAAAAATGACCTTTACTATGGTAATTATTCTTTAGAAACAGTATCATTCTTCAAATAGAATCAGGTATATTCTTTGAAAGTAAATAACTATGGCTGTATTTCCGGTGATTTCAATTCTTATTTTGAATTAAAAACTTTATATAAATTCTAATAATATTGTGAAATTGACTTTGGTAAATTAACTAGAGAGTAAATACTATTTGCAGAGGTTTACAACATATGTATGATAGTTACAGATTTGATTATAGATGATGACAGAGATTTTAGTAATTTATATGAACATATTAAATAAAATTTAAAGGAATAATAGAACTTAAATGCAGAGCAGTAATAATATCATAAATTAGCACATACTGAATTCATAAAAACAATTACAGAGAAATTATAAAATGAAAAAGAATTTTATAAAAATAATATTATTGATTTTATAATCGAGATAATTAACATGGAGAGCCATACCAACAAACCTTCTTTTGAAAGACATGAATTAGAAATTTTATTAAAAAAATATGATTTAATTGATTAAATAGAAGGAAACAAAAATTTTTAAAACGAAATAGAAATAAGTGAACAACTCATAACATACATATTTTAAACAACCAGATTCTTTTAGAACCAATAATACAAAACTAATTTGTAACGATGCTTTACTAATTACTACTTAAATTATTTTTCTAATGAACAAATTTACTTAGATTTTTTCTTAAAAGCTTAAAAATTAAATTTAATAGACTAAAAATCAAGATACTTTTTAAGTAAACTCTTTGTTATTCAATAATATATTTGTTCATTAATATTAAATAATCCAGTTTGTAAAATAGATTAATCTTTCCTAGAAATATTTTTTTAGGTTTCTATTAAACTGTTCAATACACTAAGTTTGAATAAAAATAATGAAAATTAAGAACTTAAATTATTGCAAGATAAGTTAGGCCCATTTTAAAGTATAGGCTAAGATATTGTAATTGATTACAATTACAGACTTTTAATTAATATTGCTTTGAAATTAAATCAATAATAATTTCTTAAATAGTTAATATTTTTTGATGGTATTTCTTAGCAATTTGAGAAAGATCTAAAAGAACTCTCAGTATAAATAACAATTTTGATTCTTAATAATGAAATAGAAGAAGCGAACGATATTTTTAAATAGGTAAACGAATTAATCAGCTAGAAATAGAATATCAACTAACCTATAGATATAGTCTATTTGCTCCCTCTTCTATCTTTTTCTAACAGTATAGCATAGAATGTGCAATTTATAATGTTTTATTTTGATTAATATTAAAAGTTTAATGAAAGGGTGATATCCAAACAACAACTTATCAATCAAGATTAATATTTTTACAAGATAATATTTTTGATGGATTATTCAAAAATTTTATATTTACTATCTTTTAATAAATATGATCAAGCCTTGAAAGCAATTGAAACTATCAAGTAGTCTTATAAAAATTTTCCTATTTATTTTTATAGAGAATTTGATATTCAATTTTATATTAGTTTAACACAACTTGAAGTTTTATGTAGGTCAAACTTAAAATAGTAAATAAATTCGTTGATAGTTCACTTACTTAGATTTAAGAATTATATGAGTAATGAATAAAGGCATCAATCTTATCAATTATTATTTGAAAAAATTATTTAACAATTGAATGGTTATATACTTCCTGTAGTATAGTTAGTTTGGAATTAAATGTAAAATGAGGAGGAATTATTTCTAAACTGTTAGGAAAATTTACTTACAAATTTTATTGATGATAGAAATAACTTTGATTTTGATTACTTACATACAATTTTTAATTAGCAAACATAAAAACTTGCTGAGTAAAATGAACAATATCAACCAAATATAGATGGAAATTTAATAAATAAGTAAGATAATAAAACAAATTATCCTAGAAATTAATTACTCATTGAATAAGCTTAAATTTCAACAGATTAAACTTAATTTTATGGATTTAAAAACCATGAAAAAATAGCATAATTTCAACCAAATTAAGAAGATACCTTATTAATAAAGGAGAATAATATAATAGAGAGTCCTAGAAATTAAATAATTTTTAACTAAGTTTACAGTTCTAGAGAATCAACTTAAATTTATGGACTTGAAAACCAGGAAACGCTGACATATGCAAGCTTTCATAAATTTATCTAAAAAATGAATAATTAAAAAAAATAACAAGATAGTATGCAAACTAACTCAAATATTGACATCACAGAAGTAAATTAAAGCTCATTATAAAATACAATAGATTTTTCAAGTTAATAGAAATTTATAAGCTAAAACAAGACTTATTAAGAGGAAATAACATAAGTATCTAAAGAATAGGAAACAATTTAAAGTAGTCAATATTTTGAAGAGTTAAATCATTAATAAATATCAAAGAATTAAAATTCAAAAGATGAAAAAATATCTACTCAAAAGGACTAAAAATAAATTCTTTAGAATTTATAGGATAATAATTTTGAAAAATAAAATATGGATAATCTAAAAAGTAACTATAAATTAGTGAAAATTGGAGAGTTAGGAAGAGGAGGATTTGGAAGTGTATCAATTTATTATGATAATGTGACAAGAAATAAAATAGCTGTTAAAGAATTTAATAGCTTAAAGGAATATTAATAAGAAAAAAATATTTTGTAGAAAATTCAATTTTAAGAACTATTCTTAGAAGTAAAAAAATATACCTGTTAATTAATAGACTTTAATGATTACAATTACACATTAGCTCTTGAAATGGGATTTTCTACTCTATAGGAAGCAGCTTAAATTTTGAATTTATAGAAAACTGGATTCAGCATTCCAAATCTTATAAATTTTTTAAATTCTATGGTTTGCTTTTGTATAGAATTACACAAAATAAAATATTATCATGGTGACATCAAACCTTAAAATATTATCATCACAATCAATTAAAATAGCAGTGAGTTTTAATAAAGTTTTGGAATTTGCGAGTTTGTTGAAGCCAATATTAAATTTATTGATTTTGGAAGCTTTAGTAATGATGTGGATTGTTATTATGAATATGTTTCAGCAAAATATAAATGCTTATTTTTTGAAGAAATTTTTTAAGAACAATAATTAACTTGGGAATAGATTTTATTTGCTGAAATATATAGCTGTTGTAAGACTTGTATCTACACAATGTCTTTAGAATTGTAAAATGAGTATATTTTATTCAATAAAAGCTAAGTTGATTAATAAAATCCAAACTAAGAATAAAAATTAAAATTATTTGATTTTTTAGATTTATTTTTAACTTAGAATCCTTCTTAAAATAATATCTTATAGGATGGAATATCACTTTAAAAACTTGTTTAATTTCAATAAAAATATTTGGTATAGAACCAAACTGTTTTAGTATAAAATTATTATTAAATAGATTTAATCTAGAAATAAGTTTGGAAAAAAATATAAACAGATGACTTTGTAGAATCTTAAATAAACAATCAGTTTTAATAAAATATGCTTAAAGCTTGCAGTTTTAGGAATAAAATTCTTCTCGATAAATAGATTTAACTAACATCTAATTAGTTAAATGAATATAGCATATAAGACATTTTAGATAATTTATTTTTATTACTATTTTCATTTGATTTAAGCCAAGAAGAATTCTATAAAATTAAAGAAATTAATGATTGGATCCAAGATTAAGATAAATACACTTCAAATGAAAAGATTTCTTTTTCTTTAGAGATTTGCTCTTTATTTTAAATGTACTAGCAAGACTCATAACAAAAAGATATTATTATTTTGCAATTAAAAGAATAATATAAAGTATTAAATCAAGAATTAAATTAATTTCAAAAATAAGTATATGAATAGATAATTCTAAATTATGAGAATAAATCAATTTAATTTTAAGAGTAAGCATTAGTTTTTATGCTAAGCAATTAATATTCACACAACAGCTTCTTAGATGTCTTTTTATTATTTTGCTCTTTTAGCAATTTAAGATAAAATAAATAGTTATTTGACTTATAGAATTTAACCAGGTATTTATTTTTTCAAATTTAAATATATTAATTCGTAAATTTTTAAAAAAAGATATCCATTTAGATCTCAATTAGTAGATTGGTTTAATAAAAATTAAAATCTTATGAGCATCTACAAAAGGAATATTTTTTATTACTGTTTAATAGTAATAGATATTATACTTTTATAGGATTACAATGATACTCTTTCTATTTATAGGAAACTAAGATAAAATGCAAAAATGATAAACAAGAAGATTGAAGCTGAAATTATATTTTTGATTCAATTTTCTCTATTGAAATAAAAAAAACAAACTGATTTTGCTTCTTTAAATAATTCTTTGGCAATATTAAGTTAAGCAAATTACAAAAGCCAACTTTATTTTTACTTCTAAAATTTATTTTAAGACTTTATTAAGTAAAATTTATCCATAGTTAAGCAGGAATTAACATTTAAATCAGTTATGGATACTATATTTTGAAGTTTTTTACCAAATTAATTAATGTTTTTTTAACTTTTAACATTCTATTGCATATTTATTTAACTAAATAGCAACTATAATATGTATCTGATTGATATTTTGTTTTTTTTAATTTAAACTTAAATAATTTTAAATGTTTTTTATTCTAAAAAGTTATTTCATAGAAAATCATTAATATTCAATTTTAAAAATAGTAATTTATTAATTTGATAAAAGTTAGGTACTTTTCTTAGATTTAAGATAATTCTATGAACAAATTTTAAAATTTATTAAATAAAATATTATAATTTTAGATAATAAGCTTGTTAAAAATCACTGATTTATGCAATCAATAACCATTTATTTTAATTTTTTTTAATATCTATTATTGAATTAATTTTAGTTCAAAAATCAATTGTAAACTTAATCATTAACTATTATGAATTACATAAATAAATTACACAAAAATAAAAGTTAATAAATAATCTTTAAACTATTTTGATAATAATATTTTGAATATTTTTTAAGTTATTCTAAAGAAATTTATTTCATTTAATATTATTTATTTAATTAACTTTGGATTATTTTGGTGAGTCAAAAGCTTATGAAATTTTAAGGTAATCTTAAAGAGAATCCTATGTTTTTAGGTTATTAGATTAGTTTATCCTAGATATATTTGTAATATTTAAAATTTCGTTTATTTATTCTGTTTTTTTTAGACTATCTTTAAAGTTTTTTGAAGCTGATTTCTCTTATTTCTTTTACTCATTATTTAGTATGCTTTTTAAAAATTAATTACTTTTTTCAGAATAGCTTTTTCTTAAAAAATAAGAATTCTATGTTTTGTTTGATTATGTTTAATTTTGATTCGTTTTATCTAATTATAAAATTTATGAATAATCTTGAGAGTCTCCTCCATCAACATACTGACCACTCTAAAAATATTAAAACTTATTTGAGTTATCTAAATAAATTTAACGTGAAGTATTATTCTATATTTAGTATATTTAAGATTATGAAGCATTAAACACTGGGCTCTACTATAAATGATCTACTTTCAGTTTATTTTATCTTTGCGATAAGGAAGATTAAATTATTCTCAATTAGGGATCAGATTATTTCTAAGAAATTTTTATTTAACTTTTTTGTTTAATAAATGAAGAAATTCTATTTCTAAGTTCAGTTTAATGAGGCTTCTCCAAAATTTAAAGGAGATTTTCTTGAGAATTTTAAATTATTTAGCTGTTAGGATTTAAAAAATACTAATTTGTATTTTCTTACATTAAATTCTCATTTTAAATCCTCTGCTGATTGCTGTAAAATTAAAGAGTTGTTTTAAATTACTTTTATTCTCTTGGTGTAACAAGGTTATTTATTTATTTTTTTATTTATGTGTGTATGTTAATAGTTTTATTAGATTGCGATTTTTTAAGAGATTTATTTATTTCATATTAAATTTGATCACAAGAACTAGAGGTTTCATCTGATCTTTGACTATATCCCTCTAAAAATTATAAAACTTTCTTTCTATTAGGCTACTTTTTTGATTAGGAACTTCTCTCACTTTTATCAAGCCTAAATGTGTAATTATCAAATCTTCTTCTTAAATCAAATTATTATATTCTATGTCTTGAATTTTAAGGATTTTTTTAATAGAAAGGGTTTTAGAGTAAAGAGTTAGAAGGTTTAATATCATATTTATTTTTTAAGGCTCTCTCATTTAATTTATTAATTTAATGAGTGTTCTTATAACCTAAATGAAAGCTCATCTAAATCAATTGATCTAATTTAGACTATCCTTTTTGTTTTTCGTCAAACTAATCATAATATAGAGATCTAACAGTTTTATCTTGAAGCTCAACAGTGCATTAATTTTATTTGTTTATTTTTTTATCTAATTATTAATTCTATTGTTAATCTTATCTAATAGAAGAGTGTTCACTTTAAGATTTTTATAATTTATTAAGTTTAACTAAGTATTAGTTTAAATTGTTTAATTAATTTTTATTTTATTTGCTTTTTTTTTCTAATCGTTAGCTTTAAGCAATATTTTCACCTCCAAATTAATTTAATATGTCATTAAAATCATTAAAAGAAATCTGACCTTTCTTTTTCTCCATCAAAGGTCTTTGGTATATAATATCTCCCTTGAAAGATAAATCTCTTTTACTGTCAGAATATGCCTATACCCTTGAGTTAATATAATTATTTAAATTATTGCTTTTGATTATTAACTCTTTCTTAGTTAAATTTTTATGTTTTAACAAATTTTTTAGAATTGATATTTCAATAGCTAGAACTTTGCAATAGTTCAAACACAGAGCACTATGAGTATATTATTATCTATTCAAAGCATTATAATCACCAAAAGAAGAAAATTATTAGATCTATAATAACTGTATTCTTTTATTTTATTTCTATAAGCAAATCTAAAATTATAAAATAAAATTATTAATTTTGGTGTTAATTTATTTTTTTAATTTTTTATTACATTTTTCAACAAAATCATTGAAATTGGGGTATATAAAAAATTATCATTATTAAAAAAATTTTTGATTTACTTATTAATAAAATTAAATTGTTTTATAAATAATTCTAATGAAAAATAAAGTAATATTTAATGATGAATATTCATCAAAAATAAATAAAGAGATATTTTTACTTATAGTTCACCTTTAAGCAGATAGTAAAAGTATAAAGGTTCTTCGTTTTAATGATAAATATAATCATTTTTTTGAAATCTAAGTATTTTTGAGTTATTAACAGCTGCTTTAAGGAATTTGCTAGTTTGTTTTTCCTAAAACCCATTAACAAGAAAAATACTTTTTGCTTTCTGTTTTTATTTAAATTATTTATTTTTTTAGTTTATTGTTTAATAAATTTAATATTCGATAGTTATAACATAAGTACTATCTTAAGATACCAAAGCAGACATTGTTCTTACTGCAGCAGGATCATATTTGTTTTCGTAATTGATTTCATCTGTTATTAACTTACCTTACTCAATTATTTATACAAATTAATGGTTAAATTTATCAAAAATTTGACCTTGTTCATAAAAATAATTTAATATCTGGCAATTTTGGTCTAAGCTAATTTAGTTTTCATGTATTTAAATGTTTTTTTTAATTTCATTTACTACAATTTAAGCTCTTTTAAGAAGTATCCCTTTCTTAGCTTTATCTTGCTTCTCCAAATTATTATCATTTTTTCGATGTATTTAAACTTTAAAATTTGTGTTAAATTATTAATCTGTTTAAGGATGATATAGTTGTTAACTAGGACAAATATTTTAAGAATTATTATCGATTCTATTTGATGTGTTTTGATTTTAACTATGACTTTAAATGAGACTTAAGGGATTTTTCAATAAAAGTTATGTTTCTAAACTTAGTCTTTTAATTGGCTTTTAAAAATTTTTTACAGCCTTTTATATTGTATAAATGTTTTGTAATATATTGACTGGTTTATCCCTACAAAATAAATCATTTTAATTTTTCTGAAAAATTCTTTCGAATTTTTAAAAAATATCAGCATTCTTTGGTTTAAATAATACAACTTCTCCTTTCCAAAGAATATTTAAAGGATTTCTCTTCGTCCCTATTGTTAAGTAGATGTAGAAATAATAAGTAGAACTTAATTAAATGCTTAAATAGATTTACCACTAACAAATACAAAATCTAAAGTATTCAACTATTTTATTTTCACATATTTACAATATTAACGAAGAATAGAAATGTCTTTTTTTCTCTAAAAGTAAGGAATGTCTTTCAAAATTTCAAAAATGATATTTATCTACTCTTAATTTCTTAAATTAGGTTTCACGTCTGAAATCTCTAATGCTATCTAGATTTACTATAATTTAAACATTTTTTAAAGGGTAAATAAAAGAAATAGATTAAGTAAATAAATAAATATATGCATAAAATCTAATGGGATTCATACCTATTTTAATGTTTTGTTCTTTATGTTTTGAGAGCTAATTTTTTCTTTGCTTTATTTGTATATTTTTATTGCTATCTTCACAAAATTTGCATATTTTTTGAAATTTTAAATTACAAATTCTTTTCTCAATTTCTTTTTTTCATTAATGCTTAAATCAGATTCTATGGAAGCTTGACGAGATAGCTAAACCTTATTATCTAGCTAGCCTAAGTAACAATCACTGTTTAAATCTTAATAGCTTTTAAAAAATGGTTTAACATAAGCCATGACAAATTTTTTATTATGTTTTAATATGAATATATTATAAGCTTTACTTTATTCTTTCTTTTAATAAGTCTTTTAATCAGCTGATTAGCAATAAAAACAACTAAATAAATAAACAAATTATTTGCTTTAAACTAAAACTAAATTGATTATATTTTTTAATCAAAAATTAGCCATAAATATTTTGCATTTTAAATAAACAAATTGATTAGAATATAATCTCTGATTAACAATTATTTATTTATTTAACTAAATACATTTTTATTTAAATAAATTTGCTTTATCTAAAAAGAATTTGTGCTTCATTTAATAATTATAAAACAAAATAAAATGAAGATATAAATAAGTAAATAAACTTACAATATTAACTTGATAAATGTAATAATTGCTGATATATAAATATATATATATACTTAATCACTTTTTTGAGAATGTTTTCGTTGATTATCTTAACGCAGTTTTTCTTTTAACAATATTCTCTCTTATGACTTTCTTTTTTTTTCCTTTTCTTGACTGTATTTTTGAATGCACTTAATTTAAAAAGTAAAGCTTGAGAATCTATCCCATGTTATTTGAAGGAAAATATCTTACATATTCTCTAAACGTATCGAATTTCTCTTCTATGTCGAATAAACAATATTTGTTGAGATGAAAATTGTTTTCATCTAAAGTAAAAAAAACCCCATATTCATTATTATTATTGTTATTATTATTATTATTGTTATTAAACAAAGAAGGTCTTTTTTTATCTTTAGCTTTTTTTTTACTGTTACTTTTTTCATAGCTTTAAGAGTTTTGATTTTTTAAGTTAATTGACTCATCTTAAGCTTACTATGAAAGCTACTAACTTACTTAATTGCAAGAAGAGTTTAATATTTTACTTGTGCTTTTCCTCTTAGAATCTCTTATTGTAGGATTATACTAACTAACTTAATTAGACATTAAATCATCAAATTCTGACATCTATACAGCTATCTGACTTTAATTTTTTTAAGATTTTATAGCAGACTATGCTAATTATTAATTTATTTCTAGCTATAATATATTTTTATTTTAATTAAATTGAGATAAATTCATTTAATGTGTGCTATAGTTATCTGGATTATTTTAATTATTCGAACTATTGTAATTATTTGAGCTACTTTAATTAATAGAGAGGTTATTACTATTGTTACTATTAGAGTTACTGCTATTACCTAGAGTGTTAAATCTCTTAATCTATAGTTAATTTATTTAACATAAATTTTACAATTGCGATGGACTGATATACTCACTTTATCTTTTTCTTTGTTGTTTTTTGTCTAAAGTTTATTGTTTTTATGGTTAAACTTAAAAGCTCAATTGCTTAACAATATTATTTTAGCTAAAATCTCCACTATTATATAAATTATTGCCACTTTCTTCATGAATTTCTTCTGTTATTTACTCAACATATTAATTCCAAAGTTTATCTTTATTGTTACTCTAACCCTCTGTATTTGAATTAGAAGATTTACTCATACTACAGCTATGTGCTCTTGATCTTACTTAACTACTGTTTTAAATTATATTTACTTAAATTTGACTATTTGAATATTCTGAAGAGCTATCTTGATCAGACTCTGTATAAATAATAACTTAACTTTAACTATATTCAAAATTTTTGACAGTTTTTTTCACAATATCGTGGTTTATTCTACTATTATATCTAAATCATTAATTAAAAAAACTATTTAATAATCAAAATATTTACAACAACAATAATAATAGTAACATTTATTTATCAATCATTACTTTTTTATGTTTCTTTCAACTGAAACTCTTTATTACGGAACAAACTTATTACTTTCGTGAATAACTTGAGATTTCTTTTTATCTATATGTAAATATGGGCAGCTGTCGTATTTGTGCAAATAGTTATCGCATACCATACATTTCAATCCCAAAGTTTGATATTAGTCATACAAAGATATTTTATCTTTCAGTTAACGATAATATTGCTTGAAAAAATAATTAAAAATTACTTATTTGTGATAAAATATTACGTATTCTTCTGGAAATTATTATAGAACTTAAGCAAAATCTTCTTTAGTCAAATAAGCAACACAACTAATATTTGTTGCTTTCAACGAATACTATCTTTTTTTACTATTATGAAAAAATTCTTCTTCTCCAATCACTTCTTCATTCTTTAATAAATTATTTTAAATTTAAAAATGAAATAATTTTTTGCTTTAAAACTGAATTTTTTTGTTTTATAAATAAATGCTTATTTTACGAATTCAATAAGCTATTTATGTAAAATTTTGAGTTATTAAAAATTAAATGAACAATTGGATTCAATAAAATAATCTTTTACTGTATATTTTTTCAAAAGTGTAACTCCTTTAGAATTATTTTCACTACTTATTAGCTCTAATTCACCCTATTTTGTTTTAAAAATGATAAAATAAAAATTAATTAAATTAAATTACAGAAATGAGAATGTAAATTTTGTCATCATATTCGTATTTCCTAAAAATATACTCTTCAGCTACTAAATTAAGCTCTTTCATTTTCAGAGAAAGAGCATCAAGAACTTAATTACTAAAGTTTAGATAAAATATTTTATGATTTTTTAGTTTTTTTGCATACAAATCTCTTAGAACCTCTTCTTTAAGTTTGCTGGTTAAATTTTCAAGTAATATCCTGCAATTAGATTCTGAATTCAACTCTTCTTTAAAGTAATATTCAAAATATTTTCTCACTCGTGTTTGCAGCTGAGCGTCTATACCTCTTTTATACATTAAATAATTTACTTTCTTCATTTTTGATTTAAGTTTAAGAGTATTTCTTTCCATTTCTTGCAATATATCACCTAAAAATTTTTAAAATTAATGATTTATTTTTTAACAATTTAAAATATTTTACCAATTTAATTAAAGCTGTAAGCAAATATACCACATGAAAAAAGGCTCATTACTATAACATATGATCTTTCGACTAATACAAAAAATTAAATAAATGTAGCATTTAATTAAAATATTTACTTGTAGTTATTGGAACTATATCTCCATATCCTAAGGTAACCATTGTAATGGCTGCCCAATAGACACCTGTTATATATATATCTTCCCATGATTTAGAAGGAATAGGAGCACTATCAATCCAGCTCTTCTTATTATTCTATATTTCTACCTACCCAATTTAAATGAACAAACAAGCACTCAAATGAGCTACAAACAAAAGTATTAAAATTAGCCTTACTAATTTTCCAGATACAGATATAACACTATTTCTAGAAAAATTCTCTTAGATTCGTTACTGTTTCTTTAAAACATCTATTAACTTAACGCAAATGATATATTTAAGATTATGAATAGAATAATAAACACTGGCCAAGTAAATTGTAGCAATAGAAAATTCCTTTCTATTTAATTAAATAGGATAAAAATATTGATTGGTTTGCCAAATTAATAATAAATAGACTTACAAAAAATCTTTAGACAAATAATTTAAAAATATTTCTTTTCTATCCATAATAATTAGACCTCTTTTGAAGAATGCCTTTATTGATATAATAATTTATAAAACCTATTTGATAGTAAAATTCTATTTTTACAGTGTTAACATTAATTAGTATTTCTATAGGTAGCAGCAAGTACATAGTTCTGTTGCAAATAAATTCATAAACCTCCCACGTAATATTCAAGCAATTATTAAGAGGAATATAGAAAAATAAATTCAAAAATAAAATGATATAAAAGACATCCCATATAGTTTTATAATTAGAATCCTTTAAATTAAAAATTAAGCTTTATTTATATTTTTATAAAAATAAATTAATATACTGGTGTTATAATCTGTGAAGAGCTTGATAAAATTCGTCCTATTAGGCTTTCTATATTTATAATTAGTGAATTAATTAATATTATTTTTTATATATTGTATTTTATTTTAAAATAATTAAAAAATATGCTTAAATATTTTTAGTTAAAATTTACATTAATATTATTTACTAAAAAAGTATTTTATAATAAAAATTAATGTTTTTATAAAGAATTACAGTGATTAAATTTTTCAAATAATAAAATTTTTTACATTAAAATCTAAACTTGAGTTCCTAGTATCTTGATGGAGTCTATTAGAAATATAAATATATTATTTAATTAAACAAAATGTAAATAGATAAGGATATAACATTCCAAAATAAGTTAATTTAGTTTATGAAATAATCAATCATTCTATTTATTTTTAACTATTTTTTACAAATATTAGATGATTTAAATTACAAAGTTTATAATTCATTTGTAATATTGAAAAAAAATAATTTTGTTGATTTTGCTTTTAATCAACCAACCATTTTTCTAATTTTACAAAAATCAATAAATTACTTATTTGTATAGAAGGTTATTAAATCTATAGAAATCATAATCACTAGCATTATCACCTATAATATTAAAGTGGTGATGAGTTAAGCATTTAAATAGTAATTTTCTAGACTTAAGTCTCATTATACTCATAAACTTTTTGATGTTAATAGTTCTCATAAAAATATGATATTGTTTATTAAGAGTTTTTTGTTTATTCAATAAGAATTAGATTAATCCAACTTTATTTTTTCCTTCACAAACTTCATCATCTTCTTTTTCAAATCTACTTTTTCTATAAAATTCAGTTCTTTCCTAAAATTCATTAGTATAAGTTATAACAGTTGTCTTTCTTTTTTGAGAATCTTTAAATTTTTTAAAATCTGACTCTATAGCTTAGTCAGAGAATTTTGGGGAGTCAACATTTTATTGACATTTGTTAAACTTGGTTGAATAATCTACACTCACATGAGAATCTTTTTTACAAAGATTAGTGAAATTGAATGGTGAGTTTTAGTTAGTCTTTTCTTCTAAAATACTTGTCCTTTCTGCTAATGAATTAATATCTTAATCTGATAATCCATCCCCTTTATTTTATTCGATTGCTGAAGGAATCCAAACTTATTTTCGCCTTAAAGCATCATTATTTACACTGTTGTCATCATAATATTAGGCATGTGGTTTTATGTTAGAAATTGAACATCTAATATATTTAATTATCAAAAAAAAGTTCATATTCAGAAAAATCATAACAAATTAAAGCTACTTTGATTGATTCAAGTTATAATCAGATTATTCTATGTATTTAGAAATATTAATTTCTTATTCCATAATTTTTATAAAATAATAATATATATTTAACTAATTTATTTAGTTTATCCAAAAATAAAAGCTTTAATTTACTTCTACTTTTACTTTTTTATTATTAATTTACTGATATTTGCAAGTTCAAAGTATATGAAAAATCGATGTTTTTTTATCAACTTTTATATTCTTTTAAAATAAGGAGCAAATTAATTTTTATCTTTTAAACAATTAATTTAATTAATTCTTAAAAGTTGAATTAGTTCATTGCTTTATGTTTATTTTGAAGAAATTTTACAATTGAATTTAATTTTGTTAAAAATTTTTTTTCTTCAATAAAAAAATAAAATAATTTTTATTCATTTAATTAATATAAATTTTAAATCAATTTTTTATGAATTTAAAAAATAAAAAGTTCCAAATTTTTTATGAATTTTAATTAATTTATTTATAATAAAAATATTAATTAATTTTTTTATCTAAATTCTTTTATGTATTTGCATAGCTCTTTATTAAGTGTATTAACTTTATATATTTATATTATAAAAATACAAATAAAAAGATTTTTTTAAGTGCTAATAGATGAAGGAAAAGGATTGATTATAATATGGAATTATAAATTTTTATCTAGAAATAAAAGGTGAAGAGTTTTGATGGAGAAAAAGATGGCAAGAAAGTAATTTTTAATAGAGTCATGAGGAATTGATTAAAATCATAGATAAAACAACTCTAATTTGATCAAAAAGATACTTCTCTCTTCCTTTAACAATTTGAAATATAAACACGTAAACTGGATTTGTTTGAAAATAATAAAAATCTTAAATAAATATATTGATATTAATAGTTTTTTGAAATAAAAGCATAAAGAAATCTGATGATAAGGAAGACTTTTTCTTTGGTGATTGCCTTGGCCTGGGTAGGCTTTTCTGTCTATTTAGGATCTTTAATGCAATAAGCATTCGATGAAAGCCAAGATTATGGTAGATATAACTTAGCTTTTAGCCATATTGCATTTGATATAACTGTCATCGTTTCAATTTGTATCTTCAATTTCTTCTGGAATAACCTCCAAATTTTTGATGCATACTACGGACTTATCCCTGTTGCTCGTTTAGCAGTTCTTAAAATGAATTCTGATAAGGTTTTTTAAGAATTTAATTTCAAGAATTTCCTTATTACCACTCTTATCGGCATTTGGGGTGTACGTCTTTTTGCTCACATTTTTTAGAAATGGAGAGGTTTCCCTGATTAAGATAGACGTATAACTGCTACCGAAATGAGATACAGAGGAGTTAAGCGTATTTTCTTCTGGCTTTGGTAACAACCTTTCATAGCTTTCATGAATGCTTTGTTAATTTCATTCCTTACATTACCCGTTACTGCTTTTTATACTAGAGATGCAGAAGCAATTTAGAGAGGTGAAAAGTATAATTTCAGTGAAATTTTGGGTTATGCATTAGCAATTTATGGATTAGCTGTTTAATCAATTGCTGATTTAGAATCTAACTTATGGAGAGACTCAGGAGCTTCTCACAAAGTATGCGATACCGGCTTAAGAAGATATCTCCGTTACCCACAATACTATGCTGAAATAGTTTTCTGGTTTGGTATCTGGGGTGCTTGTGTCTCTTCTTTCTCCACTGCAACTGTTATCAGTAGTTTCGTTTACTGGCCTATTGGTTTTGTAATTGAAGCTCTTTGGTTAGTAGTTATGACTACAATCATGGATAAAAGAGTTCTTGTTCGTAAAGAAGGCTGGTAAGAATACAAAAGAAAAGTAAGATTCGGTCTTATCCCTTTCTTCCGCTTTTGATATAATAAAAAAATAGCTTAGGAAATAGCAATAGTTTGTTGAAAATCAAATCAATTATCTGAGCATTAAGTAATGAAAAGAAATATTAATTGAATAAAAAAGGATTTTATTTTTATTTAAACACAGGACTGGACTGATTGAATGAATTCAAAAACTAGCTATAAAAATTAAAAAATAAGCTTATGTAAATTTTAATATTTATATATTTAGTTTATATCTATTCAAACATACAGAATTATTTTAATATTAAATGTATTTGTTGTGAACTTGTATAATTTTTTACAATTAAGAAGTATTAATTTTTAGTAAAAATACTTCCTCTATTTGCTATTTTATGTGTGTTTAATTAATTATTTATTTATTTATTTATCTTAAAGCCCACATGAATCAATTAAAAAAATTATTGCTTGAATCAACTTATTTTTTTAACTTAAAAAAGGAGATTTTAATTTTTCAACTTAAAATTAGTTTATTTATTTATTTTATGATCTTATAATTAATATTTAAGTTGTTATTAGTGATATTATTTTTAAAATATTTGATTTAATTTTATTTAGAAGATAATTAATTATTTTCTCCAAATGAAATAGTAAAATATATTTTTTTAAAACTTTTATTAATTCATATTTATGTATAAAAGCTATTATTTAACAAATGTTCTTAATAAAAAAGTGTAATTAACAAATAAAAGTGTCTTTAGTTATTATTTGTTTAAAGTGTTAATTTTTAAATAAAAAAATGAGAAAGACACTTTGTATTTATTTATTAATTTTTTTTACAAAATTTCTCTCAATTTGAATAAATTATTTATTTAAAATGAACCCAAACAAATAATGAATAGTATTTAATTATAAATATTTATAAAATTTAAGTATTTAAAAAAAATATTTTAAAGATTAATAAACTTTTCGAAGAAATATTATCAATTTCAAGAGCAGATTAATGTACTTTTTTGATCTATTTATAATTATAAAATTTGGAGTAGTTTGATATTTTCTTCATAATTTTGCATAAATTAAAGTTATATGTTATTTATGCTGAAAATTTATTGGTTGATTGTACTATTTAATTGTAATTACTTTAATTATAAATAAAAAGGAGTTTTTAAAGTAAGATCGTTTGTTATTTATTATTTTAGTTCTTACAATTTTAAAAGCTCTTAAAGTTCAATTTGTATAGCTGCATCTTATTTTAACTTTTCTATTTATGCAATTAGGTCAATTTATTTCTATTGCTGGTTTAAAGTATATATATTATTGCTTAACAAATTTTGTGGACTTTGAAAGTTATTTATATTGTTTTATCCAAATTACTATTATTAAGCAAGCATCTAAATTTATTATGGAGGTATTATTTAAGCGTTAGTAAGTAAGAATTAATTTTAATAATTATTATTGTATTAAATTGTTTATAAATCAAGTAATTACTATTATTGCTATATCGGTAAATCATTATTATTTAAGTAAGCTGCGTTTATATTATTTAAAAATTGTATATTGCCTGAATTTAATATTTATTGATTAACTGATGATAAAGATGGAATCATATCTTTATATTAATGATCAAATGTGTTACTACTACTCTGGAGAAGAGAACTCTAATTTAATAATGGTGTTTGTTATTATGATTAATCAGATATTGTGAATTATTATTATACATCACTTTTTAGAGTTTGATTTAATTGATCAATAGTTTACTCCTTTAGTAGTTAAGTACTTTAATTAGGGGTGCTTTCATCTTATAAATTAACCTTAAAAATGGTTGCTGATTCGCTCTACAAATTCGATTAGTTTTATTTATCACTTTCTCTATTGGTTTCAAAACTTAATTTTTTTTGTTAAGATTATTATGAGTTTGGCAATTTATTTTTTTAATGTTGAAAGTAGTGATAATATTGCTATATGAATTGATCTTATTAAAAGTTGTATTAAAAATCTTCATCTTCTTCCTTAAACGATAATGGTCTCTTAGTTCTAATTTACGAAACACGTTGCAGCTAATACTCATCTATTTCGAATTTATATATTCGAAGGTAATTTGTAAAGCTAATATCTTTGGTAAGATTAAAAGTAGTAAGATCATGCTGAATTGCTTTAATTTTACAAGGAATTACTATATCATCGACTGTTACTATTTCTATTTCTGCTTCATTTTGTTACATTAAATTCATATTAAGAAGCTAAAAATGTGCTTAATTGGTAAAAATTTCTTTAAACCCGTTTCTTTTAAGTGACTACAAATAGCGTTATCTATTTTCACAAAGTATTTCAGTCAAAGTATAATTAAATCCAATTGAAGATACTTGCATTCTTAGACTGCTACAATTGTGTTTTCTTATAAAATATATATAGGGATACTGCTATCCAATACTGCTTATAATCTCACTTGCCTTTTGTAGTGACTTGCTATAATTTTCTGCAAGACACTCTTACAGATGCTCAAAATGACCTTCGCATAAAGATTTAATTTTATTACAATTGTTTAATTCGCCTTTAACGTATAGATGATATTATTCAAGCATTTTAGAAGTTTTAAAAGCTTCTTTGTTTTGCATACTCTGTAATTGATTTATTAAATATTAAAATTCGAAAGGCGCTTAATTATCAGTTCTCATATTTAGTTATATATAGTCCTAAAATCCTTAAAAGCTTGCGTAAGGACGCCATTGATTCCAGTGGGAATAATTTTCTTATTTTTTAAAACCAGAATCTGTAAAAAGATCTAAATTTACATATAAATCACCTCCAATAAAATGCCAATGCTTATTATCTACACCTTTTAGTAGAAAAATTATTTTCTTTTTTGAATCTTCATCTTAATCTTATTCATGAGCGTCATAAAGAAAATCATAATCGGAAAGTATTTACTCCTACTATTCATTTTCATATAATTTAAGTTCATTTTACTACTTTTTGGCCTACTGTTTTTAGATGAATTTAATTTGCTTCTTCTATTTTGCGAGAAATGGTTTATTTGCTCCTACCACAGAATTTGGAGAATACCGTAGAACAGCAAGCACTTCTTTGTTTTCATTTAACCCAGGGAGTGATATGAATTAATCAGCATTAAAATAAAAACCTTCGAATTCCATTATTAAAAACTTTAAAATTGTTTTTTTTTCTATAAAAAATCTCTTTGGTGCTTAATTATTGTTTTTCGCAAATTATAGTTCTAAATTTCTATTAAATTAGTGATAAATTAATTGACTTTAGAGTTTTTTGACGCAGACTAGAAAGACTGTTTGTATTAATTATATTATTAAAATATTAATGTACAATTACCATTAAATAAATTCTGAGCAGGAATATAATTTTCTTATAAGCAAATCATGAAATCATGTATATTATTCAAATAAACCATGTGATTACTGCTTAAATTATACTAAATTTCATTGATTTTATCAATTTTTTTTTGTTATTAGATTATTTATTATTAATTTTTTCGTATTACTTTTTAAAGTAACAAAAGTGATTTCATAAAAGGGCTTAATTATTTGGAAATAGTGTAGTTTTGAATATTTTGTTATTTCGAATTACATTTTTTAATTTTACAAGGCTACTCTTACAGAAAAATCTAAATTTATTTAATTTTAAAGTAAAATAAATCAAATATCAACAAGCTATTAACATAAAATAACAGGAAATCAAGTTTTTACTTTAAAACTTATATATAAAACTAGAAAATAATATGTATCTTTTGAAAATAAAATTTTAAATTACATATCAAATATTTATTTTTAAAATTTTTAATCTTTATTAAATTTGAATTAGTTTTAAGATATTTATTTATTTTATTTTTTTAAATAAAAATGTTTTAGCTCACAATTTAATTAGATACTATTTGTATAAACTTATTCACTAAAATATAACTTTTTGATTAAAATAATTTAATGATAACCATTTACAGTAGTTTACTAACTCCAAAAGTAAGATTAAAATTTTTTAGTTAATTTTCACAGATCAAAAGTAAATTACATTTAATTCTTACAATTTCTGAGATGAAAATTAAAAATAATCTTCACTCAAATATATGAGAATTTATTTATTATCAAGGTAAAATAAAAGACTATAAGCTATTTTTTAGTTTGTTTTTATTTGCTAAAGTTTAAATATGGAAATGGCAATTTAAAAAAAAAATTTTAATTTCATAATAAATATAAAAAAATAAATAGATTTATTTGCAAATAAGTTTTGGTTTTTCCATCAGATATATATTTTCCCTTAAAAAATAGCTTTAACTTATCACTTCTAGTAATTAAATAGTAAAAATGGATGTATAAGTAAGCAAAAAGTATATTTGGGCAGAAAGTAAAAATTCAAATAAAATTTAAAAGGGTTTAAAGCTATATCCAAAAAAGAATAAAAAAGCTTGAATTTATCTAATTTCCTCTTAGTTAGGCGATTTCTTGCAACTTAGAAAGTTTTTTAATGGAATGATTTCTTCAAATAAGAGCACATACTTTAATATTTCAAACATAGAGATTGTATTATTTTTTAACTTGTAAATTTAAGTTCGCGCCGCGTAAAATAAAATCTAAAAACTTAATTAAAAAATTTTTGAATAAATAAGCATATATAATTATCCTATCTTTTTAAAAATAATTTAAAAATTTTGTGATGAAAAGTTAAAAAGTTTAATTTAATGTAGCAAGAATAAAAATTTTTAAATTATTTATGTAAAATCTAATTCACAAAGTTAACAAAAATCTATAAAAATCATAATTTAAAATATGCATTAATTTTAAGAGTAGTATTTTTTGAAAAATAAGGTGAGAAAATAATATATAATTATAGATGAGATAAATTTTTGAAGGGTTTAATATTTCAAATTGATTAAAAGGTAATTATTTTAGCTTTTTTGATAAATAATGAAGAAGTAAATGAGATATGAGAGTAGCAGTCATTATATAAAAGTAAAGGTATATTTGTGTTTTCGTTAAAGGGCAAATTTAAATCAGGAAATAAGCTTGAATTTGCACCTTGAGCTTTTAGTTTGATCTTCTTCAGAGTTGTTATGCTACTCAGAAGAGGATTTTGATTCGCATTATGCCTAGGAGTAAATATTTTAGCTTGTTGGTAAATTTTCATTGTTTTCAATTTCAATATCTTAACTTTCTTACTAATTTTGATAAAATTTTTCTATAAATACTTAACTTTAAATTGAGTATCTAAATTCTTCTTGTTCTAATAAAGATGAAGAAGAGTATTGCTGTTAGCCTTGCTTTAGACTTTTACGGTAAAGGTCTACTTAATTGTAAATATTCTTTGGCACATTTAATTTGAGCAAATAGGCTTACTCTAAAAGATTTTCATTTGGATTAGACTCGTTGTACTTTAATTAGGTAGGAATATCTAATGGTATGAGACTGACTTCTCCAGAACATTATATTGAGATGTTATCGAAAGTAAGAATATTCATTTCTTATATTATAATAGGAGAATCAGAATTGGATTATAAAACTTTCTATATATATGCTTATTAAATTTTCATTCTAGTTTTCAAATCATACATTTCTTTTATACCTTATCTGATAAATTAAGTTACAGCTTCATCAAGAGTACAACCCATTATGTTAATATACTGACTGCTATATAGAATTTTCCTTAAAACAGGAATGCATTAAGTGAAATCAATGCTAATAAATCCTACCGTGAATACCTCTTAGCAAAAGGCATCGTTTTAGGTTTAAAATAATTTTTTAGATTTTATTAAACCTTTAATAGCCTTTTCAATAAATTAGTTTCTCTTTTCTTGTTTTGTAAGTAAACGCTCATTATCATTTTAGTAGCTTTAAATGATACTTTATATGCAGCCTTGACAGCCTTTGATTATTTTTTATAATTCAATCAAAGGATGAAGGATGGGATCACCAACTAAAATTTAACTAGCTTAGTTGAGTTAAGAAATCAAATTTTAAAATTCTTTAAGCCCATCTATCTTGTTTGACATTCTTACTAAAAGATATTTATCATGTTTTTATATTTCTAAAATTTCTTTGTATTAATTCATGATTTCTGGAGTATGTTAAATAAGCTACAATGCAGAATTCTTTTCTTCTTCACTTTAAAAGTTCTACTGATTTTTCTGTAAAGAGTTTAATAAATCCCTCTCTTCTTCGCTTAAATTTAACTTATAAAAAAAATCTCCTCCAATAAGAATAAAATCTATCTTCTCAGTGATGTGATTATAAATTGGAGTGATACTCAAACTCCTTTTGCTTTCTATTTCATGTGCAGATATAATTTCAGAGCTGCCTTTTTTACCTAGAGATAGAAACTTTTCTATAGATTTTTTTATATATTTTCTTTTCTTTTTTTACTCGCTCTAGGGAGTACTTAGATTACCTCCAATAATATTATCTGTTTCAAATTTATTATCTCTACTCTTTTATAAAAGACCGCTAAATATTTAGTTTGATTGAGTTATAGAAGATGGGTTTGAATCAAACGAATGGATCGACCACTAAGACGAGCAACTAGATAGCTAGTTCATCCCTATATTCTATACATTCTCTATTTCCATTTCTATACCTAGCTATAACTATATTATTTATGAATGTTCTGTTTTTATAAATTTAATTGTTATATTTGCTAATTAAATTTTTTGTAAAATTTTTAACTAAATGTTAAGAACCTAACTAAAAATTGAATACCCAGTAATCGAATCTATTTATTTAACAATTGCTATTAAAGAAAAGGTCTTTTATGACTCAATAAGACTGAAACTAGCCAAGTAAAACTTTTATTTTAACTCTTTACGAAATTATTGTCCAAAATTATTATTATTTACCACAAAATTTAAAGTCTATTAGGCCATTGTAGAGTTATTTTTTAAAAAAAATTGTTAGTTTGATATTACTGAAGTCAATTACAAGCAAATAAATAAATTAATAAAGTATAAATATAGTAAGCACAAAACAAATTTCAAAAAATTAAAATATTTATTTATTTACTAATAAACAAAATATTAAATGATGATAAAATATATTTTGAAATGTTTCTTAAATAGTTCTTGAATTTGAGTTTTTTATTTTTTAGTATTTCATATAGAAGTATAAAAGAAGTAAGAAGTGTGAATAAAAATATTTATTAATTCTAGAACTAATCTCCAAAAAAATTAATATTTTCCTTACACTCTTACACTCTAACATACTAGGAACTTTTGACAATTATCAATTCATCTAATAAATAGATAGAACCATTTTAAACTGACAAGAAAATTTTTTAATTTCATTAAATTAGTTTTAAGTTATTTAAAATTTAATAGTTTCATTCATTACTAAGTAGATATTGATAGTATATTTTGCTATTTAGATAGTTTATTGTTTATTATTTTTTTCTTCTTTGATTCTTTCTATCTTTATGTATTTTATCTTTATTTAAATATTTTTTTATTAGAAACAACTTTTGAAAATATTTTGGATTTCAATCTTACATAGTTTATCTATTGGATAATAAATAATTTATCAAATCAAGCGATATTTGCAACGCTGATTTATATCAGGATCTTCTTTATTGTTTTCTTCATTTTCTTGCTATTCGCTATTTTCAAGTGAAAAATAATTAAAATTTTTATCTTTGATTAATGTTTTAAGTTCTTATTAATAAAACTTTTCAATAAGGTATTAAGATTGCATATTATAGCAAATATCTTCTTCCTTTTATAAGAGCTCTTAACTATCAAAACCCTATTATTATAACTTCATATTTCTTTAATTTATGATATATTGTATTTAATCTGGCTCTAAAATAAATTTCATAATAAATCCTAGCTCATGAGTTTCTGTATTTACAGAATTTTTATCATATTTTAATTCATCTGGAAAATCAACTTTTATAGTTTCTATTTCAACTTTTACTTATAATTAAATATCATCATAAGTTATTAAATTAAATGGTGATTAAGCTATATATCTACCATTACCTTCCACAATTTCTTTAATATGCTAAGATTGAATTAAAACTCTTGATTTAAAATCAAAAAATTCTTTAATTCCTTTCCTCATAAAATAGCTTTAAAGCTATTCAAAATTCGATCCAATTAATGAAACCAAAGCTTAATTAAATGCCAAATTACTTAAGCAAGGCACTTACCTTTAAAAATCTAACATCGTTAAACCAATTATTAAGAAATCATCTTCATTATAATTTTATTTAAGATAGTTTTTACCATAATTTTTAATATAATCAAGTCTTTTTTCTTGTAGTTGCAACAATTGTTAAGGATCAGGATAAAGTTAAATAATATGTAATACTGCCTGATGACTTTAGCTTAGTATATCCTAAAACTGAAGTAATAGATTTAAATGGTTTTCACCTGATATAACTGATAATAATTAGTTTAGTTATGAAATTAAATTTCTAAAATCGATTAGGCCATTTCGTTTATTTACTAGTGAAACATTTAAGAAATTGTTTGACTTTGAAATAGAGACCACGTCTTTATATAGCTTTAGCTACTCTTATTATCCTTCATTGAAGAAATCTCTATATTTAAAATACAAATCTGAATTATGCAATCTAAAATCCTGCTGTTTATATATAAAATCACCGCCTATTAAAATAAACTCTATCTGCTCCTTCAAAGTCTCGTACATAGGAAATACTTATAGCTAATTACTTTTTTCATGATTTATATCCTACTCCTCTATTTCCGCTTTTTCCATAAAAGATTACATAGTCTTCTTTATATATTTCCTCTTACCTAAAGAAGATGAAGAGTTTTATATCATAAGTGACTAAGAATTATCTTTACTCTCATTCGTTGATTAGTTTTTATCTGTTTCATATTCATCTTCAATATCCATTTTTTAAAAAATAATCAATAGAGTATCTCTAATTTGATATCGAATTTATTTTCAATGCCTAATATATTTTTTTAATTAACAAATTTCAGTAAATTCATCTTCTTTCTTAAATATATATATAGCAAATTGATAATTAACATTCAATTTCTTAAAAACTCACAAATGTTACTATTCTTGGCTTCTAATTATTTTAAAAATAAGAAGTTTTGAAAAAACTTCCAGAAAAATAAGTAATTTAATGAAAGTGAGTGTAAGAGACTAAAATATATGAATATATTCAATATTCTAGATATTCTAGGTTTTAAGTTCTGAATTTCAATTATTTGTAAGTAATTGCAATAATAACTTTTAGAATCTTATGAATTTTATCTCTTTTTAATAAAATTAAAATAGATTGTATTTTCACTTTCCTAATCTATTTTTTAATGATCAATATTTCTATTTAATTGAGTAAATAAAGTGAATAACACATAAGAATTTATTATCTTTAATTTTATTAACTATAAGAAGAAAATATTCTGGAAGTATTATGTCTTAAGATAGTTATCTTTGATATTGAAAGGCTTAAAATATTTACAATTAAACTTTCAAAATTAAGAATACGAAGATTAAAATTTACTATAAAGTCAAATTTTATAAATTACATATTGGTTTTAAGAAATTAATTTTAGGTTATTTATTAATTATGAAACACATTTTGTTTCTTTATTTAAAGGAATCAAAAAAAGGTGATAATAATTCATCTTCATTACAAATTTATTTCAAAAATAAAAGTAAATAAAAATAATAGCATTTAAAAATATTTTTATTCAAATATTAAGAATACATATTATAGAAAAAAACAATTAATTTCTTATTTTAACTAAATAATTCATCATTTTAAAAATGCAACATCAGTATAATTTATTAAGGAAAATATTAAATTTTAAACAATGTGTAAATAAAAAACTTATTTGATAATTAAGATCAGTAGGTAGAAATCGATTGTAATCAGTCTTTTTCTATATTAAACTTACAAAATTTAGAAAAATTTTAAAAAACTAATGTTGCAAATTTAAAATATTTGATTCAGATATTTTGTATTACTATGTTAAATATTTTTTTTGTAATTTAAATACATATTTTAAACAAATGATTAGTATTATAATTATTTCTTTTTTAATTAAAATAAATAATAAAATTCAATATCCTTTATTATCTACAAAAATATAATAAATTTTTTGATAAATTTTAATATTTATGAATTTTATTAATCTGATAGAAAATTGATTATTGATCTAAAAATAATTATTTTTTTAACAAATTGATTTTTTTCATGTAAATTTTTCATAAAGGTCAGAATAAAATATCTTTTTAACAATTATAATTTATTTGAAAGCTACAATATTCAACAAATAAATTTTAGTAAATTAATTATTAAAATAATTTGTATTTTCTTTGAGAATATTGAAAAAATGATTTAAATATTTTGCAATTTTTAAAAATGTGTTGATTTTTTTAATATTTTAAAATATTAAATTTCCAATGAAATTTTTTATCTCAAAATATTAAAAAGTTAATTTAAAATACATAACATAAATAAATAGATGTATTCAAGTAATTTTAATTAAAAAATTTTTATATATTTATATATTTATATATAATTTGTAAAATAAATAATTTAAAGAAAAAGTGCGAAGATACATTTCTTAGACTACAAGTAATTTTATATTTATTTACTTATAGCTGAAAATTTTGAATAGAGTGGCTGAAGTTCAAGATGTTGCTCTCATTTTAAAAATTAAAAATATAATTAAATGCAATTTAATAGCTTTCTATATACTTATATATAGATATCATTATAACAATTGACTGGAGTGTGAACCATTTACAATAAAAGTAGCTTAAAGCGAAGACATTAGCTTCAAAATTAAAAGGGTGAAATCAAAAATATATAATAGGAATGAGTTAGAATAAGTAAAAGAGAAAAGTTGATTCAAGTAGTGAAGGTGAAGAGAGTGAAGATGATTCTACAGAATAAAATTAAGATAATGAATCCACATAATAAGGAGGAGTATATATTTATGCTTAATTTCATTTATTATTACTTCGAATTAAATATCGAAGAATATTTTTAAATCTAACTTTTAAAAAAAGGAAAATGAAGATGAAGTATTTGATATTGATTTTAAAAATTTACCCTCACACGCATGCGAGTATGTTAATGAAATAAAATATTGGTTTTTGATTAAATTAAATAATATAAAATTAAAGATATTGTGGTGTCCATAATAAGAATAGTGTTATAAAGTGTCTAAATAAAGATTGCAACAAAGTAAATATTAAATTTTAGCCTTATAGATTGTTTTAAATATTTTTTATAAAAATAAATCATTAGTGGTTTTGCAATGGTAAACAATAAGGTTAGGGAGCATCTCATATTATTATGCATTTAGTTAAATCTAAACACAAAGTATGTTTGTTGATTATTAAATAGCAAATATCAATTTATCTTTAGATTTAAAAATGTTTTAGAGCAAAAGATAAAATTGGCTAAAAAAGTAGAATATTAATTTTCATTTATCTAAAATTAGGAAATTTAGGTACACCCTGAGAACTAAAACTCAGATACTACTATTGAATGTTACATTTGTGAGAATAAAAATATATACTTATTAGGTTTAGTTCACTTAAAAAATTAAGAAGATCAAGTAATAATTTAGCTTTGTTAGTTTTATTTTAAAATTTTCGAAAAATAAACAACTTTAATTGTTTTCCAAAATGAATGTTAAAATAGGGTTTGATTATTTGTAGACAACCTTGCTTGAATCTAAAAAAGTATAATGAGATGTAATGGGAAATTGAAAAATGGAATCCTTTAATTGATGAAAAGATGATTGTTTCTTGGTTAGCTTCACCACCAAGCGCCAAGCAAATGGAAAAAGGGTTTAAAGTTTCTTAGAAGCAAATTTACGAGTACGAGGAGTAAATTAAAACTAACCCCAATTTTAAAGTAAATCTATTGAAAAAAATCTTCAAAATTTAATTTATTGCTTTTTAAATCTTCAAATTTAGTTAGCATAAGGTGCTGCTTAAAGTTAAGTCAAGAAACTAAAACCAGTGTTATTGCGTTATAAAACTGGTAAATAGTATTTCTAAACATTCTACAACTTAATTGAAGCTGAGGCTAACTATGACAAAGCTTTAAAGGAAAATCTTCATTACAACAGCATTACTGTTAAGTAAATCTTTGTTATTTTTTTAAATTATATTGAATCTCATTTCGTGTGCGTTTAATAGGTGGGATATTTCTTTAAAGAGTAGAAAAGTGGCTCAATTTGTATTGCCTTAGGGAGAAGATAATGAATTCAACCTTTTGAGTGGTTCTGAATTAAAGATCACCTACAAAAAGAATAAGAAAGATGAAGAATGGTCTGCCAAGGGTACTATAACTAAAGTCGGAAATAATGATGAAGTCTTTGTTGAACTAAGTCATAATGTAAAAGATACCCCACCATCAGGAAAGGGATACACAATAGAATTTGTATGGAAACATACTGCTGTTAAGCGTATTAAAAAAGGTATTAAGAAATTCTGGTAAGATGAAAAATGCATTAGCTCGTTCTTATACTTTTAAATTCTTGGTCATTAGAACGAAGAACAGTAAACACCTACTTTGGATATACAACTTCCTAAGCATTATTCTTTACCCAAAATGCCTGAGCTCAACTATTATTAAGTTGAAGCAGTTAAAAAGTAAATGCTTTATTTGATGATTCTAGTTTCTATTGATATTTTTTAATAAAAGGGCTCTTCAATAACCTCTTTGCTTGATTTAAGGTCCTCCAGGTACTGGTAAAACTTTTACAAGTACAGCAATCATTTACCATCTAGTAAAGAACATTTAAAAGAGCGGATAGAGAGGCCAGGTTTTAGTCTGTGCTCCTTCTAACATCGTTGTAGATTAACTAGCAGAAAGAATACACTAGGCTGGTATCAAGGTAGTTAGAATGTGCTCTCGTTCTAGAGAAATGATTTCATCATCAGTAGAATTCTTAACTTTGCACAATCAAGTAAAATATTATTTATCGCGAATATAGCTATTTGATTTAAAGAGCTATTTTAGAATATTTAACTAATAAACTAAACATTAATAGGTAAGAAGTTTAGATTTCGATGAATACAAAGAAATGTAAAAGTTACTCGAGCTTAAAGAAGATTAAGGTGAGTTAGACCATGATGATGAAGACAAATATTATAGTTTAAAAAGATAAGGTGAAAAGGAAATTTTGGTAAATATTTTATTATTTCTAAAGAGAAACTAAAAAACTTTTAAAATAAAGAGAAATGCGGAAGTTATTTGTTCGACTTGTATATCATCAGCAGACCCAAGATTGAAGGATATTAGATTCAAGCATGTTCTAATTGATGAAGCTACATAAGCTATTGAACCAGAATGTTTGTTACCTATGTTGAAAGGAGCTAAGCATGTAGATTTAAAAATACTTTATTCATCCATCTTATTAATTAATTATGTAATTAGGTCATTTTAGTAGGAGATCATAGATAATTGGGTCCTGTTGTTACTTGCAGAGATACTGCAAAGGCTGGTTTGAATAAAAGTCTTTTTGAAAGAATGGTTAGTATGGGTATTAGACCAATTAGATTGTAAGTTTAGTACAGAATGCATCCTGATCTCTCTATTTTCCCTTCAAATACTTTCTATGAAGGAACTTTGTAAAATGGTGTAACTTTCAACGATAGACAATTCCATGGTGAATTCCCGTGGCCTAATAAAAGTATATAATAATAATTTAAAAGAAATAAAAGTAATAAATAAGCTTTTTTTAAAAAAAGATAAACCTTTGATGTTTTTAAATTCCTGTGGTGTTGAAGAAATATCTTCAAGTGGTACCAGTTACTTAAATAGATAAGAAACTGCCTTAATTGAAGATATTGTATTCAGATTAATAAAAGCTAAGGTAAAACCTGAATAAATAGGTATCATCACTCCTTATAAAGGTTAAAGATTCTATATTGGCGATTACTTAAGTAAGAACGGACGTTTGAACCATGTCTTATATAGATAAATAGAAGTAAAATCTTAAAATTTTTAATTCTATATTAAAAAAATCCTCAATTTAAATTATTAAAGATTGCCTCTGTTGATGGATTTTAAGGAAGAGAAAAAGATTATATAATTATTTCTTGTGTAAGAAGCAATGAGTGCTAAGGTATTGGTTTTTTAACAGACCCACGTCGTCTTAACGTAGCTATTACAAGAGCTAGGTAAAAATTATTTAAATTAAAAAAATCATTAATTTTTATTTCTAAATAAAAGATACGGACTTATTATTGTCGGTAATGCTAAGGTACTTGCAAGAGATAATCTTTGGAACAATCTTCTCAATCATATGAAAGAAAACAAGGTTTTGGTTGATGGAACACTAAATGATCTAAGACAATGCACATTAAAGTTCAGATAACCTCAAAAATATGTACCTGAAAGATCAGAATTTTAAGATAACAATAATGACAATGATGATGCCAGGTCAACAGTTAGTTACAAAATAGGTAATTTCACAACAACAAAAAACAAAAAAGGTTAATTAATATAATAAAATATAAAAAGATAACATAAACAACTTTGATCTTGAGTTGCCTATTGGATTTGGATTTAGAAACAGTGAGTTTGGATTTAACAAAATGCCCTAAACAGAATAGTTCAGAAAGATTCAAAAAGGTAAATTTAAATTTAAAAAGAAATAAAATCAAAATAAAATATAAAAATGATAAATAATTAAATTATAAAACACTCTAGATTAAACTCTCAATATGGTAAAGAATTATGGAACTTAGCTTTACAATAACTAGAATAATTAAGAGATTTTCTTCTTTGGTTAGGACAGAGAATAAAACTATTATGATATTCCAAGCTAACAAAAAAATAATGTTCAGCCTAATTAGTTTAGAAACAATGGAGGCTTTACTAATTTGAATCCAAATTCTAATAATTAGAATGATTTCAATGGAAGAAATAGAGATGACTACAATAATTAAGATGAATAAGCTGAAGATCAAGAAGATGATAACTATACAAATGGTGGTGATGAAATTTACACAGAAAAGCAAAACGATTACAACAATCCAATAATCTAGAAGTCATAACCAAAAGATAACTCCTAGAACAGCAAATCAACTTCTTTTGGAGGTATCGGTACATTCAGTATAGGTGCTTAGAAATATAGTTAGTTTGATTTAGATTTACCTGATGAATTTAAATGAACATAAATTTGCCGACTAAAAAAAGAAATTCCTTCTACACTTGTAGAGAACTAAATTTTACTTTTGATATAAAATAACAAAAAACTCTTTAGTTATTTTTATCATGATCAATAATAAAGCAACATTTACATTAAAGAGATAACTACTGCAATATAAAGTGATGAGAAAAAACTTTTTATCATAGTTAAAAAACAAATATAATTGACTTGTTTGTTTTTTGAATATTTGATTGAATTCAATATATTTTGTATTTGGAGTGATATAGCAGCTAGTTTTTGTAGAAGTTATCGTTTTTCTTATTGATAAACAATAATTAACTTGATTGGCATGATAGTATATTTCTACCTATATTCTATATAAAATAAAACATTATTTGAAAAGATAGTCTTTATTAATGTATTCTAATTTTATACATAAATTCATGTCTGATTTGTTTTTTATTAGTTTAAAATACTTTTAAAAATAAATTATTTTCAATTATTCCTAAATTTAATTTCTTTACTTACTTAATTCCATTAATTAATTTTCTTAAAATATTAAACTTATTATGTATGTATGTTCTATTTTTAATTTTAAAAATTAGGTTGACTACTCTAAAACAGTGAAAGATAAAAAAATATTCAATCTTTAAAAATTTAAAGAAAATTAAAAACTTATTAATAATCAATAATAGATTTCCATTCATTTTAAGGATGGATATCAAAGCTTTCAATTACACGAGGATAAAAGTTTTTAAAAAGATGAATATTATTTTTAATCTTTAAATTTCATAATTATTTTAAAGATTAATTATGGTTAATTTATTGGTTTATTGAATTATGAAAGCTAATAAATTGAAACTAAGTTTTTTTTGAATGATTTTCTCATAAAATATTTTATTAAGTAAGGAAATAAATAAGTAAGTAGTAAAATTATTTATTTTTTTTCAAATGTTATAAATTTATTTTAGATGAAAAGATATAATTTACAATTAAAGTCTTATTAAATTGTGGAAAAAATGTAATTAATTATAATTTCTATTTAATATTTTGAATAATTATTATAACAAAATTTTATTCAATATTAGTTTTATCTAGTTCTTTTTACTTTTAATCACTCTAGGACTTGATTTTGTTATGTAGGAGCTTTTTCCTTGTAAGTAGGAGATATATTTAGTTAAACATTACCATCTCTAACTTATACTGTGCTATTTAACATACTAGGAAGTATAAAAGGCTAATTTTAAACATTTACAGATTCTTAATTTTGAGCTTTCTCTTAATTTTAAACATCTTTATTTTGTTAAATGTTATTTTAATTCAAGTTGTTTTGTGATTAATTTTTTGGTTATTTACTATTTTGTTATTTTATAATTTATTATAGTTATTAGTTCAGTAAATTTTCTTAATTTGGTTGATAATATACAAAGCAAATTAATTATAAAACTACTGATACTGGTATAGCATAAATATAAATTTTCAAAATGAAATAATAATTTGAAAATGAATCTTTAAAAGCTCCTTCGTTAGACATTTAGCATTAATTATATTTTTCTATAGCAGATTTTAATTGCAAAGAATCACTATAGTAGAGTAACTTCTCCATTCTAGCAAAGCAGAAAACAGTTATTACAAAGTTTGCATAGAAAAAAAATAATTTGAATATTTCTAAGCACTTTCTAGGGTTGGAAAACAACGCAATTAAGAGAATAAAGTATTCTACAGTGTCAATTATTTACCTGTAGTAAATAAAAAAGTCTTAATAGTCTGTATGCCCCATACTACTTACTATGAAAAAGAAATTATTGCTTTGCTGAATACCAGTAAGATATTATGCTGACTAAAATTCAAAGTAGAATAGAGCCCAAAACATCCCAAATGTAAATGTATTAAGGAATACTACCAGTACAGAAATACAAATATTATATTTTGTCATAATAATATTGTAGTATTAATTTTCGTAATTATTTATTTTCTTTCTGTTCAAAGAGGATTATGACCTTTCAATATTCGCTTTTTCATTTTCATTTTTTTAATTGTTCATTTATTATGAAGCAGATACTTAAATTTCATTTTATTGGATCATACTATTTGTAAGTCTAGCATTAAGAATTTTTTATTCTTCCTAATTAATATCGTTTCTGTATGAAAAAAGCTCTGGATTTTCTTATTCTTATAAATTAATATCCTTGTTTTGAATATGGTTTGTATTCATTTATTTCTGACTATTCTTATTGCTAAGATCCTTTTAGTTATTGCTTTGATCCATTCGACCAAAATATTACTAAAATCTATTATTATCTTAACTGAAATTGTGAGGAGTTAATATTCTGTTTTGTGATTAAAACATATCATTATCAATACATTCATAAGAAAATAGTCTCTAATTTTAGTAAGTCTTATCATTATTTTCTTAACTTTTTGCTTCATAAATATTCCCATTTCTTGTTTAGCCATAATTTTAGTAATTTAAGTCGCCAATGTTGGTTTACATTTGACCATTTTATTATTTATTTTAATAAATTAAATTTTAATGTAATTCCTAAAAAGGTCTTGGAGATGTTAACAGTGGTGAATTAGGGATGAGTTTTAATTGTTGATCTGTATTATAATCTTCCGGAGGTATGTTTTCATTTTAATATTAATTTTCTTACGCAAATTATGTCTTTTTAGGTTGTGTTGCCTGTCTATTTAATGTCTATTATGTGCCATATATTGACTGAGTTTAAAACTTACCCTAAAATCCAAAATCAAATTCTTTTGGGCTGTTTAAATCTTAGTTACCCAAGTTATGATTATTTATCATGAAGATAAAATTATTTTGTTGCTAAAAAATAACAGATATTTGATAATTTATTATATGAACTTAGCTTGTTATTATTCTGTTGCTTATTAATTGTTTTCAAAATTTTCAGTAATTAATTACTAGGATTTTTATGATATTCGTTAATTATCTTATTAAGCAATTTATTATTATTATTGAAAAACAAATGTAAATTTTAACAAATTTCAACCTGAATTGAAAGTTTTAGGAATTTTTAAATCTTGGGAGGATACTGAATTTCTTTTCAATAAGAAAGAATTAGTGAAATTTTTACAATTGAAAATTAATGAAATTTCTTTTAGAATAATAGTAAATTTGAAATGAAAAACAAATTAGAACTAATTTATTCATAATAAAAAAAATCTATTTAAGCCAGTTAGTTTGTTAACATAAAAATATATAATAATATTTCACTCAACTCATAAAAAAGAGTTTATGGTCAAGCTTTTATTCTTATTTTTCTTTTATATTTTATTATACAAGTGGATTCTTTACCACTTATTTTACAATTACTTTGATGTCTTCCTTTCTTCTCATCGAAAAAAATAGCAGAATTATTGGAAAAATGAATTAATTTATATACAAGAAAAGAGAAAACACATCTTTAATTTCTTAAGGATTCCACTCATTTGCTTATAACTTTGCTTAAGCTATAAATCTTAATGCAGTGTCTATTATAATTACATAAATAAGTATATTTAGCAGAACTAAATTTGAATGTCTCCTAAAGAAATACAAAACAGAGAAGATAACTACTACTCCACAGAAGATAAGCTTATATGCAATGTATGACTAGGTCTGATAATTAGTCATAAAATCAGCAAATTGGCCATTAAATGCAACTACCCCTAATGCCAACTCAGTGGATATTAAGCAAATCAATAAGATATTCCAAATGTCTTTATAGCCTTTTTAATCTTAGTATATTATCTATTAATTATTTTAATTCATTTTTCAAAGTAGAAGATTAATAATTTTTTATAATCACTAAATTAATTTATAATTCAAATTTGATTGATTTTATATGTTTAGCTATACTCAAATTTTACTAAACCTTTCTTCTATTTTATTGGTTATGATCACCATATATTTGTATTATTCTAAATAAAATTCAAAGGTGCATCAATTTTAACTTAAAAAATTACTAACTAGTATATCACTTCTACTTAAATTGACCTAAAAATTCAGATTTGCTTTTTTAATTTAAATAATTTCATTAAGTGTTAATGATATAAGTGTTAATGATATGATAAATGGGTTCCAATTTTCATGCTAACTATCAGATATTAATATTAAAACTAAATATGTAATTCAGTAAAGTAAATAAATAAAGTAATTTATTAAAAAAGAAAAAATTGTACTTTTTAATTATTAAAGACAGAAAGAACAGATAATAAACAAATTTTTTATATTTAGTAATTAGTAGAAAGGAAATAAATAGTTGGTAAAAAAGATATTCTTTTAATTTATAGATATAGAAAAAATCAATATTTTGATAATAAACAATTAGTTGATTGATTGATTGATTTAAATATATTTTTAAGAATGGGCTGTATAACTACCAAATAGGAAAAGACTAAATAACTGTAGCTTACTTAACATTAGAACGATAAAATTAATGAGAATGGTAATCATGACATAAAGTAGAATAACTAAGATAATTTGACAAAATTAACTGCAGACAATAAAAACGAGAATAAGTCAGTATAGCATAATGATGTTCAATAAATTGCGCACAATGGAGAATAAAACTTCTAACAAAAATAAGATTAGCAAAATTAGGGATAGTAAAATAAAATAAATCAGGAAAATTAAGTGGTTTCTAACAACACCACAGAAGTGATAAAAGTAAATAGTTAAAGCGATACAAAAAAGAAGTATGAAGAGAATTAACATGCTCAATTGAAGACAACTAATTAACTTAATTAGATGAGTGGATAGAAAAATTAAAATACTGATAAAACTAAAAATTAAAACTAAAATCAAATGATAGATCATGAAGAGTGTAATATAGATGACATAGATGAAGGAGTACAAGTTAAAACCATTAACTAAGCATAAGTATCTAGAAATATCCACCTTAATTTGAATAAAGAAAATCAAATGCATCACAGCAAGCAAAATAAAAATGTAGAAAAAAAAGGGCAAAAATTAAATTCAGATCAAAAATAAAAAGTGTTGGATAATCCATAACCTGAAAATAATAATTAATAGTAATAATAGTAATAAGATGCAGATAAAAATTAAAATTAGAATCCATATTCAACTTAATCAGCTGCTTTCTCTTAGCAGTAGCAACTTGTTTCTGGTGCTCCTAAATTGCTTCAACAATAAGATTTCCCTTAACAAATAAAGAAGTTGGATGATGAGTAGGCTTAAAAAGCACTCGAACAATATGAGAAATTGATGTAAAATTAACAATAAAAATCTGTTAAACCATAATACTAATCATAAGTTGACGAAAACTCATTGAATGCTAATTTAAAATAAGCTATTTCTAATTTAGATTGGTAACAGGCTTTATTTATTAATACTTCTTTACTAAAAATATACACGGAGAGATAGCAAAATAAATCTAATGCTGCATAGGAAAATTTGATTAAGGGAACTTTATAAAAGCAAATTGACCTTTTATGGAGGAATGGTTTATTCGAAAAATCATATTTTTATGCTTCAAATTATCTAGGAGAGGATACCGAAGCTTTGTATACCGCTGCAAACTACTTGTTTATGATAGGAAAATATTAAGAAGCTTTTGAAAAGATTAGTATATGTATAAGTAATACTATATCTTATAATCTTTAAATAAAGCCAGAATATATAATTTGTGCTGGCAACTGTTTACTTGAAATAGATTAAATTAAACTATTTTAACAATTTTTAGATTAACTTCCTATAAAAACCTGTTAATCTCTCAATACAAGTGAAAACCTAAATGTTATTGCAGAGTAGTATATTAGAATAAAAAAATTTGATACAGCAAAAGATATATTAAATAAAATATTAAGCAACCAAAAAGAAAACATAAATGCCTTAATAAATTTAGGTATACTCGTAGGCTTTGATGACCCAAAGAAGTCAAAATAATACTATTAAAAGGCTTTAGAAATAGCTTAAAGTAAAAACGATAAAAATCAAAACGACACAAACATTCAGTTTTTAAAGAATATGATTAATTCATGTTGATTTAAAAAAGTGATTAGAAATAAAAACAAAAATTAGCCTTCCTTGTTTTCAGTCCAATATATAAATAAATCAACAAATTATTACAAATGATCAGTAATTAATTTTTTATAAAATTTTATTTATTTGTTTTTTATAATTTACTAAATATTTTGAATCAAGCTTGCTTGCTTTCACTCAAATATTTTAAAAATAAATGACTACAGCCTATGTATTTTAAGTTTTTTCATATTTTTATCTTAAGTAATACTTTATAAATATGTATTTCAAAATATTTAGAATTGAGAATTATATTTTTAGGAACTAAAAAAATCAATAATTACAATTTTATAATTTTAAAAAATATGAAATTTAAAAATTTTATAAATAATTAATAAAAATGAGTTATCTAATAAGTTTTTTACATTTATTTTTTAATTTTTCTATTAAATTTTTTATATTTTCATATTATTTTTTTTTGTTGTAGTCAATAATATACTGGATTAAGTTTTTCTAATTCTCAAATACTTCAAGAAAATAAATCCCATAATATCTTTGTTTAAACAATTATGGTATTTTTATTTTAAACAATCTTTGGTTGGTTAAAAATTCTAAAAGATATTTATTTGATTAGAATATTACTGAGAATATTTTATGATTAATACTTTTATTATCAAAAGTTGAAAAAAAATTAACAATTTAAGATTTTTTTTTCATTTCTTATTTATTTGAAAAAATATAGAGACTTACTGATAATTAGTTTTAGAGGTAATCTCTAAATATGGATATTGAAAAACCGCTTTTGCCAGTTTTGTCAGCCAATAACTGCGGTATAAACTCTGAAGTTGATTAAGAGAGTTTGTAAATAAAAAATAAAAATTCAGCAGAAGATGATTAGTCATTTTAAACCAATTAAGATCTGCAGTATTAAGGTGAATAAAAAAACGAAATTCAAAATTAAAGCATAAGCAATTGTTCTAATGACTTTGATAATAAAAAAACGAAATATTAAAAATATGCTGTTTTAGTTTTGATAAATCTTTCCTTCTTGCTACTTAGTTTATCTCTTCATTTAGAAAGATTAAACCATTTATATTCTGAATCTATTAGATATAATTATGTTTTAGTAGGATTATCGTCTGCTATAGTTTTGATTTTTAACATTTTGGTATGGTATATTCCAAAAAAAAGAGTATGCTTAATATTATCTTCTCTGGTGCTAAGTGTATTTGCATAAGTCTTCTTAATTACTTTCTTTTAGAGTTTAACTAGTGAAAATCACTATAAAGAGGCATTTGTATGTAGCGCTTACTTTATTACAGGTAGTATTACCTTTTATGGGTTTAGCTTTTTATTCCCTTAAATTGAAAAAAAAAATGTGCATTTAGCAATTGCATTCAGTTTAATTATAGCATTAATAATCTTGATTTTTTTATTATCTACATTTTGGATAATAATCTCTGCTACTATAGGTGGTATATATATTTCTGTTTTTATTAGCTAGTTTGAAGAAAAGCTAGAATTTTAATCATACAGAGAAAGTATACTTTTTACACTTAAAATGTGGATAATATTAATCCCATTAGCTATTGCTACAATGATTTATATTCTATATAAAATTAGTTGAAAAACAGGGTTGATGAAATCCCAGTTAAAAATTGTTTTCAGACCTTTATAAGTTAATAAAAATTATTTAAAATATAAAAATAAGCTATTAAATTTTTATATATTATCTATCAATAATCAAAATAGTAAATATATGTGTAATAAATATCAAGCTATTAATATGATTTTACAATCTATATAAAGAAATGAGTTGATAATTTTTCTAACAAATACTAAAAATTTTATGAATGATTTATGTTTTAAATATTTTTGATTAAAATTTTTATTTTTTATTTTAGTTTTAATTAATAATAAATTAAAAATAAATTATTTTAGGCAAAGAAAATAATATTGCTGAAGTGTAATTAAATTATTTATAAACTCCGATAAAATATTTTATATTATATAAGCTGAGAATGCAAAATATACAAGCATTAATAACTTAACAAACAAATTATTAATTTAATTTTTTAAATCATATTCACTTTTTCAAGGCAGAAGAAAGAGCAAATTATACTATTTTGGCATAATCTTCAGGAGGTAAGAAACCAGATCCAGTTTTTTTAATTGAAATAATTTTGTTTTCATAAACATCAACAACAACAATATACTTATTTTCTACTGAATAGTATTCATCTACAGTAAGATCTCCAACTAGAATCCTATCAATTTATCCAATAAGCAAGATTTTAGGCATTTTAAAGTCTCTTGAAATTGAAAAGGATTAAAACTATTCTTCAATTAAAGTAATTTCGTCTTCATTTGTTAAATTATTATGAGTGATTGATATTTTAGGTAACACCAAATCTTCAAGGGCAGCATTAATACCAGCAGCCATTAAATTTAAATAAGCTATTTCTACTGACTCCAAAATAAAAACATCTATATTCAGAATCCAACATTTTTTCTTTTCAACTATGCAAAGTGATTTTTTACAAATATTCTGAATCAGATACTTATTTAGCAAGGCTTCTAAATAAATCAAAGTGTTCTTATCGCTATTAATATGATTTTCTTAATCTCTATTTTGTTCAGTTCTTTGAGCAGATTCTATCTTTAAGATAATTTTTCCTTCATCGTTATCAGTTTCACCTATTTCTACCTTGATTCCTGTATAAATATTTACACTGTTATCATTTAAGCTAATAAAACTTGATCCATTTGCTTGTTTGAGCTATCCTGTTTAAATTAAATACTCTCTGCTCTAATCATTCTTTCTACCATCACCTCTAATGTTTATTTTAAATCCATCGCGAATGAATTCAATTTATCCTGGGCTTGATTTTGTGTTCATCTTATAAATTACAATTTATTTACTTTGGTATTTTAGTAGGCTATAAACTTATTATTTATTAAAAATATACTTGTTTATTTATTTATTTAAAAAGATATTTGATAGATAGCTTAGATACTATTATTTTCATAAATAGCTAACTATTAATGGCTTTTTCTGAGAATTATATTGAGTTTTTTTGATAATATTCTTTCCACTAAGCAAAAACATAATCATAGTCTTATTTACTTCTACCAAAAAAAAATCTTTTAAAATTAATTTACAGTTAAAAAAATATAAAATATTTATTAACAGAAGAAGTATTTTAGTAAAAATTAAAACCTTAATGATATTTTAGAGTTTTTAAATAAAAAAATTAATTTAATAAAAGGAAATCAATACTTTTTTAATTAAAAAAAATATTTTGTGATGATAAAAATTATTTCTCAAATCCATTTTGCTTTGTTGGGTTGATTTATTATAAATATTTTAATATTTCTTATTATAATCTATCTTCAGGTAAATTTTATAATTTTATAAGTTATATTATAACTAATATAATAAATATTATATCTAAAAAGCTTTTTCTGCAACAAAGTAGAAAAAATTGTTTCAAAAACAATCAAATGTTTAAGCAAATTTTAAGTAAGAATTTTAAATTCTTTATTTATTTTAAATAAGCATAAATACTTTACAATAAATGAATTTGGTTTTGGAATTTTTATGAACATAAAAACATTTTGTATCATTTATCGTCACAAGATAAATTTTATAATTATATAGAGCGATTTTGATTGGAATTATAAGATAGATTTTCAACAAAGTTTTTAATATAAACAGAAAAAATAATACATACTCAAAAATTATTTTAATGCTAAAACAGATATTGTTTGTAGTAACTTTTGTAATAATTATTGGAGTTATTATTGCAGTTTAGATTATTACTAATAGCCTTTTTGCTTTTCTATACACCTTTCCATCTTTAACGCTAATTGCTATTATGATCACCTATTTCTACTTTTATAAAAAGTTTAACTAATCAAAATACATCAATTTGATGCTAACAAGTCTGCTCATTTATTAGACTCTCCTCTTAGCTCTTTTAGTTTTAAATATTCTATCTCTTATATTTTCAATAATACAAAAAGTTAGTGATTCTTCATTTTTAAGCTGGTATGATAACATAGCGAACGTAGGTAATAAAAGAATATAATTAGTTTTAGCACTAGGTGCTTCTATTTTAAACGCTCTTATTTCTGTCATCACCTTTAAAATATAAGAGTATATGAAAAAAATACTTAGTAACCATTATACTATCTCAAATATTAGAGTATTTAATCATATTTAAAATAGTACTGCAGCTTTAAGAGAAAATTTAATAAAAATAAGCAAGAGAGAATTCGATACATTAATAAAAGACTAACAATCTTGTCTAATTTGTGAATATAGATTCGGTTTAGGACAATATATCTATCGATTAAAGTGTAAACACATGTTTCACTCTATGTGCTTTTCCTAATGGGTGAATGTACCATTTAATAACTCATGTCCTTCTTGCTTGAATCCACTATGAAACAATCTTTAAAAATAAAATCTATATTTAATTTGTAACAAATTTAAAATTATTTTATACTTAATTATAACTATTTATTTATGTTTATGTCAAAAATTTAGCTAATAAATTCAAATCTCTTAACAAAATTTAATAGATTTATTGCAATATTTTTAATTAAATACTAATGTTAGAAATTGATTTTTAAATTAAAAATAGAATATTAGGATTTATGTTAAAAGATATATAAAAGCTTTTAAAATCTTCAAAATCTATTTAATAGTTTGAAAGAATAAATAATGCTCTAATTATTAATAAACAAAAATATATAAAGTAAATTAAGAAAAAAGGAAATTAAATCACATATTTATTTTATAAATTCTTTCATATATTAAAAGAGTTTTTTGATAAAAATAAATATTTAATTTTGTTGCATTTTTTTGTCTTTTCCCTAAAATTGTTTTATTTAATTATTTATTTTATCAAGTTTATTAATAGATATCTAGTCTTAATTCTAAAAAGTATTTTATTTTATTGTTTATGTATATCTGAAATTAAATTTACAGATATTTTTATAAAATAAAAGTATTTTTAATAGAGGTAAAACATTTTTATTTAAAAATCATAATTAACAATTTAAGTTTTTGTCTAGTTCTTTCTTTTTATTTATTTATTTATCTATCTATCTATCTTTCTTCATTCATTTTTTATTTATATTTGTAACCAGATTGCTTGAAATGTATTTAAAATTACTTAGAGTAATAGAAATAATTTGTTAATATCTATATTCTGCTTCTGAATATTCTAAGTTTTTAATCTCTGTTTTCTTATTCAATTTTTATGTTATTTAAGTAATCAATTGTCAAGTCATAAAATTGCATTTTGAATTTGCTTCCATACTATATACAATTAATTTGAATTTATACTTATAAATTTGTAGGCTTTTATGCATAATTTAGAGGATAAATTTATTTTATTTTTTAGAGAAATACGACTTAAATTAATTTTTTAATGTTTTCAGTCTTATTTATTATGTATGATAAGGCTATTCAAAGAAAAAGACCATATTTGTTTAGTATAGTTTACTTGAAAATAGATTAATTTGCTATCTAGTCTAAAAACTTATTTTAATAAGACAAATTTTTTCCACCAATATAAATTATAAAGTGTAATTATTCAAAATTAAATAAAAGGAAAAAAAAAAATAAAATAAATTAAAGCTAAATTGTCTATTTCTTAGAATAAAACTCTTTCTATTTCTCATTTCGTTCATATTCATGAAAATATATTCTAAATGGATGATCGAAAATTAGTTACTGATTTAGAAAATATTTTATTTAGGGATAGCAAAAAATAAATATATATTTAATAAATAACTAAGATTTGTCTTTTTTTTCAATTTTCGTCTTTAAGAAAAATGAATAAAATAATTTTTAATAAAAATCTTCAAATATGTATATAATAGATATTAGAAGACAAAAATTTAATGCGTGAAAATATTGTTTGTTATCTATCTTATCAATTATTAATTTAATTAAATATAATTCTTTAGAATTCTTCTTTTATTTATTGATTATTAAATTAGGAAATTGGAAATATTCTAAATTAATTTGTTATTATCTTTATTATTTTATTAGAAAATTTCTATGCTCTATAATCAATTATTTATTGGTATATCTAGAATAAGGAATCTTTATCTTTGATATCTATAATATGCCAATCAACCTTAAAAACTCTATCAGTATTGGTCCAAAAAATTATTATTAATTAATTACAAAAAAAAGAAAAAAAGCTAAATACTACAATAAAAATACCTCACAATTAAAACTAATTATAACTCTATCATCAAATAAAATAACAATTACAAGTTGATATAAAATGGATATTGAAAGCCACAGCAATTTCATGAACAACTTCCAAAACAACCAAAATAACAATAGCTCTGTAGAAATGAATGACAGACAAAAAGACCACGAAATGTACTCTTACAGAAGCGTTAGACTATGGTGCCACAACTGCAGAAAAGAATTCAAGAGACTTATTTCTAGCGCTCCTTAAGAAATACTTTGCTCTGACTGTAACTTCGCTCTTGAAATTATTGAAAACGGTCAAGAACATCCATCAAATTTTGATGCATTTGAAAGCAACCACAGCTAAAGATAATAGTAATAATAACAAAGATAGCAATAGTAAAGATAACAATAATAACAAAGACAATAATAGCAAGTTCCCTTATTCTTTAGCTCATTCTAATTCCCTGGTAACAATATCTTTTTCAATGTCTTTAATGTTAATGGTCAATAAGAAGAAATGGAATAAGGTATTCCATTATTTGAATAAATCTTTAATATGATGGGTTAACAATAATAAAATTCTAGTAGACATTAACCAGCTTCTTCAGATAAAATTAATAAACTTGCTTAGGTCATTGTATAATGCGATGATAATGAAAACTAATGTCCAATTTGCTATGAAAATTACAAGAAAGGTGAAGTAATGAATCAACTCCCTTGCTAACATAACTTCCACTAAGGATGCGTTAAAGAATGGTTAAATAAACACAATTCTTGCCCTATGTGCAGAAAGTCAATTTGAAGAATAAAAATATAAATCAATAATTAATTAACTTAATAACATATATAGAATTTGCAAATAACTAAAAATTACTTAACTTAACTCTTATAAAAATAAAATGAATAAACTTAACTTAATTTATATATAAATATTATAATAAAAAATTTTGATATATAGTTAAAAATATGTACATATATATAAATATATTATAGTAACCTCTTAATTTATTTATTAAGTCTCTCAAATACATCTTTCAATTCAAGAAAAATACTTTTATAATTAATCAATTCAATTTTTTGGAATTGTTTTTAATAAAAGTATTTTCGTAAAATTAATACTTATATATTATTTTAATCTGCGAATTATCACTTTTTATTTTTACTTAAATTTCATTATTTATTATTTATTTTAAAATTTGTAATTAAATATTATAAATATATTCCTAAAATATATTTAATAAATTTTCGTTTGAAAAGTAAAATAGGAACAAATTATATTATTCTAATCTTTAAATCATATGTGTATGCTTGGAAGTTGATTTGTTAATAAATAAACTATAATTCTAATATCATAATAAATTAAAATTAATTTAAATTAAAACCTTTCTTAGAAAATACAATAGACAAAAATAAAATTTAAAATTTACTTCTTAATATTAATGATCATAAAAATATTTAATTAGGAAAGAAAAACAAAAATAAGAGTACTAAATAAAAGTTTAAAGCAAAAAATAATGGAAGTTAAAAAAACTCATATATTCACAACAGCAGATGTAAATAATTCTATTCGAAGATGCTATTTTTTAAAATTTTGTTTTATAAAAAAAAAAGCTTCTTAATTCCTCTTTAAAGCATCATGATATTCTTAGCATTAAACTTGAGTAAAATATTAATTATCTAAAAAGATGCTAACTTATAAATTATTTATTTTACATAAATATAGATTAAAATCAAAACAAGAAGTATTAAATTTAACCGATATCCTTAAATAGTGTACTAATCTTCAAAAGTTATTTCTTCACTCCTCGTAAAAATTGTTTTATTTTTTAATTTTTAACAAGTATTTAGGTTTTTTTAATTTTTTAATTTTTACCTAATTTATCATCTAAATATTTAGTTTTTTAGAGTACTTTTAAATTATAAATTTTTTAATTTAACTAAATCATTTTTCATAATAATTTAAATTATTTTTATCTATTTAAATATTTAGGAGAATTAAAATGGGTGATTAGATCTTTTCTTAATTATTGACAGCTGTAGCATGTTGTACTAACCTCTAAAGCTTAGAAATATTTTCATAGTTAAAAAATTTAATTTAATTGATTATATATTTTTTATGATTTGAGCTCTATTAAATTATTTTCAAATAAACAGGTATAATGAGCTAGGATAAAATGGAGCTTAAGGTTTTGAATTAGCTTTTTAAAAATGCAATAAAATTTCCAACATATTACTTGATTTTCAGTAAAATTAATAATTTTGAATAATTTATTCTATAAATTAATAATTTTTAGGGAAAAATATATTTTCTAAATAAACTAAATATACTTTAAATAAATTTAGGATTAAAAAAAATTGATAATGTAATTATTTTTAAACTAATAACTTTATTTTTAGAATGTAGATAGTATAAAAAAAATTAATTTGATTAATAAAATTCAAAAACATTTTGCTTTAAAAAAATTTAATTGGAGAAATTGCAGTTTTTTGATATAATTATCTTTACAATATATTTAAAATTATTACAAAAACTTTATTTTTAAGTATTTTATATTTAAAATAGACATAATCAATTAGCAACAAAAGGAACATAGTTATTGTGCTTAGGCTTAAAAAATTTAACTAATCTTATTAGATTATAAGTGGATCTAATGTATGTGCTTTTACGATTAAAATTTATTAATATTTAAGTTCTTATTATTTTCTTAGAATAAGAAATATATTTATGATATATTTTTAAATTTATTTACTTAATACTATTATTTCATATTTACTTACAATGATTTTTATTTCTTTAAAATTATAGGGGTAATAATATAGGTAATGAAGGTTTGTATTAATTATCTAATGATTTGGTAAAATGCAATAACCTCTTATCTTTGACACTTATATTAACGTAAAACTAACTCACTAAAACATTTTAAATTGTTTTTAAATTTATTTTTTAAATTTTTTATAAAACTAATTAATTTTAAAAATAATAAAATAATTGAATTGTTTTAATAGTAAATTCATTTATTTATAGCTAAAAGATCTTTTATAAAAAAGTTATGAATAAGGTATGTAAAAAAAAAGTAAGTAAACACTGAAAAGAAATATTCAAAAAATGAAAAGGCTTGTAAAATTGTGTTTTGTAATTTGTTGAAAAATAAAATTGCAATTGATTTTTTTGTTGTACTGAATAAAATTTATGTCAAAATTAAAAAATCAAAGTATAAACCCTTGTTATTACAAGCTTTTTTTATTAAACGTCAAAAACTATTATCATTCTTTAATTTTTTTACTTGATTAAATATTTTATTATCAAAAATTTATTTATTTATTATATATTATTTTATTTTCATTTTACAATATTTTAATCAGTAAGTAAAAATCTCAACTTTTAGGTAAAATAAGAAGCTTATATATTTAAAAATAAGTGTTTGATGTTATTTTTTTGTCATAAAAGATCTTTAATAAATTTTTAATTATTAAAAAAATGATTAAAAATTGCTTTAATTTTTATTAGTAAATTTTTTGGGTTAATTAAATTAAAAAAAATTCTCTCTTTGTTAAGTAATAATTTTCTGTAATAATGTTAATTTATAATTAATAATATTATTGATAAACAATAAAAAATAAATTTTATTTGACATTTTAAAACATTTATGAGAGACAAAAACTTTATTAATAAATTTTTGTTTTATTATTTATTATGAACTCTATTGACTATTAAGAGCTTAGTTCTAAAATTAATATTTTTTAAAAATTTGAATTATTTTTAGAATGATTAGATTTCATAAGGTAAATTGGCGCAAATGAGATACAGATTTAAATTAGTTATTATAAACGAATATATTAAGATTAATATCAGAATTTGATTATTTATAAAAATTCTAAATTATTTGTCATTTCTAATACAATTTATTATTTGCTTTAAATTTGTATAAAGACTATCTGCTAATATTATAATAAATTTGTTCATTTTAAGAGCATCATCTCATTAAATAAAACCAATTCATAAAGTTTAAATAAAGCTTCTGGAGTTGAATTTTAATAGGAATGGAGAAATTATAAGAAAAAAAATTAAAAGATGTAAAAATTGGAGCTAGAACATTTATAGTTACTGCTAAAGTCATTTCTAAGGGATCAATAAAGTATACCTACTAAGACAAATCTTTTAAAATTGAAATATACGATGGCTCACTTGAGCATAGCACACTCGTATACTTTAATTGCTAAGATATTGAAAATTATTATGAGCAAATTGAACTTGGTAAAGTTTATAAATTTTCCAGAGCAATTATTGCTAAGGATGCATAAAAAAAAGAAGCCAGAAAATGTCTCAAGTACGAAATGTTTAATTCCTAATATATTTAATTAGTTGAAGATGAAAGTATAAACTTAATCTATGCTGCAGATTTTAGCAAATATGAACTAATTAAAATAAATCAAATTTCAGAACAACATTAAACAGACCATTTCGATATTTTAGGTTAGATGATTTAATTTATTTATTTATTATTTTTGTTTTGTTTGATGCTTTGTTTAAAGTTTTTACTAATATTTAATAATTTTTACTATAAATCTTAGGTGTGGTAATGGAAGAACCATCTAAAGAAAGAGTTAAAGATAGTGAAGGCAGAGAGTTGGATACAATAAAATTTTTAATAGGCGATGAAACAAGACATACTTTGCAAGTATCCATCAGAAATGAATATGGACTTAATTTAAATCTAAAAATCTTTGATGTGGTTCTCATTAAATCAACTCATGTTAATGTTTATGCCAATCAAAAAAGTGTAGATAGTGGTTCCGGAATATTAGTTAATCCAGATATCTAGCAAGCTCTGGACCTTTTATATTCATTTGAAAAAATAATCTAAGAAGATGAAGAAGATATCGATTATAAAAAAGATAATTAATTAGACAATTCATTTTTAACAGATGGTAAAGAAGAATGCAAAAGCAATGAATTAAATAAGTAAAGAGCCTTGAAATCAAATAAGAATAAGGAGTTTACATAAATTGGTGAAAATAAAGTATCTCTTCACTTCTATGATGTTAAATCTATCAATTATGTAGTACAGTAAGTAGAAGACTAGCTTGAAAGAGTGATAAGACTTTCCTTAACACATTCTACTTAAGATCCAGCTTTTATTAAGGAATTCACAAAATGTATTTATTCAGAAATAGAAGGAGAAATATACTCGGCAGGTATTGAAAAGAAACCTTTTTATGTTGCATGTAGTGTTTGCAAGAAAAAAATAGAAAATTATCCTGTAATTTAAAAGTGTTTCAAAAAGTGTGCAGGAGCTACAATTATAGCTAAGATGGCGACTAACCTTAATATAGCAGATGCTACCGGAGCACTTAGTGCTTTGGCATTTAATGAATAGTGTGAAGAAATATTTGGTTTTGATGCTGAGTTTATGAAAATTCTCTATGAATATAAAAATAGTTAGTATTACCACAAAAAAGATCCTACTTATAGAGATTTTATTAGATAATCATTTACATAAAAATTTAGGTTCCGTATATTATCAGGTGTTCAAGTATACGAAAAAAAATATTAAGCAAAGCACAATATCGTTGGTTGTACCAAAATAAGTACTCTTCAAAATATTCAAGAAACAGCTTAATCAATAGAACTTCATTTACAAAAAAGAATTTTATGAGAAACAAATTTTATTTTATAAAATTCTTTTAATTGTCTTTATTGTTTGTTACTTAAAAAGTATACATAGAGAAATGATTGATATAAGTATCGTTATTCACTCATTATTTTTTTATGCCCAAATAGAATTTTGTTAAATAAATAGATATAATACAAAATACTAAAAATATACTATAAATTATCTAAATTATGTAATTAATTATATATATTGATTTATATATAAAGTGTAAGGTTAAAATAATTAATTGAGTTTTTTATTAAATAAATCTTCAAATGTACTAAAATAAACTTATTTTTGTTTGCTAAATATATTATTTTTGATAATTTAAAACAAAAATATAAAATAAAAATACTATCTATATTTTTAAATAAATAAATTGAGGAATAATAAGTAAATGTAGCATATGAATGAAATCTTTAGTTTTTTAACTAAGTATAAAATAAAATTCATTTTTTAATAGTAATTCATACAAAAAATGTTTAGAATGGGATATTTTACAATATATTATTAAAATCAAAATATAAATTTTATAATCATTATTAAAATATTAAAATGAAAATTGTTAATACTTCAATTACAAATTCTTTCTTTACTTAGATTCTAACTAAGTTACTCAAGCAATTGAATAAATAAATTATTTGAGAATAAATTACTTTTACTAAAGATTATAAAAAATACGAATAAGAAGAAAGTATTCAATTAATATATTATTCTAAATTTCAGAATTAAATTGATTTTTTTTATTTCAATACTAAGTAAAAAATGATTTACTAAAATTAAAATCTTAATGTTGTAAGAAATTATTTAATTTATGTCTAAAAACAAATTTTGATTGAAATTCAGAGACTAAAAGATTTATTTTTTTGTTTGATTATAAAGAGTTAATTCTAAAAATATAATGAGTTTTTTATTCAATTTTTGTTAGTAATTATTAAAAAAAATTTAAAAGGTTTAGGTTGATAGAAAAAAAAATATATATAGAATTAGATAGATAGTTAATAATTGTTAAAAAATATGAAATTGTACAAGAAAAGTGAGATATTTTCTGAAAAATATAATAAGAATAGTGAATTAGAAATAAGTCCAGAAGTTCAAAAGAAAATCATGGATGGAAATGCTGCATTTATAATTGATTTAATAGCAAGTTTAAAAATGTAAATAATTGTTTTTTGAGAGATTTGGTTTTAATTTATACATAATTTATTAGCCAAGTTTATTCAAATAGTAATTTAAGACATTTCTTTAAAAATCCTATAGTCCTAGCTTCACTATATCATCACTTGGAATCCAGCTCGTTAATTATTTTTTTATTGGAAAGAGCTACTTGAACTATGATAGATTCGTAATTACGCATTTACAAATGAATGAAATTAATTCAAATCAAAGAAAGTTTATTCGAAAAATACATCAAAAAATATGAATAAACAAATATAATTGAGAAGAATATAATTTTGAATTTATATTATTATCATAATGCATTATAAAATGGGAGTTAGTTAGTTAATTGATTTTATTTTTAATTAGATTTACTGTGCTGCTGCTTTGATGCTGGCATTTAAAATAAAGGAATAAGATCATTATAGGTTAAAGCCTATTATTATGGGATATTACCAGTAAGCACCAAGAAGGGACTAGACATAGATAATGAATGATACGATATATTAATAAATTAAAAATAAAGTAAAAAATAATAATAATAAATAATTTTAATCTAATTAAATTATAAATAAAAAAGATTTGCATAGCTGAAAGCAAATTGTTAAAAGCAATATAATTTGAATTCGATATATAGCTTCCCTTTGATTTCTTGCAAACAATTATTGAATTCTGTAATGAAAAAGATCAAGATAAAGAACGTATATATTATGCCACTAAGGTAATAAGTTATGATAGCTTTAGAAGTTATGCTCCTCTTATTTTTAAACCACAAATTATAGCTGTTTCTGCTTTTATGATTAGCTGCTCTTAATTTAACATAGAACCACAGTAATAATCTTTTTTTATTATTTCAGTTGAATAAAATAATATGTTCAATTATTAGCTTAAGAATTCCTGAAAGATTCAAAGAAAAGTATAATCCTGAGACTATGAGAGAAGAAGAAGCTTATGAAAGATGGCTGCAAGAAATTTCTATAGAATTAAAAACATAAATTACTGCTGAAGATATAAAAGGTAATTTTATTTAGACTAATTTTAAAATCAAATTTATTTATTTTATTGTTTAAATAATTATAAGATTGCTTGTACGTACTAAATGAACTTCTTTATCTTCACTATAATCCTAAAGAAGATGATTTAAAAAAATTTGAATAGTATGAAACCTCTCTTGAATAAAGCAAAATTAAAAATGATCAAAATGAAAAACCAAATTAAGAAAAATAGACTGAATAAAAAATGGATATTGAATAATAGTGAATGAAAATTAATTGATTTTACACAAGTGATTTAAATATTTTTCAAGTAAAAAAAATAATATTAAATAAATGATAGCTAAATACTCAATATATAATCGTCAATATTTCTTTTTAAACAGTATTAAAAAATGTATATGAATAGATAAATTGCATATATAGTATGATTTTGATCAAATCATTTAAGTTCCATCTAAATCATGCATGATAAAGCTTAAGTTATATTTAATTTAAAAAACTAAATTTCAAAAAGTATTTAAAATTTATTTTTTAATTTTATATTTATTTGGGAATCTAAATAAGCTAGCTTACTTGCTTTTAAGTAAATCAATCATGTAATTTAAAAAAATTCAAAATTAATTTAAGGTTATTAAGAAATTAGAAATGAAAAAAAAATGTTTTAAATAAATTCGTTTGTTTATTTCATACTTTCAAAATATAAAACGTGCTAAATTTTTAGTTAATATTATATGTATTTTCTTATTATTTTTAAATTGAATGAAAAAGGTACAGGTTATATGCGAATTAATTATAATTTAATAATACGAAATAAATTAGCATTTAAAAATATTCAAATATAAAGGTTTATAATCAATTAAGATATCATTTACTTAGCTAAGAGTGTTTTTAAGTAGAAGTGGCAAAATATAAAAGTTAAATTTAAATTTAAAATGAAGAATCATTTTTGCAGTATTTTAGTGATTTGCCATCTTGTATTGGCAGGTTCTGTCTAGGCTTTAAATGTCTTTACATACAATTCTAACAAAGAATAAACTAATGTTATTTTAAACAATTAAATTTAAGGGTCTTGGGATTATAAACCAAGCAATGGGCATACTTGCAGGCCTGCACCAACTGTTATAGAAAGAGCTGATGTTAATTAAAGGTTTTTTACAATTTAAAATAGCGAAGAGTATGACATACAAGCCTCTTTTACTGTAAAAGTAAATAGCCACTTTCATAATATATTTTTATTAGAAAAAAAAAAATATAATACATATAGAAATATGATACTTAATTGATGGATGTTTAAATAACTCAACAATTTTCTCTGATTAAAGCTGGAGATAAGAAAGAAATACTTGTAGATTACAATTGCAAGTATCCTAATAATGATGAAAAAGAAACATGGGGAAGAGTTGAATTTAATGTTTAGACTTAGAATGTAAATGAAGCTTAACAAATTTTTTATTCTATTTCATTACTGAAAATATGCGAAATGCCTCCTAATAAGTATGATTATTCAATATTTATCCTAATGGCTGCATCTGTGCTTATGGTAGCTATAGGCGCTTATTAGATAGAAAGTCCAATTGTTGTTGAGGATTAGGAGTAAACTCAAGAAGTTTCAAAGAGACACGCAGTATTCTTCATTTTAGGAGGTAAAAAGCAAAGCTTTTTTGTTATTTACTTTTTAATAGCTTTTTTACATGAACAAAAACTGGTAGATTAGGATACTGTCATATTCTTAAAAGTTTAAGTTTAATTTGAAATAGAATTTTTAAATAGAAATTAAATATAATTTTTTATAGAATATAAAGCACTTAAAAAATAAAAGCAAATAAAATATTAAGAGGAAAAGCTATTCGCAATTAATACATTAATTATATTATTATTCATTTAAAAAATAGGTTCGTTCTTCTTAATAGTAATGTTCTTCCTATATGAATATATTTAACTAATTATAACTGTTATGATTTTGCTCTCAGCCTATTCTGCAATATCACTCCTTTGTAATGAAATTCTTGAAAAAATTGCTGAGTAAAAGTAAATACATAACCACGAATTCGAATTACCTCTCTTAGGAAAACTTAATGTCTCCTATTGCATTTCAGCAATTTTTGCACTAAGCATAGTCTTGACATATGCATTTACCAAAAATTGGCTTCTATCAAATTTCATAGCTTTTTCAATTGTTATGCTCATGTTTAAAGTTATTAGACTTCCTTCATATATGGTAGCACTACTATTGTTAGGATTAGCATTTATATACGATATATTCTGGGTATTTTATAGTGATAAAATTTTCGGAACTTCAGTTATGGCTAATGTAGCTACCAAAGTGGAATTGCCTATGATGTTTTACTGTCCTAAGATAAATCCTTCTCCAATTTAATCGTGCTCTTTAATTGGTTTAGGCGATATAGTTCTTCCAGGAATATTCGTTTCTTTCTGTCTGAATTTTAGCAAGAGGGTGCATTCTAACAATCATTATTATTTAACATGCTTAGGTGGATATATATTGGGTATTGCTATTTGTGTCATTTGTTTAACAGTTTATCAGTCTGCACAACCAGCACTTCTATATCTGTCACCATGCACGTTGATTCCAGTGGCAATACATGCTTTGATTAAAAAAGAGTTCTCATTTATATGGAGTGGAATTGAAAACATGTCTTCTGACCAAATAAATTTAAACCAAAATTAAAAAGAATAGTTTGAGCAGCTGGAATTAGGAAACGATGACTAACAAAAGCACAAACAATTTTGAGAGAAAATAAAATAAATAAATAGTTAGTTTTTTATTGATTAATCAGTCAACTATCCTTAAAATCTCTATTTCAACACAACAGAATAAAAATGATTAATTGAATTAAAAAATAAAAAATAAAAAAATTTTATCAAAAAATTAAAAAATACTACTATTATTAATTAAAGTAACTGCTGACTTCTATATAATATCTCTATTTTTTTACTGTTTCATTGAAAAATATTATTTTTCTACTTGTTTAAACTATTAGCTAGTTTTAGTTTTTGTGGTTATCTGAAATTAGGAAATTCAAACTAACAAGCATAAGTAGTTTTGTGAGAAATTAAAATAATAGTTTGTTCTTGATTGATTTAATTATTCAGAATTTCCATTCTATCTTAACATAAAACCATAAAATATTGAAATTTGTTAAAAAAAATATTAAATTATTAAAACTTATCAAAGATAAATAAAAAATTCTATTATATTTTAGCAACTTTCTATTAAATAATACTATTTTTTTTTATTTTCGAAAGAGTATATTGTTTTCTCTTTTAAACTGTAAAGTAATTTTAATTTTATGTGGCTATTGGAATTACTTAATTGTAGGTTATTATAATATTTATAATTATTTAATCTTAATTTTTTAAATCCTCATAAATTTTTTTATTTTAACTCATTTATCTAAATTGAAATAAAATAAATATATATTTTTATACTAGCTAAATAAAATCTACTATTTTAACAGATAAAATATTATATTTTACTATTTTAGAGTGTTAAAGAAGTTAGAATTACCATTAAATCAATTATATTTAATTTAAAATTAGAAATTAGTTATTGTAGACAAGTATTATTTAGATTTAATCAAATTTATTTTTATATTTTAATTAATAGAGACACAAAATTATTATTAATTTATCAGATTTTGACTTTTTAATAAATTTACAATAGCCACAAATACTTTTAAAAACCTATTTTATAAAAATGTATAAAAGCTTAAAATGAAATAAAATATAAAAAATACCTTTAATAAAATAAAAAATAAAAGATAAATTAAAACTAATCTTATGGGTAATGCTAGTAGTGAAGTATGTGTTAATTAAAATTATGTTTCTCAATAAAAAATTAACACTAACATCTTTATGGTCAATTTTTCATTCATTCAGGATAATTAGTATTAAATTGCTTAGTTAAATAATCCTCAATGTCAGAACTGTATGGCATTTTTTAACAAATATAGTATCTCCAATCTGATCGACTAAAATGAGGCTACTTAATTTAATAAGAATTTGATTTAAAAAGCTTAAACTTTCTTTTACTAAAAAGCTAATTAAGCTTTACATTCTGAAAAACTAATTTGGGTTTGTGAGTTTTGCTATTTCCCAAATATTATTGAAAATCTTGACCAATAAATTGTATAAGATGCTGTAAATATATAAGGATATTTTGAAAAAACTTAATAACCACAAATTAAAAATGCTTAATAAGAACAACAATAAACCTAACTTGAAAATTTCACTAAAAACTCAGGGGAATAACTAATTTATGTGCTTGATAATAGTGGCTCAATGAGTTCAGTTGAAAGTTATGTTAAAAACGGTGGAGTTGTTTAATTATCTCGTAAATAAAGTGTAATTTAATCAATTTAAGAAATGTCTAACTAAGGTAATAGCTTATAAAACAAAGAAATATAGTTAATAGTCTTTTCTGACGAAGTCTAAATTTATACTAACATTTAGGATAAGCCTCATAATGTTAGCTCATCTTCCTTAAATAACTGGGATCAACTAATTGCAAGTGTGTAAGGAATTTAAGAGTAAATGGTTGGAGTTCCTGCAGAATAAGTAAATGATTTACTTACAATCTATAGGAAATCAAATAAAATGGGCTCAACTGCTTTAGGTCCAGCTATTCTTTCAGCAGTGGAAATTGCAAAATCTGTAAATAATTTTATATTTATAATTTACATTATTTAATTTGCATCATATTATTTAATTTTTATTTAATATTTTTAAATAAAACTAATTTTTTTAATTTTAGAATAGGGGAAGCTAAATAATATTATGTACAGATGGAATGGCTAATCAAGGCCTTGGATCTATATCTCAATAATAGTAATCAACCTAATTCTATTAAGATGTAGCTTAATATGCTAAATAAAAGGGTGTGTAAGTATCAATCATCGGAATAGGAGTAAAATATATTATCTTTAATTAAATATTTTATATTGTTTTTATTTTTATAATTTTTTATTATTTTCTTTATTTATTTATATTTTTTTATTATCAGGATGATAAGATGGGTTTGTAAGTGATTGGTAAGTTAGCTGAGAAAACTAATGGCTCTGTTTTTAAGATTGATTTATCTAACTTAAATGATAAGCTTGATAATATTCTTTAAGACAAAATGATAGCAAGTGATGTAAAAATGAAAATATTTATACATAAAAATGTGGTACTTGAAGATAGAGCAAAAGATGATTTAGAAGTAGATGTTGGAAATGCTACTAGAGAAAGCTGTATCACATTTGAATATCTTATTTAACATCCTGAAGAATTAAAAGATGTATCTTCCATCCCTTTCCAAGCATAGATAGAATACACAGATTTAAATGGTTAAAGATAATTTATAGTTGTAACTAAGTAGATTAAGACTACCTAAAATGCTTAGGAAGTAGATAACAACTTAAATATGGAAATAGTTGAAAAAAGAATGGCTTAAAAATGTGCTAACTTGATAAAGCAAGGAGAGTAAAATATTTTAAATCAAAATTTTATAAATTAATTTAATTTTTACATAAAGTGCTAAATAGGCTAAGCAGTATTAGTAGTAATGGAACAGCTTTGTTGAGAAGAATGACAACTATACTGATTATCAACAGTAGCTTAAATAATAGTAACAGATGATAGAAAAATTAGCTTCTGAAGGAGCAGATAATGAAAAAGCTCAAGTATAATTACAATAAATGCAATAAGGCAAATTCTGGAAATGAAATCCAAAATAAATTTAATCTTATTAATAAGAATAATTATATTAAACTGCTCATTTTAATAAAGAAATTAAAATTATTTTAAAAAGATTAACAATATTTCATCTAAGTATAATTTTTGTTGTATATTCTTATATCCTTAGATATTTAGATACATAGGTTTTATTTGCTTTTAAGTATTTTAAAATTCAAAAGCATCATCTAAACTCAAAAACTCTAAATCATCCAAAAAATATTAAATACATTTTTTTACCGTTTTTTGAAAATTCATTGGGTTTTCGTTACTTAATTAGAAATGAAAAATATTAATAAAGTCTTTCTTTAAATAATTTCATAATTGATTTTATTTATTCAAATAAATTATTTGTTTATCATTTCTTACAAATTTTACATTTTAGTTATGAAAAAATCAAATTATTTTATTTAATATTTATTTTATGGTAATTTTTATTAGTTAATGTTTATCTAAATTGTATGTTCGAACCTCAACAGCCTCTAATAATTTACCAGAATGTAAAAATTTGAATGCCATGCATTAATTTATTAACACTTTTGCCAATATTGATTTAACTATTTAAAGGAATTACAATTAATTAAAAATAATAGTATTCCAACTAAGTAAAATTTATTAGCTAAAATAACACATAATCTGCTTAATAATATCAAAAAATTAGCGCAAATAATTAATAATTATTAAATAATTGACACTTAAATATTTTTATTAAATAGTTGAGAAATTTATTACATATAAAATGGCATTCGCTATGAAATCATTAGATGAACTAGAAAGAGAGATAAATTCTCTTTGCGACTAAGCTGATGGAATTATGAAATTTTAAGACCTATAAATGAATATTTTTTCTAGCATATTTAGTTAAGAACAAGTTCATTAGCAAGTCAAATCTACTCCAATAAAATATAAAGAATAACAATAAATTTTAAGCAACTTAAGCACAGAAGCATCAGTAAAAAGCTTTCTTTAACCTTAACTCGTAAACACTGTAAATAAATTTGATAATACTGGTCATAAATGATTGATTTTAACAATTTTAATATATCTGATATAAAATAACAATGATAGCTAATATACTACTATCTATAAAAATAATGTAAGATATTACAAATATATGAAATAAAATTGATGGTATTATTAGGTAATAAACAAAATAAAATAATTATCATATAAATATGATTAAAAAATAATTAAAGTATTAAAAATTAAATTTATTCTACTAAATATAAGCAAACATAGTTATGAGTTGTTTATATATTTTTATATATTGAATTTGCTGTATATAATTTTTTAAGAGAAATGTTTATTTATTTTAAAAAATAATTTAATCATTTAAAATATAGTTATAAATGATAATAACATTAATAAATAAAATTACAATTTATTTCATTTTATGATATATTATAATATTCAGTTTATTGTGCTCAATCTATTTTTTGTAGGTGTCTTTGAAGCTATCAGATTTGTGAGAGAAGTATTATTGATTCTTGGTAGACTTAGAACTTGAGAGTTTGTTTATTGTTTGGTAGCTGAACTTTCTTTCAAAATGCTTGATCCTAATATTTGCTAAGAATTTTATAAAGTATGCAGTTGTTGAACCTAATTGTGTTATCTACCATAGTAATCTTCATTAACAATAATTGATGATCTATTATTATTGCTACTAGGATTTTAAATAATATTATTTTCATGTTATTATTCTAAGATATTTTCAAACTTATAAATGTTTTTCAGACTATAAAGGTACTTTCTTATTTTTATTATTAAATTTTAAATACTCTTTTAGTTTCTATGAAGATGATAGAATTTTATTTTGGAAAGCTAATCTTAAGAGCCAGACCAGTATCCATGATTTATATATTACTGAATCATAAAATTTTTTAGATTTCTGTTTAGACTTAGCTAGTTATAAATGTATTTATTATCTTGTTCATTTATATAATCCTTCTTTTTTTCAATAGGAATATCTACTCTACCCAAAAAATACTATTATCTAATGTGCTCATTAACTATCCTAGGCACAGGAATTTTTTATTTTAAAGATGGTAAGCTAGAAGATTCTTGAAGACTCAGCATTTAAGATGATCTTCTGCTCAAAAATATATTTTAAAACAACCCTAAATCAAAATCGTCCTCACTATCTGTTTCAAAATGATTAATTACATAGGGATTGTAAGTTTTTTTATTTTTTCTCTAAATATTTTCTCCGACTTTCCTATAATTAATTTAGATGATTAGAACAATAAATTACTAAAATAATGAGAATGAATTAAAATGTAATATATTGTTACAATTGAGTTTTAAGCATTATTACAAAATAAGTAACAATCGCTTATCTAAACAAATTAATAAAATTGCCAATAATTGCAATAGAGAGAAAAGGGATTAGCTTTTTCCTTAATTCATTCATTTTATTTTCAATTTTTATTTGGATAAAAATTTTCAAAATTACCTTATCTGTGAATTTTTTGGTTCTCTGTTATTTGAAAAAGCCTTTTCGTGGAAGTAATCAGCCAATGATAAGTCTCCTTGGTAGTATTTAATCATACCTAATTTATCATATGATATAATCTCATAGTCTACATTATTAACTATCCAAGACAATCTTAGCATTTTTTTAGCATAAATAATTGCATTATCATATTCTCTCATTGACATGTACATTTCTACAATAGTTTTATAAAAGTAAAGCTTTTTTTCATAGTTTTTGCTTATATTACAATAGAGTCTCGCTTACTTAAAGATATTTACACTTTTTTAATAATCTCCAATGTCTCTCAATATTTTACCCTTTAATTCTAAAATTTTTAATAGTAAAGTATAGTTATCTTTCACTTCCTTCGCATCTTAGTAGACATTTTCTAGAATGTTTATTAGAATATTTCTCTCAGGATTTTTTAAATGAATGCTTAGCTCTTCTAGCTATTTATCTATTTGTTTGATATTTTAGTACTTTGGATTATTTTAAAAGTATTCATCTTCTTGAGAAGTTAAGTTTTGAGCCGAATTAAGTAACTCTTTGGATGTAAAAATCGAAGACTGTTCATGATAAAATTTCGAATTACTATCTTAAAATTCTTTTGAAAAAATTGATTAGTCTCCTTAAAAAAATTTGAATTTTTCATTCTTTGCTTAAAAATGATTAGAGTCACCAGCCCTAAATTTTGTGCTTTTATAATTTAAGATACTATCTTCTAAAAAGGGTGCTGGCTTTTCTATATCCCTAAATGAAATTTGTTTATATTAACCTTCCTTTAAAAACTTATTTATTAATTGCTCTTATGATTACTTGTCCTTTAAATTCAAGCTTTTATTATATAATTTCTTTTTCATCATTTTGTTTAGAGTTTTATATTAAAAAAATTTATTTGTTTATCATGAAAGTAAAATTGTAATCAATCATTCAAAGTATTTAATTGATCTAAAAGAAATTAGTCATTAAAAAATATAAAATTGAAATAGGAGCCTTATTTTGAATATTACATATAAATTTGCTATAAATATAGCTAATTTACTGGTCACTTAAATTTAAAAAGATTTCTTTTATTCATTTCACACCATACTTTAAAATCAGTTTTTTTTCTTAAAAACTAAATAATATCATAACTTTAATAAATTTTTCTTTTAATAGATCAAAATTGTTTTAGATTAAATATAAATTTTTTATTTTGTAAATCATTTATAAAAACTTCAAAAAAGTCTTTAAATTAAATTCCCTTTATTATTCTTAAATTATAATTTATAGTGTAAAAAGGAATTTTATTTAATACTATCAAAGAAATCAGGATATATAATTAATTATTATTAATTTTAAAATATTTCTTAAGCAAATCTTTTTCAAAAAATAAATCTAAACTTATTTTCAGAAAATAACCAAAAAAATATTAAATTTTGTAATTTTTGAATTTTTGGGATTAATTGTAATTAGTTACAATTTAGATGAAATTCTGATACCTTTTTTACTCACTAAATATTATCCTTTTTAATTTATTATGCTAAAAAATTAAATTATTTATATTCTAAATATACCATAGTTTCTCGTGGCGAATGGTAAGGCGAAAAATGAAAATTGGCGATTTTTAAAATTTTTGTGATTTATAATATTAAATACATAAATTTGAAAAATTTCCTTTTTAATTTTTAGGAATAATTACAATAGATTATTCATACATAAAAGCACTTTTTAAGGATGTATAATTAATTTTTAGATTATGCTAATTAAAATTTAATTCAGAAATTTCTGTTCCTTTTAATAATCTTTAATTAAATTTTTTAAGTAATTAATAAGAATTTAAATTAATCCATAAATTCACTTTATTTATAAGGCATCAAAATTTGATTTTTCATCATTAATTTATTTTATTTATTATTGCAAACTCTAAGTAAATTATTCAGACACTTTTTTTATTTCTTATTTAGTCATTAGCAATGAGGGTGGTTATTATTAATACCTATTCGAAAAGTATGACTTGAAGTTGAATATATTATTTTCATTTTTTGTGTTGAGCTACTTTTTGATAACCACATAACTTTACTTATTATCCTAATCATAATCAGAGAATAGCGTTTCTAATATTTATTAAGGCTTATAGAAATCTTTATTTTGAAGGAGTAAAGATTCTTTAACTTAGCCTTAAAAGTCTTCTGATTTTTATCTTTTTTATTATTTTTTAAATATGATTTATCCTATTTCATCATTTTCTTTAAGTCTATACTATTTACTAGATGTTTATGATCTATTCTCATAACTACTTATGCTTTTAAATGCTTTCTACTAATTAAGCTTTTCTTATAATTTATTATTTAAAAGAGCTAATTAATCTTTATTATTTTTCAATTAAGCTTATTCAATTTAATTTGGTTAAATATTTTATTGGATTATATTTTTTACAGTGCTAGCAGATTTAGAACTAAGATTTTGCTTTTTGACGTCTAATTTTTATTTAAACACTTTATTAATTTTAATTAAAATATAATTTTTTCAAAAACATACGTTTTTTCTGTAAGTACTTGGGCTTTGGAGCTAAGTCATCTTGATCTATAATAGTATCTATTTTAAATTACTCAAACTGATAAGGGTCTTGCGAACTGGAAGGAGTTTAAATTGCAGTTGAGAAACTTGATCTAAAGCCATTAGTGTCCCACATATTTTTAGTAGTCAAGAAAGACTGTGTATCTGGATTGTTTATATTAAATTTTTTATTTAAAAAAGAAGCAGTTTTTTGAGTGTAGAGCCTTTCAAAACAAGATGAAGTTGTTTAACGAAATGAAGGATAACTATTATCCATATTTTATGTTAGTTGTTAACTTCCATTTTGCTATTACATTAATCCACTTAAATTTTTTTCATTAAATTGAGCTGAAGTCTTTGAGTAAAAAGAGAGAGTAGGCTTGACTTGAGGTTTTAATTTATAAATTGGGTTTTTTAACAACTTTTACTAAATTTCATTAAAATTTTTTTTTTTTTCGTCCATAATCCATTTTAGCTTATCTAAAGGAACACTACTTAAAACTTTTCTTATTGTGTATTAGTCTCTTTACATAATTTTTTTGCTTTAGAAGGCATCCTAAGATTAAGATTTTTTTATTTCTTGATTTTATTGCTCAACAACTGAAAAATTTTTTTTTTGATGATTATTTATAAATTAAATTTTTTAGCGCTATGTTCTTTTCCACTAATCTTCTATCTCTTACATAACCTTTTAATGCTCTTAAGTAAGCTATTATGATTGTTCTGATTCCTTAAATTCTAATTTTTTAAGAAACTCCTATTTCTCTTTCTGTTTTTAAATTTCCTCGTCTTGTTCTTGCTTCTTCATTTCTTTTTCTGTAACTTCATGGAAATTCCATTTCCTATTTCCTTTTTCGTCATAGTACACTTAAAAATCATATTTTTATACAGGATATATTTTTTATTCCCAAAAAATCACAACATCTTCTTATTGTATTTTTTCTTGTTTTTTTTTCTTTTCAAACTAACGCATAAAATTCTAGTAGTCTCTCATTATTTACATTTAATTTTCTTCTTTTATCTTCTTTTACTCCTAAGAACTTAATTTTTATACAGGCTTTTAGATTGTTAAAATTGTTTAAAGTTTTAAAATAGCTAAGCAATAAATATACATCTTGTGATACTAGCTTTTTCTATTAGTCGACTAAAAATTTGTTTTATTGTTTCATTTATTCTAAGTATGGCTACTGAAGCGTTTCAATATTTTATTTAGGAGCCTAAATTTCTAAAAAATTGTTGAAGCTCATTATTGAATGCCTTTTAGAGTTCAACTTCTTGTTTCCTAAAGAAGAAGAAAGAAATTGGAGATTTGGGATAGTCGATTCTGTATTTCTCCTTTTGAAAATATTTATCTCATTAGATGAGCTATTATTATCACCACTTTGTTTGGGTTATCCATAATTTTCCATTTTTTTTAGTTAATTTTTTCAATAATTATTACACTTTTTATTAAGTTAATCTGGTTTTTCTACTAGAAGTTTTGAGTGATTATTTATTAATATTTTTTAAATTATTCCAAAAACAATCTGATTCAGATTTAAAATTCAATTCAAATTTTGTTTATAAAATATTTTAATAAGATCTATGATAAGGACATACTCATACATCTTTCTAAATTTCAAATAAGTAAATTAGTTTAATAAAATTTTAAAGCATAAAGAGACACTAATAAAATTTTTTTAGCAGGATGCTACAATAAATAAATATTTATAATTTATTCATTTTTCAAATATTAGATATTATTTGTGAAATTGAATGAATTTTTTCTTTCTATAGGTAAATAAATTTAAGATTATTTTATATTGTAAAATCAAGTAGGATTATTTTTATCAATTTTTAATTTTCTTAAATGTATGAAAAACAAACAAACCTTAACAATATTTATAAATTTTTTACAATTATCTATTTAATTTTCCGCAATTAATTTATTTAGCTGAACAAAAAATTAAATTTAATATTATTATTATTATTATTTTAATAACGTTAATATTTTTGAAAAATTTGATTTGGTAAATAAGACCTTGTTATATTATTGTTAAAGATTAAAATTTAAGAGATCTCTTATTAATAAATAAGCCTTTTAATAAATAATTAAGCAAACTTAAGTCAATCAAACTCAAAAATAGTAGGCTTTCATAGTGGCTAAAATCAAGTATCTAAATAAGTTTTTTTAAACACAAAAGTAGTAGAGGAATAAGCATTTACTAAATGAGTGAAAGTTGTAACATACTCAAACGGAGAAGTTCCTCTTTTACTTATTCTAAAAAGCCAGATTAGTCTTTTGATATATCAAGATTATCTACAGCAATTAATAGCTCATAAAAAGGAGCAAGCCCAAGATCACTTAATAAATATTTTTATGATTCAAGTAACTATTACCTTTTGACAGAAAACAATTCTTTCTAATCAAAAAGGTTAAATGGATTAAGTGAAAGTATCAGTAAACATAGCAAAAGCTTTGTCACTCCAAAATAACTTTTTACTGAAAATAGTTATAATGAAAGCAAAGGTAAAACTTAAGATAGAATGAGTAAAAACACATTAACTTATTGTGATTGTTGTAAGCATCAAACGAATAATAATAAAATAAATAAAAAAATGAGCGAAATTACTAAAAAAGCTCCTATGAGATCGTCATCAGAAGCCAAGGGATAGCAATAATCCAAAAATTTTCCTTAATAAAAAAAGAAAAACAAAGTAAAAAAACAGGTTGCACAAACTGAAAAAAAAGATCTTATAAAAAAGATAGATAGATTGGCAACTTAAATATAAGCAGAAGAACATCTTTAAAAAGAAAATGAGATGAATTTCATATTAAATGTTGCTTCAATCAAAGCTAAAATAGATCAAGTGCAACAGTAGAGAAAGTAGAGTTTTTCTAACTCGTTAAATATTCATGAATCTGCAAAAAATTAACTAGAATAAAAAACTTAAGAATTTTATGACTTATAAAAAAAATTTTAATCAATGTATACAGGGATTGTAGAAAAGCATAATTAAGACTAAGTTAACTGGTCTCTTACTTATACTAATTTACTTAAAGATAAATCAAACTTAAAGAAAAATATTTTAATCAAATCAAAATTAAGATGAAAATTTACAAAGTAAAATAAATTGTTTATAAAGAGAATCTTATTCTTTTTGTCTAAAAAAACCAAAAATTTAAGATTTTTAAAACTCCTGTCCCCCACCTATCACATAGGATAATCTTTTTATTCATTAAAGAATCTGCAATAATTATATATATATAAATTTATATACGAAAATTTAATTTCATGTAAATAAACTAATTCCCTAAATAAAAGTATGTGTAGTGTTTCCTTTAGTGTTTTGTATAACTATAACTCCATTTTTTCTAATATGTAAAAAAATAGTTAAAATCTATATATAACCATGAATTAAATATCTAAAATACAACAGATAAGTTAAATTAAGATTTAAATTACTTTTAAAATAAGATATGTCAGATATTTTAGCTTTTTATTTATTTTTATATTCTAATATTTTATTAAATACATTAATTAATAGATTGAATTAACATAATTACTACATTTAAATATGTTTGCTTAAGGTTAAGCAAGAGAAATTTGTATCTATATCTTTATTTAAAAATAAAAAAAGATTTATCCTTGGTAAGAATATTCAATTATTTAAACATCAATAATTTAATTACATACTTACATGCAATCATACATATCATAACTATCAGAGTTTTCTAAGAAATAAAAATACCATTTAATATTTAATAAGAAAAAGTTACTTACAATTATCTTTCAGAATTTCATGCAAAAAATTTAGTTTTTATAAAAGAAAACATTGTTTTCTCCTGTAATTTAAATTTCATTTAATAGATAACCCTAATCTTTGAAGTAATACATAAGGTATATACTCTTTGTTTGTTTATTTGTTTATTTATTTATATTTGCGAGTTGGTAGAGAAGAATATGATTGATAATAAAAAAATAATTATTAATAATATTAAATAAGCAAATATTGAAATCTATTAAATTTATATTAAAAAATTAACATTATAGCTTGTTTTTAAAGATACAAAACAAGATTATTGAAAGATTATAAAGGAAAAATAAACAAATTTGTACTTGTTAGTAGCTTATAGCACATAGTTCGCATATAACAATTATGGCTGATAATAAAATTTAGTAGTAAAAATACGATACAGATTATACTTAAATTAGAGCTTAAAGCTACGCTCCTTTTTAGGTGACTAATCTTCATTTAGATGATGGCTAGACAAATATTCCAAATGATGAAATTGAACGCTCAGAAGAAAATGAGAAAAAATTTTAAGATTATTTAGAGAAATAATAGCAACACGATGATCCAAGAGAGGCACTTTTGAAACAATATAGTAAAGAAGACAGACCATATAAAATTGTAGACTTAAATAATAATTGCGTATATGATGCAAGAGTTGAAGAAGATATTCTCAAACTGACTACAATTAATTCCATGAAATCTCCTTCCACAATCAAAAACAATAAACCAACTTGGCAGGATTTTTGGTAAACTCTTTCTTTCTTTAAAATATTTGATTGAGTTTTTTTATTTTGAAACAAATAAAGGAAAAATGTGAAAAAATGTAATATTGATCTTTTAGATGCTGCAGAAATTGGAAATGTTGATAAAATAAAATACTTACTAGATAAATCTAAAAATCTATATCCAGTCGATCTCAATTATTAGTAATAAATTAATGTTTTATCTTTATTTACAGGCTAAAATACTATGATTTGCTATTGCCTTTAAAATAAATCGAAAATATTTTATAGAGTTTTTTTTATTAATAAGATCGTTAGATAATTACACAGCTTTGCATTTCTCAGTAACTGATATGCATAACTAAATTGTTTAGATTTTAATAGATAATGGGTGCAACATAGAAGCTGAGACTACTTTTAAGCGCAGACCTCTTCATTTATGCTGTATAATAGGAAATATTGATGCTCTTAAAATATTAATTAAACATAAGGCAGAAATTAACCCTCTGGATAATAACAATAATACCCCAATTCTTCTTGCATCTTAAAACAGGTGGCATGAAATAGTTGAAATTCTGCTTGATAATGGAGGTGATCCACACATTAAAAATAATAAAGGCGAAAATGCTGTTAATGTTTGCGATACTTAAAATATGTATGATGTATTTATGAAACATAAAATTTACGAAACTGAAGGTTTTGTGCTCAAGGATAATTTTTCAAAGTAAACAAAATAAATCAAGATTAGTTAATTTTTTATAAAAGAATAATTTAAATTAAACAAAATAATACTTAAAGAACACTAATATTACTGAATAAGATTAAACAAAGGTTGAGTCTAATTGCTTGATTTTAGCTTGAAATTTAAAAATACTCATTAGCATTTCTTTAAGACTTTTTAATATAAAGCATAAAATAAATAACAAACTAAAAAAATATTAAATTTTTTTAAAAAATTATAACTTAGTTTTTATTTTATTTTTTAAGTTTCAATAAAAAGCAGAACGGTCAAAATTAAAACGAAGGTGGTCAAGTAGAAGAAGGTAAAGTAGAAGAAAACAATAGTGAATAGGGATAAAGAGTTTCTAGCCCTGAGAAAATTCGTAATTTGATAAATAAAGAAGGAATAATTGAAATGGTAAGTAATTTTTTAATGAAAATAAAATAAAGAAATAAACAATTTGTCAATTTAAATAATAGTAAAAGAAAACTGTGTAAGACTATGAATATTATAGAATTTTAGGTTCTGGGGCATTTGGAAAAGTCATATTAGTTAAAGACAAAAAGAATTAAAAATACTATGCCATGAAGATTATAAGCAAAGAAAAATTCTAATAACTAAATTTAATGAAGTATGCTCTTTCTGAGAAAAATGCAATGAGCAAAATGTAGCATCCTTTCATAGTTAAATTACATTATGCCTTCTAAACAAAGAGAAAACTTTTTTTAATTTAATAATACTGTAAATAATTTCTTTATTAATTTATTTATAAGAGAATATTTGAAACAACGCTCATTTCTCTTTATCAAATTTTTTGTTCTAACATCAAAATATATGATCATTTATTTTTGATATTCAAAATTTTTAGGTGGTGGTGGAAGTTTAGGAAGAATGCTTAAAATAAAGCAAAGATTTGATGAACAAACAGCTAAAAAATATATGTGCCAAATTATATTAGCTATAGAGGCTTTACACGATAATTTAATTATTTTTAGAGATTTAAAACCCGATAACATAGTTTTAGATGAAGAAGGAAATGCCTACTTAGTAGATTTTGGTTTAGCTAAGCTAGGTGTATATGACGAAATTAATAAATCATTCCTTGGAACTCCTGCTTATCTCCCACCTGAAATCATCGTTAAAGATGTAAATGAAGTTCAAAGAATTTTATAAATACATATTTATATCTTTTTTAATAAAAGGGACACAATAGAATGGCTGATTGGTATGCAGTTGGTATTGTACTATACGAATTGCTCATGGGTTGTACTCCTTTTAACTAAGGAAATGTATCTAGAGAAGTATTATATGAAAGAATTAAATAAAATTCAATTAAAATACCCTCTAATATTTCTAGCGAGTGCTAAGATATAATCTAGAAAGTATTATTAAATCTAATTACCAAACATAAATTAAATTGATTTTTTATTATTAAAGCTTCTCTGCAAAAATCCTAAGAAAAGATTAGGCTATAAAAATGATGGCAAAGAAATAAGAAGCCACCCATGGTTCGAAGGAATAGATTGGGAAAAAGTTATTTAAAAGTAAAATTTATTATTTAACTAATCAAGTAATTCATTCTTCAATATGAAATTTAAAAAGGAAAATTCCTATGCCAAAGCCAGTAATTAGAACAATTCCAAATGAACCATTAGATGTCAGATTTAATGAAGAATGCGATAAATAAATAGATGTTCAAAACTGGACAGAGATTAATGACTGATAGATAAATCTATGAATGAAAACCAAATATTTGTAATAAATTTAACTATACTCTACCAATGATATGATTTCATAGGTTCTTTCTAATTACAGATTCTATAATAAAACTATATCAATAATAAAAAAGTTAATTTTAAAAAAACTATAAACAAGTAATAAATAAACAAATAAACAAATAATTAAATAAATTCTTTAATAAGTTTTGTTTTTGTATTTTGGTCTTAATCATTTGTAGTTGAACTATTACTTTTATGATTTGGTTAATGTTTTATTAATTTTAGATTAAAATTTCTGAAGGCCTATTAATTAAATAAAGAAAACTAAAAATCTTTTATTTGGATTAATTGAAATTTTTGATGAGAATTTTACTGATAATATAAATTGAAGGAAGAATATTTAAATAAATTTTTAATTTTTTAATTTTAAACAAGCTCTTTAAAAGAATTGATTATTTTATTTGTATTATTATTGGATAATTATTATAATTATTTAACTATTTTTATATTTTATTTATTAAAAGTATTTGACATCATATAATCATTTCTTACTTCTAGTTTTCAACTATTAATTTTTAAACTGCTTGCTGTACAAAACTAAACTACACTTTTAGTTATTTGAAGATTTTAATTTAAATTAACTAAGGTCAATATTGAGGATATTTCTTCTTTTATTTCAATAACTCATATATACCCCATGATATACCTGTGTTTATAGGCTTACGAACTAATCTTGGAATCAAACCATTAAAAAAACCTTTACTTCCTTCTAGCATATATATTTATGAAAAACCATTTAACAGACCTGTGTATCTATAAATAGAGGGCAGATTGTTATCCTAAATCATCATTCTGTTTCTAACTACTTCAAAGGGTTAACTAAGTATTACCCCTAAAATACCTGCTGTGTATGGAGCAACAAAAGTATTTCCTTAAAATATTTAGTTCTCATCAAACACTTGCTTCAAAAATTAGAAGGTGGTATACTAAAATACAGAAAAAGAAAGTTCACGAGAAATCACACCATTTAATCCTCTAAAATATCCTTTTTCTGCAATAATCATTTTTATTTCTTTAAATAATGATGTATTTTTATTAACAACAACTAATTCCAGTCTTGTTTTTAAAACTATTAGAGGGCAAGTAATCACAATTGCTATTACTTTACTTATTCCTGCTATAAAAGCTGTTTTTATATATTTAGGAGTTTAATTCTGATTCAGTTTTTCATTTTTTTTAGTTATATCATTCAACTCCTCAAGTATTTAGCTATATATTGAAAATCCTAGAGCTTAACGAAAAAATCCTACTGATGCACCTCTAAAAAAGTTTAATATACCCTTTTTATTTTACAAATAAATCTCTTTAGAAGCTGCATAAAATGATTAAAGAGAGTTTCCTTTTTCAATTATTTATGTTTTGTTAGGATTGCATACTTGCTGAGTTTTTATCACTTCAAATGGTTAGGTAAATACTGAAGCTGAACCTCCGCTAACTATGCTATATAATATTTTCTATTTTCTATCTTATTAACTCAAGCTCATCAAAGATATTAATTTTATTTAACAAAAGTTGTTACTTACTTTAGTTAGGAATTTTATGCTGTTTTTTTTTAGTCTAAACCTAATTAAAATAGTGTTGTTAATTTTTGTCAAAAAATACAAAATTTTTCAGCAAATCAAAAAATCATCATTAATTCAAAATATTTGTTCTTTTTTGTCAAAATAGCTTTTAATTTTTATCTATTACTGAAATTTATAGAAAATTTCTAGAAAAGCATGTAAATTTTATAAAATATTATGGTTTATTTATGTTAAAAGATAAAATAAACTCTTTCATTTAAAACAATAAAAAATACAAAATATTCTTAAATTATTTTTAGATTAAAAGAGCACCATCAATCAAATCATAGAAAAATGAACTTTAATCTTAAAAATAATTAGAATTTAATCTCTTGTTTTTGATCGAACAGAAAGATTAATAAAATATTAATATTATATAAAAAGGCTTAGAAAATTCAAAGTGATATAATAAAATTAAAAAAATTAAATATTTTTATATCAAAAAGTAAAAAGAACTTTCTAAATGTCAGATTAGTCTTCTAATAATTCAGGTAAAACTATTTTTAAAACATTTCAAACTTAAAATTTAAATATTTTAAAATAAAAATATGAATTCATACTCAAACTCTATTTCAAAAATTCAAATTTGATTTAGTTAAATAGATAATAAATTTAATTCATATATGACTAGTTTTTATTTTCCTTTTTTTTCTTGAATATTCTTAAATTTTCTAAAGAATATTTAATTTATCTGTCAAAAATTATAATTAAAATATCAAATCTCTCATCAAAAAATACAAATATTAATTTAATATATTACCTACCTATTTTGTTTTAATATTGACTCTTACTACAAAAATGTTATTTAATTCATATTATTATATATTTCAGGCAATAATGATTAGATTGGTAATAGTTAGCCTGTTACAAAAGATGATAAACATAATACTAATGTTGGCTCTAATACTAACATAGATGGAACTAATCCTATAAACAAATCTACTACTGATAATATAAAAAAACAAATAATTTAAGGGGTAGCTCCTGTTGATGAATTTTGTCCTTAAAAAGGAGTTGAAGTATACTATGATAAAGATAAAATATATTCAGCTAAACTAAATCAAGCAAATATGACAAAAAATAACAACAAATTTTATGTAATTTAAATACTTAAGGGTAAGATAAACGAATTTTTTGTGTTTAGTCGATGGGGAAGAGTTGGATTTTAAGGTTAAAGTTCTTTAAAAGGCCCTTATAATTTATAACGTGCCATTTAAGAATACAATTAAAAATTGTTAGAAAAAACAACAGTTAAAGATTATCGTATTCTAGATATGGACTATGGACATGATGATATTTTATAAAATTTAGAAGAAAAAATGAAAAAAGATACTGATACATGCTAATTACCTAAACAAGTTATAAGTCTTATGAGTTTAATTTTTGATATGAATATGTTTAATAACTAAATGAAAGAAATTGGATATGATGCAAAAAAGATGCCTCTTGGTAAACTATCTAAAGATAATATAAACAAGGCTTATGGTATTCTTAAAGATCTTTATGATGAAGTAGAAAAATAAGACAAGGATATAGTAAAAATAGCAACAATGTGCAATGATTTTTACTCTTACATTCCTCATGATTTTGGATTTAAAAAAATGTAGGATCAAATACTTGATAGCACACAAAAAGTTAAAGAAAAATTAGAAATGATCGATTCTATTTAAAATATATAAATAGCAACTAAAATTTTAGAGGACTAATCTTAAGGTTAAAATGGAAATGCAGTTAACTTAATTCAATCCTAATATGAAAAGCTCAATTGTTCAATTACTCCTTTGAAGGATGAAAAAATTTACCAAACTATAAAAACGTATCTTGATAATACTCACTCTTATATTCATGATAGATATACATTAGAAATTGAAGATATTTTCGAGGTAGAAAGATAAGGAGAAAAAGAGAGGTACATGAAATAGCTAAATAACAAAATGCTCCTTTGGCACGGTTCACGATTGACAAATTATGTTGGAATTTTATCTCAAGGTCTTCGTATTGCTCCTCCTGAAGCTCCTGCTAATGGTTATATGTTTGGAAAAGGAGTTTATTTTGCTGATATGTGTAGTAAATCTGCTAATTATTGTTAAGCTAATAAGCTTAACAATACTGGCTTAATGTTTCTTTGTGAAGTAGCTCTAGGAAATACAAATGACTTAATCTCAGCAGGCTACAATGCTTCTAAATTACCCTATGGTAAATATAGTGTTAGAGCTTTAGGTTAAATAGCTCCTCCAAAAAATTCTTATATAAACATTTATGATGATGTAACAGTTCCTATAGGTAAAGGTCAGGTTAGAGATTATAAAAATAGACTTAAAACTCCATTACTGCATAATGAATATATTGTTTATAATGTAAAGTAAATAATGCTAAAATACCTTTTAAGATTGAAATTTAATTTTAAAAGATGAAAGAAAAAAACATATTTGTATATTTATTTTTAAATTTATGAAATTGTAATATTTGAAAATTTTAAATTTGTTTAAATTAAAAATTTTAAATTATTATGAAATAAGGACTTCTTTAATTTACGTTTAATTAAACAACTAAAATAATCATTACAAATAAAAAATCAAAATCTATTTTAGATTTCAAAATTAAATTAAATATCTTTTGTAAATAAATAATTCTTAGTATATTTAAATATAATTAGTCAAAGTAAATGGAGGAGGGTCTTAAATTTGATATACTTACAACCTTATTATAAATTTTGGAAATAGTATTCATTTTTTTCTATTTTTAAATTACTTTATTTGAAATTGCACCCCTCCTCCATATGTAGATTTTTTAAGGATAAAATTATTTTATATATTTATGTAGGTTCATTATTTTATATTTCAATTTTTACTTCAGTATGGCAACAATTTTAAACTTGTTTAATAAATAAATAATTTATATTTTGCTTTTTTTATTAATTTCATGCCATATATTTGTTAGAAAAAATAAAAATTTTAAGTTTTCAATATTAGATCATAAAACGTTTAATATGTTCTTCAATATGCGTACTTACTTTTATTTTTGATTACCTACACCTACTTCTGATAAACTTCTATCAAAGATATTAGCGGGTAAATCAAAAGTTAAATTTTTTAATAAAAAATGCAATTATTTATAATAATTAAAATAAAAATTTTATAAATATCATCTATAAATTCAAAACATACAGAATGTCTACAAGATAAACAAGAGGCTAAAAAAAAGCCGAAGAAGACAAAAAGAATGGAGTTGATTCTAAACCCAAACAAACTAAAGACGATAGTGAATCTGAAGAAGATGAGCCTAAGGCCAAAAGAGCTCCAAGAGGAGCTGCTGCAAAAAAGGCAGCTGAAAAAAAGAAAGAAAAAGAAGAGCAGTAATAAAAAAACAACAAAAAGGATGATGATGAAGATGAAAAAGACAAAGATACCAAGACAAAAAAAGCATCAAAGGCAGCAAAAAGTAAATAGATAATAAATTATTAGATTAAAAAAGTAATTTACTTTATTTTTATAATTTAGGTGTTGATACTAAAGATGATAAAAAGCCTGATGACAAGAAAGATACTAAAGCAGATGATCCTGATACTTCTAAAAAATAAAATACAGGCGATGATGCTGCTGATACTAGTAATATCAAAAAAGAAATAATTGAAGGAGCAGCTCCAGTTGATGAACACTGTCCTAGAAAAGATGTTGAAGTTTATTATACCAAGAATAAAATATACTCAGCTAAACTTAATTAGGCTAACATGAGCAACAACAATAACAAATTTTATATTATTTAAGTGCTCAAAGTGAAAGGAAAAGATTAATATTATCACTATAACCGTTGGGGTAGAGTAGGTGTTCCTGGGTAAAATTCTTGTAGGGGTCCCTTTACAGCTGAATAAGCTTGTTAAGAATACGAAAATAAGCTAAAAGATAAAACTAAAAAAGGAGAATATCGTGTCCTTGATATGGATTACGGTTAAGATGCCACTTTAGATGAATTAGATGATGTTATGAAAAAAGATGCTGAAACTTGTAAACTACCCAAAGAAGTTATTAGCCTTATTTCTTTAATTTTTGATATGAAAATGATCAATAACTAAATGAAAGAAATTGGTTATGATGTTAAGAAAATGCCTCTTGGTAAGCTCTCTAAAGAAAATATTAATAAAGCTTATGGTATGCTTAAATAACTTTATGAAGAAGTAGAAAAACCCAAAAAGAACAAAGATAAAATTGAAGAATTATGTAATGAGTTTTATTCATACATTCCACATGATTTTGGCTTTAAAAAAATGGCTTCATTTATACTTGATGATGCTAAAAAAGTAAAAGAAAAATTAGAAATGATTGAATCAATTTAGAATATCTAAATTGCAACTAAGTTAATTGAAGATAAAAAGCAAGGAAAAGATGGCTAGTAAATTAATTAAATTCAATCTAATTATGAAAAGCTCAAATGCAAAATTGAACCTGTTAAAGATTAAAAAGTTCGTAAAATTATTGAAGACTATCTCAAGAATACTCATGCATCTACTCACAACTAATATGGCTTAACAATTGATGAGATTTTTGAAGTAGAAAGAGAAGGCGAAAATGATCGCTACTTGAAGGATATCAAAAATAAAATGCTTCTTTGGCATGGTTCTCGTCTTACAAATTTTGTTGGTATATTGTCTTAAGGTCTACGTATTGCTCCTCCAGAAGCTCCTGTTACTGGTTATATGTTTGGTAAAGGTGTCTATTTTGCTGATATGTGTAGTAAATCTGCCAATTATTGTTTCACAAATAAAGCAAATAATACAGGTTTAATGCTACTCTGTGAAGTCGCTTTAGGTGAGATGAATGATAAGTACTATGCAGATTACTATGCCTCTAACTTACCTGCTGGTAAGCACAGTACTAGAGGTAGAGGTAAAACAGCCCCTCCTGAGAGCTCGTATGTTACTATTTATGATGACGTATAAGTTCCTGTTGGTAAGGGCGAACCTTAAGTTTTTCCTAATGGTTAATATGGTTCATTGCTATACAATGAATTTATTGTTTATGATATCAGATAAATCAAGGTAAAATATCTGTTAAGATTAACATTCAATTATAAATATTGATAATGTAAAATATATTTTTGAAATAACGAGATTTTTTGTTTTGTAAATTATAGATAGAAAGAAGGATAAATAGATTTATTTTTCAAATTTATTTCATATACATGCCAAATAATTTTTAAAATTAATTTTATTATTTTTAATTTATTTTTATTAAAATTATTTTAATAGATTAAATTTTTATTTTTTAATTAAATAAATAAAAATGGAGGTTTTTAATAGTTTTTTTTACATTTAATAATAAAATAATGTTTTTTTTTTAAATATTCTGATTTTTATACATTTAATTTATTAAATATTAAAATACCTACTGACTTGATTTTTAAATAAACTAAAATAAATAAAGAATTTTAAATCATTTAAAAAAAATTTTTGTATTAAAATTAAATTTTTAAATTAAAAGTGGCAAAGTAAAATTTGCTAGTTTAAATAAATACTTTATTTTTTATTTTTTTAGATTTATTTTTCAATAAAAGTAGATAAGCTATATAAACAAACACATATATTTATAAATAACAAATGAAATACTATGTAATTAATTTATTTTATGTAAAAAAAATTAAATCAATCAACTATTTCTAACTAAATTTAAATCCTAAATTTTTGATTATGTCTACGGTTATAATGTAGAAGAGTTTTCATTTTATATTGTATATATAGAAGTTAGCAGTGTATCTAATTGCGTAAGCTAAAACAGTCAAATATTTCATTAAATATTGAAAGATGATAGTTTGAAGAAAATTTTAAATTTTGATAAAGCCATTAATTAAATAAATAAATAACTATATCTTGAAAATAAAAAGAAAAACTTAAATATTGAATAGAATGAAATCTGTATGAATGAATGAATGATTAAATAAATATGTATGAATAAAGCCTGATATTTAATGAATTATTAGTATTGTATTTTTTTCAAATAAAAAAGATAATAAATATAATACAATAAAGGAGATTTTATTATTTAACTAAGAATATTGAAAAAATTATTAAGAAAGAATAAGAAGAAACTTTAACAAATTAAAAGTTTAATTCAAATAATATTTTGAAAAGTAAAAAGGAGTTAAGATACCATGAATAATTACCATATTTACGAAGAAATAGGAAGAGGCAAATATTCTGTTGTATATAAGGGGAGAAAGAAAAAATCCATAGAGTATATGGCTGTCAAATCACTTGAAAAATCTAGAAGAAACAAGGTTAATTATTTTATTTTAACAATATTTTCTACTTCAGTTTTTTCTTAAGCTTTATTAAAAAAGGTTAATTATTATATCAAAAAGTTAGAGCATTAAATATTTTTCATATAGCCTACCATTCCATGAAATTTAATTTAAAATTGAAATTATTTTATATTTTATAAGCAAAAGTTAATGTTTTTATTTTATGATGTTTTAGGTTTTAAATGAAGTTAAGATATTCCATTCTCTCAACCACCCAAATATTATGAGATTTTATAACTGGTATGAGACAAGAAATCACTTATGGGTTATTTTTGAATATTGTCCAGGTGGTGATCTTTAAACTTTAATAGAGTAGGATAAAAAACTCCCTGAGTAGCTTGTCAAGAGTTTTTCTAAAGATTTAGCAGCAGGTAATTTATTTTGATTTAAAGAATATAAAAAGCTAATTATAATAATAGATTTTAGGTTATTATGATTCAAATTAAGCTTATAAGTAATTAGTCTTAAATTAAAATAGTTTATCAAAGCGAAATAAAAACATTTTCATAATCATAAAAAATAGGTTTATAGTATTTGCATTCAAAAGGAATTATTTACTGTGATTTAAAACCATCTAATATTCTCTTAAATGAATTTGGTTAGCTTAAAATATGCGACTTTGGTCTTTCCCGTAGGATAATAGATATGATAACAGCAGATGAGGTAAACAGCATTATAATTTTAAAGCAGATTATATATAGAGCAAATTAACAAACACATCTGAGTTAACTTTTATCAATTTTTATTATAAATTTATAAAAAATTTATTATCTTCTTTTTACTTGTTAATGACATAAAAATAAAATTTCAGTTAAATTTTTTTGTTTGGACTTAGTTAGAGTAATTTTTTTATTCAAAATACTTATCTAATAAAAATCAGTCTACTTATGATTAAGCATTAAGCAAATTAAATTATTGTTTAAATCTAAATTAACTAATAATGTTAAATAGGGCAAAGAAACTGTTAAGAAAGGATCGCCTTGTTATATGGCACCAGAGTTATTTCAAGATGATGGTGTTTATAGTTTTTAAGCAGATTTTTGGGCTTTAGGATGTGTTATGTATGAATTAGCAACAGGAAAACCTCCCTTTGTATCAAAAAGCTTTTAAGATTTAGTCGATTAAATTCTTAACTAAGAAGTTTAGAAAGTATCTGGATTTTCAAATGAATTTAATGATCTTATTGAAAAATTGCTCTAAAAAAACCCTATAAAAAGAATAACATGGGATTCACTTATCTTACACCCATTTTGGAGCGGCCTTTAAAAATTATAATAAACTGATATTCCTTAATAGCCACATTTTGATTAATGGCTGGCAAACTATAATAAGTAAATAGGTGCACTCACTTCATAATAATAATAATATTAGGTATTGTAAAATTAGCAAAATCCAAGCTCATAAACTCCTAAAAATGTAAATGTTATGAGATTAAGCTTGAATATTCAAAAAAATCTGAAAAAGGAGCTAAGCGACTAATATGTAGTTGTTACAAAAGATGTAGAACTTAATAACAGGAATTAAACTATAAATATGGGCGGAAGAGATGATGAAGAGGACGAGGAATAAGATTACGAGAACAACAATGGATATAATATACAAAATGCAGAAGAAGATAACAAAAGAAATATAGATATTGACTCATAATTCCACTCAAAATAACCAGTAGATACGCCAATTCATGATGCAAGAAATAAAAATTAATACAATTAAAATTAAGTTGCAAATGCTGGTCTTTCATAAAATTTAGTTCCAGTAAATGAGCTCTTTACACATCTAAGTGACAATGCCGTTAAACCTATTATTGGTAAATTTTTAATTATACTCTCTAAATATAAGTAAATTTATCTTTAACAGGTAATAAGGAAATAGAAAAGACTGCTACCGAAAGTTTTAAAAAGGAATAGTTGCCATTTTAGTGCTTTATGGCTGATGAAGTGTAGTAAGGAATAGAGTCACCTTCTATAGAGACTCATTTTGAAAACATTTTCAATTCTTTAGTTTAAGCTCACACTGATAAATTTAATATTCTTTGCTACTTTGAAACTATTGTATAAAACTCCCAAGTAGCTAACAGGTTAATAAACTCTGCATTTATGAATCTCCTTTTGAAGCTATTAAAAACAGTTAAATAAACATAAACAAAGATTAAAATTGGAAGCATCTTAGGTTTGTTAATTCGTCATGCTACAGTTATAGACAACGAACTCAGTTAGCAAGGTAAATAAATTTATCATCTTGAATAAAATTTTAATTAATTTAAAAATTATTTAGGTATCCCTTAGATATTAATTGAAACAGTTAAGATAGAAAAATCAGAAAAAGTTAAAAGAAGGTAAAATTTTAGAAAATAGATAAATTATTTATTTTTCAATTCATTTAAAAAATATAAATAAATTTATATATGAACTGTTAATTTTTAATTTAGATGCATGGCTGCTCTTGGCGAGTATTTATTTTATGGAGCAACTTAAATGGATGAAGATCCTACAAATTCTTGCTGGTAAATACAAGGCTTCGTTTTACAATTTTTAATAAAAGTATTGAAATCAGAAAACGAAGATGAATTAGTTAAGTATTATGCATGTAAGACTATTGAAAATATCACAGCTTAAAGTGTAGAAACAGGTTAATAATTTGCTAATCCTGAAACATGCTTAGCTATGGCTGGTCTATACTTGTCAAGCACAAACGAAGGTCTTAAATAGAGTGCTATGATATCTCTATAACATATGACTATGCTAAATAACTCTTTAACTGATGTTGTTTTAAATAGCTTAGGGAAAGTATAAGGAATTAAAGATATTCTAAGAGATGGATCAAATAGAGTTTAATAAGCATTACTTACCATAACTAATCTATAAATCCTTATTAGCGAAACAGAGCTAACTTAAAGTTTATTGAACGATCTTCAATTTATTGAAAGTATCACACATTTATTAGATAATTAGAGCTTGGTGGTAAGAGGAAAAGTTATTTTAACTATCTTCTTAATTATCAAAGTGAACACCAAAGCTTTAGTCTTGTTGGCTTAAACTAAATTCTTTACCGCATTGGAAAAGATAAGTAGAGATAGCTAAACATATGTCCAACAATGCTTTGCTAACCTAAAATTGCACTTAGAAGAAATGATAGGAATTATACTATAAGTAATTTTAGATGAAGTTACAAGAATATCAAGAGGTGAAGTTGCTAACAACAATAACACTTCTGCATACTACTAATAAAATCAAGAATACAGTTCTGTCGTTCCAACATTAACAGGAAATCTTTAGTATTTACAAGTAAAATATTAATTTTTAGTAAAATATTAATAAATTAAAATAAAAAATTTAGGTATTGCTTTAGTATGCAAATTGCAATCAATTGAATCAAAGCTTATTCCAATTAAATTATCTTTAAACTCTATTTTAACTTCTTAATTTTGCTAAAGATTTACAAACAGAAGTCAAATCAGTATTAATTAACTTATATGAAGTACTCCTTACTAACACAAAGGCTGTGCATTAAAATTCAGATTATTTCTTAAACAATGTAGTACCAAAGTTACTGGAATAGCTAAAAGCATAAATAGACTAATCAAATAAAGAAAATAAGAATACAGATATGAAATTTAATTATTTAAAGTTATTAAATGACATATTAAGTCCTTTTTTCAACGCTGATACAAATGGAAGCAGTCAAATTAATAGAATGCATGATTACTTTACTAAAGCCTTTGTAAATGAACTACTTGTACAATTATTAATTCCTTCTGAATCAGAGTAAGTTTAAATGATGGCACTTAAACTATTTAACTTGTTAGTTGAAAGCTAACCCAAGCATTATATTAATATTATCAAATAAAATATGATCATTGGAAATATTATTTAACAATTTACCTTGAATCCTTCCCGTATTACTCTAAAATTAATTGCTAAAGTAACCTAATGTTCAACCCTACAAGAAATTAGCAGTTATAAAATTGCATAAGAGAGTGTTAAATTATTTACAAATCATATTGCAAAATAATAAGATAGTGCAGAAGATTTGGTTGACATATTTTTAAATATAACAACTAAACTTGTAGGTGGTCTTAATTTGGATAAACCAATATTAAATGATTAGCGTGTCGATAATATATACGATTATTTACTGCAAGCTTATGATATAGGTTTTTCTTTGCTAAATTCAATAGATTTTAGCTTAAGTGAAAAAATTGGAATGTTTATTATTCATATAATCTACCTTTATGGTAAATAAGACTCTCATAAAATATTTAAGCAAGATTACATTCTTAGTATAATTTAAACTATAAATTAATATCACATGGTTAATACTATGATGCGCCGTAACACTCGTGTATTAAATTGGATTATCTAACTTATACCATAAGCAAGAGACTTAAAAGAAAGTATCATATTTGCTCTTGATCGTTTAAAAAATACTGATGATTCTAAAATCAGTGTTAACATATCTGAAATAAAGATAGCTCTTTCGAAATGAGGATACTTTGTCAACAGTTTCTTACAAACAAGCTCATTCTTATAAATATAGTTAGTTATAAGACAAAAAATATTTAAGAAATAAATTAAATAAAAGCTGAATTCAATTCAATATATAATATAATAATTAGCTCCAATTTTTTAATAAATATACAACAAATTAAAAAGTTATTAAAATTTGAGTATCATTTGTAAATGTCCAAACAAATAAACAAATAGAATAATTTTTATTCATATCTAAATCAGTCAATATATAAAATCAAAGACATTACTTTAAAGCAAAATTAAAAAGGTTGGCTAATTTATTTGTTTATGAGAGAATATAACTTAAAAATATGAAAAGATTTATGATGTGCTTTGCTATTACTGGAAAACTTAAAACAAATCAAAACTACTCCTAAATATATCATATTTCTTATCAAAAAAAATCTAAGTGAATTCATTATTATTTACAAACTAAAATGAAAATTTTGATCGTATTTATATACTCTAATAAATCAATATTGTAAGTATTTTTATCAATTATTGCTAACCTATTTTTTAAAATTTTTTAAAAACTTTCTAAAAATTTAAAATTAAATTTTAATAAAATATTTTTCTAAATTATATCAGTAAATACTTTTTATTTTTTAAGTTTTGATTTATTAACGCACTTTATTAATTTCTTAAAAATAATTTAAAAAATTTGAATATAAAAAAATAAATAAATTAATAAAATCACTTTTTTCTGTTTAATTTGTTTGCAAAAAATATTTATTTGAAATTTTGATTTTTAGTTAATAGTTTTTATAAAAGTGAAAAGAGAGATAATTTACAAATTAAAATGGAGAACTAAAATCTATTAAATGAATTCGAAAAGCTCTAATAGGAAATAGAGAACATCAACAAGTATTTCAATTAGTTAATAGAAAAAGAATAAAAAATGAGAATCGTGCTATAGAATTAGTAGATTCTAAATGCCAAACATAAATATAATGCAGATTTGCTTTAGAAGCCATTATATTAGTAAATGATAGGAATCTCAGCTCCTGAAAAGAGTGGCCATTAGCATGAATATCCAAATGGATTAAATATACCTCCAGCTAATCCAAATAGAATTCCTTAAAATCACGAAGAAGAGAACAAATAATAATAGCCTGCAGGCTAATAAGGACTTGATTAAAATTTTATGGGAATGAATGGAATTTAGGGACCTCAACCAACATTTGGAAACGACTATTAATCTTAAATGGATGGTATTTCTTAAAATCCTAATTAATAGAATCAACTTGATTAGACATAACGCCATATTACAAATAAGCCTTCATTGTCTCAAGAATAGTTATTAATTATGCAATAATAAATGAACTAATTTCCTTAAGAGTTTTATGGCTTTTAAGTTGTTAATGGGACTTTATAAGTAAGCAATCCTTAATAAGCAAGTTAGTTAGTTGAAATGATGTTCAGCTCCCAATAAGGATAATTAATTTTATAAAATAGCAAATAAGTTATGCAAACAGTAGAAAAAGCTATTGCAGAAAAAGAAGCATAATTCAAAAAATAATTGTAAACATAATTTGCTGAGTTCTAATAAAAGTACTTAAAAAATAACAGCACTTAAGAGTTAAAAAACACAATAACTTAAAAAGAGGTATTATTTTGATTATATGCTTATTTTTTATAATTCTATTTTTTTTATTTTAAGGAAGAAATCAAAAGGATCAACCAAAGTATGGCTACTCTAAAAGAGTAAGTAAAAGAAAAATCTGCAGAAATAGAATTGTGGAAGTCAAAAGCAATTAATTTGAATAAAACTAATCAAGTAAAAATTTTTTCTTAGCTTTTAAATAAATATATGGAATATTAGATTAAAGGCAAAGATTTGAAATTATAATATTTTGAATAAACTTATTTCATTAAATAAAGAATGGAAACACAACTACTTTGGTTTATGATTAAGAAATCAAAAAACTTTCTTTAGTAATTTTGAATTAACAGAAAGAGATAGACGAATGGAAATCTAAAGCAATGAATGGTGGAATCGCTAATACATTAGATGGTACTACTAATATGCCTGCAGCTTCAGGAAGTGAAAGAATAGCTTAATAAAGAGCACTTTTACTTTTCATTGAAGTTGAAAGACTTAAAAAAATAATAGAAAAATATAAGGAAATGACTGATGTAAATTTAGATGGCACAAATGCTGTTAATAATGTAGGAGGTAAAAAAAGAAGCATTTTTACTGATAACAACAGAATCTTTGGATTTTAATCAAATAATCTAAACTTAACCAATAATGATGATCCTGACATTCAAAATCTTAGAAGATTACTTGAATCAAAAATATAAGAAGTAGATGAATGGAGAATGAAATTTGCGAAATTAGCTGAAAAAGCATAAGAACGTGATTAGCTAGAATCAGAAGTTTACCGCTTAAAGTAAGCTTTAGAAGATACACTTGCAAATGGAGGCGTTTATAGATCTCATGGACACACTAGCGATAGTGATAAGGTTAATATGTTACAGATAGAATTGCAAAAAGCAGCTTCTGCTCTCAAAGATAAAATAGCAGAAAATGAGATGCTAAGAATGAATTAATTAAATATGAATTAAACACTTAAAAATACAAATGTTTAAGTCTAATAATTTACATCTGATGCTTAAGGTAAGAATTAATAACTAACTGGTGAATTGGGTAAACTAACTAATGTTTTAAAGGATAAATTAAAATAAAATGAAGAGCTTAGAGGCTACATGATGAAGTTGGAGTAAATGATAAAAGAGAAATAATACGAAAATTAATAGCTTATATAAAGAATGCAACAAATGTAAAATTTAATGCTAGATAAATAATAGTTTAGTTAGAAAGTATAGCAATACGAAACCACTATTCATAATATGAGAGACGAATTTGAAAAAGTTCAAAACTTAGTCAAAGATAAAGTTAAAGAAAATGAATTATTAAAATAAAACTTATAGCGTTTGTAGCAACTTTAAAACAATAGAGAGGCTTTTGAAAACGAAGTAAGAAAGATTTAATAAGCTCTAGAAATAAAAGCTCGTGAATGTGAAGAATGGAAATTAAGGTGCAAGGCTATTGAACAGAAATTATAGCAAGCTGCTTAAATAGAGGCAAGGGCAAAAGATTCAGAGTATAAACTACGTAATTTAATATAAGAAATTTCTATTCTTCCTCATAAAATATCTAAAATGTGAAATAATTTAAAAGTTAAATATTTATATAAAACATGAATATTCTTCATATAAATTTCTTAATTTTTATCTAATTTTATTAAAATTTGTTGCTATTAATTTTTAAGAAAATGTGTGTTTAGATATTTTTATTTTGATTAAAAGAAAGAAATTGATATAAAAATAAATTTTATGGCTTAAATCAATTTTTTTAAAAATTTTTTTATTTGGTTTTATGTATTTAAGGGATTCTTTTTATATGAAGGAGAAGAATAAAAATTGTTTTTATGAGATTAAATGTTACAAAAAATTTATATTTATTAATACATTTCAAAAAATAAATTTTTATTTTTGATTGGTTTTATTTAAAATGTTATTTTAAAATTAATTTATTTGCTTTTAATTTGATAATTTACAAAATAAATTGTTTGGGGTTGGGGTTGGGGTTGGGGTTGGGGTTGGGGTTGGGGTAGGGGTTGGGGTTGGGGTTGGGGTTGGGGTTGGGGTTGGGGTTGGGGTTGGGGTTGGGGTTGGGGTTGGGGTTGGGGTTGGGGTTGGGGTTGGGGTTGGGGTTGGGGTTGGGGTTGGGGTTGGGGTTGGGGTTGGGGTTGGGGTTGGGGTTGGGGTTGGGGTTGGGGTTGGGGTTGGGGTTGGGGTTGGGGTTGGGGTTGGGGTTGGGGTTGGGGTTGGGGTTGGGGTTGGGGTTGGGGTTGGGGTTGGGGTTGGGGTTGGGGTTGGGGTTGGGGTTGGGGTTGGGGTTGGGGTTGGGGTTGGGGTTGGGGTTGGGGTTGGGGTTGGGGTTGGGGTTGGGGTTGGGGTTGGGGTTGGGGTTGGGGTTGGGGTTGGGGTTGGGGTTGGGGTTGGGGTTGGGGTTGGGGTTGGGGTTGGGGTTGGGGTTGGGGTTGGGGTTGGGGTTGGGGTTGGGGTTGGGGTTGGGGT